TATTCCTTTTCCGTGGTATTGTAATTAAGCTGGGCTTTGGTATACGTACGACTTGCGAAGTCAATCGGCCGACCTTGTTGGACCAACACCGCACCACACACGTAATTGCTACTGTCGCAATGTAAGTCATTATGCAAATCAGGTTGAGAACATGCTAATTCAAGTAAAGTAACTAGACGTTCGCGTAATAATTCAAGTGATTGTCGGCGTTCGGTATTCCAATTCCATTCAACCTCCTTTTTGAGCAATTGATATAACGGTGCAGCAATCGTTGCTAGATTTGCGACAAACTTGTGGTGAAACGTACACGTTCCTAAAAACTGCTGTAATTGTTGATCGTTGGTAGGAGCTGCCCAATTACGTATAGGCAATGTTTTGATTGGATTGGACTTAACACCTGTACCTGAAACAATAAAGCCTAGAAACATAACCTCTTGTTTTAAAAATTCACATTTACCGGCATTAATTCTTAGGTTCCAATGATTAATTATTCGCAACACCTCCCGAACTTGATTGATATTTTCTTCTCTTGTTGTCGCGTAACATAAAATATCATCGAGATAAATCACAGTGTATGATGAGACAGATCGTAACAGCGAGTTTCAAAATCGTGAAAACGAACTCGGCGCGTTTGACAACCCCAAGGCCAAAATATTATACTCATACAAGCCTTTCCTCGTACGAAAAGCGGTTTTGCATTTGTCATCTTCATGAATTGGTATTTGCCGATATGCACTCTTTAGATCAATGCTCCTATAACATTCGGATTCTGAAAGCTCAATCAAACTGTCCATACGTTCCAAAGGGTACTTGTCTTTCTGGTTACAGCATTCAAAGGACAAAAATTTGTACAGAAAGGACTACTACCATCCGGCTTGGGTACGACAATTGGGTTCGTGCACCATGGTGAGTCACTTAGTTGAATAACACCCCTTGCAAGCATTTTCTCTACTTCCTCGTCAATTACCGCGTCTTCCTTTTGTTGATGATCTAGACCCATCGAGCGGTGCCGGTTGACTGTTGCCAGTATCAATACGATGAGCGATCGGCGCGTTGGTTATAGTTTGCAACTCGGATGTATTATAAATTTTTGGATAGATTAGTAAAATCTCTACTATTTCGTTTGGTATACACTGGAGTAATTTCATTTGTGTCTCATTTGACGTGGCTTGACACATATGGACTTTTTAGTCAGAAACAGATATCCATGATCGCGGGATAAGTTGCTTATAGATTCGATCAATTAACACCTGTTGTTTCAACAACCAGTCCATTCCAAAGATTGTGGTGATGTTTTGTCGCTTTCAACTTGAACATAAAACCCTCCATGATCTTGACCCTTAATTGAGCAAGGTAACCAAACTGCCTGGTGAGATACACCTTTCGATGAGCTACCATAAATGATGCTGATAGGAGGAGCCTTGACAATTTTTAGAGCGCGTTTTTCAGCTTCACTGCTAGTGATAGTGCTAATATTGGCACCTGTGGAATGTGTTTCATTCTGTGTGTTAACCATAGAAGCTTCTACCACGAAACGTTTCTCATCTCCTAGACCTCCATTCATTGTAGAAATTAGGCCGTTCCCACGCAAACTGTATTTTCAAAAGCAAATCGCTCAATTTGTAATAAAGTTTGGTCCCCCCTATATATATACTAGCGTATGACATCATTTTGGAACTTTTCAAGTTTACTATCCTCAGTTTCCCTTTGACTTTCCGTTATATTTTTTTTTATTTCATTTTTTTTGCTTTTGCTTAAATACTAATTTTATAATGCTTACACCTACGCAAACAAATACCTTGATCGCCATTTTGACCTTACGCAAACAAATGAAAGATATAAGAACACGACAACAACAAATAGTTTCGATGTTTTGGCAGCAAAGTCAGTTACGATTCAACATAATCCAAGAGGGTTATCTCTATCACTCAACGTATTTTTTCAACATTCCTTCTTTCTTCGAGGCTTTGCTCTTTCTCATTACTTGTAGACAGACCACCCGTACGGTGACATCTGCGGAGGGCGTAACGTTTACCAACTACCATTACTGCACAATAACCCATCCACATTTACTCGACGACAATAATCCACGTACCAGTTTTCGAGCCATGTAAAGAATGGATCGCGCGTCCTTTGAAAGGCTTGTTAATGATCTGAGCAACCACCCTGCTTTTGATCTAAGAGCACACAACGCTTTGCCAGTTTACGTACAAGTATCCTGTGCTATATGGCGCTTGGCCAACTGTCATCTTGGATATAGAACTTTTCAGATGGCTTGGGGTGTTTCACATGGAAGTTACATGAATTTTTTTAGACGGTTTTTAACAGCTGTTGAAGATGTTTATGGCGATTTGATCAGCTGGCCCTTGGAAAATGACAGAGTCAATGCTATTCAAAATGGCTTTGAGTGGCCACATGGTAATAGACCTGGAGCTATCCCTCGTTTGCCTAACGTCATAGGTGCCTTGGATGGTAAAAATGTTGTGATCGAAGCTAGAAAGCATCACAAGGAACAGTGGAGAAATAGAAAGGGAAATTTCTCTATGAAATTGACGGCTATCTGCGACGATAGAGGGCGTTTTACGTACGTACGTGTTGGAGATTCAGGTACAAAAAAGCTATTTCGGAACATTTTTAGAGTGTGTGGTCTGATAATTAGATAGGCCGTACTCACGATGCTGCAGCGTTTCGATGGACTGAGGTTTATACTGAATTCTTAAATAATCCAAATAGATATTTTTTATCTAATGTATATATTCTTGCTGGTAAGTGCTTATCTTATTAGTGGATTAAATTTATACTTATCAATGTTTATTGTCACATATGTAGATTCGGCATACCCTCTATGTCCCAACATCATTGTTCCTTACCCAACAACGGAAGTTAGAGGAGAATCTGCCGAAGCTATATCAAAAAGAAAATTCAACAAGGTACACTCTTCGGCCAGAATGACAATTGAGTGAGCATTTGGGAGACTTGCAGCACGTTGGAGATTTATCAGTAAGCATCTTTATATCAGAAAAACAAAGGATATATGTCAAGTGATTACTGCAACATGTATCCTTCATAACTTCTGTATAAATATCAATGATCCTGACTTCCCTCCGGATGAAGTAGATGATGATAATGATGTTGTTCAGGAAAGTGGTAATAGTAATGAAAATGATAGAGAGGGTAACAATGGTGGATATTTAGCTGCAGGACGATCCAGAAGACAGCAATTGAACAGATGGTTTTCACAATAAAGAAAAATATTTACTAACAATTATTTATTGATTATTACGCATTTGATGAGCTAACAAAGCTAATAGTTCACTCATCTGAGCTACTGATCTTCGGTATATGGCATAGCTCTCCCGCATTTCAGCTATCATATTATTAGCATTGGCGTTGTTGCTAGCAATATGCGTCTCCATGTACTCCCTCAACATTCTTTCATGACGGTCAAGCGCCCTATCGTTTACACGATTTTGAACTGCTTCCCAACCTAACTGTTCCGGGGTTAAGTTTACCTGTCGTGGGCGAGGAGGTACCGGTTGGTTAGGTGGTTGGCGAGGTCTAGGTGTTGACTTTTGACGAGGTCTAAGTGTCGGCTCTTGGCGTGGACGAGGTGTTGGTTCTTGCTGGGGGGAGGAGAGGGTGATGGTTGTCGAAATGAAGGTGGTGGTTGGCGATAAAAGGAGGGTGATGGTGGTTGATATGAAGGTGTTGTTTGACGAGGGGGAGACGATTGAGGTGGAACGGTTCTTCTTCTACTAGTGGGAGGTTCTAGTTCCTCGGACATGCAAGGTCGAACATGCTCAAAAGTTGATGATGATGGATGGGAAGAGGAAGAGGAGGGCAAAGGGTTTGCTTCTGCACTGGGAACAGGTACAGGTGGTGGAGCTGTATTATCCGTAAAGCGTCTCGTTTGAGAGGAGTAAATATGGGGTGGTCTAATTGTAGGATAATCCTGAAGTATTTTATCCAACTTGTCATATATCTCATCAGGGGCGAAGCCAGATTCTCCAGTAGTTGATCGTCTGGTGAATTCTTTCTTGTAATTCTCAACAAGACTCTTCCATTTACTCTTGATAGGCTCTAACTTGCGGGGCGGAACATTGGCATGTTGAGCTTTTTCATCATACACTTTTTTCAAATTACGGTAAGCTTCTCCAGTATCGAAGTCGCTTCCGGAACTTTCAAGAGTAGGTAAGTAAATGGCATAGCATTTGATAAGCAACATTGTTTCTGAAGATGACCATGAAGGACCACGTCTTCCTTGAGAACTGGGAGTGTCACCAAATGAAAAAACGCTGAACATTGTTAGGGAAGGTAAATAAAAAAATGAAATTTTATGAGAAAAATAAAAGGAAGAATAAGCGATTGTGGATTTTTATATCTTGAAGCAGTCGGGTCATCTTAGTATTTCAATATCAAATTTTTACGTCATGTCATACATGTTTTTACTTTTTTGTAATTTATACCCCCCCCCCCTAGGGGGGTATAAATTACTAATTTGTAAATTGCCCAACCCCCTCATACATTTTGGCTGGTAAAATGTTTTTTTAAACTTTAAGTTACTATTTTGAGCGAAATACTTTTGCTCCCAAAACGTGAAAAAAGTTTTGCTTGGGAACGGCCTTAGGGCCCTCACAAGCAACAAAATTATTTTTTTAAAGATCCCGATTTAGGACTTTATTATTATTTATTTTTTTTATTTTTTTTTGTGAAAGATTACAATTTTGCCAAATAGATGAATAAAAAATTAAATGGATATATATAGGCGATTAACAATAACATCGAATTTTCTCCAGTGCCAAAATTTTCGAAATATCCCAATAAAGGATTAAAATCCAACGACCCCAGAATCCTTCTATCAGATGAAAAATCAGCCAAATTGGGCTACTGAACTCACCAATGTTTTTGTTTTTTTTTTTTTTTTTTGATAAAAGAGTTGTTTTTGTGATCCTCTTCATTTTTCTTTCCCAATTCTTAAGTATCAAATTTTATTTAACAAAATGCCTTTCCAAAAGTACACTACCATCGTCATATGGGATTCAGCAAGCACCAACGTTTTGATCGAGTTGTTTTCCGATTACGTTGTAAACGTGGGTGTTATTCGCTCACCTGAAGCAAAGCTGAATTTGAACAAGGCAACGGAAGATGCTTTTAATGCCAGTGACGCTATCAACGGTAGAAGGGACTTTGCAGCGATGAATAACAAGTGGATTCGCCTCTGTGATACGTTCAGAACCAGACGAGACGATGCTAATTCTACTGGTAGTGCACCTCTTCAACACTGGGAGTTTCACGATCTGATGGAACAGGCAACATCGAGAATGCAATAAAACTGTAGTGGAGACTTTGTTGTCGGTAAAGTGTAGAAATGTCTGATTCCATAATCATATTCATATCATCATCAAGTCCAAATAAAATTTATTGCGATTCAGCAACTACTGTAACAATTTGAGATAGGTTCATTTTGTCTTCTCTAGAAATAAAAAGTATATCGAAACAATAGAGTCCTTGAAAAATATAACAGATAGGTTAGCATTTTGAGTGAACTTTATATTTTAATCGTTCAAAAAGGGTCATTAAAAAGCAACGTCATGGATTTTGGAACAAGCTTTCTTTTGGAAGTCTGAAGTAACCTTTCACAAAAAAAAAAAAAAATAATAAAGTCCTTAATCGGGATCTTTAAAAAAATAATTTTGTTGCTTGTGAGGGCCCTTAATCAATTATACTTTAACCGTCACGTTTTCTATTGGGGCAAGCGTTTGGCCGTGGACAAGACCAGATGTTTCTGTATGTGTGACTATAATTACAGGACAGTCCAGTTATATTTGGTTTCCTCACTGAGTGTTAAAAAAAGCGGACCCCATCCGGACAATTTATTCGGGTTCTAGAAAATACGTGAATTGTCCAGAAAGTTCTCGAAATTGGAAATACACAATCACAAAAACATATTTTTTCTTGTATATAAAGATGGCTTATACAATACAAGAAGTCTTTCTATTCATAAAATTTATTTGCTTTCCTTATTCTTCTTCTCTACAATTCTGCAAGAACTAATGAAATCGCTCTCAATTGAAAAACAAAACAGTATTAAAAACCTCTTGAAATCGGGTTTTTCGTACTCAAAAATAATGGAACGTGTGCCAGGTGTTAAAAAGTCCACGATTTCGGACTACAAACGAAAGTTTTTCCCTGACATGTCACATTCGGCATCAGGTCGTCATCGCATAGTCAAGGAGACAACTCGAAATGCCATTCGAAAGAAGGTTGTACTCGGTGATCTCAAAACAGGAAAAGAGGTCGAAAAGTATCTCAATGATCTAGGAGTCAAAATCGGATACTCTGCATGTCTAAAACTACTGGAATCGATCGGTTTTGAAGCGGCTGTTAAAAAGAAAAAACCTTTTCTTAGCCACATCAACGGAAACAGAGACTGGATTGGGCTAAAGCACATCGTAGTTGGACCAAAGATGATTGGAAACGTGTAGTTTTCTCTGATGAGACTAAAATAAACATTTGGGGATCCGATGGCGTTAAGTACTGCTGGAAAAGACCGGACGACAAGTTACAGTTTCATCATCTAAATCTTACAGTGAAGCATGGAGGTGGGAATTTAATGATGTGGGGATGTATAACTTACTATGGACCTGGTTATGCTTGCCAGATATTTGATGGCACCATGAAAAAAGATGATTACATTAATATCCTGGAAACAACAATGAAGGACACGCTTGACTGGTACGGTTATGACCCTAAAAAAATATATTTTCAGCAGGACAAGGACCCGAAGCACACTTCTAAGCTAACAAAGCAGTGGTTTAAAGACAACAACTTTAATACGGACTGGACTTATAGCTGGCCACCTCAGAGTCCCGACTTAAATCCAATCGAGCACGTCTGGCACCACCTAAAATTGAAGTTGAGCTCGTATACATCAAAAGCAAAAGGTGTTCATGAACTATGGGAAAAAGTCGAAGAACAGTGGAATATCATTACAAAGGAAGACTGCCAGAGATACATAGATAGCATGCCAGCAAGAATTGAGGCGGTTATTAAAGCCAATGGTGGTCATACAAACTACTAAACTGGTCATTTTATACCCGGATTAATTGTCCGGATGATGTAGTGTAATTTAAATACTTATAAATTTAATCTCAGATTTCACATAATAATAAAAAATATAGTGCGTTACACAGTACAATTGTATCTTTTTAACCATATAACGTTTTTGTCATTTGAATAATTGGGTCTTTAGATATCGTTCTTTTTGTCATTTTTCTAAGAACATCCGGACGATTAATCCACCTACTGTATACTGATTTCCAACGCTAATCTTCTGATAGAAGGCACCAAGAATGAAATGTGACTTTATTTAAAACAGTAAAAAAAGACCAATTACAATTATTTGTTAAGAAATATAAAGGACAATAGGCTAATAGAAAACCTACCAAAAGTGTATTGTTGGTTAATTGAGAAAATGGAATAAAGAAAAAAAGGAAAAAGAAAAATAAGAGAATTATACTTTCACAAGTATTTATAAAGGGGTGAAGTCAGAAAACAACAAAAAGGGGTGTATGAAGTTGATGATGAAAAAGAGTAAAATGTGACGTTTACATCTCAAATAGAACAGTTTTTCTCGAAAGGTGTGATAAATATCGGTCAAGAAATAAAATGAAACTTTTGATAACTTTATTGTTTTTTTATGAATAATAAAAGACAATAAGGATCCGTCTAGTTGAATAGTTAATTTCTGCTTTTATATGAGGTTATTACAGTAGTCGCTCGATTTAAGAGTGTTCGATTTAAGGGTATTTTTTATTTAAGGGTGGATTTTGGAAAAACAGCTTCCGTCCCCCGCATTAACACCAGTAAACCACTATTCTATTTAAGGGTAAGATTCCAATTCTCCAGACCCTTAAATCGAACGATTTGACAGTGTATTTTGACTTTTTTCTAGCTTTTTGATCAAATTTATTTAATGTCCGAATAAAAATAAATATTTCGCAGTAATGATCATATTTCAAGGTTAAAAATGGCTTTGTGACGTCTGTTTAAAATAGTCACGCTTTTCGATTTAAGGGTATTTTCTATTTGAGGGTGAGATTTCCGAAATATTTGGTCACCCTTAAAGCTAGCGACTACTGTAGTAGTCACAATAATGTTTTTCTGAGTCCAGCATCGGACATTCAAAGTATAACCACAATAGAAAACAACTTCTTTCCTCGACATTACTAGTTTAAGAAAAACACGAATTACTACGTTCGTATCTTTGCAAGATATATTATACAAATAGTTTATCCAGAATATTTAGTATATATATTCTTCTATCTAGATTTAATCAATAAACAATTATCTTTTACTTGAATAAATAATCTGTGGCTTAAGCTACTCGGACTCTAATTTATCTCTGTCTGATCAACTTCTAAAGGCCGACTTCTCTAACTTATTTTATGGTGGAGTAGCTGCTCTTTTCCTGCGCCCTATATTTTATTCTGTCAAAACTCTGTGTTTACCTCACTTCGCTCAACCACACTGAATCTCTGTGATTATCTCTATAATGTCTGCTACAATTTCTACTCTTTTAACTCAGCTTCTCGGACAACTTTTGTCTGAACGTCGCCTCACCGACTCTGTGATTTCTCCCGTCTACGATCCTCAGGAGAACATCAGCAACTGGCTTAACCAATATGATCTCAATTGCAAGCGTCTGGCACTTACTGACGACCAAAAACTGACATAAATCGGTAAGTACTTGCCTGCAGAAATTTCCAATCTGATTATCTCGGAGTCTATCTGCTGCTACTTGGGGTTCTCTCAAGGTTGCCCTCATCAACACCTACGGTACTCCACCCAAAAAGTGCAAGCTCTTACTTCGTCGTCGTCGGAAATCTCTTCGCCAGGGCAGCTTACCCTCTCGCCGCTTCTCGGTTATGTTCGAATCCATTGTGTTGGAATTTGACTCTACACATACTCTCGATGCTCCTACGTTACGTATCATCTACCTTCGAGTCATGTCGTCAAAAATCCGTAACATGATTTTGCCGAACATCGCTAACAAGCTTTCTTGGGAATCCATTGCCAAATGAGCAATCGCTATCGAAGAATCTCTGTCTTTGGATGAAACACTATTGGAATCCGCCTTTGCCAATTTGTCAATTTATTCTAGTTCAGCCATTCAACCCACTTCTGTCACAAGCAATACCACCTATGAGAACGTCGATCCAATGGAAATCGATGCTCTTAACACCAGCTCCCACTCTCATTCGTCCTCCCGCTCGGGTAAATTTCAACACAAGAAAACCCGTGAGAAGTCCGATCCGATGCGTCTTTGGGCCTCCGATGGTCAACCTATCTGTGGTATCTGCAAGAAAGTGGGACATCCTACCAAGAAATGCTCTCAAAACCCTGAATCCACCCAATTCAGACAGGTGCATAGTATGTCTGCTGCAAAAACCATCGAATATGCTGCCATCCCTTTGAAATATGATACCATTGGGACTCAACATACAGCCGCTATCCAGAGCATTGACCCAGTCCAGGAATGCAACAATGTCGATCTCAGTAGTGGTTCTTGCTCTACACCTCGGGTCCGTCTGACTATAAAGGCAATTTGGTTTAAGCCCTCGTAGATGCTGGTGCCAGCATTTCAGCTGTTCCTGCTACTATCGCTTCTGGTCTTGGTCTTCAATACGATACGTCAAAAGCTGCCGCTTTTACAACCACCGATAACAAAAACGTTTCCTCTCTCGGTGTTACCTATGTCAAAGCCATGATGGGTAATACTCGGGTATCAGTTGCTTGTCATGTTGTTCCCAACTTGGCACATGAAGTAATTTTTGGTTATCCGGATCTTAAGCGCCACAAGATTCTCATCGACACCAATACTGACGAGATCCGCCTGCCCAAGTCCATTTCAACTTTGTCACCTTCAACACCCGGCGTATGTGCAATGGTCTCATCCCTCCGCTTACCTGGTCACTCACACGCCTACGTTGACTTCTCAGGTCCTCGAATGACATCCGCCTTTATCTCAACTCCTAATGACACTGTCATGAAAAAGAGGCTTTCCGTCGCTGCCGGTGTTGCGAAGTTTAATGCAGATGTTGTTGCTACAGTCAAGTTGGCTAATTTAGATAAGAATTTTAAACATGTCACCCTAAAATAAATCAGCAATCAAAATGTTTTTTTTGATCGATATTGGCGATATCGCTCAAAAAATCGAAAATATCGATATCTCCGATATTTTTGATTTTTTGATCGCTGATCGCAAAGCCAAATTTTCAAATCTCTATAAAAACAACCTATACATAAATAAATAGATGTAGCAATACCATGTTAATAGATAAACGTGATTTTTTAAAGAAAAAAAATGTTTATGGGGATGATAGCCAGGGTAAGAAAAAGACAACTTCAGATTACGTAAGTAAAATGAGAAAAGGGGACATGTGACTGTGGGTTTTAATGATTTTCCAACACTGCTGGTAATACTACTCTTATCGACTTCGAAAGCCCTACCAGTGTTTATTACATATTTTTTGTTAGACCTGTCGACCCCATTCACCAACCCAATAGTAGACACAAGGTCCTTTGCATCAAAGACGACAATTTTTTTTTGCTCTGCCTCATCATGCGCGGGATGGCCATTGAATAAGGGGAAACGTCATGATTCTTTATAAGTTCACCAAAAACGAAGTTCGAGCCTGGAGTACTTTCTTGATATGTAAAGTCAAAAAAGAACAAGCGTTTACACACGTACCAGTTTTCAACAGGCCGAGACATCCAAATTACTTTAAGTGAGCACACATGAATTTAGATTTGCAAAAAAAAAAAAAAAAAAAAAAATAGGAGAGTGCCTTGAATCTGTCATTTAGAGCATTCCCAACCGTGGATTATTTTTTTAATTAAATCTGGCTCAATTTTTAAGGTTTAGATGTGCGTAATTTTTTTACACCCAACCGTGGATTAAAAAAAAGGATTATTTTTAATAAATCCCACATAAGAGCATTCCCAACCGTGGATTATTTTTTTAATTAAATCTGGCTCAATTTTTAAGGTTTAGATGTGCGTAATTTTTTTACACCCAACCGTGGATTAAAAAAAAGGATTATTTTTAATAAATCCCACATAAACGTTTAATTAACCAAAAAAATGATTATATTTTATTATTTTCTGTAACTTGTCTGAATTTTTTTTACATTTATCTTATTTACTACAAACTTATTATTTAAAATGTACAACTGCTCAGAATATTTAGAAGAAGAATTATTGGATGCTATGATGGAAGACGTTTTGTTCGAAGAGTTGAATACTGTCGAAGTAGAAGAGGAAGTACAACCCCAAAAAGGTTCCGTTATGGGACGCGCTTATATCGATCGTGGACACGATACTCTTATGAGAGATTACTTTTCCGAGACTCCGGTCTATTCCGATGAAATGTTCCGTAGAAGATTTCGAATGAAGCGCGACCTCTTCTTGGAAATTGCTGAAGCTATAAAAAACCATGATAGCTATTTTGAACAAAAGGTGGATGCAGCGAACCATTTGGGGTTGTCCACTTTGCAGAAAGTAACAGCTGCGATAAGACAGTTGGCGTATGGATCAGCAGCAGATACAGTTGATGAATACCTTCGTATGGCCGACTCTACAGCCATGGTATGTCTGAAGCGGTTTTGCAAGGCGACTGTCGAGGTATTCGGTGAGGAATACCTCCGTTCACCCAACCAGGAAGATGTTGACCGTTTGTTGCGTGTTGGAGAAGAGAGAGGATTCCCCGGCATGCTTGGATCAATTGACTGTATGCACTGGGAGTGGAAGAATTGCCCGACAGCTTTACATGGCCAGTATACCGGCAAGAGCAAGAGGCCCTCTGTAATTCTGGAGGCCGTAGCCTCACATGACCTCTGGATCTGGCATGCGTTCTTCGGACTCCCTGGGTCACTTAATGACATTAATGTCATCAATCGGTCTCCTGTGTTTGCAGACCTGGCAAAAGGTGTAACCCCCGATGTCAGGTTTGAGGTGAATGGCAATACCTACACGAAGGGGTATTACCTGGCGGATGGTATTTACCCAAAGTACGCAACTTTGGTAAAAACCATCCCTAACCCGCAAACAGCCAAATCGAAGGTACACATATATTATCTGAAGCTAAACTTGGTTATTTTGATATTAACACAAGACTTTAACGTAGTATTTTGCAACAGGGCAAGAGGCAACACGAAAAGATGTAGAGCGTGCGTTTGGTGTTCTCCAAGCGAGATTCGCCATGGTTCAAAGACCAGCTCGGATGTTTAAAAAGAGGGATATAGAAACTGTGATGAACTCTTGCATCATTCTGCACAACAAAATAGTGGAAAATGAACGCGGACAAGGTCTTGACTTGATTTATACTCCTCATTCTGCCACACCTTCATCATCTCGGGAGGAGTTAACATTTGATGAATTCGTTGAGCAGTACTTCTCGATTAGAGATCCCCATACCCACAGCCAATTACAAAAAGATTTAATTGAACATTTATGGCAAAGGAAAGGTAACATGTAGTTACATATGCCGTAAATTAATAAAAACTTAATACATACATACAAACATATATGAAAGAAAATAAACAAAGAACAAAGTTGAAACTTTTATCTAATTTTGAAAACACTGGTAAAAGTATTAAGTATTTATACCAATCAATAATCAGCGAAGCGATGGATGAACAATCATTCCTTCGATCTTGGACAATAGTTGTAGCTATTTCCAAAGTTCAATCGATTTTTTAATCCACTTCAAAATGTATTTTCTTTCTTTAAATATAAACTAATTTTTATTTTATAGATGTTATACCGAATTTTGTAACTCTTAATCTACCTCTTCGTCTACCTCTTCTTCTTCCCCAACTTCTTCTCTCCCTACTTCTACTTCTTCTCTTACTTCTTCTCTTACTTCTTCTGGTACCTCCACGTCACTCCCATCTTCGTCTTTTTCGGCTTCTCTCAGCAAAGATGATTCACTTTCCTTTTGAAGACGACGTTCTTCTTCCCACATCCGAGCCAAAATGCTCTTCTTCTGTGCGATCAGTAATTCACGATAGTCAAGATTATCTACGCTGTATATGTCCTTTTTCATAATTTCGTCTTCTCTTGTCATCTGTAACAATCTTATCCTTTCCCTGTTGCATTCAAGCAAAAGCTCGATGTTCTTGGCACTTCTACTTTCACTTGCGGCCTTTAAGCCTTCGCCGCTTGCCAAACGTTTCTCTTTTTTGCGACCAATGGGTCGGACCTCGTCAACGTCATCTTCCACAGCTGAAGAATTTGTTGCCTTTCGCTTTCCTTTTGCTTTGATAGCAGAAACCTCAAGCATCGACTTGAACTTTGGTTCTGAACGAAGAATTTTCCAACAGTGCCGCAAATTAAATCGCTTACCAACGTCTTTTTCAAAGAGCACGTCTGCTCTGTCAATCTATTTTGATTGATTGGTTGGTAAGTAATCGATAAATTTACATTATAAACAATCATAATAAATATTACTTACCATTTCGTTGGGCCCAGAGCCACTGGGAGAAGGACCGTTTTGAACCTGGTCAAAGAAAGAAGTGTACTTTAAAACCAGTTTTTGGATGGTTTTCCATCTGGTATAAAAGCTATCGTCGTCACGATCTACCAATACAGCGGCTTGATTCGTTGCAAAGTTCTCACGAAAGTTGTTCCTGATACCAGCCCAAAGGGTGGCCATTTTTTGTCCATTTCCAACGATTCCATCTTTAGATATGGCAATCCATGATAGACACAGCTGCATATCTTCTTTGGTAGTCCAGTTTGGTGATGACTTGCGCTTGAGAGGATCAGTTGGCATTTTTACTTGTAAAATTTGAAAAATTTATGTGTGGAAAGAAAAATAATGATTTTTTTTTTGGATTATTTATTGTTCAGATTTAAGTAATATGTAATGAAAAGTAGAAAAATAATTAAATCTAATAAAAAATTAATGCACGGTTGGGAATGCTTTTAATTAAAAATTGTATTAGATCTGATATAATCCATTAATCTAATCCACGGTTGGGAATGCTCTTACAAGACTGATGAATCAGTTGCTGTAGAAAATAATCAACCCGTACGGCGTTGCCAAAAAAAAAGGAATTGAGTCTGATTTTTTTTTTTTTTCTTATTTAAACAAACTTTGTTTTTTATACCTTTTTATTCTTATTCTTTTTCCCCTTTTCTTTTTCTTCCAGGTTAATGTATGTATATGCGAATAGTTAATGGTATTTGATTCATCATAACCATTTTTAAATTAATTTAGATTTAGTTATGAGACTAATAATAAACGTGTTACAACTTTCTAATTTAGGATCAGACCAATGCTCTTTGCTCGGTAAGGAACTCTAACTACTTTCTTATATCTATTAGCACATTTTTATAGCTAAAGGAATCAATACATTGATTACTTGTGGAAAGGTAAATAACTTGATACTGGTATACTAGTTTATTATTAAGTTAACCCAACTTTTTAAAGCTGATTGATATTACTGTTTATTTGAGGCTCGTACATCCCACGGTTTTGTAAAGGTACACATTGCTAACGTGCCTCCAGTTTTAAATAGCGATTTTTTGGATTTTGTTTCAAATTTTTTTTTCGAAATCGAAATGGTGGCAAGTGTTTTTTTTTTTTTTTTGTAGAATCCCTAAGCTAGACATACATCTGAATGTTCATTCTTAATGGTTTTGACTCATTGTTACCATGCTCATTGTGCAATTTTTTTTTATTAAGTCAATAAACCAGTATCAAGTCTAACTTTTCTGTGAGATAAATAAGACTTGCTGACAAATTTTTTTACTGCCTGCACGACTTCTCTACCGTCACTACAGTTACTATATGCTTCAATGTAGTTCATAGACCTTTGAAACAATCTTTTTATATGAACTACATTGGAAGCTTTATCCAAATAGCTTGATAAGTTATCATCAAGAGACTTGAATGTGTAATCACATCTCAAACGTGCCTCCCTTTTGGCGGAACCCCAGTACATTTCTATCCAGTTGCATTCACAATGATATTTTGGATATGACTCAAAAATGTGACCTGAGTCAATAACGGCTTGCTGCAAAGCCGACTTTTGCGCCACAAACTCGGGTCTACTTTCAAGAAAGTGACGAGCACAACACATTGATCTGTGGCTTGGCTCCTTCGACTTACATAGCATTTTCGAAGCCTTGCGTTCCAGATCACGACCAAGCCATTGGCCTCTTTCCTCCAAAATCTTTCGAATACCTTTGAAGTATCGTGTCTCCTTTGTCTTCACGACATACCCCAGTCTGTTGGTGACACTGGTCTTCTTGGTGTAAAAGAAAGACTGCTCCAAGCGGGTGCCATCCGTTAAAATTACAGCCGTGTCTTTGAACTGATACTTTTCGTTATCTTTGTATGGCTTCTCATTAAGTGTCATACGACTTCCAACAAGAGCATCATCACCGAATGCCTTGTAATTGGAACTGTTGTCAAAGAGGAAAACAAGCTTGACAACCAGGCTGGAGTAGCTCAAACAAAGGGATTGCATCGTCTTGAAGCTGCTCCAACATGTCAGTGTACTTCCAGTACCCTTCTCTGCCCACACCCGCTTTGAAAAATCTTCTAGAAGTCCAACCAGCACTCTTCATGGTTCCATGGCAAGGGCATTGAAATTCACTGACCATTATTGACGATCCTGGGCCCTTCTTTCTGATATGGTTCTCACCTTCTAACAACCACAGATCATCCTTACCATCATTTGCATAAAATGTGGATTCATCGTGCGTAACAAACACAATTTGTTTTATACCTTCATCCAGAACTGGCTCAAGAATCTCCTCCTCATTGTCACAGCATAAAATTCTGATCTTTTCATGTATTCGACCATTCTTTTAGACCATTCATCTCGGTAATTGACCACATCTTCTCTTTCATGGCCATCGAAAAAAATAGTCTTTTTATTTTTTCGGTATGAATATCCCTATTCGTAGAAATAACGGGAAATTGTTGTCATACTTAAGTCACTTTCAGCCACACCAAGAACAGAAGGAATGATTTGCTCGTCGATAATCTTTTTGATGACAATCAAGGAACGAAGAGCTGGTTTCATCTTTCGAATTTCTTCCAAAACGGCCATCTTTACATCCGAGTCACTTAAAAGTCATACTCTCTTAACATGGGCGCCTTGCGAGTGGTCAGAAAGCTTACCCTCGTCAATGAACTCCTTTGTCCACTTGACAATGGTCATCCCACGGTATTCCTTTGAATTTTGGGGCCAGAATTTTTCGGCTGCTTCTTCTGAAGCCAATCCTTTCTTTTTTCCACCCAAACGATTCAATCCATATTCGTACACAGATAAATACCTAGCATTGTTGTATGATGCACGAGCATTATCGTCGTTCTTCTTACTCATTACGGGTAAAATAAGAGCCTTGACAGCAGGCATAATTTTTTTGATGTCTTCGATTTCTTTTTCCGTGTGAGGAATGAACTTTGTTAATTGCTGAGTTTCTACACTTTTTGCAACAATAAATCCAAAACGTTGAAGAGTCTGGGCTGGATCTAGCTTTGCAGCCTCGACATTCTTTCTCCATTTTGTTGTTCTGGATGTACCAGTGTACGTAAGTGGTCTTTTACTTATTTCTGTATTGCTATCTGAAATAATATCAAGAGAACTCGCCTCAGCTCTTACAACCTCGGCTTGCTCGACTAGTTGATCATGATTTAATTCAATGTTTTCCCATTCAGCGAGTACCACTTCGGCAGATTGAATGCATCCATCTTCTCTTCTAAGTCTGTTTCTAATAGCCTTTTGTTTTTTGTTAGGTCTGGGCATGTTATGATAGAAAAATTGCAAAAAGGATAAAAAGGAGCATTTAACATTCGTCAGACGCGTAAGATTGTCCCCGTTTGATTTTAGGAGGCGACAATGAAAAGACTCTCAGCATTTATTTTTATATAAAGTAATAAAGGTACCTTAAGACATGATTGTATACAGTTTTAGCTACCTAAATTTATATCTAAACAATTTGTAGAGGATTTATTTAAAAAACCTTAAAACTTTAAAAATATGTCAAGTCGGCTCACCCAAAAAGGAATATGTATCAGGGGTAATATTACATGCGCGACACAGTGGTGTAACGACCGAAAATGAAAGAAGTCGTAAATACTTTACTTTTTTCTTATAAGTTAAAAAAAGCAATCATAAGACATTCTTGTACATAGTTTTCTTTTTTGTTTTATGCAACTAAATATTTCATAGAATTTATTTTTGGAAAACCTTCAGCATTTACAAGATCTGCCATGTTAGGGATTCCAGTGGGACTGGGTTTTTTTGGGGGAAAAAATTTATGACAAATTTCTCAGTAGGAATAAGGCCATTCTATTGGCTGACATTTACATGAACGGAGAATGAACTTAATGGGGTGTGCATAGTAGTGTTTCAAATCTCCAACCCCACTTATACGCCCCCGCTTAATTTTTTGAAAAGCGACCAACTTTGATGTCCTACAACTTTTTTTTTTTTGCAGTAAAAGTATTTTTTTATTCATAAGATATTGTTGATAAAGACTCTTAAAATAATATCTTTTGATTCGCATTGGTATATCGGTTGATTTGGGAAAGTTTTAGGCAATTAAAAAATACAAAAAAAAATCGCTATTTAAAACTGGAGGCACGTTAGCGATTAAAAAATACGGGCGTGGAGATATTATAATCTCAGCTACAAGAGTCGGGTCACGGTGTAGAGTAATGGGGTTTATAGACGGCGATTTAATAAGTAGTTTAAGTGAGCACCACGCAGTAGGTTGCGATCCGAGTGTGTAATCAAATAAGGCTTTTAACTAAGCGATATGGGGTTCTGATCTTATTATAAGAGCAGAATGGAAGACAAATGGAGTAGATTTAACTTATATACTTTCGGTATTCTTGGTACTTATTGTACAAGATGATGAAGATTATGTGATTATTGAGTGTAATTAAAGACAAGACGATGGTATTCTTAAGGACAGAGTCTTTAGATGATATCGAATGTGCAAAATTAACAGAGTAAATAAACTATTCCTTATGGATTGAATGAATTCAAAAGGATGATCTTATAAACGAAGTTAGATAGATAATAAGTCGATATTCCGTTCAAAGAGAAAGGATGATAACAATATTATATTTGACAGAGTCGCTTAAAGACGGTATTCCGTTATGGGGATGATATCTTTAAGAGTTAGGTTATAAATTAAACTATTCTTTAGGCTGTAAGCTTAAAGATGATCTTAATAAATAGACAATGGGGTTTGAAAGGAGGTATTCTTATGGCTTGACAGCTGTAAGATGATTCCGTGACAAAGAAGTGAGTTTTATATGAATTATTCCGTTTCCAAAGGAAAAGGACGATCTCTTATAAAGTAGTGAAGAAAAATAAAAGAAAAATAAAAGAAAATGAAATAAAAGTTAAGAAGTTGGGGTTGAGGGTTTTGGTTTTTAGATTTTGTTGGTTCTTTTATTTGAGCTAAAAAGATTGCTGAAGTTTTTATTAAAGAGAGAAAAAAGGGGGTTATTTATAAGGGTTTAGAATTAGAGTTGAGGCTGATAGTCACTACGATGAAACGGAGTCACGTTAGATCACCGGATCTTACATACCTTCCTCCCCACTAAGAGTAGGTATCCTACTGAGGAAAAGAATAGGGGTAGTGTAAAGAAAATAAAGAAGAAAAAGTAAAAGAAAAAGAATAAGAAAAGAAAAGAAAAGAAAAGAGATGAAAGGTAAAAAAAAATATAAAAATAAAAAATATAAAAATAAAAAAGGGAAATTTGAATGTTTTGATTGGTCTCAGGGTTTGTTGTTTGCACTAGGCTTGGTCCCTTTCCTTGGTATGTAAAGAATCGAGTTGGGTTGGGATTTTGGTTGATATTTCTGCTTATGTATTCTGGCAGTTTGCTTTGGCGTTTGATTGTGGAATTGTTGAGCCTTTTGAGATACTTTCTCGATCATTTTCTTGGAAGTGAAGACACTTTGATGAGCTTCTTGATAATCTTTATTGTACAGGATTGAAAACCCTTCTTTTTTATGTTTTTGTGGGTTAATTTGGCGACATTAGATATTTGTTTGTTGATTAGCCGCTATACTTGTTTCTGTGTTTTATAGAGGCATTCCAATAGTTCAATTTGGTCCGGCTGGTTTAGAGGGTCCAGAATGGGAGTTGCCATCAGAAAGGTAGTAGTACCGCCACCTAAGAGGATAGGGGGGAGGGGGGGAGTTTCCGACAAGGTTTGAGGAGGGCTGCTTGGGGGAGACTCGACCAGAAAATGGTCGAGGAATTTTTGATTCTGGGTAATTGGATTCATTGGATTTGTTAGTTTCTTGTATGAAGGTGGGCAATGATGGAGCTTTATATATCTTCAATTTTTTGCCGTGGATGTGTCGTGGTACCAACTCTCCTGTTGTAGATTTGATAATATATGTGCTATTCGGGAATACTTGATGTATATAATACGGACCGGTATACCTGTCGTTGAGTATTTCGGAGGACTTTCGAGATACAATGTCATTGTACATGAGTACAGTTTCACCTATCTTGAATGGGAGTTGATAACCGGTTTTTTCGCTGGCTATTCTTCGTTCCACATACTGTGCCTGGGACTTTTGTGCTTTCAATATGTTCACATGGGCAGCTGATCGATGCGCCTCAGTGTCAATTAGACCTTTTAAGAATGCTTGTACAACCATATCGTCAGAATAATCGAGGACAGGAGGCTCTTCAGATACTTGATTCACCACGTTTTCAAACAAGGTCCTTGGTTCTCGACCATATAGTAACATGAATGGAGTTCTTTGAGTGGAAGCTTGGGGCATGGTTCGATACGCGAATAATAGCATGGGCAGGTACAAATGCCAACCTGGTTTGAATTCTTCAGGCATCATTCTCATGGCCATACCGAGTGTTCTGTTAAAGCTTTCTACCAGACCGTTACCAGAAGCATGGTATGCTGAAATAAACCTTTGTTTTATCTTAAAGTCGGCGCATAGCTGGGTCATGATAGTATTCGAAAAGGGGGAACCATTATCAGTGATAATTACTTTGGGTGTAGAGTGTCAGGTTATCACCTCTTCCACAAAGAAGTTGGCGATTTCGATGGTGTTCGTCATAACCAGGGGACGAGCTTCTACCCATTTGGAAAAATAGTCAATTGCTACTATTATATATCGATGCGTTCCCCGGGATTGAGGCAGATGGAGTATGTCCATGGCGGCTTGATGAAAAGGCTCAATGGGTACCGGAATTGGATGAAGGGGTTCTTTAAGCATTTCTTTTCCTTTCATCTGGCATCTTGGGCAGGTCATGATCCATTGTTCGATATCCCGTTTCATTGAGGGCCAGTTGTATCGTGAACTTATCTTGAGATATGTGTTTTTGAAGGCAAAGTGTCCTCCGAGTTGGCTATCATGAAACCTAGAGAAGGCTTGTGTAGCGTCATTTGTGTTCAATACCTGACGAGTGGGGACGCCTTTCTTGTACAACAATCCTTGATCACTAAAATAATTTGACCAATTTTGGCGAATAAAGTATCGGTGGCTGTCGGTGATATTTGGGGGGTACTCCAATCTTTCCAAGTAATAGATTAATTGTTGATAGTTATCGTTGTTCATTTCGAAATATACAAGAGAGAAAGAGTTCAGAATAGAGGATCTAATTTCGATGATCTTTTTATTTAAATCAGGATATCCAACTTGACATTACTGTCTCATTATAGTTTAACGACAATCACGGTCGGGTGATAGTTTAGAGACATTCCGGTCGAATGTTATATCTAGTATCCAAGTCTTGAGAGGAAGTCAGCGCTATTGTTAGCTCGTCCAGGGCGATATTTAATTTCATAATCATATTGGTTTAAAGTAGCTATCGAACGGGCCGTTCTTGATTCATGAGACCTTTTAGGCTGATGTGGTCACTGATGATGGTGAATTTCTTTGCCAACAGATAATTACGTAATTCTTTCACAGCCCAGACACAACTTAGGCATTCTAGTTTTGTGATTTCGTAATTCTCTTCGTTCGGTTTCAATGCTCGGCTCATGTATCGTACCGGGTGTTCCTTGCCGTCTTCATCTAGTTGCGAGAGTACTGCTCCTAGTCCATTCAACGAAGTGTCGCATATGACCAGAAATTCCTTGTCAAAGTCCGGTGGGCGTAGCACAGGTGCCTTGGTTATGTCATCTTTTAACCGTTCGAAAGCGATAGTTGCTTCAGGTGTCCATAAGGTGTTAGTTCCTCTCTTGGTACGAGTTAGCATATGTAGAGGTCTAGCCTTGGCCGCGAATCCATCTACAAATCTTCGGTAATACGAGCATAGACCTATGAATCCTTTTATCTGTGATACGGTATTGGGTCGGGGGAAATTTTCGACTTTATCTATTAAGTCGGGAGAAGTTTCTAAGCCATTCTTGCCCATGACGTAACCCAAAAAGACTAATTTTTCTCTGAAAAATTGGCACTTTTGTGGATTCAGCACCAGTTTTGCTTTTCGGACACACTCAAACACCTTTCCGAGATCTTTTAAGTGTTGTCAATCGTTCTTTGAGAATACATTGCGGTCATCCAAGTAAGCTACCACACTTTTGTTCATGATGTTTTGGAATACCAAGTCGATTAGCCTTTGATAAGTCATTGGACTTGAGCTGAGACCCATAGGCATACACACGTATTCGAAAACACCAGAACGAGTCGAGAAGGCTGTTCGTTCAATACTTTCAGGGTCCATGGGAATGGCATAGAAAGCGTTGGTCATTTCCAGACTTGAGAAGCGTCGATTACCACCAATAGTGTCGATAATGTCGTCTATTCGGGGAATGCTATAACTGTCCTTTCTTGTCTTTTGATTCAATTTACGATAGTCCGTCACGAGTCGATAAGTCTGATTGCCTTGATCGTCTTTTTGTTTCTTCGGTATCATGAGAATTGGGGCGGACCATGGGCTGTTTGAAGGACGGATAATACCTAGATCCAGGTATTTTTTCAACTCTTTCTTCAAAGATACGAATTCGGCTGGGGCCATCTTATACGGTCGTATATTGATTGGATGTATGTCTTCGGTGAGGATAATACGATGTTTGATGAGGTCTGTCATTCCACTTTTGTCCTTATCCCAGTCGAATATATCTTGATAGGAGGATATTAGGTTGTAGAATGATTCTTTAATGGGTTCTTCAATGTCGGTTTCATTTATTTCGATTATTTTCTTCCTTTCCTCGCTTAAGGTGATTGGGTTCGAGGTGTTGGTAGGGTTGTCAAGGTTGCAGAATGTGGGGTCAAACTCGTAATATTCAATTTCATCGAGTATTTCAACTATGTCCGCTATCTTTGCCAGAGGGGGGATAGTTATGGATTCCGCAGTGTGGTTGGTCAATATCAGTTGTACTTTTGATTGTTGAGGATCAATTATTGGTGAAGGGACATATATGTACTGTAGAAATTCATCTTTAATTTCAATTAAACGGGGGGTTTTTTGTTTGGATATTGATATAGTTATAGGGAAGCTTGTCATAGCCGGGATAATCGTGTCAGCGTTCTTTTGTTGGATCGTTTGGTGTTGGAAATCTTCACCTATCGTACAGAACATATCGTCCTTGATTTCCTCCTCTTGATCATGTTCTTCTTCGTAGTCTACTTCCGAGATCTCGTCGTCTTCGGGGGTCACCTCCAGATACTTCACCCAGTGCTTGCCTGATGGGACTAGTAGACTTTCTGTGGCGGTCAGTCTTTCAATAGAAATAGGGGTGGTTGTAGTTTCCTTCTTATAAGTGACCGTGAGGGTAGTGAGCTCGAAGTTGATCGTGGCTTTCGCCCGTTGTAAGAAATTGTTTCCTAGTACCACAAGAGATGGCGAATTGGGGATGACTTCCATAGTGATAGATATGGTTACGTTATTTAAGGTTACTGGTACATCGTAGATCAATCCCAGCGAGGCCTGCTTAGTCTTATTACCGAGGGTGAATATCGTTGAAGAGCTAGCATCAATTTCCAGTCCTAGTTGTTCCATTGCTTCCTGCGACATGATTGTTCGGCATGCTCCACAGTCAACTAAGCTGTGTTGAATCACTTTGTTGTTGATCTTTATTTGAGTGAAGGCAGCGGTGTTATCAGTACCATCGAGATCCATGGTGGCGACGAGGTTTAATTCTTTGGTTTGCTGTGTGCTGGCTATATTAAATTTGGACACCTTTCGGATTCCTTCCCTGACTGTCTTCTTTAATGATGAAATCAGATAGAGTAGTTGTTCGAATGTGATTTTAGGTTGTCTTTGTAACAAGTCCTCTGCTGCGTCGTATTTCACTTCTTTGATTCGAGTGTTGATCGAATGTACCGTTTTGCGAGGGGGATGTTCATCGACTTCCATAGGCTCTTGCGTACTTTTTGGTGGTGGCGGCTTGGTCAGTACTTCTGGTAACTTGATTGGGTCAGGTTCTTTGTTGCGGTTGTTTTTATGTTCTGCGTATTCCTGTTCGAGATAGGGTCCAGTGGCAGGAGTACGACTTTCGGGTTTAGAGCGGGTAGCGACGTGTATAATGTGGTGAGGTAAAGGGGGTACAGGTTTTGGGGGTGGGACGGTATTCAATTGCCTGTTTACAATTGACCGTTGCAGTTTTTTGACTCTTCAGCGTATTCAGGTAAGAATTGGTCGGTGGGGCGCTTCGGATAGTAGTAATGGCCTTCAATCAGTACCAGAGCATCAATCACTTCCGTTGTTATAGTACTGAAGCTTTGGGCTTGGACCACTGGATGGTTCGTTGAGGGCGGTAAGGTGGCTGGTTGTTGGTATGTACCATTTCTAGGGGGATTAGCGTGATTGTTTGGTCTATAGTTATTCAGGTGGGGAATGCTTCGATGATATGTTGGGACGTAATTAGGTTGTCCATAGTTATTGCCTGTTGTTGGTTGATTGGATTATTGAGGTCCCTGGGGATTACCTCCATGATGGTGATAGTTACTGTTAACATAGCCTTGTGATTGGGGTTGGTAGTTAGGATTATAGTGCTTTCCCTTGTAGTTAGGGATACTGGAGTTTTGGGATGAGTTTTTCTCTTCGTGCTTCGTATTTTGGGCGGCCTCCTTCTTATTGTTCTTTCCTATCTCTTCTTTGATCATAGTCCTTATAGCCTTTAATAGCTCTTCTGGAGATAGCGAGGGGGTAGGTTCTTTGGCAGGAGTAGGATTCAGGCTAGCTTCGATAGTGCTAGAGGTTTTTGTATCAGGAATGTTTGCTTGTTCATTGTTAGGTGGTTGGTTATAGCGAGGGAGATATGTCGCGTCGAAAGCGTTGTAATAGCCTTCTGCATATTTCAAATATTCGGCATGGGTTTGAGCTCCAAGTGACACACAATGTTCATATACCTCTGGGTGCATCCCCATGATGAATCTTGACTCTACCATCTTACAGTCTGTAATACCAGCTATTCTGGCTGCTTCTACCAGTCTGGCATCAAATTCCCTTGGATATTCTCTTGGTCCTTGAGTCAACCGGTTGAAGGTTACATAGTGCTTAACGGTGAGATTACCGGAGTTTACATATTTCTCCTGTAGTATTTTGATCATATCGACGAAGTTTTCGGCGCAGCTTCCTGTTTCTAGGTCCATGGTGAAGAAGTGGTTGAAGGTGATCTTTGCTTGGCCAAGTGTGATGATCTGGCTTACTTCTAATAAAAATCATCATCATAAAAATAACATCAGATACACTTACATCATACATTCTACACTAAAATATAAATATCTCAGCATCCATACTTGATAAAGAAAATACACTTCTTTAGTCTCTACACGTCTTTAACTAAAATAGTGCAAGAAGACACTGTACTAAAATAGTGTACTTCCATTATGCAATAATTTTATAATTTAAATTCAGACATCTTATATATATCCTTTATTCTTTGACCTTGATAATCCCCAATTCTCTTTTAACTAAATAAAACATATCAACAGTCTCAAAGTATTCCTACTTTTGTTTTATTTCCTTTCTGTCTGAATTTTTATTATCCCAAAACACCACACCAAGTAAAAGGGATTTTAAGTGAAATATTTTTTGCTTTTCTACTGTAATGTTTCTTATACCGAAGTATTCATACAGTGATTCGATAAAATATTCAAAGTCTTCTCCTTCAGTTCCTCTGAAGTTGATAAGTTTCTTGGTGGAGGAATAGTTCTCCATTGGTTGAGCCAACACAGTATTTTCGTTGTTCATTTAAATAATAAATAAGGTCCCTGTTAGTGAGCACCACGTGTAGAGTAATGGGGTTTATAGACGGCGATTTAATAAGTAGTTTAAGTGAGCACCACGCAGTAGGTTGCGATCCGAGTGTGTAATCAAATAAGGCTTTTAACTAAGCGATATGGAATTCTGATCTTATTATAAGAGCAGAATGGAAGACAAATGGAGTAGATTTAACTTATATACTTTCGGTATTCTTGGTACTTATTGTACAAGATGATGAAGAGTATGTGATTATTGAGTGTAATTAAAGACAAGACGATGGTATTCTTAAGGACAGAGTCTTTAGATGATATCGAATGTGCAAAATTAACAGAGTAAATAAACTATTCCTTATGGATTGAATGAATTCAAAAGGATGATCTTATAAACGAAGTTAGATAGATAATAAGTCGATATTCCGTTCAAAGAGAAAGGATGATAACAATATTATATTTGACAGAGTCGCTTAAAGATGGTATTCCGTTATGGGGATGATATCTTTAAGAGTTAGGTTATAAATTAAACTATTCTTTAGGCTGTAAGCTTAAAGATGATCTTAATAAATAGACACGGGGTTTGAAAGGAGGTATTCTTATGGCTTGACAGCTGTAAGATGATTCCGTGACAAAGAAGTGAGTTTTATATGAATTATTCCGTTTCCAAAGGAAAAGGATGATCTCTTATAAAGTAGTGAAGAAAAATAAAAGAAAAATAAAAGAAAATGAAATAAAAGTTAAGAAGTTGGGGTTGAGGGTTTTGGTTTTTAGATTTTTATTTGAGCTAAAAAGATTGCTGAAGTTTTTATTAAAGAGAGAAAAAAGGGGGTTATTTATAAGAGTTTAGAATTAGAGTTGAGGCTGATAGTCACTACGATGAAACGGAGTCACGTTAGATCACCGGATCTTACAACGGTGTAAAGATCCAGCCTGCGGTCTCGTGATACAGCAAAAACCCTTATCTATTCCAACCATGTGGTGACACAAGTCCTTCCTACCAATATAAATATCCCTTACTTTTTTCATAAATAAATCCTCAGACTTCTCTTATCTCAATTTAATACTTATTTCCTTCAGAGTCGTTTATCGCTCTTTATCTTTTTTATTTTCTTTTCCTTTTTTTTATTTTCTTCTTTTTTTTCTTCTCTTTTATTTATATATTAGAAAACATCTTTAACAAGAAACCTTCAATATATAGCACGATCTTGTATAGTAAACCTCTGTAATAAGAAACCTACATACTTCAACCAGTCGTAATAAAAACTTCACTTCATAAAAACTTAAATACATATATACTAGAAAACCTCTGTAATAAGAAACCTTCAGTATAATATTCGATCTTGTATAGTAAACCTCTGTAATAAGAAACCTACATACTTTAAACAGTCGAGATTAAGTTCCCCCATCTATTTTGTTTATTCTAATTTATAAGAAAACCTCTGTCAAAAGAAACGTTCTATAAATTATTAGACCTTGTATAGTAGACATCTGATAAAAGAAACATACATACTTCAAACAGTCTAAGTAAACCATCCCTTAACTCTTATATATTATTCTTCTACTCTTGAAGACATAATTTATCTATCATCCTAAATCAAAACTATTGATTACTTATATTTATACTCAACTTGACGTAAAAGTTCAAACAGTATTACTACTTTCCTAAAGTCTACTTCAATTAACTACACATAAAAAGGCGTAATCAAACCTAATAACTTGATTTGGTGCTCACTACAAACTTTACAAACTCCTACTTAAACCACTTTAAACCAACAACCAATTTATAATAACGGGCGTGGAGATCCAAAAAAGGAAATTTTAACGGGCGTGCGTTAATGGCTTTGTATTGAAAATATCATATAGGATTATTATATTTTGATTTTAACATTTTTTTTTTGAAGACCTAAAATTGGGCAAAACACAAAGGGTATACCTTGAGAAAAATACCACATTTTACAAATGCAGCTTTTAAATACCCTTCCTGCTGGTTTAATAAAACGTATTTTTAATGAACTATAGCCCAAATTTAATGCTTTCTACACTGGTGTTGTTTGTAGACCAGTTTTTGTTATTAAAAAAATTATATTTAATGTATAACTGAAAAAAACAGTTTTTGTAAGACAAAGTATTTTTTTTAAACTAGACATTAAGTTGAAAAACATTTCAAAAGATGCCCCTACTTTTTTCTGCGCATTTTGGTTATAAAATTGCTATAGTAAAAGTTCAATATCCCGGCACTTTACATTGACAGGAAAGTTATAACATGTCATTTCTGACCAGATCCGTTCACACTGACAATAGCTGGGGCCACACTGAACTTAGCTGGGGCCACACTGAAACTAGCTGGGCCACACTGAAATTAGCTGGGATCACACTGTAATAGGCTATGAGTGTTATTTTTTAAGATATCAAAAGTAGATTGACCCTATAATAAAAAGAGTCAAACAAATAAGTCTCTTTTAATTATTTATCAAAGACATGGAGAGAAAGTCATCGCAAAAGGGAAGACGCTCTGTGGTATTTGATAAAATTGGCAGGTATAAAAATAATGAGATAAACGTGTAGTAAAAATAGGCTTTAAGAGAGAATAGTTTTACAGAAGAAAATAGATAAAAAACAAAAGGGATATAGTTATAAGTCTTGTCAATTTATTTGTAAAAAAATTGATTAAGAGCTAAGTAGACGGGCAGGTTTGCCCTGATATTTATAGAAGATTGAAGATATTATTGTGGCTTGTATTTTTGACAGCTCAGATCCATTGTAGTTTTATATGATGGACCATTCCACTATGGCGGATTTGTTATTTGTTGTAAACAACTTTGTTGACAGAATCAACAACTGTTGTTGACCATTTTTTTTAGTTATTTAGGTTCGAAGCATAACTGACGAACTCAACTTATTATCCGAAGGGTAGGAGACTCTTGTTGTCCCACCCTTTTATCCCACGCCATGTTATATTTATATTTTAGCTTATTATTTTATTTCTGTATGGATACGGTTCTATATTTATCCCAAGTATCATTTTATTATATTGTTTATCATATTTTTTTTTCTTCTGGATTTCGCATTAATATAGAAAAGATGGTAACACAACAAGACTCTCCGACCTTTTGAAGGATAATATAAAAAAGAAGGTGTTGGAACCGACATAAAGTAGAATCGTTAAATTGTTGTAGTGGCTATAAAGGTTCAAAAAAAATTGTCTGTACAACTAAATAATGACGATAAACAACCAATCTTACTTCAGGTGGGATGCAGCAAACAAAACATATTTATTGCCTCTTCTGGGCTCGTTGATATGATTTTTAAAAAAGAGGAGATATACACATTATCATCAAACCAGGTCCGACGGCGCCATTGACTACACCATTACTTGTGTTGAGAAGCTCGTGGGAACTTAAAACAAATACTTAGAATGTATGGTAACTTTATTTCCCAATGTAATATGTGTGTCTATTAACGATGCTGGCTTTGCTTTTAGCTTTAAGAGGACCTTCAATTAGTAACCCCAACGTGTTTCTAACGCTCTTTGCTTATATGTAAGGTACTCAACTTCCAATTTGAAGCGTGCTGTTTTGCGTTTTTGTTATCTACATAACTAACAACGCTTCTCATTCAGGTAATTTAGGAGTAGCTTTTGCTCTTTATGTAGGCTGCTAATATACTCCTTTATCTCTTTTAAAAAAAGGAAGTGATACTTTAGATAAAGTTGTAAGTTTTCTTATATACTTCCTAAATCAAAAGAATAATGTGGACCACCTCAATTATTTTTCTAAATTAGATCACTCTTTATTTAAAGATTTTATGGTATGTTTTTTGAACTTATATATATTTTTAAATATCGCTCAAATATCTGTTTATCATTTTTTAGGACTAACGGTACGTCTGTTTAATGATGTACGGTCAAAGTAAGGTTGAGATTACTCTAAATCGCTTCTTTGTGTTTCTAATTTTGTTTTTTAGAGGATCAATACATTCATATGAAGCACTCTTTCTTTGTTTTATGTTTCGTTCGATGTCGGGTGCGAAAGACTTTAAACTTTATTAAATGCATATATGTCGTCCATTTATATATACAGATTATTAGTGCCATAGTTACGGTTATGCCGTCTATAAGAACGAATGCTGAAATAGAATCTTTGCCTTATTTTCATTAAAGAAATATTTGCTTCTCAATAGCCATTGTTGTGGTATTTGACAAAATATTACATAGAAAAGTAATGAGATAAAAGTATATTTTTATTAGGGGTAAAAATAGACTAAAAGAACTCTGCTGCTATATTATAATTGATCCTTTTTATATTGCACAACTCTCCTGAGTTTTAATGATGAGTCAACCTTTCTGGTTTTGGAATAGATCTATACTTTGTTTCCCGCCTTGGGTTAAATGGATACTACTCGTTAGAATTGTTTCCAGATAACGTTGTCCCATATCAGTGGATCGGGAACATGAGTATGCTAATAAATCTTTAGTATTACGAGACACTTATTTATCAGATCATGCAACGGTTACTGTAAAAGATGCATACTTGTTTGTCAAGTGTAATTGGCAATAGAACATAATAGTTGATCATTTATTCATTATCTTTGTAATGAATAAATTACGATCCCAAATATAAAATGTCTTATCAATATTTGTATATTTGGTTGTAGAAGCTAGGTATCCATTAATTCATACACTATTTCTTTATACTCTTTATCAGCAGTATAATTATATCAATATATAAGTAAATGAACCATTTATATTAATAGCTGTTCTATTCTCTCTCTGGGTAGCTAATCCATTGAGAGAATTATTAATATTAAGTTTCTCTTTCTTATAATTCTTGATTGATCTGAGAAGTTTCTCTTCTCGATCGGTGATATCGTAACTCAGTGGTATAGCATTCTGTATCCAACTGTCATTCGTATATCGTATTTAGGCCAATCATGCAATCTTTTATATAGAAGTATGTACTCGAAGTAGGAGAAGTTGTATAGCAGTATACAAGCGTATGCTGATATGCAACATCAAAGGTTGTTTTAATTTCATAGTTTATTTATTTAGACGATTTGCTTAATTATTCTTTAAGTGGATCGTACCCAAATACGACAGATTTTGTCGAAAAATTCGGTGGTAAACAAATCGATGTCAGCTACTTCTTAAACAACTATTTGTGAAATATTCCACGAAATAAACGGTTAAATTATTTGAGACTAAAACTAGATCTCTTTTTATTATGGAAAAGGGGATCCTTTTTATAAGGAAGGATTGAAATAGATTGTTATCCGGGAAGATCAGATGGGAGCGTGGATTGGAAGTAGATATTAGTATCTTGATCAGTTAATGGTCTAAGTTTCAGTGCTGGGTGGCTATTTAATGTTAAGTAGATTATAGGCTGGATTTATAGTGTGTATTTATCTAATGTCGTCCTTTTACATATAACAGAATGGCTCAAACGCTCAAAAGACAGCTACATATGCGTATCATGGAGAGCAAGGATTAAAAAAATTGCACTTTTGCTGTGGTGTTTAATGGGTTCAATATTGAACTCTAAATCATGGCTTTGTTTTAAGTAAAGTGTTCACTTTAAATACAATCTTTATTTTTTCAAAATAATGTTTACAATACAATGACCTTTGTTACACCACCTTTTTCTTCTTCTGTTGGTCCTTTAGACTTCAGATCCCTATAATTTTTCTGACTGCTTTTCTGACCTTTTCTTATAGATAAAAGGATCCCAAAAATTCATAATAAAATAATGAGTTTGTTCTTTACTTTAATCTGAATAAGTCTTAATACTTTAAGTCTTTGTGATTTTGTATTTATTATAATTGCTTGTAATTTCCTTCTGTAAAATCAGCATTGTAGTTATTCCATTTCGTATTTAACTATACTCCTTCGAATACCACTCTTATCTGATTTCGTCGTATAAATTACCCTCTTATATAAATATATTTTATCTTTTTCAGTTGACAACTATATAGTCTGGTGCTCACTTTTTAAGAACTTTTATCTTAATCTCTATTTTTATTTTCTTCTATTACTTTTACTGAAACTTGCCAGTACCACCTTATACAGGCTTACCGTCACCTTTTTCAATACCAACTATCTAAGAATTAGCAAGAATTTTATTTGCTAGTACAATTCTATCTTCACATGTAGCTGGAATCTCTGTCACCTTCAGTAATTTATCATTGGGAAGGTCAACATTAGCAAAGGGTATAGGAGCGTAAAGTTATAAAGCGATATCTATACAAGCTCGTTTATTTACGCGATACGTTTTGAGATTGTTGTCAACAGGGTGAATGTGATCAGAACAACTCCTACTTAAAAACCAGCATTTCTCCTGGTCTTCCTAAATTGATAACACCCTCACTGATACCAACAATTCCCTCGAAAAATATATCGTTTCTGCAACTTCTTCCGCGTTTCTCAAGGAATCGTCAACAAAACAAACAATAATATCACAAGCCTGCTCTGACCATTCTTAATGTTGGACTTGGGAAAAAGTGCTTGTCGTTCAACGGTGGGTAAGAACATATAAAAAAAAAAGTCAGACCCGGATCAAAAAACTAAAACGGTGTCTGTAAACATTAATCAGTTTTTCTGTATTCACCTTGAAAAATGTTATATATAGAAGCTTAGTTACATGAAACTCTAAGACGCGCCTACTTTTACCATCACGGACAACGGTGTAATCAGGATGAAAATGAAAGGATCCTGCGCTGATAACTCCATCCACATTGCTCCTCTCCAAAAGTCGCATTCTTCTTTGGTGTTAGAGAACAAAATCCCCAATTTGATAGCATATCTTCATCTTAAAAAATTGAAGAAGGATCTGACTGTTCACTTACATGATCTACACCTTCCTTCAAAGGACATCTAATTTTTTAGTTGTTACACTTACAAAAACTGTCTTTATACATACATTTGTATCAATTGGTTTTCCTTTTAACGGTAAAACATCGCTTCCTCCTATTTTGGCGACAGAAACGTGTTGGATAAGCAAGTTCATGTTGATGATTTTCACCGTTTTCTTCCACAAAGAAAGTCTTTCCATTGTGCACATTTGTACCAGCTTATTATACAGATTAGAGTGTAGGGTGCGATACTGAGAAGCACCATCATTATTTTCAATTCCTTGTAGAAAGAGGGGTGTTGCGCCTATTCGTACAAGCCTGAATAACAAGGTTATCGTGTATGCCGTACACCGTAAGAAGTCTGAAATCGGTCCTTTTAATAAAAATCATTCTGGTTAGATAACCTTTTATAATTAGAAGCTGACAAAATCCTCTGATATAAATAAACTCTTATCCTGCAATCGGATGACAGTTTCACATGTGGGACCTTGTTATTTAGCATATTAAATACGAACAGGCGCTCAGAGTTTCCTCAAGTATGACTTTCCACCTTGCATAATTTGACGCTTACGGAATTACGTCAGAGGATGTAAACTTTTTTTTTTGAACCATGTGTAGACTAAAGTATGAAAAGGATTACATAATTTCTCATTCACATCATATACATATCAGCTACCGTATCAAATATTAAATATATCTGTCTTTTTTTTATACATATATAGTGATAAAGAATTATTATTATTTAAACAAAAGGTTCCAAATTGAATTCGATAGCAGTGGTAGGGTTGGACAATTCAAAGTTTTCGAGAACAAGAGGATGGAGCACACCGAAAGAACCGATTTGAGAAGTGGTACGGACACCTTCAGGGTTGATATATCTCAAGAAAATCAAAGCAGAACGACCAGGGAAATAAGTGGCATCAGCAGCCTCTTCAATCCAATAACCTAATTTACCGGTATCGGCCTTGTTGATTCTGCTGGTACTGAGGATGGTCATCATACGATCTAAAAGACCATGAATAACCTAATCACCATATAGTGGTCAGTTTGTATTTTTTTTTATGCTAGTATCTGATAATTACCTCGAAACCAGAGGTCTTGGATGTATAGGTGGCACAAAGATGCTTCTCGTTTCTAGCTCTACGTTCACGAGTCTCATCCTTGAAACCAACATCAGCAACTTCAAAAACCTTGATGGGTAAAGCCAACTTTTTGTTGGAGTTTAAGGTCTTGAGAATACCGGGTAAAAGAGAAGTACGGACAACTTGGTATTCAATGGTCTTTGGGTTGGCGAGTTGAATAGCGGTCTTTCCATCATCGACGCGGTTAAGGAACTTGAAGTTCTCATCATGAGAGCACTAAGAAAAGAAAAAAATGAGATTGGAATGTTATATGTGTACATATATCTTTTCTTTACCAAGACTAAGGGAGCAACTTCAGTGAAACCAGACATGGCAGTCTCTCTACGGATATGATCACTCAATTTGTTTAAAGGCAAGGCAGAAGCAAAAGTGTTGACGTTGGGCATTTTCTTGGGCAAGTTATCATAACCATAAGAAATAGCAACATCCTCCATAATATCACAAGCATGAAGAATATCCCAACGAGTAGGAGGGACATTAACAAGAACCTCATTCTTATCCTCTGTATTTAAAGAAGCATCCAAGGACATTCTGTTCAAAAGACGGCAAATTTCATCTCCAGGAAGATCAAGACCGGTACAAGAGTTGATATAATCGATCTTGGCTTTAGATTGACGTGGTTGCAATTGAGGATAGACCTTGACAGTGTTATCGGGGTAGGTGATTTCAACAGGCTCGACACTAGAAGAATATTAGTACTGTTCCTGATTAATTAAAATATATCTTACGTGAAAGGTTCAGCACAGTATTCGGAAAACATGGAAACCAAGGTGTTTAAGACGGTACTGGCCTTGTGTTCATCAGTAGCAGTGATTTCAATCAAGACGTTCTTTGTGTTGAGGGTGATCTTGGAATGATCTGAGTTGATGATGGGAGGCAAAGAGCAGACAGTGCGCTTAGCATCAAAAACAACGGGATAAACAGGAGAATCACGAATGATGGAAAGGAACTTGCCAAGATGTTTATCCTCCTATAAGTTTTCTATTAATATAAACCCCTCGTTTTGTTATGCGTTTGCAGAAATGACTACTTACGGCATATAATTCCATTAATTCATCACCATCAACTGCAACATCCTTGTTCAAGGGCACAAATTTAATATCCTTATGAGGTAATGCTTCATAAGAAAAGGGCCCTTCAATCGTATCTAAATCATGTGTACCCATCGAGGCGAGAGTTCTCTTACTATATATTCACAAACATTTAGTCATACAACAACACGCACACAGACAGACTGTGTTTTAAATAACAAAATATGAGTCATCCTCACAAAAAAAATTAAACTTTACCGGCAGATATTGTTGTGAAGCTTATCTTGAAGGTCAATGAAGGAAGCATAATTCTCGGGGGTGAAGGTAATGTTACGTAAGACAGCACCCACAATGTAAGGACGAATCACTTGAGTCTAAAATAAGGGGAGAGAGCCAATTGGTAAATTGTTTTTTTTTTTTTTTTGCATAAACGTCAAAAAAGTAACGTACGGATTCTTTAACAAAGATTTGGTGAGGTTTGCCAGTGGCAGGAGGGACAACCTTGTAGACAGGAGGTTTAGCCTTGTTTTCGAAAACACGAAGAGCACGAGCAAGACCTTCTTGACATAACAAATCGTATCTGTTGGCGGGAATGTCAATCTTTAAAAGGGCACGTTCAGACAAATGCTCAGCGGCCTTGTTGGAACCTTTCTCGGCCATCTCTCTCTCTGAAGTCTACATCACACAGTATTAATATCTAATGAATGGTGTCACTGTGTATCCCCTTACATCTTCTTCAAGCTCAATACCGAAACGGAAACAAAGTTCAAAGAACTCTTGAGAGGCTAATGTATATAAACGGATGGTCAATGCGTGTTCTTTTGGAGTTCTTTCATTGCTTACTGTAGTCCTTCTCAAGGGCTTCAAAAAGAGCCAATTTGTCAATATTTACGGTAGGCATGCTAGTTTTAAATAATTAAAAAAGAAAAAAATATTTGAAAAAAATATGAAAAAAATTAGATGTAAGCGCTGAGTTCTTAGGTGGCTTATATTTCCTGAAAAGGCAAATGGATATTGCGTCGGCTTGAATCTTTTTGGATTTGCAACACGGATTTGATATAAATTTGGTGTAAATTATATTTTTTTTTTTCTTTTCCCTCTCTTTTTTTATTATTTTTCCCTATCTACTCTCAATATAAAAATCCATGGTGTGTTTAGGACCTCGAAAAAAAGAAAAGAAGAATAACCTTTTAAGCCCAGAAGATACGACAACAAGTCGAGGGCTGAAAAAGTCCAAGCTAAAGAAGCCCAGCAGCTCCAACAGTTTGGCACCTACAACCACAGTGCCAGCCGCAAGTAAATTGAAAGCACCGTCTGTTGTTTCGAGTAGCGTCAAAAAGTCACCCACTCGTACTTCACTGGAGAGCAACAAGTCAAGACCTCCTTCTCGTAACTCACTCTTACCAACTGGACGAACCCCCAGTCCAGTCCATCGTTCAACATCTCCTCACAAACCTCCCTCATCTTCTAGACCAACAAGCATTGCATCGTCTGTCAAAACTGCCGCTACAAGAACTTCCGCTGCCTCTACACAAAGCTCAAATGCCTCTCGTAACTCCACTCATAACACCGCCACCGCAACAACAACAACAAAGCGTTTTCCTATCACTGAAATGAAAGAAGAAGTCAAAGGCTTGAAAGCAAAAGTATTTATTTATTTATTTGTTACAAAGAATAATCCCGTTAACAATACCTTATTTTAGAATGAGGAAAACTTAAAGTTGATTGCAGACCAACAAGCGGAGCTTGAACTTTTGAAACAACAGCTGCTCAGTGAATCGTCTCAGGTATCATCACCACCACCCGCTGACATTGGGGAAGATGATCACCAAGCCAAAGAACAGCTTTTACTGCGAGAGAAAGAAATAGAGGAATTGCGCATCAAATTACAGCAGCAAGAAGTTCCCGCTATTGTGATTCAGGATGATGAAATCGATTCCAAAGCGGAAATTTTAGCTCAAAAGGAAAAATTATTGCAGGAAAAGGAAGCTAAACTGGAAGAACAAAAGCGAATGATGGAAGAGCAAGTACCTCAAATTGAACAGGTTGCTATGCAATTAGAAGCACTTAAATCACAGGTATCTATCATCCCCAAACAATCACACCACTTTTTTTTTACTCATTCATCTGTGCTTCTTTCATAGAATTTAAACGCAGTCAGCCAGTTGGCTTCAAAGGAAAAGGAATTAGAGGAATTACGATCCATGATTCATGAAAAGCCTGTGGAGGAAGTACATGATAAGCAAGAAGCACTTTCAAAGATTGAGGAATTAAATATGCAACTTGAGGTAAGAAAGTAAACAAACCCTCTATTCTTAGCTAGTCCTCATTTATAAACATTTAATTTAGGCTCAAAAGAAGTCGCATGAGGAAAGTCTGCGTTTGCACGAGGAAGCTTTGGCAGAAAAGGATATTCTTTTGAAAGAACAAAAGGAATCTCTCGAATCTTTACAAGAAAATCATCATCAAGAGTTACAGGACTTAAAAAACGCTCAAACCAGCAGTATTCTGTCTATCCGCAAGAAGCACAAGCAAGATAAACTTGCTCTTGAAAAGGAATTGGAAGAGACAAAGGCTGAGGCCGAAAAGAACCCTGCTGCTGCAATTGATATTGATGAGCATATGGAACGTATCCTTCAAGAGTTTGAACAAGCTGAACACTCTTACACTGTTCAAATCAAGGATATGGAAGAATCTCACCAATCCGAATTGTCTCATCTCGAAGATAACCAAAAGGCTCAAGTTAAAAAGTTGAAACGCACACAGAATTTAAACAGAGATAGTTGGACTGAGCGTTATTTACCAACTGATGCTGTCTCTTGGCCTGTTCCCAATGGCTCTGCAGTACCTAAGCTTCGTCCTACACCCTCTCTTGTCGAAAGTAAGAGCAAGACTTTATTACGTGTACTTGGTAATATGCCTGCCTATCAAAAGCCTGAACCCGTCTTGACTCCTCTTGATCCCAAGAAGGTGCAAGTCTACTACTCTTCTGTCAGTGGCAACGCTGTCGTAAGTTTGCATATATGTAATATTTACTAGATATCTAACTCATTTTATCTAATAGATTAAGCGTAATCAAGAACAAATTCAACAGTTGCTTACAAATAATGGAGTAAAGTTCCAGCTCGTAGATGTTGCACAAAGTGAAGCGGCCCGACAATACGCCAAGAAATGCAACAATGCAGGTAAAGCATTTGGTCGAATCAAAGAGTTCCCTCAATTGTATGTGGGAGGAGAATATCGAGGCCAATATGACGACTTAGTGCGTGCCATAGATGACAATGCGTTAGAAGAGATTTTACATGCTGCTGAAGAACGCCATTTCACCAGTGCAGAAAGAGCAGCTATTCAACAAGCGGAATTAAATGAAGAATTAGCAGGTCCCATGCGTATGCCTCCTGCTGTTCCAGCCTTACCTTTATTAAGACCCACCAAATCATCCGTTGCTAAACCCGTCAAAACCTTAAAGGATTATGATGAAGATGAAGAACTATTGTTGGCTCTTGAAAAAGAGTTTGATGCTGGAAATTTGAATCTTGATGATTTATAAGAAATTCTCATCTTAACTACCTTTTTTTTGTCACCATATAATCTCTTATAATTTATAAACTATATACTCCCCTTCCCCTCACAATACACGCAGATATTTCGCCAATTTTAATAAACCTTGTTTTTTTCTTGTTATCTAGTATCTGTATTTTCATAGGATCACATATTATAGCGCGCAATTCCCCATCTTTTGGATTGAAATAATCTTCATATAGATAACTACTGCATTTAATCATTCTCGTTTGAATTGCACTAAAAGGCAAAGTGAGGGAGAAGTTGGATGATATGGAGAATTACCTAGTATGCAATGAACCCTTTCAATCAATGCATGTATTTCTTTTGGTGTATCGCGATAACTGAAACCTAGCCCTATCGACCAAACATGTGTGTATTTGATGATGCTCTGCCCCACACACGCACGCACACACAGACTCCTCTTGTAATAAGATGCTTTGAAGCACAAGTCAAAGATCGAATCCCCTCTTATTGTAGGCTAGCTCCATTTGTATGTTTCAGGTACTATACAAGAAAAGTGTAAATAAGTGATTTCAATTAAAACAAAATTTTAATAAAATTCCACTTTTGCAAGTCCCATTTAAAAAGAAGCTTTATTCTCATAATCATGCGGATCTCCACACAACATGCATAAAGACGTCACGGGGATAGAGACACTGTTGCCAAAAAAAAAATAAAAAATAAAAAAATACGAGGCAAAAAAGGTTTTTATCCTTAGCAACCCCCTCATTTAGGCCAATGGAAGAAGATTGGGACATTGTTGATTCAACCTCTACAGACTCCATTTTGTCCGCACCACTAGTAATAGAAGAAGAAGAACCAAAGGGGCTCGAACTCAATTTCAACCGGTTTAGTCATCAACCTGCTTATGAACTCAGTAGTGATGAATGTCAAGATGAAGAATATGATCAACAATTGATGGATGAAGGTGTCATTTTTAGTGATGAAGGTTCAGAAAAGGAAATTGTTTTTACTCTGGGTGATAGTAATTTGATGAAGAATGACACCACTCAGCAGCCAATCGATGAGGATGATGACGACGATAGGAACAATGAACTGGAACAACAAAGAATTGATCAACTTAAAAATAATTATTTATCTCGTCTTTTTCTCCCAAATAACTTTATGGAATCACCCAATTCAACTGCCTCCTCACAAGAGAACACCAGAGAAACTGAAGCTGATAGAACCGCTGTCTGGAGAAATGCGAACACCACTGGTACTTCAGTCCCTTACGTTTCTACCTCCACTACTGCAACAGTAACCAATACCAATGTAGCTTCCAATATGGCTCTAGTACCCATTACTGATACATCTGTCGACATGCCTCTCCCAAACACCACCACCACAGCTACAGCCAACCGTAAGTCCCTTTCTACTTTTATGTAATACACACGTCTCACTCTTTTACTCTACAAAGAACGTCCACAATACGGTGGAAATTTAGGTGGTTTCTCATTAATGTCCAATACCACTCCCAAAACACAACAATCCACCTCATCCACCGTCAGAAACTTTAGTCAATTACAAACTGCTTTTCCTCAGAAATTCAATCCTCCCCCACCAACTAGACATATATTGCCTGCCAAAAAAAGAACAGTAATTACAATACCTACATTGACAATGGAAAGAAGGCCCGCTTTTGCTTCTACACCTGATACTCCACCTCTGTTGGAAATAGATAATCCAGGCATGAACATAGATATTCCGCCTACACTGACCCGCACCACACTGACTTTACACCAACAGCAGCATCAACAGGCGATACCTGAACCTCCGTCTGAACCGCAGTCTACACCAGAACCTCAGTCTATACCAGAACATCAGTCTACACCGCAGCATCAGTCTACACCGCAGCATCAGTCTACACCGGAACAAATTTCTGAGCCATCTTTAACAGACCGTCCCCCCTCAACTGGAGAGTTTTCGCCCCAACCATCCATACTTGAACGTTCCGCATCCCAACATACAACAATGGAACCATCGACATTTACTATACCTCGACAAATAACGCCTGAACTACCTATACCTAAACTTCGTGCACCTGAGCCATCCACATCAGGGCAAATTGTATACGACCAACCATTGACCTCTGAGAAGGTTATACCGGAGCAACAGGCTTCCATTGAACAACACACACCTCAACATACACCTCAACATACATTCCAACAACCAACAACGACACATGCTACCCACGAATCACCCATACGCCAATCACCTGTGCTTTCGCAACCTGCACCTAAACACCACCAACAAAGAGCGATACCAGAAAGCCCAGTGCCACAACCACAACCGCTGCCGACTGCAGAAAACGATGCCGAAGCGTTCCTTCAACAAGCAGCAAAGTGCTTTGAATACTCCGTATCAAACGAACAATTCAAAGCATTGTGTGTAACTATTAAAACAATGATGCCTGATGTGACACAATGGTACACGCTGAGACGACTGGATTTATCAAGGCAGAATCTTTGTGCATTGCATTCTCTTGACACATGTTTTCCCATGCTGGAAACACTCAATGTGTAAATTAATATATGTATATAAATTGAATCCGGTAACTAACTTGTTATAAATTTGTAGATCACATAATGAGCTTCGAACGTTGACTAATTTGCCAAAAACATTATGTTATTTACATGCTTGCCATAACAGGTAAAGAACCAGGCATCTATAAAGAAGCAACAATAAAAAAAATTGATACACTTTTTATAATTAGGTTAAATGAAATGGATATTTATCAATTGGGACAATTACAAACGGTAGACGTTTCCAATAATTACATTCGAGAATTCAAAGACATGTCGTATCTGAAATCATTACGAGACATGGATGCGAGTTATAACTATATCGAAAAATGTGAGATGTTTGAAAGCCTACCTGCCTTGATGGCGTTATCATTAAAGCACAACAATATTCGCACACTCACAGGGTTTGGAAACTCAAAGAGTCATCAATTAGAGAGTTTAAATTTATCATTTAATCGAATTGAATTAGTTGATTCAGTGGAGAGTCTTGGACAATTAACAGAACTGAATATGAATCATAATTATATTCGTGTGATTCGGTTAACAAAACCCATGGAAAAAGTCTATAGTCTGAAATTGAGCTTTAATCGATTAAACACCATCGATCTCTCGGTCTTTCCTGCTGTCAAAATACTGTTTCTTGATCATAATCAAATTCAAAACGTACATGGCGCTTCTCTCAATTCCAAATTAGCTTCATTCTCATTAAGAGACCAAGGAAGAGAAAACTCGTAAGTTTTTGTTGCAAAGGGAATTACTTTTTTTTTTCCGGTATAACCTTAACCCTTTATTTTTTATGCAGAAATTTCAATTTACAATATTTGCGTCGTGCTCGTAAGATATATTTATCAGGAAGTCCTTTTCGAAGGATGCATCAATTGGTGGATTTCTTTGCTTTGGAATATTTAGAATTATGCTCGGCGGAATTAAAGGAATTGCCCTTGGATTTTAGTAAACGTGTGCCGAACCTCAAAAATTTGTACCTCAGTATGAACCAGTTGCAAGATATCAGGCCATTAAAAAAACTTGTATATCTACAGCGTTTGGTCTTGATTGATAACAAGCTTCTCAGCTTACATGATGTTATTGCCGCTATACAGCATATGGACAGGCTGAATATACTAGACCTGCGGTAAAAAAAAAAGCAATTATTCATGTATCTGAAAGAGAACTAAAAAAAAAACTCTTTATAAGACAAAATCCAATGACAGCAAATATTTACCCTCCTTTGAACCTATCTAACGATGAACTTGTATCTCCTTATATCTCTAGCGCACATGATACAGAATGGCCAGCTCAGGATGCCGAGTTTTGCACAGGGTTAACTGAACACTGGCAAACACGAAGGAATGTCTACCGTGCTTTTTTGATCAAGGGAGGACATAGATTAAAAGAATTGGATCGCATTCCAATCACTGTAGCCGATCGCACAAATGCTGAACAGATCATTGCAAATTATCAACAAGTGCGTATACCTCAAAATACAACATGAATAAAAAACCAAAGCACGGTTACTGATGATGAAGGGTTTATTGCTTGCTGGAAAAACAATCCCCACCTTTTTTTTTCTTTACTCTTAATGATACTAATAACAATAATAATAATAAAACCTATTTTAATTGAAACAAGTTATTTTTCCTTATAGAAAAGGACATTATTGAAGTAAAAAAATGTTAATGAAATATCAACAATCACCCTCATTCCTAGTCAGTGAACAGTGGAAGCAGACAAATGGAGACTGTTAGATATCACAAATAATATCATTTGTTACAATACATGGAATTTTTAATACTCCTTTCTTTTACCTTTATTAAAAAGGATTTCTAGGATATAACTTCCCGTTCTTGTGTTATATGAGGTAAAGAGGAGAAATAGATCTACCAAACAGCTTCCCCGTACAACACTATACATGAAAAAAAAAGGATACACGCTTCTATTGAGGGAGAATTGATTATGTAAATCATAGAATAGGATGTAATGACATCACAAGGTTCCTTGAATAATAGAGTTTATTTATATAATCAATATTAAAATGCGCGCGCTTTTCTGGTTCATACGTTGTATATCTCAGGAACAGGAGTAAAATTCAGGTGGAGATCATAGATATAAGCTTTACAAGTTATCTAGATGCGAGATGATCTTTTTGATGTTGTTGACTTTTTATCCGTATTTAGCTTTTATGGAAAGATAATAAGCATCATTTTCTCTTTTTAATGTATGTAAAGGTGGTCAATCGTGCTGTTAATAAAACTAAATTTCATTATTGGTAAAAGCACCTGATCCTATTGTACACTGCCGAAGACTCCCTTTTTTTATATCATACCTTTTTGTATGAGTGCTATTTAAAGTAATAGTCATTATACACACTTGACAGAGAAGTCCGTAATGTATGTTTGTACATTTAGTGAATATATATATATATAAAAATGTAAGGTGTGGTTTCTATAAATAAAATAATTAAGAGAGGCGCTTCATCAGTTAATTATAGAATAACAAGAGTATTGAAATTATACTAGCTACAGAGGCATAATGTATCTATCCTATCCCACAATATTTCAAGCCCGAGTTTGTTTGTGCTCAATCAAGTTGCATAAAAAAAAAACAAATATTTCAATCATATGAAATCATAGTAGGGATCACAGTAAAAGATAATAACTCGAGACTAGTGCGACATGTTCCCATAGCAAGTCAGCATTTTAAGCATTTTTTTTTACCCATGTTTCTATAGTTAGTAAGCGTCATGAGAGTAAAGATAATCCAGAAAATAAGGTTCAGAAATAGAAATAGTTACTGAATGATAGAGGAGTATTATGGTGTTTCATCGTTTTATTAGTATAGAATATTTGAGCGGACAACGGAAGTAGAGACTTACAAAGAAAAAAGAAAATCTTATATAAATAATAACAAACACTTGCTTTTGGATAAAGAGCTTTTCTTCCCCCGCCCTCCCGGGAGAGGGATTCCCCCTTTATGTTCTCCCAGTTTTTTGAATATTATTATAAATAAAATTCAAAAATGCCAACAAGAAGTTTATAGACAAAAAGGCTTCTTTTGCTGTTAGAGTCCTCCCTTATATGCCACCCGAATGCATGATGCACGAATTCAATTGGAAATCGGTTTAAGAAGGATGTCAGAACGTCCTAACATGTATGATTCATGGATTTAAAGCAATGAAAAGAGAGATAGATAGATAGAAAGAGAGAGAGAAATGCAGCCTCCCTTCCCCACTCCGAAAAAAAAAGTTGATTGACAGAGTAACATCGCAGATAAACAAAGAAAATAATAAAGGGAAGACTGCAGGGTTTTCCTTTTGTGAGTGTAAATAAAAGTGGTACTCTCTCTCTCTCTCTCTCTCTCTCTCTCTTTCTCCCCTTTTTTCTCCCTTTTTCTTTTTGTGTATTTATACTGTTTAGATTTTTTTTTTCCCTTTTGTTGTTTCTCTTTTTCTTTTATATTCTTTATAGACACACACACACACACACACACACACACACACACATATAAAAGATGGCAGTGAAAACATCGTATGAACCTAAAGATGCACGAATTACATTTGATGAGAAATACTACAGTGATGATGTGGACCAAAGCAAACGAGAGCCACGAAAAAGGATTACGGGTACACAAGCACTAGTAGAGTTTCTAAATACCACAAGCCCAGAGGAGTTTCAAAAGAAGAGATCCTCAGCATCTTTCTTTGGCCGAAAAAAATCAACCACTACAGCTGACAAGTCAAAACCCTTCCGAAAAAGCTATATTGAAATCATTGCTAATCCCTTCAATCGCTCTAAAAAGTCCAATGCTATTTTATTGGGCGCTCAATTAAATCAAACCTTATCCAAAACAACAAGCATCTATTCCGAACAACCCGTGTTACCCATCCCTCATCAACAACAACAAAGAAAGTCACCTCCCATTCTTATTTCACAATCGCAACAGACATATGGGAAACGCCAACCACCTTCACTTTGTGTGGGGAGCTTACAAGATACGCCTACTCAATCAAAAACATTATTTACCCTACCTGGTCACGACGAATTAATCGAAGGAGGTTTAAAACAACGGCTAAAGAACTACCAATCGCATGCGTTGGAGAAACCTAGTGATATGATCTCCAAGAGTTTAGCTCTAGAACATTTGGCTGCTTTAGAAGTGGTCTCTACCATGAAAAAGATGGAACAGCAACACATTGAACCCAAAAAGAAATGTAGACATATTCAGGTTCAAACTATGCCTTTCTATCCAGACGACAACAAGGAACCATTATTATTATTAAATGTGGAAGCAGAATCTGTAGTGAAAAAGAATCCTATCGACTCTGAAGTGGATCTGAAGCAACGCTTAGCTAAGGCAGAACATGAGTTAAAACAAGAAAAATTGACCAGTTCAAGATTACAAGCCGCACTAGAAGAAACTCGTGATCAATTGGAAGTGTTGAGTGGATTAGCCTATAAGAAATTACGAGAAGTTTGGGAAGAAAAGACTCGATGGGAAACGGCTTGTATTGAAACCAAAGAGAAATGCTGGCATGATCACCAACAGTTTATAATGGCTAAGCATAATAACAGTAGTAGTAATACTACCATTACTAGTAGTAATAGTAGTAGTGGCGACAGTGATAATGACCTATCCATTGTCGATGGTACTATGATGGACTTTTTAGAAGAGGAAGACTTTTCAAGTTAGATCAGAATCTTCTGTTTGTAATAAATTGAAAGTTTATCCGTCTTTTTTTTTTTTTTTAATTCTATTCACGTTACACACAATTGTCAACTTGTAAATCACACGCTCATTTTTCTTGCAGATGTCAGGATTGTGTAACAGTTCATATGCTTACCCTTCCCATTGGGTCAGTCTATAAATGAATTCTGTTCATTTATGGCGCCGTAAAAATCGACTCTTCAGCCACCTTTACTCGAAAACAGGTTTGATGAAGCCAACTAAATTAAAATACATGTTTTTGCTCAATTTCAATCTGCCGTCGATCTTTGGAGCGGGTCAGAAAAAGGATATTCTCCTTCTTCTTTTTCTTTAAAAAAAAAATTGCGTTTAAATATTGGGCGCTTAAAACTGTATCTAAAAAGGAATCTTTCCGATATCTGAGCAGGGAGAGGGAACCTTTTTTTACATTTTCTACATGTTTTTTTTGGTTCCTGAATAAATCAGTCAGGGCTCGTGCTCACTGATTGGATTATCGGCTTTTGTAACGATTAGGTAATCGCTTGGGGTAACTCAACATCTGCTTTTTTTTTTCTTTTTTAGAAAAATACACGGGCCCCAAATCGACTTTTGACTAGAAGTTAGTTAGGAATTCCAAAACAGAGTGCGTCAAACTCTTGCATTTACATATCAGTAAATGGGGTTATCTAAAAGTGTCATTTTCCGCTCCTAGATTACACAAAATAATATATCTTTTTGGGACATCTTTCATAGGTTTAAAAAACAGGCGGATTGGGGTTGTAAAGGGTAGTACAATATATTTTAAAAATTCTGCTCTGCTATGTCTATATATACTCAAATGCATTGATTACTGCTCCGTGTCTCAATGAATTCTAATTATGAAAAAACATTAGAACTCTCTTTATCTGCAAATAACATCAGTCATTAGCTGATATTTCATCAAATAAATAAATAAATACCGCGGGAAGATGGTTCTTGTATGACGGTTATACAAAAAGGACGTCTGGATCCATTTAGTGTTCCATGAGCATATCTTGTCTACATATTAAGCATAATTTGATCGAGGTCATAAACTCTTTTGCATATTAAGAATTGTCATGAAAAATAGTCATTGAGGTGATAGTCTATAACAAGAGTTTTCCGCTTTTTTACTGCATTTTTGTACGCCCCTGCCAAGCGAAATTTGCATTATGAATTGGAACCATACCCGTGTATTGTCGACATTTTATTGTTTATCAATACACAACTCCGCCCAATGTTATTTCCGTTCCCTATTCTTTTCAGTTGCAAATACAATGTTGTGTTACTTGATTCACGTGTTGAATATGTTTGTCTCTCGCTCTCTAGTTATCTTTTTTTTTTTTTTTTTTTTTTTTTTTTTTTCACAGCGCCAACTCAAAAAAAGCACCCAATGTTTTATAACTGTCAATAACATTGAAATGCAACAACAACAAAGAACAAAAAAAAAAAAAAAAACAAAAGGTACACTGTATTTGTGAAACATGAATATTTAGTGTTTAATTTCTTTCTTTATTACAACCTTATGTGATCTGGGCTCTCTTTGTCACTTCTTACCTAAACTACCAATGTCTTTTATGTCATGATTTTTTTTCTACTCATGAACTTTTAAACTCTTCATAAAACATAAAAATAATCATCACGTTAGAAAAAAAATTTTTTTTTAATTATATTGTGCTAATATCATAGAGTAAAAAACCTCCCGGATAAATTGGTAACACCTTTTTTTTTCTTTAATGACGTACAAATAAGTTTTTATCATTGGTAAAAAGAAGAGACTATATGAAGAACACTATTTTCTTTATCATCAATGGACTTTTAAAAATCAAGCACTATTATATGCTATCTATAAATATTTCAAACCTAAGCATACATCTAAAAAAAAAAAAGGCAGAAAAAAAAAAGAACGAAAGTATTCGATTAGTAAGCGAATGGTAACAAGACAATTGCAAGAAAGAAAAAAAAGCACAGCCATCTTCCCAATTTCGGTAATAAACATTAGGGCTTGGCATTGGGGGGTGTGGTTTCCATACGCACGAGATAAGCTACTATTTAACGGTGAGTTGCGATCCTTTATTTAATTACGATAATTTACTGTATCAGAGACTTTTCTTCTAAAAAGTCCTTCTTTCCCTCTCTCTCTCTCTTTCTCTTTTCTCCTTGCCTCTATCCATTGATGTTCCTACGCTCTCACAGCAATCTGAATTCTTATTATGCTAAACCTTATTTTAAAAAAATGGTTGTCAAGGAATCGAAATGGTTGCCAAGTGAACGGGAAATGTCTAAACGCGAAACATTGTGTATTACACGCATGAACAATCATTACCCATCGACTCATATTCAACCTCACTAAACTCCGCCTTATTTACCAAGTTGTTACATCAGAGTAGATCACAAATGGAGTTTTTTCTTCTTTTTTCTTTTTTTTTACTTGCAAAATTCTTAACCATAATACCAAAAAGAGAGAGATAAACTAGAGTATACGAATGAACATTGATTGTATCTAAAAGAGATGAAAATTCTACCCCAAGAAAATAAGTAGAAATCTTAAAAAGGAAACTAGTGAGCGGAGGAGCGTGCCCAAAAAATATGTAGATATGAACGGGCCAATAAAAACAAAGGTCTTTTAAAAAAAGACCCACATACAAGGGATCAACGTTAAGGTTGGTCTGGATCCTCCTCTGGTTTTATGCTGGACGAAAAAAATAAAGAGTGAGGTTAAAGAAAAGCTACCGGGGAAAGAAAAAACATGTCCTGCATCCAAATTAAGTTTTCTTGTTTTAAACTTTCTTCCATTTTAATTTTTATTTGTTGTTCTTACTTGGCAAAATTTACTTGCTAATTAAAAACTCAGTAAGACTACATTGAACCAATGTCGGGGCTTATATAAAAAAACAGATAAGAAGGGTGTGTGATCACTTTCTTTGTAACAGGATCAAATTATACCGGGAATCGGGGGGGGGGGACTAACATTTCTTTTTATGCTACAGAAAAAAAAGAGACACATAAAGAACAGTATAAAAATAGATTTTTTTAAAAGAAAAAACAGCTAAAATACACACTATATAATGAATTTGTACGATGTTGAATTCCTAGATCGTGGTAAGTTTAAGCTTTTTAGTAACCGTATAATGGGAATTGAAATTTAGAAGGATGGACTTGTTACACAAATCATCCAAACGGGGAAATACATGGCAAATAGAATATTGGATTTCGAACGAGTTGGGTTTTTGATGAATTTGTATTTTATTCTAATAAATTTCCTGTCAAACATTGGGTTACACACACGAAGCATGAAAGGATGACGTGCTTTACAAAAAAAAATTGAGATGTAAAAAAAAAAAAAAAAAAAAAAAAAAAAAGCGCGGAAAAACGTTATTTCTGTGCTTTCTCTCACTTTCAAGTCTTCCTATAAGGGGGTTCCGTGTAATAGTCATCTAGATTTTTTTCATGCTTATATAGGTGGATAAAAATATTACCAAATATGATCCAATGTTGCACAAAGAAACTGCTTTACGTTTGCCAAGGTTGCTTAGAGATTAAATTACTTTTTTTTTAAAACGCATTGTGAGTACTTCTTATTCTAGAATAGCTTCTTGTTGTCTCTTTTTTCCACATGTTGTCTTGAAAGAATAATTAAAAAAAAAAGTAGTCTTTCCCAAACAGCATAAATCCCGCCGTCTGTTTCGGGTACATTAATTGGGTCCTAAAAAAAAAAAAAAAAAAAAAAAAAAAAAAATCATAGTTTGTGTTTTTTTTTTGTATCTTGTATAATTCTTTTGGTTCCCAATTTTCCCCTCTTCTTCCCTTTTTATTTTTCTTTTAATACATTTTAAAATCATCAGTTTCTTTTTTGTTTGATTATGCTATTGATCCTCTAAGAGTTACTATTCTCACGCCAATTTGTTTCTCTTTTATATCTTTTACACCTTCATCTCCACCCCTTATTTTTTTCTTTTTTTTTTAAGCTAGTGCTGCAGTAATCTATCAGCATGAGTCACCAATCGATGTCAATCAACCAAATGCTTCAACAAAATGATAACACGACAGACGATACCACCAGACAAATCACCGGGAAAGGTACCTTTTTTTTTTTTTTTTTTTTTTTTTTTTTTTTTCCATAATTTACATAATTTTTTTTTTTTTTTTTTTTTTTTACGTGTTTCGAATTGTTATTGTTTTTTTAACATTATTTTTTGTAGTCAAAATCTTTTATACATTTAAAGGATCCGATACGCACTGTCTATGTTCATTTGACATTAAACTGCAAGACTTTAAAGATAGAAAATGGGTCAGTGTACCCCTTAAACAATGTTTATTATCCGTGTGTTCTTCTTGGTAAGATAATACAAAAATAAAAAATAAATAAACAATAACAACAACAACAACATGGGCTAGATTACGTGGAACTAAAACTTTTTTTTTCTGTCTCTCTAGTCCGGATCAATTAATGAATAACAATACTGCCATTTACAGTGCCAATTTCGAAGAAAGTAAAACCGTCGAGAATTGGTCTCCTCTTCATGATTCCAAATCAAATATCATTTGGGAGGGTCATGGACTCTTATCCAACATTTTAAATGCTACTGCTACTTCTTCCCAAGTGACAGGGAAAATAGCAAACGACACACAACAATCTACTAGTCCATACGACTGTATCATAGAAGTGCTTATACAACTACATCCCGTACGATTCTTTTTATTATAATTATATACATGTTTAGTTTACTTATCTTTCAAACTAGATACGTCATTCTCCAGCACAGGAACAACAACCTTATCTGCCACCAATGCGATCTATCTGGAATCAACCTTATTCACCCCCATCCACCAACACAAACAACAACAATAATAGTACTAGTAGTAGTAATAATAATAATAATATTAATAATAATGCGAGCGATAAAATAAACATAGAACGACCCTCTCCTCAAAAAGTATCAACAACACTAAGCTCAGGTCGACAAATGTCACCACTTCATCTACTACAATTCCCTTCTCAACAACAACAGCAAGAAAATACAACACCACGATTACCGAGCTTTCATAGGGGAGGTCCTTCTGAAATGGCAATGAAGGATGAGTCTCCCAACATGTATCCGCCTGCACTCGATCCTACCTGGCCAGGCAGTCGTTATGATGCCACCAGTTTCGAACAGCATGATATGATGATCAAACGAAGAAAACTCTCCAGTCAATCCCCCTCACTATTGGTAGTCGATCCACAACATGAAGTAAAGAAGGCTGTCATGGCAACCAATAATAGTCATCATCATTTACTATCCAATCAACAACACCCCTCACCTACCACAACTGATACATATTATCATCAATCGCGACGAAAGAAGCGTGATACAAAACCTCCTAATGCTAATGATATCCGTCCTTTTGTCGAGGTGGAGAAAAAAGACGGTGATTATGTCTTGCCTGCTGAGGTCGATTCTTGGACCGTCTTGAGTCTGGGTGTCGTTATTTGGGATAGAGCTGCCTTTCATAATCAGCGATACATTTACCCCGTGGGTTACCGCGTGAAAAAGTAAGGTTGACACTTCTTTCTTTTTTGTGGAAAACAAAGTACTCATCTTTCTATAATTATCAGGTGGTATCGAAGTATGGTAGATCCACACAGTGATACTCAGTATACTTGTGAAATCCTTGACGGAGGTGACGAACCCATTGTAAGCTGCACATTATCATGTTTTATTATTATTTCCAGTTCTAAAACATTTATATAAAGTTTCAATTGAATGCAGATGATAACCCTTCCGAATGTTGGCGGGGACCTACACCCACCACTGTGTGGACCATCGCAGTGAGGAGGTAAAACGATCTGGAAAATCAATAATGATATGATACTAACCTACAAAAAAAAAAAGAGCATTTGCAATCCGTAATATGGACTATGGTCATAACCCTGTTGGACCTGACTTTTTTGGGCTTCGAAAGAATACGATTGCAAAAATGATTCAGGATTTACCCAATGCCAATAAATGCAAGAATTACATTTGGCAAAACTTTGAAGCCATGAGTAACAATAAGGGCAAGTCAGTACGACGCTCTACCACTCGACTTAGTTCTTCTTCTTCTACGGGTTCTGTTCATCCTGACCGATCCTCTTCTTCACCAGCAATGAAGGCTGAAGGTTTATAAACTTTTTCCTTTTTTTTATATACATACACTCTCTTTCACACACACACACACTCACACACTCACTCACACACACACACACACCTCTTGTATACTTATGCCTACTTTTCTTTATATATATGCCATATCATAAAATAAAATAATGTCAAAAACATCCAAATGTTTTACAAGATCGATTTTTTTTTCTTTTTTTGCATAAATATATACGTGAGAAATGAAGACATTAGTCATTGCTCATCTATGTGGGAGAAATCCCTTAAATTCGTTACACTGATAACACACACACACACACACACACACACACATGCCTAATTAGCTAATATATTCTGACACTCTAATCATGTGCACTTGGTAGTTTACCTGTTTCTTGATTAGCAATCCTCTTTCTGTATACAAGGTTTACATCCATAAAAAAAAAAATCAGCCCATCCCTTTTGAATTTATCTGATAATCTGATTATTACCATGGAAAAGTCAACACCATCGCGAATAATGGGAGGGGATAATGTCACACTGATAGATAGATTCTGCATCGGAGTACTTTTTTAAACAGTACCATGTGCGTGACTACCAGTAAAGACAGCTTACTTGATAGAACATCCTTTCACTATCCCGATTTAGCCGGCAACTTAATTCGCGGCGCAGGCCGAGAGCTCAACATATCCCATTATCCGTGCGTGCTCTGCATGATGGATCACACACCACACACCTCACACTCTATCTCTCTCTTTTTTTTTTAAACAACCGCTTTGACGTTTTTTGTTATTTTTGTAAATAAATTACGGAATTTGCAATATGTAGAGGTGTAGTTTATAAGAAAAGTACATGTTTTTTTTAATATATATGTGGAATAAATGGTCTATTTATTTTTAAACGGTAGCAGCCATAATCTTGGGAGCAGCCTACATGACAATAAAAGAAAAAAAGTCAGCGACAAGGGTTTATGACGATTGTTTGATTACTTACACATTCATCAGCACAGTGCATAAAGTGGAAAAATTCCTCAATACCTAATCCATAATGTTAATTTTTTTTTTCATGTTGCTTTAATTTCGAAGGAAAAATGTTACTTACAGTTTTCACTGGAACCGTTTTCGACACGTTCGTTACATTCGTCGAGGTGATGCTTCAAAGCAGAGCATTCTTGAGTACAGGCTAAAATAATAATGAATCAGTACCCATGACTCTTTATTTCTCCATATTCAATTCTATGTTACCTTCCCAGATAGCTTCCTTGGGATCCTCGGGCTCCTCTTCCTCTTCCTCCTCTTCCTCTACAACTTCCTCGACTTCTTCAACAACTTCTTCAACGGGCTCCTCATCAGCATAGACGGTAGGCATGAAGCTAGAAAAGATATCGGAAAGTCCCATTTTGTACTAAAGGTGTATTTAATGAATCAAAAAAAGAGTGGGGGTTACAACAATGTTGAAAAAAAAAACAAGGTCTGGACGTTAATAATTTTTTTTTTTCGACCTGGGAGGGGGAGGGCCGAAAAACCGTTATTTGTGACGCAATCCATTTCATTAATTTACTTATATACCCGAATTTTTGAGCGGTTTTTATTATTAACTTTTTTTTTTGTTTTCTTTGTATAGTAAAATTAGAATTGGAAGGAATGTTTGTAGAATTTATACGAGAGAGAAACCAGTGATTGAAGCCGTTAATTCTTCGAGCTCAGTTTCGGTCAAAGTATATTGCTGGCGTTTAAGTTTATGAATGTTAGAAAGTAGAGTGTCAAAATCTATTGAAGAATTGCTTGGAGCGGTGAGAGGAGCTTGTTCAGTTGGAGTAAGAAGAGCTGAGCTATCAGGCGAGCTTTGGGGAATGGTTGAGAAAGTGAGATCGAAAGAAACTATTCAATTTAAGGTTGGTAAAGAAATGAAGCCGTAAAGAATTCAATAGTATTTATCTTTACCTTCAAATACAGACAACCAAGACATATCACACTTCAACAAATACATGTGTTTGCATGGGATATTGTTAAGGCGGAAGTCAGGGCAGCTGCAAGTGATTATTTGTAGATCGTCCACCACAACATCATAACTTACACAAGAAGTTGAGAAAGAAGAAATAACATAACCAATTCTACCAGCAGAATCAGTTCTCGCAGTTTCGATGCCATACAGTGTTCTTTACTACATTTCAAGAGTATTTACTTTGGCTTAAGATATCGGGTTCCTTTTTTTTTTTTTCAATATAGAATATCTCTTTATATATCCATAAAAATAAGACACTTCAAAAATAAAAAAACAAGAGGGGAACAGGCTACAGATTTTTGATGGGCAAAGCAACCATGGAGCTTCTAAACCGATTTTTGAAGCTGATGACTACATTTATTCTCGCGTTAGAACAAACGCCATCTAATTTTTAGGTCTTTTGGATGAGCCTTTGGTCCCCAAATAAACTTAAGTGTCCAATAAAAACTTTACATATGCCATTTACTCCCGGTCAATCTCTCACTTAATTTGTAAGAGTTTTCGATTCTCAGACAGCTTCTTTATTTCAAGCCGAAAATCACCCGCTCAATCTGTAAGAGTTTTCGATTTTCAGTCAAAATTCACAGTCTCATGTTTACGTTATCCTACAATTATATGATACCATTAGTAAGAACCTGGAAGCTTAAGACAGAGAGTTTTTTTCTTCTTCTACAAACAAAAACTATATATAACTTAAAACCTAAAACCTGAAATTGATCCTGATAGTGATATATTTACAAACACCTCCTTTAGAGCCATGTAAAACATACACATCAAATCAAAATCATAAACCTGGTTCCCACCATCACAAGGTAGAATAACTATTTATCTCAACTTGTCGTCGAAACCCCTTATTATACAAAATGACGTCTCTAACAACATTTGATTTGATATATTATTATTTTTCAACTTATAAAAATGCCTCTTGAAATTTTTTTTTTCTTTCTTTATTACTTTGTTCACCAAAAGAAAGGGGAAAAGAAGACGGAAGTATCGTAAAAATAAGCAAGTATAAATGATACTTAATCTATTTTATTTAATTTTGTAGACAAAATACATATCAAAATGTGGTTGTTTACTTTTGAGCTGATCGTGCTGACCTTTGGTTATCTTTTCCTTTTGTACTGCCCAATTTTTTCCTCATGAAAGGTTTTTTTTAATGGAGGCAAAAGGTTTTTACTGATGCCGGGGTTGGTACCAATACAACATTTATCTATCGGAGGAAGAAGGCAGTCTAGAATTTGGTTTCCGTTACAAACAGTGTCTTACACTGCCACAGGTATGATAATTTTTATATATGTTCTATGCAAAAAGTCAGTCTTACAGTTTATTTTATCATTTTAAAGCATTACTTCATGATGTATAGCCTATTGGAGCTGTTCCCCCAGTGTCCAGTGGGTGTTATCTGATTAATTGGTAAGTGATATAACTTTTTTCTCTATCACATCTGTTTATGTTCATACTAACGCGAAATTTGTATTACAGCTAGCTCAAGACGATGCAAATTACAAGGAAACTTAGAAATGTTTCTATAGCCGCGGTTTCAACACTGTTCGGTCCTCCGTCTCTTTACCAAGTAAGGTCATTCCGCATGTAAAAGCCAAAGGAAAACTCTGACGTCATTCTTTTTTTATTCGGGTATATAAGGAGATGCGATTTCAACAACCGACCTATAAAATAAAATAAAATAAAAAAAAAAACTTGACAACCTTTCTCTTTCTCACTGAATCTTTAAATGTCAAAGTCAACGTATTCTTCATTGTCAGAATGGGTACTTCAGACTTCTTTAGAGCACCTATTTATACCCAAAGAAAAACTCGAATCAGGTTTCATTAAACAGGTACCTGATTCTTTCGATCTAAAAAAAAAAAAACCGAAAATTTATCATTCATATTAGGTCTATTATATCAAGAACAAGGCTTTGAATGTCAATTGTTTAATGTTTGTTGTATCAGACCGCTTCTATTCTATTCCAGTTCTCGTGGAAGAAGCGAAGGCTTTAAAAGAATTCGGGTAACCCTTTGTTTTCATCGTCTTTTTTTTTATTCCTGGATATTCCTTGTTAACAGAGTTTTACGATAGCATATCCAATCTCGGTGAAATGGAAATTCAAAATTTATACAACCACATTATTACCTTTAAAAAATCAGCAATGGCAGTCTACTTACATCAGTCCGCATTATACCCATACATTATTGCTGTCGATTGGTCTTCACCAAACAGAAAAATATCTTACAAAGCAAACTCGCAACCCGTTTACAATAACCCTAAATTACAACCTTGGATTCAATCCTTGAAACATGTTACAATTCCTAATCAAAGCTTACCTTCTGTTTGCTTTTCTGTCAAAACAATTAATGCGCTATTCCCACTTTTTCACCTTTTCGAACCCATTGCCCAAAAATTCTTTCGAGAATCGCATCTTCCTGCAGAAGCAGTCAATCATGTCGCACAAACAAGCTCGAAATCAGGCCTGCCATCCACACCTGCAACTTTAAATAAACCTGTGGCTACTCTTAAGCTTAATCAGGCCCAACCAGACACACGTCCTTCTGCAACACCGACATCGAATTCAGTCGATATACAAAAGGAACCGCTCAATAAAAAGAAAGATAAATGTGTCATTAGGCCTGCCGTAAAAGAGAAAGTTCAGAAATCCACATCAGCATCATCTCGCGATAAAACCAATGCGAAAAAGTCTACTAAAAAGTCTACAGATATTGTGAAAAAGACAACAGCTTTAGTAAACTCATTGGCACCTGAATTGCTCGATAAAAGCAAGGATACAGCTACCAAATTAGTGAAGAAAGCTAAAGTGAAATCTAAAACTACCACCACCACCACCAAACATACTTCAGCTAGTTCTTCAAACACTTCCACCGCCACACCTGTTGTATCTATAGAAGGACCCAAACAACCTCCAGCCCAAAAGAAGGTCAAAACAGATGCCTTCAAGTCGACAAATCTATGTGCAGTACCCACTTTTACTCCTTCCATTCAACCAGGTTCATACTTATACCCGCAAAACGACATCGCCATGGCCGACCCACAAGAGGACCACAAAGCTTTGATCGAGAAAAGTTCTTTATCTCCAACTGCAGACTTATCTATAAGTATATCGAGTAATACAAGAGATCCCTTGATTAAATCCGAATCATCAAGTCCGTCACTGAAGCACTTTTTACTTTACCCCACAGCAGAACCAGTAGTTGCAGCAAACGCAACAACAGTAACACCAACAACAACAAATAAACCACCACCCACAAGCACAAATAAAAATAAAAATAAACCAGCATCCACAAGCACAAATAAAAATAATCTACCGCCTGCAGATACGAGCTCAAATAAACCATCATCCACAAGTACAAATAAAAATAAACCACAAACAACAGGGACGAATAAAGATAAACCTCTATCCACAGGTACGAATAAAGATAAACCTCTATCTACAGGCACGAATAAAGATAAACCCCTACCCGTAGGCACGAATAAAGGCAAACCTCTACCCACAGGCACGAATAAAATTAAACCTCTACCGACAGGTACGAATAAAATTAAACCTCCAGCATCATCAAGTCAACCACCAGACCCAAAGCCTGCCATCAAGAAACCCACTGGACTCACTTCTATTTTGGACACCACTAATTTTGCTATAGGAATGAAAAGACCTCCTCATTCTGCAACTTCAAGTATTAAGAAGGCAAAGTTGGTCAATACCAGTACATTCCCAACCCCATCTTCATCCACAAGAGTAAATCTCGCAGACAACAGTGATCTGATCGAAGTATTTAGCTTGGTTGACAAGACACCCAAAGTCCGGCGCAGCAAAAAGACCACCCCAACAACAGTATCAAAATCAAAGAGTTCTGTGATAGAAACGGCTAGTTTGACGAAAGTCTTGCCACAACAGTTAAATGCATCAATGATTACTGATCTTCACCAAACCGTGAAAGAAACTCTATCTAGTGAAGATACACGACAGAGAAAAAGAATGCAACAAAGTGTTCCTCAAGAAAAAATACCGAAAAAGATCAAAATATCCCCTCCACAAGCAAAAGAGGATCAACATGTACAAAAAGCAAAAGAAGATCAACTTGTGCAAGATGTGGTTGAAAAGATACATGCAGAAGATTCAAGTTCTTTGTGTAGATTTGATAGATTATCCCAATTGAGGAATCGCACATATTAAATAAAAATATGACTGCAAAGAAACACTAATCATTGAAGGCACATTTACTAAAATAAAACCCTCCTATTACTTCTGTTTTACACAAACGCCGGATGTCTTTGCTTTTTTGTACAGTCACACCAAGGGGAGATATAAAAACATTGATAAAAAACAAAAACAAAAAAAAAAATGCTCGCGCGTTTTAGAATGATCATTTCTTTTACAACATAAAATCAAAAAAAGCTAGAAATGAACGATACGAGTCAATACGAACTTTATGATCCACCAACTGACGGCATCACACAAGTTTGTTTCAGTCCATATGATAACAACCTGTTATTAGTTTCTTCGTGGGACAAGGTAACCTTCTTTAACATGATTGATGGACGCGTTTTTTAACACTCTTTGTAGTCTCTAAGATTATACAATGCCGACACAAAACAATTACTCGAAAAGTTTGAGACCGAGGCAGCTATCTTGTCTTGCTGTTTTGGCGATGATGATATGGTTTACTTTGGTGGTTTACACTGCCGTCTTCAATCGTACAGTGATCCTTTTAAAAACAGTTGCTACAAAATTAAGAAAGACTGATGACTTTTTTTTATGTGTGTGTAGAATTAATTTAAAGACAAAACAACGAAGCACTATCGGTCCGCATGCTCAACCCATTAGCTGTGTTTGTTATAGCCCACTTACAAGTAAAATTACACACCTTTTATCAATGACTTCGAGACTAAAAAGTTGTTCTTTTTTTTTTGATTTTACAGAAAGGGTTTATACAGGATCTTGGGACAAAACCCTTTGCGCATGGAATCCAATGGCAGGCAAATTGGACACAAAAACGGAATTGGGACAAAAAGTATTCAGCATGGACATCAATGAGTATAAATTAGCTATAGCTTTGGGAGACCGCAAAACCTTGATTTACGACATTAGAGATCTGTCAAAACCTTGGCAAGAAAGAGACACATCGTTGCGCTACTTGTTAAAGTGTATCCGACTCATGCCTAATGGTGAGGGTTATGCTCTGTCTTCAATCGAAGGTCGAGTTGCAATAGAGTATTTCGATATGTCCAAAGAGGTTCAGTCAAAAAAGTATGCCTTCAAGTCACATAGATCCGTGATTCAAGATACAGAAGTCGTATACCCTGTGAATTCTTTGGCTTTTCACCCAAGGTAAAAAACCATTAATATATACCGATTCTTTACGACAGGGCACTCACTTAATTATTTTAGACGTGGTACATTTGCTACAGGAGGTTCTGACTGTGTTATAAACATTTGGGATGGTGTTCATAGAAAACGTATAAGAAATATCGTTGGTTATCCCGAGGAAATTGCAAGTTTAGCGTTCAGTAAAAATGGTGATATGTTGGCTATTGCATGTAGTTATACCTTTGATGAAGGCGAACGAGACCATGCTCCCGATACTGTATTTATTAAACGAATTCAAGATAGTGATGTTGCACCTCGTGTCGTTGCTAGCTCATAATTTTTTTTCTTTCTGTTTCCTTTAACATACATAAAGAGTGATGTGGTCCACATCTGTTGGGAATATATGGTTCCAAGTGCTTGTTTAAAAACGAGGCTTCAAGGTACATACAACTGATCCTCGTTCAATCTTCGTATTAGTTCTTCATATAACTGCATCATTTTACTTTTCCATTCGAGGATATGTATTTGATGATGCAAGTTTTTAATTTCGCTCACACAAAACCACGCCGTTTCTGTATTTTAGAGCTCACGGATTAGCTTCATTCTACTAAATCGCCAAAAACTTTTGCTTATCCGTAGTTGCGATGTTTGCTGTCTTTAATTTTTATCTAATTCGGGTGCAGTGCTTCCTCTTGCATTACTTGTTCTACACTGGACTTATCTATCGAATGACCAATTAATTTGAACCCACCAAAAGAAGCCTGCATCTCCCCTACGTCACTCTCTTACCAGCCCACATATATATATATATATATTCATAAAACTTTCGAGTCTAACTCACAAGCATCTTGATTTGAGGTCATTAGCCGCAAAAAGAATGCAAGAATATGTTTCATTTTACATACATTGTAATTACTGGGATATTACGGCTACGGCTGATCTTTGCTATAGTATGGTGGCTTCCCAAGTTGGTTTCTTGGGGTTTAGACTCTCAGTCGATAGACAGACTGTAAATGGCTGTGGTCACACGGTAAATGGCTGTGATCATACTGGCTTGCGTTGTAAGTGGTATAAAAATACGTTTATACGTTTCTTAAGTGCAAGTTTCGACAGAGGGGTTTGCTGCGACAATATTGTTTGCTCCATTAACCGAGCAATATAAGCATGCTATCTACCAAGAGATAATGATCATCAAGAGATGATATATAATGGGTAGAAACACATTCATTACCACAAAGTTCAAGCAATATGAACACCTGATGGGATTAGCAGTGGGGTAAACGGGAAAGAAGTTAAAAGTCTAGTGTAGGTTTTATTCCAGGTTTAAGGTACAAAATAAACTAAAGGAAAACTATATATCTAGAATTCGTCCTATTTATATAAATTGTTAATTGTGACGAAATATGATTATGATAAGCTGTAACTGTGCTTATCATTAGTTATCGTAGGCATGAGAAACTATATACAGTATATATTACACAGGAATTTTGTATGTGGCCTATCAAACAACAGTAATTCTGAGTATTCTCAGAAAGCTCTCTTTAGTGAAAGACTCCGAAATGATAGTAAAATCAAGTCTATGTCTCCAGAGAGATGAACAAGATTCCTGAACACATTGAACACAACCTTATAGAGATAGAAAAGGCAGCTAAAATTATTTTAATTCTATCAATTCGGTAAAGTTATTTGTAAGGGACAATAGATAGGCACTGACAACGTCAAAGGGCTTACAAACTGTCCATGCAATTAGATACAAATTAAGTGCGCATTCTCACAAGAAACGACTTATTTCGAAATATATTCCCATGTGTAAGTCTTGTAATACGGATGGAGTAAAAAATTTCAACAGTAATCTATAGCATACGCCTACTTAGCAAAAATCATTCCCTTTAAAAATGAAATAGCTAAACCCGCAACTGAGCAATACTATGTAGGCCAAGTTTGGACACCTATACTTCCAGCGATTTTTGGCAACGAAAATATACATCTGAAATTCAGAAAGAGAACCGGGCAAAAAGAATGAAAAGTTCCACCTATCAAAATTCACCATATTACGATCCCAATGCTGATGCTGATATACGTTGGACACGGGGAACATAGTTTCCCAAATGGAACCCTAATGCTCCAACAATAACACTTTCGGACATTTTGTACTAAAGCGTAAACATACACGACTAGGTGTTGATGAAACATAACATGAAAAAATAATTTGGAGCGTACTTTATATATATATATATATACACTATATATCCAGCCTATGATCTACTTGATACACAATAGCAACCCAGCATCGAAACATAGACCGCTAACTGATCAATGCATTAATGTCACTAATTCTAATCTACGCTCCCATCTGATCCTCCCGGATAATAATCTATTTTAATCCTTTCATATAAAAAGAAACCCCTTTCCCATTTAAAAAAATATATATCTAGTTTTAGTCTCAAATAAGACAACCGTCCAATACTTGGAATATTTCAGTACTGAAAATATAATTGGCGTAAATAAAATATTAATGTGACACTACAAAGAAACTCCAATGAGTTAAAGTATTTCAATCAACCTGATAGTACATCATTCGTTAAATAGCTGTTCAAAAACACAACGTTAATCATTATAACTTTAGTTTATTTTTAAAGATTTGACTACTTCAACAAGTGCGATGATTCTTGGCACACATCACTTTTGTGCCGTCATTGAAGCTACAAAAAGGAACGGGGTTAAATAAGTCTGTGCGTGTATATGTAAGCAGACAAATGTTACTACCTAATATGTCGGCAAACGTTTGATCTTTTTGGCTGTTCAAGTCATTACGAGCATCAATCTCAGATTGCTCAAGTTTCATGACCATGACAGGACAGGGACAATGCCTTGTCAGATAGCTTGAGACAGAACCCATCACTGCTCTAAAAAAAATGACGTTGATAACGTAAATAAGGTTATGTTCTATTTTCTTACTTTTTGATGGCACCAAGACCACGAGTACCAGTTATAATAAATACGGGTTTTGCCATACGACAGTAATCCGTGATAGATTCCTTTGAGTCACCCCTTAAAACTTCTGATTTGACATGCGTAAACTATAAAATGCCTTTTAGTTAGCAAATTTATAACTATTGCACTATATTGCTTACCCCAATTTTTCGTAAAGAATTAATAATTTCGTGAATAAATGCGTCCGCTACATTTGATAAAGTGTTGTCTAAATTCTCCTCATTAAATCCACCCGAAGTACTTTGTGCAGATATCATGGGGTCGAATAGAGTACGGTAATCCGTTTGACTTACGATATGAAGGATCCGAATATCGTCCGTAGGTCTTAATAACCCGAGACGGATTGATTTTGCAATGACAGCATCTCCATAATGCGAATGATCATACGCCACAACTACCACACGATGTTTCTTATGCTCTTTATATTCTTCGTGATCTGCAACTGGACTAGGAAAAAATTTAGTGGACAAGCGCTCCAAGTCAGGTAAATCATTTTTTTCCATTTGGTTGTATTAAATATATAAATATGGTACTATAATAATATAGAATTATCCCCGTGTCTTTTATACTTTTTTTTTGTCAAGTTCCCCATGTTATGATATCACTGAAACCCGGTTTTACCCTCTCTCTTTTTTTTAACATTAAGGGTCCTGTGGTGTGATTTCTTTTTTTTTGTCTCCGAAACAAAAAGGTCTTCCTAAAGAAATGGATGAATTATCTTTGGTAATACAAGGAAAACCGCATAAATTTTTTATTTTATTTATTCGACGTGATAGTAATCATCCCACTATTTTCCAACATTAGAGCTTTTGAGCAGCCACGGCATTCATGTAAGTATAAGATTCACATGTCACCAAACCATCCATAATATCTTTAAGGAAGGCTTCTTGTGACACTTTATCCTCGATACCTATGGCAGGACCAAGGACAGGCAACATGCTCTTGCATGTCTCTTTCCAATCCCATAGGAATTTTTTGGCAGCATTTGTGTTCGAGGCTTTTTTTTTTCAAGGTAAATCACAAGTATATGAGTTAGTTTCATTTCACGAGATGTATGCATAATCACTCACTCATATCAATGGATCGGTAGTCTTTTTCAATGATCTTTACAGCGTTAGTTTCTGTAAGCAAACGTTCAGATTGAAGAGCAATACGGGGATCCTGACCTCTAGATCTCATGGCAAAGTGAACTGGAAGGACAGAGTTAGAAGATTTTTTTTCGTATTCTTCATCAAGTGTACTTACTTCCGTTCATGAACTTTTCGATAGCTTCATTACCATCACCAGTCATCTACCATTTTTTTATAGAAAGGAGCTCAATAAAAACAAAAACTCTTGAGCGTGGTTGCTCTTACCTTTAAATCAAATTCTTTCCATTGGATGAATCCACCAGGTTTTAAAACTCTCAGGGCTTCTTTGAGCACGATTGGCCAATCGACCTCACGTACAGATAAAAGGAGTAAACGCATATGAATGAAATCAAAGGTATTATCCGGGTAATCAATACGTTCCAAGAAATTACCATACTTCCAGTTGAACTGCTTTGGTGTAATGTTTTTGTTGGTTGAGTCCACAATGTCACAGCCTTCATAGGTACAATTAGGATAGTCGGTGATCATGTCCTGTAATGGAGGGTTACATCAATTATTACACAAAAATTTGGATGATATATTTACCAAGATCCATGATCCGGGACCACATCCAAGATCAAGAATGGCAATACCCTTCTCAAAATCGAGGCTTTTTTCTACACTTTTTAAAATATTTCTGCTGCTTGTGTTTAGTATAAATTATAGCATTTTTTTTTTTTGTTTTTTTTTTTTTTTTTTTTTTTTTTTTTACCCTTCATATAAATCCTTGATAGCAAAATGTTGCTATGATACGCTAACTTTAATAACAAGGTATTGATCCCGTCTTATATTATCCTTTTACCCCCATCACCCGATTTAATTCTTCATCATCCTTTGGCAACCAGTAAGTCACAGTATCATCGGTATGGACATGGAACTCTCTGCTTGACTTGACCTGGGTCGCATCATCCAGAGTGATTTCTTCACCATTTGGTGTACAAATTTTCGAAAGAATCTTACCCATGGTCATTTTTTCTCACAAAAAAAGTGGTAAATAGGATAAAACGATGGATATAAAGTAGAGTAAGAAGCATTTTAAAAGGCCAGCTCTTCTGTATTGTACAATAAAATAAAAAAATCCAACATCCGCCGTAATCACTTTTTTTTTTAAAATCCAGACATCTATATAGTAGGTATATCAATGTTTTTATTTTGAGTTAGATATATATATATATTACAAGCAATTTTAAAAGAAGGAAAAAGTAGACGGGTGTTCAGAAATTATGTAGAAGTGAGAGTATTAATGTTTTGTAGATGTGCATGTGCATGTGCATGTGTATGTAGATATAGAGCTGAATATGTATAGATTTTTTTTTGTCTTTTTTTTTTTGTAGATGATGTTTTCCTTTACCCTTGTAGCTGTAATGTGTAGTGTGTTACAATAAATGTACCTCACTAGTTTGTATTACGCTCAGACGGGGTTGCTACATTTGAGTTTACGTAGTAGCTAGAAGAAGCGTCTTCTCTTTGCTGCTGTTGTTGCATTAAAGCATAGTTGACTTGAGCAATGTTTTCTTCAACCATGTACAAGATATAATCATCCAAGAATAACTTCAAGCTATGGAATGAGCCGAAGCTTCTAGCTTGTTGAAGTGTCATATCTTTCATGATAAGGGTTGTGTGGAATGACCATTTTAATAAGAGTTGCTTGCACCGAGCTAAATAATGATTGGCATCATTTAAGGATGTCTGTGCCCACATTTGTTAATGTTACAAGTATCAACTATTGTGTGGTACAAATATTGAAGACTTACAGGTGTGTAACGTTTCAAGTATTTATCAACAAGCATAGCTACCCAGCCCATCCACTGTTCAATACCTCCTTTAGAGCTTAAAAGTTCAGATACTTCATGTCTTACTATATTTCGAAATATCAGTATAAATTGATTGAATTCCTTTTTCTTTCGGGCAACGTACGTATATTTCGAACTTCGCTTGTATCACATTCACAAACCCATAAAGCTTGATCCAAGATGCCATCAAAGTCAAAGTGCTCCCAGTCATAACGCATCAAGACAATATGCTCTGGCATGTTTAAAACAGAGGAAGCAGTGTGAGCAGCAAAGTTTAATGAGAGCTGTCTACGAAATTTCGCAGCAAAGATACGAGCCACTAAATGCGAGAGGTAAAATGTGAATCAGTGATAAAGTACCCTCTATTTTATATCTATATCTTTTACCATCCGCTTTTTTCTGATAGAAACTGGCAGGGTAAGGGACCAAATTGGATTCAATATATTCTCGTAATTCACGTGTATATGTTCTCAATGAATTCAATCTTTCTGGGGAAAGAGTGTGATGGATAGAAGGTAAAAAGTTGAGAATCATAGACTAGATGAAAAATTCATTTGTTGAGATGAAAACATTACTTAATTTTAAAATATTTACTTACATCATAAAGAGAACAATCCCATCTCCAAACAGCCTCTGTGACTTCAGGAGTACTTTGAATAAGACGAACATATCGTTCAGGCATATCACCATAGAAAGTCTTCATAATTTCCTTGATTTTATCAACCTGGTTAGTAGCTAACAAATCAAGTATCTCTGTGCAGTGACGTTCATAAGCATTTGTGAATGAAGTGATTAAATTGTTGTCAGTTGCTTGGTTTGTTCCAACCAACGCAGGAGTAGGCGCAGTGAAACCAGGTAAACGAGAACTTGTTGAAGGAGATGGCTGTGCAGACGAACTACTTCCACTGGCGATGGTACTTGGACTATTTGAGGAAACTGGTGGCATTGTATTTTGATCAGAAGAATAATTGCTATATGAAAAAATTAAAATTAAAATAAAATCAGTCTTAGTGTAGATTGACTTTTTTTTTTTTGAAATTTATCATGTTTTTACATTCTTCCTACGATATCCATGTCATCAGGTGTTCTGACACGGATGCCACAATAATGGTACTTTGATTGGCCTCTTACACCCAACCTTCTTGTTTTTAATTCGGGAAATACAACCCGCAATAGCTTCCCAAATGTAGCAGAATTGACAGGTGTCAAATTATTGGCAGTACAAAATGCCTTATAGTGTTCAAACATATTTCTTCTAGGAACGTTGTGCTCTCTTTCTTGAACATAATTTGCCCCCACCCTTAAATATAAATAGGTGTGTCATGATTAATCAATAATAAAAGTGAGAGCAACCAATATAACATACCATGCTGTTACGTGCATACTAGTTTCTCTATCTGCCATAATACTGGGATCTAAGAGTTCAAGATTATTTGACTCTGGAGTTGACATGGTTGGTTGAATGAGACGTAATTGTTCCCTTCTGGAGTCATTGCTATTGTCTAAAGCTACAACCATACTTTTGGTTTTAAAAAAGTGCATATAAAGAACGTAAGAGGAATCTCCAACTTACCAGTACTGTCATCTGGAATCTCTGTCAATTTATTAGTCGCCATTGCTTGTTGCTGGTTAAAGCTGGGCAAGCTCATTTTATGAAATAGCAAGTTCCCTTTTTTTTTTATTTGGTCTTTGGCTTTTTGGGTATTAGTTGGTGTTACTCAAAAAAAAAAAAAACGCCCTGAAGAACAATGTATTCTGGGAAATCAAGAAAGAAAAGCGACACAGTCGCCTAAAAAACCATTATTATTATTAAAACGTTGCGGAGGTACAACAATTGACAACAAGATACCAACTTGGATTTATCATTTTTATTTATTTATTTATCAATCAACAAAGACTCGTGCGTCAACAGAAGGGAATAATTCAAAGAATGCCTAAATCATCATATTACTATTAAACACGCATTTCTTCCACGTATGTTTCCCCCTTTTACCTTTAAAAGATCTGTTCCGTGCTTAACATCATCAACACCGCCTGTTTCTCGAATTGAATGCATACTGAGCTGAGGATTACCAATATCTACAAGTGGATAATGTTAATAAACCATTTTCCATGAAGGACATGCTATCATTCTCTTACCAACTGTTCGGATACCAAGTTTGGCACTCAACATTGGTCCAATAGTTGATCCGCAGCTAGAATCATTACGAACAACAAATTCCTATTATAAATCAATTATGAGTATGCATTTTACACATATAATGACTCATCGCTTATTTTACCTGAATAGGAACTTCTTTTTGGCGGGCAATCTCGCGTAAAATCAAGCTAGTGGGTGCAGTTGTGGCGTATCTCTTTTTTTGTTTTTTTTTAAAAAAAAAAAAAATGCTGTAAACAAAATGATGTGATTATTACTTCTTTGTGTGACTTACTTGATTTGCATTAATTTTAATCACTGTACCCTTATGCATTTGAGGACGATGGTTTTCCTCGTATTTTTCTGCATAATTAGGGTTAACAGCATGAGCCATATCAGCACTGACCAGCATACTCTTATGTACCGCTTGTTCAAAAGCAACCTTAATGTTCTTGGGGGCCGATTTGCTACCTACATTAGATGACAAAATACGTTCCATAGTACAAGGCAATAAGTTGGAGTTTGCCCCGTGAGCAGATGTACTACCAATTTCTTCATTGTCAAAAAGGGAGATGAGACGGATGTTGCTCTCATCTGACACATCGTTACATGATTGGATCAAAGCCATCAAAGAGCAATAGGTCTGAATTTCGGTTAAAAATCTATAGTATCTACATCAAGTATATCATAGTCTTACCATTCCCAAATTGTCTAATCTGGCAGAGAAAACAAACTCATCGTAAAGACCACCTAAAGTAGCAGGTTGCGTATCGAAAAGACACAATTCAAAATCACAAATTTGACGTGCTAACAAATAAATAAAAAAAATGAATATTTCTTTTGTTAAAGCTGTTTTAAAAGTGTATTGTTTACCTTCCACCTTCATTGTTTCAGCAAGCACATTGATCAATGCAGGATGATGGTTCTTTGTTTGATCTGGTCCCCAGGCACGTTCTTCCTTTTTAGCGTTTAAACTCCTAATTAGTAAAAATTAGTTCTATAAAAGTAAAATCAAACTTCTATTCTTGGAATGAGTCCACTTACGATTTTGCAGCTGTGGCTAGAATAGGCAACATTTGTGTCTCCTTGTTGAATTTGAAAGCTTCATTGGCAGATCCATCCAAGTGAATAGCAAGAGTGGGTACGCGTAAAATGGGTCTATTTTAAAGATAATGAGTTTTCTACTTTGGTTTTGATGGATACGGTACTTACTTTTTAATGTGAACAAGGGTATGTTTATATGTTCCATCGTGTTGTTGCACCATCACACGTCCTGCAATACCAAGATCACGATCAAACCAAGTGTGCCTTCATATAAATATTAGGTAGGTCCCTCTCTTTACTTGCAAAGCATTTATTCTCTTACCATATACCACCACCATACAATTGGACACCCACTTCAATATAGCCAACGCTTTCCTTCTTTGAAATAGGCTTTACCTTCAAGCAAGGGGAATCCGTGTGTGCACCCACAATAGAGAACCCACCCTGACCAGCCTGATATTTATCACCTACGACAAACGCAACCAGTGAAGAACCGTTACGTGTGAAATAATACTTCCCCTTCTTCTTTAAGTGCCATTCGTCCTTTTCACTAATTTTTTCAAAACCTGCCTTCTCTAAACGACCTGAAGCCTCATGCACCGCGTGGAAAGGAGAAGGTGAAGCGTTCAAAAAGTCGACAAAGTCAACAGCCTCCTGTTGATGTTGGTTTTGTTGGTGATGACCAGAGGTTGAATAATCCATTTTCTTTTCTGAAACAAAGGAAGAAGCAATAAGTGTGTTGGAAGTTGAGATACTGGAAGTGCGTCGCTTTAAAGAGATTCCTAATTGTTTAAACAAATTGCTGCAACCAACCATAGTTTCAAAAAGAAAAAAAAAAACCTTTTTGCCTCCCCACTAAAAAAGCTTGAAATTTATTGTTATCTCTCTCTTACACACACTCACACACATGACTCTTCTTTTTGAAAAGCAGCTCTTGTGTTTATCTGACGATATCATAACCTTTTAAGTTTCGACTAACGCGAATCGTTTCTTCATAATAACGAATGGATACACGGAAAGAGTTATTTTATGTTATAGACACCTTAGCGGGTAACTAAAAGTCTGCTATACTATGAATTGATTTAAAGACACGCTGACGAGTATATAAAGAGTTTCACACAAAACTATAATTAAGGTTTAACATTTTCAGGTACACAAAACACACTGCTTTAGCGTATGAGTTTGTTCACAAGACATAAAAGGGATGGTCTTCAATTAATGAGAAAATATATTACGAGATTTATTACAAGAGGGAGAGAAAGAGAAAAATGAAACATTGGGGGAAAAAAAATGATATTTGAAATAATAGTCTATGAGCGTTTGGCCTTTTTGGACAACTTTACTTTTCCGTTGTTGCGGTTCTTTTCTTTATCAGACATTGCCTTAGCACTTTCAGCCTTTCTCTTCTTTGAAGAGTTCTCATTCTTGACGCTAACAACAGAACTCATGTCAACCTTCTTGCCTGCAGCAATAGCCTTCACACGGTCCTCAGCAGGACTCCAATCCTCTTCTTTACCACCAATGGCGTACTTTGTTAAATCAAGAGAATCAATCAACTCTCTTTGCTTCGCCTTCATCTCTCCCATTACTTCATCACCAGCCTTCTCTAAATCGGCATCGACGTCGTCCTTCAAGGGCTTCCAAGCTTCATCATCACCCGCATCACGCTTACCGCTAGCTTCATTAGCATTCTTTGATTGCTTGATAGAAGGAACAGTCTCTTCATAAGCCTTGGCTTCCACCTTGGCAAAGTATTGTGACATCTTTCGGATAATCTTAACAAACAGAGCAAGTACTTGGTTACTGGCCAAAGAAAGTTCCTTTTGAAGTTCATCAATGGATTTACGTTGAAGACCAATACCGAGCAAAATAGCACTTTGAACACCAGAGAGCTTGATATCAGCAGGCATCTCGCCTCTGAAATAAAGTTCAGCAATGGTGGGAATCATATCGATAATAACATGGTAATCAAGCATATTGTTAGAGTAAGATTCAAGACGCTTTAAATCATAAGGTGTGAAGAAAAGTCCCAATGAGTTCTTGTTGAGATCACGACCTCCCTCCGCTTCTTGATCTTGACCTTGCTTGGCAGCATCAATAATACTAAGTGCGTTGACGGCAGTAAAGTCACGGAAGTTGTAAGATAAAAGGTTGAGGAAACGCTTGGAGAAATCACGAGCAAAAGCATCAAGCCATGCAGAATTAGCAACACGAGAATCTTCAGTGTCAGTCAAAGCCTTAATCATGACACAGGTGTGTTCACCTGTCAAATCGTTGGCAGTTTGACGCATGTAAAGAGGAACGAAACCAGCACGCTTCCAGAATTTATGAAGAGAAGGTGTAAGACCATAAGATACACCAAGGTAATCAAGACGCTGAGCACGCTTGTCACTCAATTTGGTAAGAAGAGGAGGCATCTTGCGGGGATCACGGACCTTGACCTGATCTGTCTTGATATCAACATTATCAAATTCGTGATCTTCGACACGGGGGAGAGCATCGTCATCAGCACTGGTGGACTCGGACATACTGTTGGTCTTTCCTTGGTAGAAAGAAGTAATGAGTTCAAGAGCTCTGGAACCATAACCCATCTTGGCGTAATCAGGATGTGTGGCAATACGGACAATACGAGCACCAGAAAGACTAGCGAAATCATCATCTTGGTATTGTTGAGAAATGAGCCAAGGAATCATATCACCAGAAGGACGTTGACCACGAGAAAGAGAGTTAATAACACTTTGACGAGAGATCTCACCTTCAAGACAAACTTGAACAACAACCAAAGGATCGGGTAAACTGGTGCTGTTTTCTTTGACAGGAGGAAGCAAGACAAACAAATGATGAGCAGGCGCATCACTCATTAATTGTAAATCGTTGGGGGAGTTCTTGTAATGACTGGCAACGTAAAGAGACATCATACGTTGCAAGAAAGTCTCAGAAACAGGATGGTAGGAAAAGAGTGTATCACGGTTTACATAGAAAAGCTCACATTCAGAAGGATGGGGACATCCTTGAATGTTCTTTGAAACAACAGTAGCATCTAAACAGAGAACCTTGTTTAACCACTTTTCAACGGGATCGTTGGGAGCATAACGAATAGGCTCCTCAAGCTTAACTTCCTTCAATGTACGTCCACCTAATGAAGTACTAGCACCTTCAACCTTCTTAGCTTGAAGATCACGACCGACAACAATACCTTCGGAATCGTCATCCTTCTTAGTAGTTGTGATACCTTGGGATTGCTCACGCAATTGTTGGATCAACTTAAGAGAGAGAGAGCGACCGGTACCTTCATAACCATTGATGGTGGAGGCCATGAAAACAAGATAAGGACCTAACAACTTCTTAACCAAGGGCAAGGGAATAGCAGCAGCTTCATCAATAACCAAAAGTTCAGCTTGACCAAGAACATGAGCATCTTGGGGTTGAATGTATTGAATAGTTTGACGATGTTGCTTAAAGATATTGACACGAACAATGGCCTTGTTAAATTCGGGATTGGTGGATTGGACAATATCATAATCAAGATGTTCTTCATAACCGAGGGCATCAAAAGCCTTGAAAACAAATTCAAATAAGGTGTTTAAATTCTCAGGACTGGGTGATGTTACAAAAATGTTGGAATAACCATAGGCGACAGCAGATGCCATGGCAATACCAAGAGCAGCAGATTTACCACGACCACGAGCAGCAGTCAAGGCAACAGTACTGCGAAGAGACTTTTCAGAAATTGCTTCAATGAAAGTCAAGACAGCCTTGGCTTGATCGATAGTACGAGTACACTTTACAAGAGATCCAACAGGCTCGGTATCAACCAAGGATTCCTTCAATTCCTTAAGTTCAATCTCCTCGGCAGTTTGCTCGTCGGATTGCTTGATGGCTAAAGGTTTGACGTTCTTACCCATGCTGATAGGCAAAACATTTAATTCGTCGTCAACAACTAAACAAGTCTCGCATGATCCAAGTGATAAAATAAAACGTTCGTTGAAACGAGCAATGACATCGCTGTGAGCTTCAGTTCGATATCTGCTATGAACATCCTGAAAAAGAAAAAAGAAAATTAATTTTCGAAAACATCAAAATGTATAAATCAAAAAAATTACCATAGTCATAGTATAGAGTTGCTTAAGAGAGTTCATACTCTTCAATAAAAGGACAACCATACCTCCACCTTCAACAGTCTCAATGGTACGAGCTAAGGTGTTGGGAGTGATAGCTTCAAAATCTTGGAGAATACACATTCCGTAAGTGTTACCGAGAATGTTTTGAGTTTCTTTGTAGTAGGCATAACGAATGTTGGTGACTGTGATGAAAAGTTCGAAGGGATCTTCCTTGTTGACGTCTCTGATGCCACGCTTGATATCGTTCTTGATCTTATTTTCACGCTTCTTACGATGACTACATGATAGGGCTGATGAGCGAACAACACTATGTTTATGCTTTTGAAAGGATAATTACCTGGTGAAGCCAAGTTCTTTTTTGTAACACCATAAAACAGAAGGGCGAGAAGTGACCTGAGCTTGAGATAAAAGCCAATGCAAGTTGACAATCTAGAAGAATAAAAAAAAAGTTACCAAGAATTAGTTATCACTGTTAATCATTTCGGTTGGGCCATTATTATTATTTTACCTGATCTTTTCCTTTGTCACCAACTACGACAAAGAAAGATCTGTGCTTGGTTTGTACACAATTCTTGATAAGTGTATGCACACGGGAATCAACAACCTTTTTAACCATAATGACTTGTAAAGTTTGTTAGTAAAGTTAAAATCGGGAACATGCTCACATTTTTTTAAAATAAACTGTCATCCCGGAGTGGCGTTTGTGGATGAAAACCGGTCACGGGCTTTGGTCCTGCAGACTCGGACAGCCAACCCAACCTATTGACAGAACTATTAACAAGGAACACTAACATGTACTGCTTTCAAAAAATGCATATTCAAATGTAAAATTGTCCAGACCGCAAAAATAATTACTGAGAAAGACTGGTTTGCAAATCGAATATAAAAAAAGAGGGTGTTTCCAAGGTTTACCTACAATGACAGTTGCGATTGTCAAACAATTTTTAAACGACGGTCATATCCAAACTCAATAAGCAGAGAGCAATTCTATTAAACTGGTTAGCCAGACAGCACGCAGATATGATTACCATAGGTTTATTGTAAAAATTTGCAGCTGGTTTAAGGCATCGAGTTAAATTGACATATTGGTGTCAGTTAAGATGAACGTATTTTTTTTTACGTTGTGTACGAATTATTTTTTTATTTGTGAACGATTTTTTTTTTACATTTTGATCTAATATTTTCTGAAAATAGTGTATGCGGAACTATTACAATACACAGATGTCCCATACGAATTAGAAATACTTCGTTCTACTTTTTAAGCTCTCGTTTCAAAAAACTAGAATGATATTACGTTTATGTATCAGAATCTGCGAATCATATATTTTAATTTACCTAAAATTCTAAATTTGTCCTGTAATGCCGAGTATATTATCAGTTTTTAAAAGAGATGCTTTGACAGTGTAGCTCTCATTCTAGTATTTGGTCTTCATCATGCCAATAAAAAGCATTTCCTTTTTTCTGCTTCATCCTGTACACGAAAAACACTTGGATTTTTGTATAAAGATTTATTGGAGAGATAAAAATAATAAATCGTATCCAAAATGAAGAGTTAGTGGCCTCTATTCTCCCTTTCAAACGAAAACAGTTGACCTTTAACCATATCTCAGTTAAACTAATCTTAATCAATTTTTGTTTCGTAAATTCATCACTCTGAATGATGTAAGATGGAAGAGATTTTCACCAAATAAGCTTTAGTTTCTAGTAGCACATTCGCAGGTGTTGTAACAATAAAAACCAGCACCTACACAATGTATTAGTTACAGACTGGTTATAAGCTCTTATAATCCTACCGTATAATCCAACGCAATCTTCATTACTCCGACTTATTAAACAAATGTATCAATAAAAATAAGAAACAATTTGATAGTTTTCTTACCATTCACAGCTGTCATAACCAGTCCGAGTTAATCCAGCGGCTAAACCAACAACTATCACCAGCAGGAAGAAAACGCAAAAGAAAGTTGAAAAACGTCTTCTCATGGCAAGGCGTCTATTATTTGGTGGTGAATAAAATTCGGTCACGCGTGTCGCCATTGCAGGAGGAGGAGGAGGAGGAGGAGTGGGTGGCGGTGGCGGTGGTTGATAGTACGTTTCTCCTACAAAGCCGTGTCCTATCGTATCTTGGTATGCAGGTGGTGGTGGATTACGAATCACGTTATTTTCAGACTCTACGATACTCGTGTATGTGAGAATTTAGTAATATAATATAAGGCATTTCCAAATAAGAAGTCACCTCTCATTTCTGATGATATTTGGGGCGGTATCGGTGTTATCATACTTCAAATGGTCCGAAAGAAAGACCAAAGAAAGTTTTAAAAAAATCATCACTAAAACTACAAGATTTGAAACAAGAAATTGTTTTTCCGAAACTTGTAAAAGTGGCCGTAAAAATTTGCAAGGGGTTTTTATAAAAAATATCAAATGGATCCTTTTTATATCGGTAAAACTTCTTATCAATTTGATCAAAACTGAGTGACTGAAACTTGTATTGTTGAAAAAATTACTCAAATTTACACTGTATAAGTACCATAAACTAAACAAGATGGAAAAACTATTATCTTTCAACGTAAAAAGTCCAAGGAAGAAGAAAAGGTAATGTCAAAAGTATGTGTACATTATAGTTTAATGTATAATCAAATTAAGAAAGTTTATCCAATCTGCTTTGCTGAATAACGATGATACACAGCGGCTAAAAATATTTTAAATTGGCCTTTCGATATTTAAGCAAGAATCATCATTGCAAATAAAATAACCGCGAGCACAAAGGGGGTTACGATTGTTTTGCGACTGAAAAATAAAATGTTAGGTTTATATTTTTTTTTTCTTCATAACATGTAATACCTTGCTGTACTACCAACTGGGGACTCGTTATCACCCGTTGTTGGTGTATTCGTCGCAACTTGATATCTTGTTGAAGTCACTGTACCAGGTGCCGAAGCGGACGGTTCATAGATTGAGGGGTGACTGTCGCTGCTGGTTAATAATGGTCCCCGAGAAAAGCTGGCGGATGGTTGCAGTGTTTCTGAAGAATAAGTAACGGTTTGCTGAGGTGATCCGGAAGAAGTGTAGTCGAAAGTTTGTGAAGATCCTGAAGAATAGGATCCTGATGATTGATACATACTGGAAGAGCTATCTTCGGTTGAATGCTGGTGTCTGGTCGATTTAGCATGCTCATTGGTGTTAGTAGGCATCGACCATACTGTAGTAGATATAATTACAGAGGTTTCATTCATAGCACTGGTAGTTTTATGATGCCCGTGTTTGCCAGTATTGTCATCATCTTCATTATCATCATCACAATCCTTTTCTCCTTTTCGATTAGCAGATACCTTTGAAGAAATTAAGCAAATAGCAAAGGTTAAGAGTAGCATAAATTTAGTAATTGATAGTCTCATTATAGGTCCTTTGTTAAAATAGTTTATAAAGAAAAAAATAAAAATAAAAGCTTAACCGACGGCTCTATATATAGTATATTCCTGTATTCATAAGTTTAGTAAACTTGTCATCTCTCTCCATTACGGCAAGTCAGACGGTCGCTTACCAACGGTTTGATTACAACACTTTTTATGCACACTATCTGTGAAAAGTCATCATAATATATTTTGGGTACAAGACAGTTGATTTTATCTTAACTCGTGTTAGTTTAAACTGATGTCATTTATTATAGCTGCCTTTCGTTTTTACATTTGTCAGTCAATAACAAAATATGACTTAATAAATTCATTTTGCCGTGTGGGAGTATGCATTTGATGGCGTTCTATCTAAAGAAAGTAGTGTAATCACGTCAACATTGAATTAATATAACCCCACACCACAATTTCTTTCGAGTAAAGCTTTAAAAGGCTAGTTTAATAAGCAAAGAACGATCAAAAATTTTATGCGATTGTAATGTCATTAATATGTTTTCATGCGTCAAGATTATTTAGTCACACAATGTATTTTTATCAGCTGTGAATTAGCTCAATACATTGAAGTGCAGATACTATTCAAGAGTTATACGACAACCCAGAATATGTGTAACGTCAGTATATGTCACAATGGAAATTGATTATAATTATTCATGCACGAAGGCGTAATAAAGTTGCTGTGTTATATTTTTTGGGATCATATGGCAGTTAAAACTGTTTGTAAGGAGTACATAAAGAGAAGATGCTCTTTATTCCGAAAAATTCAAACTTCATGCAGCATATAATACAGTTTTTAAAGTGCTTTGGTTAAATTATCCTTTGTTTATTTCTATTATTATGTTATGCAAAGTCACCGGTCATTGTTGATTAGTTGATTTTCTTTTCGTAATTCTTCCATAACTTCTCGCGTAATACGAATTTTTGCACTTTGCCGGTACTATAGAACAATAATACAAATAAGAATTTGAAAATGTCTGTTTTGAAGTTACACTTTACCTTGTTTTGGGAATCTCGCCAACAATCACAACTTTTGCAGGGCACTTTATTGATATAGGCAATATTAGTAAAACTCATACCAAACAATCGATTATAACGCTACCTTATATCCAGCTAAAGAATTTCTGCAATGATCAATAATTTGTTGTTCACTTAAGTTACTGTTGTTTTTGAGCACAACAAAAGCAACTGGTCTTTCGCCCCATTTATCATCAGGACCTCCAACGATAGCGCTAAATACAAAATTTAGCCAAGAGAATCATTAAATAAAGATTTGATCTTACCATTCATTAATTTCATCCAGTTGAACAATGACACTTTCCACTTCTATCGAGCTAATATTTTCACCACCAGAGACAATCACATCCTTACTCCTGTCGACAATTTCCATGGATCCGTCAGGATGTCTAACAGCAAGATCGCCAGACCAATATACACCATTACGGAAGGCCTTCTTGGTTTCCTCTGGGTTTTTGTAATATCCTTTCATGACCAAGTTTCCTGTAAAGCAGATTTCACCAATTTCTTTTCCGTTGGGTTTTACATCCCGTGCTGTTTCTACATTCAAGATACGAACCTCATCTGCTGTAACAATGCCAAAACCAGGACGTGCTAAGAGTTTATGTCTTTCCTCTTCGGTATATGGAGATAAAGTATGAGCGTCATAGGTCAAAACAGCTGGGCCATAGGTTTCTGTAAGGCCATAGACTTGTGTTGGTTCCAGGTTTAAGTTTGTCATACGACGAATGAGTGTGCTTGATAATGCAGATCCTATAATAATTTTTTTCAGTATTTATCGTTTCAGTATCATTTACTACTAACCTCCGCTGTAAGCTTTAACAGAATTATTTAACCTAACCGCATCAGGATGGTTACAAATTTCGTTCTGAACTGTAGGTGCACCATTGTAGTGGGTAACGCCATAATCTTTTAAGAGTTTCCAAATATAAGTGTAGTCTAATTTATTTAGCATGACTTGAGTACCACCAACCATAACTATCGCCCAATGAAATCCCCATCCTGAATCAAAGTAAAGTTAATAATCGAAACACGTGGCCCACAATGGTTATTTCTTACCGTTACAATGGAACATGGGTAATGTCCACAAATAAACAGTCTTTGAAGAAAGCATATCATGGATCGCCATACCAATAGCCATCATATAAGCTCCGCGGTAGCTTACCATTACACCCTTAGGTTTTCCAGTCGATCCAGAAGTGTAGTTAATGGAGATTGTGGCATTTTCGTCTTGTTCCATGGGCATATCATTCCATGATAAACGATTTTTGCTAGATTTCAGAAGTCTTTCATATGGATCTTTTGTAGGGTCATCACAATCGGCCACTTCAATGACATGATTAACCAAAGATTTTGATTCTTCGCTAAGACGGCCCATAAACTCTTGTTGAATAATCAAAACAGATGCACCTGAATGCTCGATTACGTAATCGATCTCCTTAGCTGCTAGTCTTGTATTTACAGGAACCGAAATAGCACCTATGGCGGGGATAGCAAACTGGGCATCAACGAATGCAGTAATATTTTGGCACAGAATAGCAACACGATCACCAGGTTTGACGTTATAGGTATCGATCAGAACATTCGCAAGAGATTTGACACGATCGGACAGCTCTAAATATGTATACGATTGCTGACGATGAATAATTGCAGGCTTATGTGTATGCACCAGAGCACTTCTGAGTAAAAACTGCAGAGGATCCAATTTGGACATATGAGGAACCTGTTCAGGTCTTCTTTGGATACGTACTAAAGTAGATAGAGTTAAGATTTGTTTCCTTCAAAATTTTATGATACTTACATGATTCAAAATGGGGATCATCATTTGGAGCTAAATGATGCTTCAAATTTTGTAAGCGTTTTGCCGCAATTGTAGCAGACATGATTTGGGTTAATAAAACTGAGAAAGAAAGAAGAAAAAAAGAAAAAAAGAAAGAAAATTCGCTATAATTTATACCAATGTTAGTTTGAGACGATCTGTTTCATTTTCCCACAGCTTGCGTATTTGTACAACAGTCATCGATAGGAAAGTTACACGCCCCTAATAAGAGTTTGCCTGCATATTTTTTTTTTTTTTGGCATCCTATAATTTTATCCATTTTCCTCTACACTTTAAGTTTAATATTTAGAATTCTAAACTCTTGTAAACCTTGACATTCCCACACTGTTATATTTTCATAAAGAATTTATCCGAAACATCATTACCCCAGATTATTGGATCATAATTTATCCATAATACAGTTGAAATTTCATCCAGTTCAACCAAAGACGTGGTGAGGTTTCCAGATCTTGGATCTGGGATTAAACGGCTTTTTAGATGCAATCCTTTTAACAAAGAACGCATCATTACAATTATTGTTACTATCTCTGATTTGTACCACATTATAAGTTAATGTGTTTACTGGGATTTTTTTTTTTTTTTTTTTTTTTTTTTGACAGAGGATGAGTTAGTTTCTCTTTGATTTGCTAACCAGCGTAAAATTTCCACAAAGAATGCTTACACAAGATCGTGCCTATTTTCGGCAAATAAATTAGCGACAATGATTTGCTTTTAGGTTTGCAGATTGGCTTTAACTTTTTATTTTTTAGACTAACTCTGTGGCATTTGAGTCCTATTAAATTTTGACGGCTAGTTTACACAAGATAACTACAGCGGTAGATTCATGTTCCCAGTTAGCGGATGTACGGGAAAATCTAGTATGTGCTTTAACTAGGAGAGTTAACCACTAAAAATATTACAAACTTAGTCTAGCCGCTACAGCGAGACTTAGATCTTGCTTTTGCTGGGAGTTTATGTGGGCGGAGGTTCGTAAACATTGATGGGTTATTGGTCAATTGTCGAAATTTCTTTAAGCACCAATGTTGACACCGTTCTAAACTTTATTTAGAGTGGATAAATGTATAATACTTCAAAAATACAACCCAGCACTACTGAAATGTTTTTAAGAATTTGCAAGTGATTTCACTAGTCATGGCTTTCATAGTTTATAAAACCAGCTTATTACGTATGCTGCTATTTTTATTATTCCATTATATAAGGAATTAGAATTTTCTTTCTAAATATTCTATTATTAAATAAGATAGATACATGCTTGAGCAAATATAAAGTCTCAAGAATTGTTAATTGACCGCTATCTACCCATTTTTCTCTTCGTTCAAAAACTAAGCTATGTATACGTTGATCACGGAATTCATCGACAGGTGTCATATTGTAATTAATACTTTAGCGCCTTTATTCGTCTCAAAAATTGGCCTCAAAAATACAACAGGAATATAAAACGATGCATTTATTACTTCATAATATTTCAGAGGGGCTTTTCACAGCACATGTGTTAATTTTTTATTCATTAGTGGCATCAGGTTTAATAGCTTTTGCCAATTTAGGTAGAAGCATTTTATGAAACGACTTTAGATGTCGCCTATACTTTTTTCTATCGCCGAATTTGAAATCACACGATTTGCAGTAGAAGCGAGGATCATCAATATCTGGCACAACTTTTGTGTCATGATTCTTAACCGTTGGATAGGCAGACCTTACGCCATGTTTTCGTAGAACGTGAGAGCGATATCCTGTGTAGTTTGGTAACATTTTGATACAAGGGCCACAATAAAAAGGCGGAATATCGAAGTTGTCCAGATCATCTAAGTTGACGATGTTGTATCGGGTGTAGGAAGTGTAATGTAATCTCATATGATTACTATCATACGAGCCATTTTTTGGTAGATTCATTCCACAATCGTAGCAACTATGAGGATTGATGGGAATGCCCAACTGTTTCTGACGAGCATAATAGCGGGTCATGTCCGTCTCCTGAGGAGGATAGAATGGGTGCTCTCTGGATCTATGATATTGGAATGATCGTTTGTCAAAGGCTCCGCCACAAATATCACACTTAATGTAGAATCCATCCATGCTTATAACCGTACCATCATCTACTAAGCTTTTTAAATACTTCAATCTGTAAATTTCATCAAGATGGTTTTCCTTCAGATGATCATGATGCTCCTCCTTGCTTGAAAATTCCAGCGCACAGCCCTGGCAGCTGTATATGCGATATAACTCCTCATCCCCGGCCTCTCCTCTTCCATCCTTTTTAAACATCCAATCAAATGCTGGATTGTTATGAGGCGCTACATTCATATGGCGAATAAATCTTCCTTTCGTATCATACTTGACGTGGCATGTAGTACATGTATAACCATGAACTTTAGGTATCACACCGTCTTCGGCATCTCTTAATTCCACACAGTGAATATTGAGGTGTTCCATATACTCTTCTGGTTGTTCGAAACTGATGGAACATATAGAGCAAAATGCAATGTCCTTCTTGGGCCTTTCGTTACTTGTTCGGAGTAATTTGGAATCACTGTTGAAATCTTCAATTTTGACATCTCGCAAGTCGTATTCATCTTCACTGGATTCATCAAACCCGGTTTGGTTATCCATCATATGTCTCTCATAGGTGTCTGTAGATCCAGCTGCACTTGCCAGTAGATCTTCAAGTGTGATTTTACTTTTTTCCAAGGTCGGTGGTTGACTGAATATGGAAGATTTGCCGACACTCACCGTGGGTGCTTGAACAGTCACAGGGGTAATCTCCTCCTTAATAGGCTCTTCTATTAGATTGATGTCGGTGGCTGGAATATATTTGGCTACAAGTGATTCTCTTTTTGGCTTGATTATCGGCGTTGCAGAGAAAAATTTCTTTCGAACCGTCATGCCATCATTACACGGCATACAATAATGGGCCGCATATTCTGAACCTTGGGGTTTGGCTACATTTTCGCAGCTGTATGATCTACATCTTCCGGTGGGTAAAACCATTTGATGCGTTGTCCGTAAATGTTCATGGAACTCTTTTCTTGTATCAAACGTTAACCAGTCACATTGTCGACAAGCATAATGAGGATCACAGTAATCAGGGTAATATTCAATTCGGGCGGGTACTGATATCAAGTAATCAAAATAGGGCTCAACCTTTAAATCGTGGCATCGCTGGATATGGGTAATAAGCGAGGATGCTTTAGGATATTTCATTTCGCAGACACGGCAATAAAAGTCTGGATCATTGGGATTAGGCAAAAAATCACAATTTTCGATCCTGTCTTTAAGAAATCCTAATTGTACTGTATCAGTATGTGTCAAAATGTTTGAATACTACACTTACTCTGTGATTTACGAGTGGAAACAAGGAACTCATCCATATGATGTACCTCTTTCAAATGTCGTTGATAGGCTGTATATGCATGGTATGTACGATTACAATCGCTACATGTATTTTCTTTGCTATCCGTAATGGGAATGTCTTCATCGTAATCCTTTGATTTTGAATTATGTAAAAATGGGACTAAAACAGTTAGCATAGGTCGTTTATAATTGATGATTTCCTTGTCTGTACTCACTTTTTCCTGTCTTGAACTTCATTCCATGCTCTTCCTTAAGATGGTTGCAATAATCTGTTTTGTCCGCAGACGCAGTCTTGCAGATTAGACAATAATAGTCCGGATCATGCGGGTCGGGTTTAATTGTGCTATCGATTAACGAATCATATTCCTCTTCAACTTCAATATCGAGATCATGTAACCCTATCAGATGCTGTCTGAATCTGTCCGCTTTAAATGTATCAATCTCACAAAAAGCACAATATGTATTGGGATATTTGATTATCGGAGCCAATTCAGGACTATGTAGGACTACTAGCGCAATTAGTACAAAAAAAAAAAAAAAAAAAAAAAAAAGTGGAATAACCTACTAATGTCCTGACTTTTGATTTTGTGTGTCTTGATCAAATGTCGCCTGTATCTTACCTGGTTTTTGAATTGAACCAGGCAAACACGACAAAGAAGCGTGTCACTGATCATTTCGGGAGCCTCGCAAATGAGTTTCTTCTTTTTTGGTGCCGGTTTGGAAGGAACATCAATGTCTAGTTCTCTACTCGATCGAGTTACACGTTTTGTTGGTACTTGTATGGATACAGCAATTCTTTTCTTTGGTTTATTTTTTAAATCACGTTGCCTCATTTTATAGAAAATAAAAAGAGTAAAGAAGACTAGCAGTTTTTAGTTCTGTCAAAATAAAAAAGATTAACCCAATCACACGACTTGGCGTTTTTGGGTTAGATGCAACTTAAAAAATCCTTGCTAGTTTATTCCCACTGAATGGAATCAGTACCATAGGATCATAAAATTATTCACGTCTCATACGATCCCCATTGCAACTGATAAGGCTCTGTTGCCATCCTCATCTGGATTTCGAGTTTGAAAAATCAGGAACGGGACACTTTTATTCCATAACATAACCCTTTTTTTGTCTTTGCTCCGGACTCCGAGGTAGTACACGCTCATTGAGCCACACTTTTTCTTTTTCTTTTTTGTGGAGGGATGTACAGTCGTCAACTTTTTTACTTATACTTAGATACTAGGATTGTTTTGGTTTCGCTTTTCCATCCTTTGCTCTGGCCGTGAACGACATTGCCACCAACCGCAAAACAAAACTCCGCCACAGTGGTACTCGACAAGTGGACTAGATTGTGATAGGCCCCGAGCACGGATCACTTTCCCGGAATTAACAGCCTTACCGATGAAAATCAGCATCTGTCTTGCACGAGCATATGATGCAGACAATGGCTTAAGTGATTTTCATATAATATGTTGCAGAGATAAATAGCAGATGTATCATATGAGACTAAATTGATTCAGTAGATCGTCTGTCGCTTGCCTGCAACACAGGGCATTTATGTAAATATGAGAGTAATTAATGTACTCATAAAGAATAGCCAATCTCATATATGGTTGCATTTATTGTCATATAATTCGGTCTTTTCCGAGTAATTGCGAGTTTATCTATTGATTTATTCACTGGACTTGAGCTCGCCCAAAATAAAAATATAAGAAACTAATTTTTAGCAGCTGCCCTGGCTGACAGAAATATAAACAACAACCAAATACCTATAATCGAAGTGTACTTGTTTTACTTTCAACTATATAAGAGGAGTTTTCTTTGGCCTTGGAATGTAACAACTAAACCCTTGGCAGTTGTTTACCTTGACATTTTATCTATTTTTGTTCTTGCAGTAGCACGAGCCCATGATACACTTTAGTTAAAATGCCGACAAAGTAACTTACTGCCGGAATGCCAATTTTTTTTTTTTTATCTCTCTCTCTCTCTCTCCTTCCTCAACCATAATGTCGGCAAGAAAACCCTCAATTCAACCGAGACCTACGAAGGCCTCCATGCTGCGATTACAAAAGCAACAGGCGTCTGAATCGTCTACTCCATCTGCACCTCCAGAAGAGCCACCTCAACGTTCTGTTTCTCATCCTAAATCCAGCAACAGCACCAAGAAGGCTAGTAACGGAATTGGTGCTACTGATGGCGTCAAGGCATTCATGGCTCAGCAAAGAGCTAGAGTTGCTAAAAAGCCTACCAACGTCCCTGCTGAAGAACCAGTCCGAAAAAGTTCCCAGGTCATGACAGGAGCACAAAGATATGGTGGTGCTGGATCTAATAAGGCCCCAGCTGTCATTACACAGACACGAAATATTAATATTGTAATCAAGCAAGCCAAGGCTCAAGGCAAATTAAACATTTCAAGCAGAGGCTTAACCAGTATTCCTAAAGAGGTGATCAATATGTAAGTGCCTGTATGATACATGTGGGAACGATACAAAAAAGACTGATGCTTTTTTGGACTTTAGGTATCATGTGGATCCTAACTCTATTGTGGTTGATTTCACCTCGGAGGATGCAGGCTGGTACGATGCAGTAGAGTTAACAAAGTTTATAGCTGGTGATAATGCGATTACAGAAATCGATGAAAGATTAGGAGAAGAATTTGGTGCATTAACACACATTGACGTAAAGCCATTAATGACACGATTTTTATTTGTTAGTTTTAACATTTTTTTTTTTTCCTCTTCATAGTTCCGTGATAACAAATTGACGTCTGCACCAAACTCGCTCAAATTATTGAGAAATTTGACATCGATTCTTATGCCTTACAACTCTTTTGAAAAAATCCCAGAGGTTTTCTTTGAATTAAAAAAATTGCGAGAGCTGGATTTATCACACAACAAAATCCAAAAAGTCGTCTTAGGCGATAATTCAATCGAACAGCTGGATCTCAGTTACAATGAAATTACATCTATCGAACTGGACGAGAAAAGCAACCAAGATTTAATCAGTTTAAGAAAATTGAATTTGTCGCATAATCAAATCAGTCAATTACCTTCTAGTTTAACCGGCTGGACAAAATTACAAGAATTACAGGTGAACCAAAACAAGTTAAAATTTGTGTTTTCTGCTGGTAAATTGTTTGTTATTATTATTTATCTTTAAGCAAAACGATATTAATATTTAACAATAGACAAGGCTACGGTTTACCCCGCTCTTGTTCGTTTGGATGCCAGTAACAACTATATCAGTTCCATTAACAAGAATGATACTATCGTTGTCTCCATGCCTAAATTACTGGAATTATCTTTACTAAACAACAAGTTTACTGAGACAGGTCTAGTAGGATTACATGGCGCACCAAATATCCAAACCTTGGATATTTCATCCAACCAGTTACAAGATATCCCTGCATCCGTTACAGGTTTGTCTCACTTACAACGTCTCGATGTAAGGGGAAATCAGTTACATGCATTACCTTACGAGTTAGGTAAACTCGCCGAGTTGGTCGCTATCCAGTGCGAAGGCAATCCAATGCGTGCTGTATCTTCCATGAGCCAAACGCAATTGATTGAATCTTTACGTAGTAACTACAACCAGCAGGCAGACGAAGTACAACAAGTTGAAGTGGGCCAAGTTGCATTAACCGAAGAAGAAGTAGAGGACGAAGTGTCTGCACTTAATTTTACCCAAAAGGTCAATATCACGAAGCGACTTGATTTATCTAAAAAGCAATTATCAGATTTATCAGTGGATACCATGACATTTTCTGAAGATATTCCCGGAATCATTTTATTAAGTATGTCGTAACTTTTGTCTGGATGCATCATAAACTTACTCTCCTTTTTAAATAGACAACAATGAATTCACTTTATTCCCTATGAGATTAAGCTTAATTTCAAACTTTATTGTTCAACTTCATTTGGAGCATAACAAAATGACCAGCTTTAATTTTACAATGGAAGGTGTTGTATTTACTGCGCTTAGAACACTAAAGTTATCCAGCAATCGTATAAAGTCATTGGATTGTAGTGGAGCCACCATCTCGTTTCCAAAACTAGAAGAGTTGACTTTGAGTCATAATGGATTAACCGCGTTACCCACCAACCTTGGTCAGACCTTACCCGCACTTAAAATACTCTCATTGAGCTCAAACAAGCTGGACGATATTGTGGACACTAGCTTTGGTTTAAAGTTAGAAATTCTGGATTTGAGTAACAATGATATCGGATATTTGCCACCTGGATTGTCAAATATTCAGACGCTAAAAGAATTGACGGTTTATGGAAATAGGTAAATTGATGCATGAATGAAAAGTAGTGATTTTTTTTACTAATAAGCCATGTATGCATATAGATTTAGAGTACCTCGTCCTAATGTTGTGGAACAAGGAACGAAGGCCATTTTAGAGTTTCTTAAAAGACGTAACACGCCTGCAACTTGAAAATGATAATAATAATTAAAAACAGGGCAATGAACAAAAGTGTATGTTCTTTGTTTATGTGTATATTTTATTGAAGGTCGACCTTTTTTTTTTTAATGACCTCCTGTAATGGGACCTGAGAAATGACCATTCAATTCTTTACGAACATGTAAATATTCTTCACCTCCAAAACTATTAAAAAATGACGTTAGTAAAATATTAACACGTTCAAAATATATTTTACCTTTCCCAAAGAAATTTGGTGAGTGTAAAATACAAGTTGGGATTTGCGTTATGAAAAAGGATGGCATGATCGCTATCTGCATAGTATTGTACTTGATAATTATGAACATTAGCTCTTGTTAATTTATCTACCAATACAGCTGAATTTTGGAAATGCACTAAAAAAACTTTGTCAGTAAAAGTTGTGCTTCTAAAAAAAAAAATATTTATTGCTTACCGTTATCATCACCAGTGCCATGAACCAACAAAAAGTTGGTGTCTTGGAAACCCGTCATATTATTCACTGCACTTTGTACATAACCATCTGGATTTAATTGAGGTGTCATCATGTATCTTTCGGTATAAATGGAATCTGAATCGATATAATATTAATACATATTTTTGCTTATCCATTAATTTTCAAATCCATACCGTAAAATCTCCAGTCTGTTACGGGGGCTACGGCCAATGCAGCTGCAAATAGTCCACTGTTAGCTTCTATCACCTTGGCAGTCATGTATCCACCATACGACTAGACACAAATAGAAAGAAAAAAAAATTGGAAGAATGAGTGACATAGTATGTGATTAAAAAAAGAAAGAATAAAACATACCCAACCCCAGATAGCGATACGAGAGGAATCAACGTATTCAAGTGAAGCCCAATGCCTATGAGTTGAATAAAAATAAGATTGACAGTAATAGATCAAGAATGGGATTTGTGTGTGTTACCTTGCCGCATTAATTTGATCGATGGTTTCCAACTCGCCCAATCGACCGCGGATACCGACTTTGTACTTTCTTCCCTTGAAGCCTGTTCCTCTACCATCCACCTATAAATAGCACAATTAACAAAGATAATTGAAAAAAAGAGCCAAGAAAAAAAAAAAAAAAAACTTACAGTGACAACAATGTAGCCCAATTTGCTTGCCAAGAAAGTGCTCCAAGACAATTCAAATTTATACGACGCTATTTGAGATCCGGGACCACCATAGACATGGAACAAGACAGGGTATTTTTTAGAAACATCAAAATCTGGAGGTAGGACTTCCATAGCATCCATATTAATTCCGCCACTTTTGACAGGTACCAATCTGCTTCTGGGAAGTTCAAACGTATCCAACAGTTTCTTGAGTGGTTTATTATCTTGTAGAACCATTTTAAATGTACTGTTATCCACCTGCTTGACAGTAGTAGTGGGCACATCGGGACCCTCATACTGCAAGATATAATATCCATGCTTGGGTGAGAATTTGGTGGTATAATAAGCATGGCGGTCTGGATCATCAGGACAGGTGATACATTTCTTTGTAGAAATTGGCTTGGTATGATTGAGATTGATTTTATAAAGATGGCGCTCTAAATGCGATCTCTCTGTAGATGTATAGTGAATTAATTGTCGTGCTGTGTCGACTGTAACGGTACCAGGTACGACTTCCCATTCACCCGAAGTCAACCAGACTGGTTTTGTTTTGCCGCTGATTGCTTTTAGAACTGCCAAGTGAATGTATCCATATCCATTATCGATGATATCTAAATAACGGACTGTTGTATCATTTTTCTTACTGTTGGGCATATACACCATCGTTTGACCCGGCTCTATCCATCCACCATCTTCTGGCTTATACGTTCTGATATTTTCTACAGTAGTTTCATTTAATTTAGCTGAGATTGTGACAAGACTGGTGATCTCAATATCCTGTACGCGGTTGGTTTGCTTAAATAAAAGATGAGTGTTTGTCTCGGTTGACCAAATGACATCAGTGATTAATCGATCTGTCTCTTCAAACTCGAAAAAAGCATCTGTTGTTTTGACTGTGGCGTTGAACGTAGAGTTGCTAGTGACCATAATAGACGCGTTAAGTGCCAAGGAATGTACATGCAGTGAAACTAGAGGATTGGGTGAACCTGACTATTTGTGGAGCGGTGGGATTTAAAAAAAGACATGAATTATGTATTTGTTAATTTATGTTTTACCTTGGGATATTTGATTGTCAGTTCATCTGGGTAGCTATTATTAGAAGAAGCATAATACTGTAAATGATATTCAGGGACCGCCGTTTCATTAAACCGGAGGTAAGCAAGATGCGTGGAGTCGGGAGACCACCAGAGCGCATAGTCCTTCATGAAAACCTCTTCTTCGTACACCCAATCAGGAACTCCGTTAAAAATCGTTGCAGATCCATCAAACGTGACACGTGTGTGGTTCTTTAAATCCGAAATAAAGATTTCATTTTCCATCACATAAGCCTGTATCATGACTAAATTAATAAAACTAATTAAATAAATAATTGATGTCAGATCTTACCACTTGGTGACCGGTAGGACTCCAGACTGCATAAGAGATTAAAGGTGTTCTGCCAATGGTAGATAGGTTGTTTAATGGGAATAGTGATTTGTCCTCCATATTATATACATAAACATTGGAATGCGAGGAGTATCTCCATTGCTACAGATAAACAAAACATTAGTTATTGTTATTTGGGTCATATTGAAACAGACAAAAAAAAAATATTTACGCTTGTAACATTGGTCTTTATTAACAGGTATTGGCCATCCTTTGATATCTCAAAGGAATTAACCTCTAATAGTCCTTGGCCTGTATTCTATACATGAAAAAGAGATGTTGTTAATACATTTCCCCTGAACATTGTATGTATACTCTACAAGATCGCTCGCTTGAACAAAAATCTCTGTCTCTCCAGTTTCGATAGACTCTAGTAAAATGTCATTTGTATCGGGATCTCTATAGGTGAAAATGCCATCGCGAGCGTCTGCTTTAAATATTAGATCCATAGTCATGGCAACAACTAATTAGAAAATAGAAAAAAAAAAAGGTACCGTTTGTCACCCATACTAAGGTTGGACGTTTTGGTGCAAAAGAAGAGTTGTAGAGATCTGGTAAATCAAAGTGGCTCAATAATTCAGGTTCATCGCCCACTAATACATAAAAAGATTAGATACAAGGGAAAGTGATAGAATACAAGACTCTGATTTACCTGGTCCCATTTGACTTAGACCAATGGTCCATACCAGCCAAAATAACAAGATAAGAAAGAGAAAAGCCATGCATATCCATTTCTTACCACCTTTCTAAATTAAAATATAAGTCGAGAGTAAACATAAATGCAAAAATGAAACCCAAAAATGAAATGATTTTTACTTTTTTTATGTTGCCACCTTCTATGTCGTTTCTCACTAGACTTTGTTCTGCCTCGTCTCCAGGTAGAAGGTCGTCGTCTTCGTCTTCTTCATGATAGTCATATTTTACACCTGTGGGTGACGATGGTTGTTCGTTCATGTAGTCTGTGTTGTCTGTACTAATGCTCGTCGTGTCGTCGTCTTCCTCGTGATTGTCTAATATTTTTCGACCATCCATTAGTGCCATGAAAGAATCAAGATTCACAATTTGTGTCATTTCAGTAGTTTCATAAGAATCAGAAGTATTTTTTAAACGGTTGAACGGGATAGTTAGAAACGACATCTTTTTGTGTGTGTGTGTGTGTGTGATAAAGAAAGAAAGATATAAAAAAATAAATAGCCCTAATCTTTTTTAATTAAGATTATGTTACCTGTGTTTCCGTTGGAGGAGTTGATATTTGTATTGATAAAAGAAAGAGAGTTAAAAAAAAAAAAAGGTATGTGTTTCTACTTTATTAGGAGGTAAGAAAAGAGGGGTAGGTCATCCTCCTATTCAAGACCCTTTTTGATTAAAAAAAGCCCAAAATTGGTAAATGGGGAGGGGAACTAAAAATATGAGTGCAATTTAACTTGGATGCAGCTTGTCAATTTGCCTTTTCCTGCATTCATTGTAAACGTCTCCACATCTAGAAAGTATCCATTAGTTCATGTCAAGTACATCATACTCTCTCTCTCTCTCTCTCTCTCTTTTACCATCGTGCACTGCTATCTTTCGGTCCTGCATAATAGTCACCAGTGAAACGATATCAACAATCGCATTCTCCATCCCAACTAGCGTCACCGTATCAAAGCTATTTAAAGATCGATTAATCTGTTTGCTTCATTAGTAGTGTCATTACGAGTGAAGTGTATATTATTTACCCAATCAATGTATCGTTCGTATCCATGCTCGAATAATTTTTTACTCGACTTGTCTATAAGGCGTATAGGATCTATAGCTGCTTCAATCGCAATAAAGGCCGATTCTACCCATTCCACAGCCAAAGAAGTTTCTTGTGTTGGATTCGCCTGCGAATCCCTTCTCTTGCCATGGCTTGCTCCAGTGGGTTGTTTAGTGCCTTTTTTCTTTTTGGCCTCTGTCTTGGCCTCTATCTTTTTGGGAGCCTCGGCTTTTTTGGGTCCCTCTACTTTCTTGGGTGTCTCCCGCTTTTGTTCTGCTTTTTTTGGCGCCGCTTTCTTGGCTGCTGGTTTTTTCTTTGGTTTATTTACAGTAGTTTGCTCGGGTGGTGCTGCAAGAACTACAGGTTTAAAGTCATGTGCAAGCGGATTCAACATTATTCAAAAGTGTAATAAAATAAAATTCTATTTTTTTTTTTCAGCAGAGACAAAAAAAAAAGCGTTGCTCTCTCGGAGTTCAGCGGAACTTTAAAAAAAGTGAAAGGCAATCAAACTAAAGGCATCATTTTGTAGTGTTTCTTGTACTACCCTAGATTAGCAATAATGCCGTCAATACTTTAAACGAAAATACAGTATCATCAATCTACTTAATTGCTGTTGAAATATTGCGTGTTATAGCATTTTGTCAGTTCCTCATCCTTTGGGTTCAGAACACTACACACACTTCCTCTACTGCACATGGTTTACCGTGGTTGATAAAGATCTGACGTGTTTAATATCATAATATGCCACATATAAATTTTTACAACCAAGATCTAAAGTAACAAGGACTGACATCATCTCGATTATACTCATCGATTTCTATATGAGAAATTGGATATGATTTTACTTATAATGAAAACATGCATTTCGGCGAACCACTAACGCTCGCATATATTTTATCCATAAGCGATATACCTGCTTTAATTAAAACTATTGTTTTATCTTTCTACATATTCATTCGTTAGATAGATACTTGTCATCATGGACTGTATATTATACAGGATTTCAGTCTTAATTGGTATGCTTGATTTTTTTTTTTTTTTTTGGTCATAATGTTAGCTACATTCTGCTTTGTAATAGTTTCCTTTAATCCATCCATCATTATACCTAACGCGTCCTTTCTTCCATTGTCTAAACCAAAAAATACCAGCTGGATAATTGGGGCATCTCTACTGCTACCTTGACCAACAGCTTCACATACACATATTCTGCTTCCTGCTCATCTCTTGAAAATTAACAATTTAAGCACCATTAACAGCATTTTCGTAAAGGGTAGTACGTGTAAAGGAGAGCCACAATTTAAGCACTCATACTGCGTAACTTTCTTTAAAACAATGAACGGATAAAAATGTTTTTATAACAATGAAAATGATTGCTTTAAACATGAAAACTTTATTATAATTATTGAAAAAAAAAAAAAAGTTTTTTTTTTGTGAGCTCTCTTTTCAGTTCTCAAAGCTTTCACAGCTTTGATTAACAGGATCAACCACGAGAAGGTAAAAGAGCATCTGATCCTAAAAAAGTATTCTGCAGCAGGCAAGCGCTTAAGAACCTAGCCAGGCAATCCTAAACTAAATTCAAAGGCCAAATAGCCAAGACCAAAAATAAAAGCTCAACGGACTACAGGCTAATGAAATCAATCCAGACCACGAAAAATAGGCCGAAAAATATGACAAAGGGAAAGGAAATTTTATTTTACAATTTCATTGTGTTACTGCATACATATTATTATCCAATAATAATCATCTAAGAGAAACTGGTACCAAAATATATAAACCTAAAAACTTTACGTTTCACTCTTACACTTTTCTACCAGGTCTAGCAGAGATCACACTTCTGTGAAGTTGGTGTCAAGGGTGGACAATCAAACAACTGTTGTCCACCATTGTTCATGTTGACGGCTAATGGTAAGAGCAAGCAATAATCACATTTTTTTAGTTAAAAACAATGCGAGATGACGAGATTTCTAATGAATATAACACACTTTATTTTAGACCAGGTTGAGTTCATACTTTAATGGATTATCTATAATGGCTATAAAAGTTCTCGCAGGCTTCACTATTCGTCATGGTGATTATTTTCTCGCTCGTACGGTCATCACTCCACCTGAGAATCTTCAAAAGGCTGGTTTCCCTGAGATGATGAGTCCTGGTCGGAGAAGTTCCGCAACAAGGAGGTGGATAAGGATATGGCTGGACACAACTTTCTTGTTTTTGAGAACTGTATTTCTTCAGGTAAGCTAATTATTATTTTATTTTTATTAATACAAGATCTAATCAAAGTTATATTTGTAGGATGCAGTTCTCTTGATGCAAAAGTACCCGAGTCTTTATTTGTGGACTAACCCCATTTTCTCGACTGAGGCTTTTAAAAGCTTTTCAGAGCAATTAATAGCTTCAGTCGCAAACTCTGAAGCGAGAGTAAATAACAACAGCATTTTAGAAAATGCCATGCCTGAGCTCCTCGCTCACATCAAGAGTAACGACAAGGCTGTGCACGGATCTCTCCAAGCGATCCAATCGAAAATTGAAGCAGTTAGAAAGGACCTTGTGTACCAGCAATCCGTTATCAAACAGCTTCAAGATAATTTAAACGATCGTTTTCGACACATCGTCAATAGGCGCAAGATCTATAAGGCTGACGGTGTTGTGAGAACAACTGGGACTCTCGAGATCCTTATCTTAGAGACATCTGGGCCGTTCAGTCACATCAACCTGACCAAACTGTCTTTTTGACAGCAGCAAAGGAATGTTCGGCTTACTATCAATGATCAAAACAATAGCAGAATTGGTGGTAACTGTTCGTGTTCTGCCTCCTCTCTGTCTGCCCACTCTCCTTCACTTGACACTGAAGTATGTACAACATATAGAATGAACAGACATTTTGTAACGGCTACCGATGTTTGGAGGGAGTATGATGCCGGTATCATGGGCGAGCCATCAATCCGCTTTTTGGAGGAACGCTATGGTACCGGTTGGCCCAGGGGCGATAGAAAGGAATCAAGATTTTTGAGCAGAAGAATGACAATCATTCGGGAGATAGAAAGACTTGCTGCTGATCATAAAGTGTCTGGTGATGAAGCGGCCATAGTTTTGGGTGGAATTGGGGTTGTCTTTAGACAAATTGAGAAAGACAATTTCCGGCGAAAAGTAGATTTTTTCTTATATATTTGTACATACTTTTTTTTTACTGGCTTATGTAAATAAAGACCTCATTTTTTTATAAAAACAAAGAATCTGAATACCTTTATGTCTAAATGTTAGGCAGCTCCTTAGACTCTCACATTTTGTATTTAAAAGTGTTTAATTAAACAATGAGTACGTGATGTCTTTAATCCACAGGATTTACTATATGATTCGAATCATGATACCTTCGAGTTGCGAGCTTTGTGTGTTTTAGGATGATTACATCAATACCATCAAATATCATTCAGATTGGTTGTTAAACATTTAAACTAGATGTCATACACAAATATGCATTAAAAAAAAACTCGCTTAAAATGAGACTTTTTTTTATTTTAGTTAATACGATAAGTTTATGATTCGAAGAAGTTACCAACAGTAAGGGACACACAACAGCATTTATTCTTTCAAAGGCTCCAATGGTAAATTCTCTTTGTTTGGATTAGACGCATAGCATCCTTCGAAATTTGGTGTTCCTGCATTTTAATGTGCTGCGTTTTTTGCGAAATCAAATTTGAGGTAAGCTTTAAAATTAGTTCAAGTATCGATCGCATCAGTTGCTAACAAACGCTAAAAGGAATAACATCAACAGAATTGGATTTTCTCTTGGTTCAACCCCATCTTTACCAATACCAATACCCAACATGACACTAGAAACTTTGAAAAGAACGGAAAACAACGATCGACCTATAACAGCAGCAACAGTTTACCCGTTATGTTGTCCTGATTGAATATGTTGATATATCGCCTACAGAAATCAAAACTACCTTTACATAACTATACTTTTTTCTTTGCCCGAACGCATTTTCAAGTGCTGATATTTCAATAATTAAAAGGGTATCATTTCAAAAGTTTTAAATAAGCGAGAAATTTGGAATCAGAGGGATGCCGGAAGTATTATCAAAGCAGCTATTAGTAGTCTAAAAGCTAAAAGAAAAAGAAAAGCCAACGTGGCAACACAAATGTTTATATATGGAAATCAATGATTTAAGAGCTAACTTGCTCGGTATTGAAGTTAAAATATACTTAGAGACTCGAAAGAATAAGTCGGATTTAGTATTAGAATCAAATATTGCTGGCGTGCTACACACGATTTCTTTGATAAGGAAATTAATGAAAAAAACTTATGAAAGCTATCATAAAATTAGCAAAGCTTGCATGAGAACTGAACGGTTAAAAAAATCTGTACACCAAATGTAAATGGGAGGATTCTTAAAAATGATACAGTGCTTCGAAAATGATATACATATGGACACCATAAAACTATATTTCACACAAAAAAAAAAAAAAAACTTGAAACAATGGTAAGACAAGAGCTATCAGTGCTCCCATCGTTCTAAATGCCTCACTGGTAACACCCGAATTATGATTTTTCTTAAATTCTGAGTTACTCCAGTTACAGATGCACAAAAATAGAAAATGTTTAAAAATTCAAAGTTTTTTTATTGAAATTATGGGTAAAATAAAATTTTGTACAATTATGTCTATGTGTAAGGGTTATATGAAGACATTTTTAAAAAAGAAAGTGATTTTTGGAGAAGACAAACGTAAATGAGATTTCTTTACTTGGCAACACCATGAACCTTTTCGATCAAAGATGGAACGACGGATTGATCAGCAAGAGTAGAGATATCACCGAGAGAATCCTGCTCACCGTTAACAATCTTACGAAGAATACGACGCATAATCTTTCCAGAACGAGTCTTAGGGTGATCGTTGATAATGTAAATACGCTTGGGGGTAGCAAAAGGACCAATGACCTTACGCACCAACAAACTTAATTCCTTATCAAGTCCCTCAGAAGCATCAACATTGGGCTTCAATGAAACAAAAGCATGGATACATTGACCAGTCAAATCATCATGACCACCAATAACAGCGGCTTCTGCAACAGTTTCGTGATGAACAAGAGCAGACTCGATTTCAGCAGTAGAAAGTCTATGACCGGAAACATTGATAACATCATCAACACGACCTTGGATCCAAATATAACCATCGGCATCACGGTAAGCACCATCACCAGTGAAATAGTATCCAGGATAAGGCTTGAGGTAAGTATCGATAAAACGGCTATGGTTATTGAAAACGGTACGTGCCATAGAAGGCCATGGTTGGCTGACAGCGAGAACACCGGTGGCACCGACTTCAGTTAAGATTTTACCAGTGGTAGGATCAAGGATCTCAGGCTTGATACCAAAGAATGGAAGAGTAGCAGATCCAGGCTTGGTGATATGAGATCCGGGAAGAGGGGAGACAATGATGGAACCAGTCTCGGTTTGCCAGTAGGTATCAACAACAGCACAGCGGTTTTGACCAACCTTTTCATTATACCAATCCCAGGCTTCGGGGTTAATAGGCTCACCGACGGAACCGATAACACGAAGGGAATCCAAATTCTTTCCTTCCAACCAAGAATCGCCAAGACGACGGAGAGCACGAATAGCAGTAGGTGCAGTATAAAATTGGGTGACCTTGTGCTTTTCGATAAGATCCCAGAAACGAGAGGGGTTGGGATCTACAATCAAAAGATTAGTATGTTCCTCCTTTTCGCTACCTATTTGTTTACTTACATGTAGGGGTAGATTCAAACAAAACAGTGGTGGTACCTAAAGCGAGGGGACCGTAAGTGATATATGTGTGACCGGTAACCCTAAATAATAAAGTTAGGCAAAAAAAATCATACATATTATGCCGATCTAAAATCTTACCATCCAATATCAGCCATACAGGCAAAGATATCATCTTGGTGAACATCAAAGATATACTTGACGGTTGCAGCAGCACCTAAAAGATAGCCACCGGTGGTGTGAAGAATACCCTTGGGGGCACCAGTGGAACCAGAAGTATAAAGCAAGAAAAGAGGATCTTCAGAGTTCATGGGCTCAGGAGGACAGAAGGTTCTAGCCTTATCCATCTCTTCATGCCACCAAAGATCACGGTCTTCAACCCAATCAACAGGTGAACCAGTGCGACGGAAAACAATAACATGTTCAACATGAGTTTGATAATCACGCAAAGCATCGTCAACAATTCTCTTGGTGGCGATGTTCTTTCCTCCACGTCTACCTTCATCGGATGTAAGAACTACACGAGCAGAACAATCAATGATACGATCACGAAGAGAATCGGAAGAGAAACCAGCAAATACAACAGAGTGGACAGCACCAATACGAGCACAAGCAAGCATGGCAATAAGAGCCTCGGGAATCATTGGCATATAAATAGCAACATTATCGCCCTTACGAACACCCAAATTCTTTAAAGTGTTGGCCATTTGGCAAACCAAACGCAATAACTCACCGTAAGTAATCTTACGAACTTGATCTGGCTCATCACCTTCGTGAATGATAGCAATCTTATCAGGAGTAGCAAGAGCGTGTCTATCAACACAGTTATAGGCCACGTTAAGTTCACCTTCCAAGAACCAAGCAACATCACCTTCCTTGAAAGAACCGTGTTTAACAGTCTCGAAGGGCTTTGACCAGGTTAATAATTCACGAGCAAGCTACAATAATGCAAAATGTTAATACCGTGTTCATTAATTTATTTAAATGATTTGTTTCTTACATTGCCAAAGAATTGTTCAGGCTTTTCCACACTTTCAGTCCACATGGCGTTATACTTTTGGATGGAGTTAACGTGAGGGACGGGATTTTTGGAAGCGTCCAAGAGACGTGCAGGAACGGGATGGCAAGTGGTTTTTTCGTGCTCAACAGTCATTTAGAATGTAATATATCAGTGAGAAATGATACTGAAAAAAAGAAAAAATATAAAGAAATTGTATAATTGTAAGTCTTTTTATACTTTTTATGTTGGATTTTTTTTGTTGGGGATTGAATTTAACTTTTTGGGCCAACCAACAAGCTTTATTTTCAGGGCAATCTTGGAATAAAACAGATTGCAAAAAAGCGGAGTACCGTTACCTAATATGGTAAAAAGCGAACTTTAAATGGGACACAAGAAATGAGCAACCCCAGATACTCCTCAAATCATGTGTAAGCATACGTTCAACGTTTCTTTCTATGGTTGTTATGAACATATAAATCAAAATAAAACTACATAGCAGATAATATTAAAGTAAAGGTATAAGTGATCTGTCAAAATTTTAAATCATGACCAAAAGATAAAACTTGTGCTGATCATTTTTCGGCTTCTTTACCTAGAAGAGAGTTCAATTGCCTAAAACTGCAAGCTATCCGCGGTGCATATCTCACTAGCGGAAGGACCCTTACACCATCTTCAGACTATATCGTATATGTTATATTTGACAGATTATGTTTTCAGTCGATGCGTTTTGACACTTTGCAAATATGTGATTCACTTTCTTTCCTCCTTTTTCTTTATTTTTCATACTTTACTCACGGTAGGCACATTAGAATACCGCATATTATGTGATTGGTTCCAAATATTACTCACAATGCCGACTCCTCCTTTTTTTTTCCCCAGGAAAGAAGGTAAAAGAATATGATCAAAATACATCACATGTCCTGAATACACACGGTTAATGTCTCACAACGTTTTTGTAACATAATGAGCCTCATGTTTTTAAAATATTATCTAATAGGAGAAAATAATATAGATATAACGTGCCCGGATAGGACAGCAGACACAAAATAAATAAATAAAATTAAGGCCGCACAATCGGTTGTATCTACCAAAATCGCATATCATTGAAAGTACGTAGACCGTGCAACCTGGCACAAGTTACGACATTAATAATGGTTTATCCAGTGCGAGAAATAAAAAATACAGAATAAATATCCCCACATTCCCAATTGGCATAACCGGGAAAAAAGAAAAATTATTGGGATCAGCAAATATCAAATAGTGCAACATAAAACACTTGTCAACTCTATCCTGTCGAGTAGAAGAAAACATGTGTTATAGGTTTTTTGATCATTCATTTATTACAAAGTCAAACGTAGAGTTGTCACTATACTTTTTATGTTTTCACAATCAAAGAGGTAATAACCTTTCTTTTTTGCGGGGTAATCGCGTGGGAGAATTGATGCGACTTTCCCATTGTTATCTTGGGCCAATAGAATATCTTGAAAATATATTTTATGGAATCCCTGGTTATTTGATTTAATCGTACCTATTAAAAGAGATCCATTCGGGAAGATTTTTTTTTTCTTAATTTAAACATTGGCATAGGATGGGGTGAGGACGTCAGTTCCTGTGTTTTCCAAATATACGTTCACGCCACAAGACACTTATTCCCCATAGACTTTAAGATGATGGACCGGTCATCTGCCTAGTTGTGAGATGATGTCTTAAAATGTAATACCTACTAGGGGTTATTCGTATATGCGGATAAACGATGTTTCAACAAATGACCCTTTAAGACTTTTCTATCTTGCCGTAAGCTTGAAATCACATGGAGTTCTAAATGTCTGTTTAGATGGTATCCATAAAACAATCTATTTGACACTATTATGTGCTTGACAGATCTCTTATCAAAGTGGATACTTTTTCGCCAATAAAAAAGAGTCGCTATGTTACTAGAATGGTATAGTGTAATGGTTGGGTGCACCGTTCATGCATCGGAACAGTGGTTAATAATCCGGAAAAATGGTGATCCACCCGAAGCCATCTTAAAAGCTATTACGTATAAGAAAGCATTTATCCACGGATTCTTATCGAGTTTATATTAAAATATGTAGAGCACTTTACCTGTTCTTATCTGAAACATTGTCATAATGCATAGTGTAGTTAGGTCAGACTATGTTTTACCTTCTGCAAATGATTTATTTATAGTTACTTGCCCCCGCATCAATAAAAACCTTTTGCCTTCCTTCATAAAAAAAATAACACTGTCAGGAGCTAAAAATAGCCAAAATAGAGCGACACCTATTGATATATACTTTTTTCTTAACATCAAAACGATACTTTCTTTTTAAGCGAAAATATAAAGAAAAAAAATGTTAATTATTATATCGACAGGCACATCATCTGTATCAAATAAATTTAAGAGTATTGCATGTATAATTTTAGCTGTGATGGCTGGACAGTTATAATACATGTTGTTCGACAATTCAGCAGCGGAAACAACAATACTGATGTGTGTCTGCGTTTTACTTTACTGTAGTCCAAGCTTTAAGAATATGATTGCTGTGATATTTTATATCGTAATAGCTGTTGTTTAATGGCATCATTGAAATAAATGAACATGGCACCAGTTTTTTTTTTAATCTGAATCGTTCTGTTTAACCACTAGTAGATACAATGTCGATATACTTTTTTATTGTTTACGTAGTAAGTGTATAATGAGAACGTATTCAAGATAAAGTCCTATCATAAGAGCTTATTTTAATAATTCGATTAAATGTTACTATAGCTATAGGCCTGTGCGTGTGTTTTATCATACATGAGCATGTGTGTATCTATCAGACCCGATCCTTAATTTGTATACCATTCTTTTCTTTCTTTACTTTCTTGAAAAACATTCTGTCGTTAATTCTTTTTTGTAAGAAAGTCAACTAAACTAAACTCTGAAGCTTTGAGGGATCATCTTTATATTGGTATAACCGCACATACTGTAAGTAAATAAATGACCTTAGTGATACTGATATATATTTTGCTGATACATCTGGGTTTTCTTTGTGCGCGTAATTAAGATGAACCGAAATAAAAGCTATGGCAGTAACTTCAAGAGAGACCACCGGAAGAAAATGACGAGGAGAAGATACCTAAAAGCCCCAACAAAAGACTTAAGATGGATTTCAGCCCTTTAATGCTGTTGTATTTTCATTCGATTCATCAAAACATGAAGTCTGAATGGGAATTTTTAGATCTTGATATGTAAGTTTTATTTTACAAATGTGCAGAAAAGGTGCTTGCATATTACAACACGGGTTAAAATAAAATTATTAAGAGCACTGCTGTTTTCGACCCGTTACTTTCCAGTGGCTATAAAACCGTGTATACACCCTTCTGTATTGCAGTCAAATGTAAATAACAAAGTTCCAATGCCTTTGTTTCTTATTTGACATCACGCTGATTCTTTTCCTTCACAAAAATATTTTGTTTCCCACAAGCTACCATGTCTACTAAAGCCAGCTGATGAAAAAAAATTTTAACCGAGCAGTTTTTTTGTGGCACTGAACAACCATCTTCCTGCAAAAAGGAAAGGGTCCAAAGAAAAAGGGGAGCATACCACAAAGTCAGTGACTCTTGGTATAGATACTGATAAAGTTCATTCTCAAATTCTGTTGGTAGACATCGATATTATGTAAGAGATGTTACTTTCCTATAGTAATGCAGTATATGCCAATAATAGTCATAGAGGTCTTCGTCCTCCAAAACACAGGTACGAGGGGAATCGCTCGTGAACAATGATTTATTTAATTCGAATGAACAATAACACAACTTTATGGAGAGATGACTGCAATTATAGAGCAAAATATGCTTTTAGCCCTTTCAGTGCAACCCGTACCGTTTTGGAAGTGTAGAGAATGATGGCATCACTATTTTATTTACTTTAGACATACACTCATAATAAAAGAAGCCACATATGCTTACAATACAATTCAAAGATGCATTAAAGATAGTGACACAGAAGATAAGCTTTTTTTAAAAGGAATGGGCTCGAATGATTTATTTCATAAATAGTCTCAAATACCTTCATCTGCTCTTGTAATTTCTATTTATTTACCTGAATTTCACTTCTTCCACTGATATAATTTATTCCACACCAGCATTATAAAATTTCTCAGATAGACTCTTAGCATCTCTTCTAAATGAGCATTAGTGATCAAACGCTCACTTATGCCAATCACCATATTTTTCTGCTCTTTCCAAATCGCATACATCCTCCTCTTATTGGTGCATATAATTTGAATCCGCTAAATGCCAGACACGACGAATTGGATCGGTTCAAAGTACGAGAGGCGAAGTAACTCACAGTACCTAATACTATTATGATGTTTTATTTCACTAATTGCCGTTATATTCCTCTAAATATCAGCATTCATTTGATGTGTCAAGTTCCAAACAATTTCTCGGTGGGATTGACCCAGAGATTAAATCAATCAGTGTATTAGTTGGATGCATTTATTGAGATGCGAGAGGCCATTAGAATCACTTTCCGCACACTTTCTTAATACAACTTTGACATCAATCCTGAATCAACCTATTTCGTTTTCCACTACTTAATATTATCCACAAAATCTTCGCACAGAGAAGCGTTGGCAATGCTGAACTGAATAAGTCAAGGACAGAGTTGGTCCAGGGTAAGACTCAACTGAAGAGGAAGTAAAGCAACTTTTTCATAGGTAAATAACATGACTGAGAGTACAACTGACGTGCTTCTTCACGCCGTGATGCACTTTTAAAGTATGTGGGCACCACGATATGAAAGTTCCGGCGTATGCGGAGGTGCTTGGTGAGTTCCAAAGCGATGTTGAACATCGTCTTCAATATTTTACAAGTGTATTCGGTCAAGCGCTTGCTTTAAAGCAAAAGCTAAAGGTCGGGTCGAAGCTTGATCCTTTTGTTGTAATACTTCTATAATCCCTTCTGCTAATTCCACATCGTCAGTCGTCCTAATCATCACCAGCTTGGTCAAAATCAGCATCCCCCTCAATAGAAATGACTAATTACGATAAGTTGTGTCAATCAGAATAATACACGAATCATAATAAAACAGTTTGACGTTACTCTCAGCAACTTTACGTCGCATAGGTGTCCTTACAAAGGCTTCTTTTTCAACAGCTTTAGGATTGGTTAACAAGAGGCTCGTGGTTAACTAATGGTAATTCTTTGAGACTAGTTTTACATCGGCAGGTGCTTAGTTGTATTGATTTCAAGAAAGAAAGGTTAAAACTGGGAAAAGAGGGAAAGATTACCCTGGGCCAAAGCGGACGTCTGTTACTTTTGTTGCCACCGCGGAATTTCAAAATAGGTTTTTTAGGGCTCGTGTCCTCAATTGCAGGAAGATTCAAATAGTGATGTTTTCGTGTACCAAAAGTTTTTATCCAATACATTGTTTGAGCGGCTCTCCGGTTTGTTTGTATTTTTTAGTATATAATAGTTTATCAGAAGCTGCGCTTTGTATATGACCTCTTGTAGAAATGAGGACTGTACGCTTATTGAAATACTCCAAGAAATAAACGGTCAAATTATTTGAGACTAAAACTAGATATTTTTTTATTAAATGGAAAATGGGATCATTTTTATAAGATAGATTGATGTACGAGAAGATCAGATGGTAGCGTGATCAGTTTCAGTGCTGTGTTGCTATTAAATATATAGATCATTCTTTCTTTACATTTATCTAATTTATCAGGATTATTTTCGTTTAACTTTATGAATGATTTCAGGGGCAACGAAACAGTATACAATTGATATGAGGTAGGAGAGGCCATTCTTAGTCTCTCCTTGATTGTGTGGTTATGATTTGGACAGAGACGAGAAGAAGTGGTAGTATAACATGATTGAGCAAATGACTTGCAGAGAGGCCCAGATGATGATGAAGCTTGTTCCAATCTTCTTATTTTTATAGTATCTGCTTTCGTTTGTTTCTCCTCTGACGTGTCTTTACTTTTTCATTTCCCTGAATAACTATAGTGATTAAATGAATGTAAGTAAATGTTCTGAAGCTGACGATATCACATAGTATTTCAAGGATCACCTTTTATTCCACTAGGATTAGTATGATGTCTTTCTTCTTCCATTCCAGCTTCAATTTTTTGTCTTTTTTTTTTTTTCTTAATTAGGTTCAAATATCGTATAAATGATTTTTGGCAGCCAATGCAATGAATACCTCTTTTGCAATGTTCTTCTTTCTTTAGTGTCTACAGCTGTTCTGGATGTGGTATCATTTTCATTTGCATATCATTCCATTTTGTATATAAATAATGGTGATCGGCTGTAAAATTTGAGATTGTTCCAGCATATTGCTGACAGAAAATAAATGGCCTCTGCTTGCTGAATTATAGATGTTGTCAACGTATTTGTTATATCCTGATCCTCTCTCAATACCCCCAGACAAATCAGTGTTAATATATATGATCACTTGGCCGGTAATCGATAATCGTTTCTTGCGCCGCTGACTCTCTATCTAAGCGTGTTGAAAGATCATGTTGCAAACATTTAGTTTTGTATTCCAATATCGGTATACAGCATTGCAACAAAGCATTTAATGGAACACTACCTTCTCGAACGACGATGAGCGTGTTTATAGTTAGAAGGGTTTGATGAGGACATTGTATCATATAAATTATTGTTTTCATCTGAACTTCTACCAGGAAAAAAATTGCTGTTTGATATGAGCCAACCTTGTTCAGCAGTAAATTTAATCACCAAGGTCATTATTACTTTCAAAAACACGGTCAGATAAGAGCCATTATAGTAGTGTCCCATCCAGTACAAAATCAGCAGATTCACGGTTAATGTGAATTTTCTCTATGAAGGTAAAAAAATCAACCATATATCCAGTAATCGTTCCTGAAGAAAGACAAACGACCTTGTCGACTACAGTTTGGCTGAAATGACATAAGCGAATTGTAAAATAAGCATAGTTTTTTTTTTTCCAATCCAATATTAAAAAATAAAACATCACCAGGTGTTTGATACGGATTCCAGTGAGTCTCTTTGCCAAGGAAGAACCTTTATCAGTCCAAAAGATCTGAAAAGTGTTGGAAATACCTAAACCATCCATTAAAAATTAACTAAAAAATAAAGGATGACTGATTAAGTTAACAAAAGTGATGTTATGAATTCTTCATGTAAAAGCTCAAGTGAATGTTAATGTTTCTGGGAAATAATTTATTCACTAAAAAAAAAATCAGTGAAGCAACCCCACTTTCCGGGATCAATCCAGATTTTACGATGTTTTGTTTTATTGTGATCCTTAACGTTACTACAACTGATTAAATAAATTACAGGTGCGGAGGCACCTTGGCTATTTTTATCTATATATCGAATTTAAAAATATTACGATAAAACATAAATTTCAAAATTGCGGTGATATATATTCTGGCGTTATTCTCAATTATTAAGGTGCCATATGCATTACGATTTAAGGTTTCATTTGTTGCATTTTAATAACAGATCTATGCAGCTACTTATTTTATATATTTAACACGGTTTACCCTTTTTATAGTGCTAACAAAAAAAAAGGAATTGCGTTTAACCATGATGCACAAGTAACAAAAAAAAATCCTTTACAGGCATTTTTGATCAAATCCAACTTTGTTTGTTGTACAGATTCGTCATAGCAAAGGTATATACTGATATTGCAGCTTTTGACTGACTTCTTGGCAATATGGGGGCCAATATGTAGCTTTATAGCTGCTTTTTCTTGAGAAAGCTAGGTCTAGAAACCAAAACCTAATTTTATCATGTAACAAAAGTCCAAACTCCATTCTTCAAAGCGTGTGAAATATGTTAGCAAAAGGGACCAATCGTTAAAATAAATACCCTTACTCGCTCAAGTGATCTGGATAAACATTATTATGCTGTATAAAGTACCGCAAAGTCAGTGGCATATACTCATAGTTATGTAGAAGCCCCCTACCCTCGATATGTTAATCCTGATAGTTAATCCTTCCAAACCATTTTATAACCGTCGCAGATGATAATTGCCTAATCTGGTGAATATACCCTATTATAGAATATTAATTGAATTGTAGGTCCGAGCTATCTTTTATTTTCTTAGGTAGAATTATCTGGTATGTCAAATTATTCAATTATATCGAAAGTCCAAGTATACCATAATTATGATTTTTTAATATGACAAGATTTTGTTATGTCTGTCGTCTTCCTCGAACTTGTCTCTTGTTCTATCCTAATATGGCCTCAAATCGATTGAAAAAGGCATGTATAATTATTTTGGCGACATAAACGCGGCTCGGAACTGGAAAAACATCAGTCGCCTGAGAAATATTCCTATAACTAGACATATTTACCACGCTAGGCAACAGCTAGTCAAATTTGACCTGCTCCATCTCTCTTCACCTCATAGGAGCAACTTACTGAATATGGTCGTTTTTTTTAAGATCTTCATTGGGTGAAACTCAATTAAATAACATGTTGTAACTTTGTACACTAATTGTTAATCATTATCTTATGATTACATGACATAATCAGGGGTATATCTTTTCACGATTGGTGTCTTCCGAAAACATACTTTACATCTATTAAGGGAAATTTGTTTACATGGTATGTCATTCTTAACCAATAGCAATTTATTTGTCCCAGTTTGTTTAGTTGTAATCTCCAGTTGCGAAATAGCATATGAAGAGAAAATGTTAATATTTTGATTGGTCTGAATCAATAACAACTACGGCGTCTTAAATGTGGTGCATCTACATTACCTTATTACTGATAGGTGTTTATCAGACGTTATCTGATACGTACAAACTATGTCCCACAGGGTTAAAAATCGCTATAAGTACACGGGTCTTTTTTTTCGTGAACATCCCAATTTTTTTAATTCGTTTTATTTATAACTTCCTCCGTTTTAATCAATTACATTAAGTCACCTTACAAATATTATTCAAGCTTGATTATGAAAGAAGAAGAGAATTATATAGATGAGCAAGTCATTTCCGATAAAGTTGAAGAAGAGAAACCAGCATTTGATGATGAAAAACATGCAGAGTCCTGGTTACAAGATTCAAAAGATATGAAATTAGATCCTGAAGGACAAAGTGATGATTTTTTGCCTATGGAAGATGATATTGATATTGCTATTGTCAACGATCTTGCCGTTACTGAAGATGACACCACATTAAGATCTGTAACTGTCAGATCTATAATTGTCGGAACAGTAAGTTTTATCATTTCTTGGAATCAAGCATTTCTTTGCAGCTTTTAACTTTGATGTATAGCTTCTTTCCATCCTCAGTTCATCCGTTTCCCAACTTATGGTGTTCAAACCCGTTGGTATTGCATTAACCAGTACGTTTATGTTGATTCTGGCTTATGTTTTCTGCACTGCTTGGGCCAGGTTCCTTCCTAAAGGTGGCTGGTTAAACCCCGGTCCCTTAAATGTGAAAGAACATGCTTGTATATATATTATGATTTCCGCTGCCAATGTTAGTGCCTATGCCACATATGTTTTATCTGCACAGCAGCTTTTCTACACAGACAGTCCTGGAGCTGCCGGTGGGATATTTTTACTACTGGGTACACAACTTGTCGGTTACGGTATTGCTGGTCAACTCAGACCTTATCTTGTATATCCCTCCAACATGATCTGGCCCCTCTCTCTTCCTGTTGTATCTTTATTGAAAACATTCAATACCAATGCAGAAGAAGCCAAGTCTCGCACACGATTCTTTTTTATCGTCTTTGGCGGAATTTTTATTTACGAATTTATTCCTCAATATATGTTTCCTATGCTCGGTGGAGTCTCTATTGTCTGTCTTGCTAAAGATAACAGTCCTTGGATCCAACGTCTTTTTGGTGGTATCGCTGTCAACGAAGGAATGGGAATGTTTCAACTCAGCTTTGACTGGAACTTTTTATCTTTCTACACGCCTTTAACTATTCCTCTATGGGTCCAATTGAATGTCTACTTTGGTATTTTGGTTCTATGGATCATGGCTCCACTTGTTTACTACTATGATGTATGGAATGCTCAAAGCTTTCCGTACTTGTCCAACTCCATTTTTAAGCTCTATGATAATGGTACCTCTGAAATTTATCCCCAACATGAAGTACTAAATTCAGACAACTCTTTGAACCATACTCTTTTGGAGGAAGTAGGAAGTCCACAGTTTTCTGCTGTCTTTGCTGTAAACTACGTTTTGGGAAACTTTGCTGTCACCGCTACGATCACCCATGTTGCTCTCTTTTATGGAAAAGAAATCTGGTCCAATTTTAGAACACTTAAAAGCAAAATTATCAGCGGCGATGTCGATATTCATATGAAATTAATGCAAGCTTACCCAGAGGTAATGATTTAACAAACATGTTTGCCAAAATTGTTGTTAATTTTTTTCTTCTGATATATTAGGTTCCTTCTTGGTGGTACTATTCTGTTTACGTCTTTGGTATTGCTCTTAACATTGGTATTGCATATGCAAATCATTCTCAACTTCCTTGGTGGGGTGTTATATTTGCTATTGTTATTTCTACCGTCCTTTCGTTGCCACTCAATCTCATTAGTGCAGTCACTGGATATGGTTTTGGATTAAACGTATTAACTGAGATGATCTGTGGTTTTGTATTGCCGGGATATCCTATAGCCAATATGTACTTCAAAACTCTGGGTTATAACACTATCTCACAAGCTGGTGTAATGGCGAAAGATTTAAAGATTGGCCATTATCTTAAGGTTCCTCCAAAGATGACATTTCTCCATCAAATACTTGGTACAATTATTGGATGCATTTTCAATTATGTTGTGAATGATAGTATCACAACGTCTGAGCGTGAAATTCTTTTAGATCCTGTGGGAAATCAATTCTGGAACGGTGCTTCACCTCAAACCATCAATTCTGCTGGTATTACTTGGGGAGCCATTGGTCCAGCTGTTATGTTTGGTCCAAACACACAATATTACATTATTCTTTGGGCATTTGTTATTGGGTTTTTTATTCCTATCCCCTTCTGGATCCTCCACAAAAAATTCCCCAATATTGGATTCAACTACATTAATATTCCCATGATCTTGACTGGTGTCTCCACTATGCCTGGTGTTAACACAAGCTGGGTCACTCTTTCGTTTGTTCTGATTCTTATTTCTCAATGTTATCTGAAGCGTCGTCATAGTGCTTGGTTTGTTAAGAACAACTATTTAATTTCTGCTGCTTTGGATTCAGGAACTTCTCTCATGGTATTTTTGATTTCGCTCATTTTCTACGGTGCGGCCGGTGGTACTCCTCATGTATTTCCGACTTGGTGGGGTAACAATGCTGACGCATTATACGTTGACAATTGTTGTCTTAACTGTTAAATATTGTCTCATTCAATTTATATAACCCATAATATTTAATTCTGATATCCAATGTTGATTTCTACCATATTTCTTTATTCATTTCAACCTTTTATTTTGCTACAATAAATTTCTTTCTAAATCTTTTTTTTTTCCTATGTTCAATGTGTGATACATTTTGCAGACAGGAATTGGTTGGTAATTTTTTAAACGGTTACATCTTGCATTTCATCATCGTTCACTCTTTATAGTGGTTTACATAGCCTCTCTAGTCCCTCGCTCCTTTTTTTTAAAAAATAAGCTATGTGCTTTTAAGACAATGAAGTTACGAACAAATAAATAAATTTAATACCGTGTTTTTTCCATTATTTAAATTAGTTGGTACAAATATTCCATAAATCTTATACGAGGAATATCTAAACTTAATTTGTAGTAAGACTAAACGAAAGTGTCTGATATGTCTCAGTTTTTTTTTTTTTTTTTTTTTTTTGGCTGTCTATTATTAGCAAGCGACTTTGCAATTTTTTAGTAATTTTATCTTCTGCTCCCATTCTGATTTAAAACTATACATTTTGCGCTTTCCTTGATTACGACCTAAGGATTTAGGTTATAACTATACCTAAGGGCTTTGAACTAGCAAGAATTTTTGTTGAAATATATATGGTATCCATGGTAACTTTTACAACAAGTTCAGTATATGTCTAAATTGTAAGGTTAAGGGTATTTCAAAAGCTATAATTCCCAAAAAGAGATTTATCAAATGTTCTAGTACAAATTTACATAAATTGAGTGTAATTTCCGTGATCGTTGTGTAAAAAGTCAATTATTACATAAAGAAAAAAAATTGGATCGTTGCATGTGATACGACGGGATGGTTCTTCGTGTTTTACATGCATCATTTAACCCTTTTTAAATTGTTGATTTATAATAGCCCCCCGCTGGTACCTTATGTGCACACAGAAATAGGGGGGTGAAACCTTTAGCATGGCATAGTATAAACAAAAATTATGTCATACAAGTCGTCACCGTCTTATTACAGATTTTAATTTTTTTTTTTTAAAAAAAAAGACTCGTCTGCTTAATATCAAATAATTAAAACATAGCTTATATGTTCACGTTAAAAACTAACGTAATTAAAGTATTTGATAAGGTCAAAGTAAAGACCAATCAAACAGTACGTACAGGGTCTTCAGCGATAAATTATCACATATATTTTGCTATATTGCTTGTTACACGTATTGCTTTAAAGAGACTTTTTTATTTCATCGGTTTTGTTGTGTTACCTGTAAATAAACAAATGACAACTTTTAAGAATTAGAAATTTGAACCGTACAACACATTCAATATCGGACCAGCAACATTTATTAACAGCGCCATAAAATATATATGAAAAGTGAGCATTGACAACTTTTTTTAATTGTTGAAATACATGAGTCTGTATGCCCGCTGTTAAGGAATTAAGAACTTGTGTTTCATTGTTGCTATTGTTTTCTGTTTCATCATTTAATGCTATTACTGCTTTATTTCGTTGCAATACATCACTGTGTACAATCAAGATAATATGTTGCTACGCTTAAACAAATATCTTTTTCTTTTTTGTATCACGTCTGTTCTTTGAGATCTATGCAAACAAAATTTGAAATTATATAATGCAACACTAGTACATAAGTAATTTGCGTTGGGAACACTAGTAAATCGGTACTACAGACCGGCAAAGACTATATGCAAAATTAAATTGGGAAGTATAGGACTTGGCTGAAAAGGGTCTGTAAGACCCAAGAGCATTGGAGTACCATTACTACTCAATACACATGATGTACCCCTTTATTACACAAACCAGCGAACAGGGTGCTTATCACTCAAAATTATATAATAATGAAATCGCACGTGCCATTGTTTTTTTTATTCTTATTCTAGTATTGGTGTTTCAGTGAATAGAATGGTTTAAATTAAACAACAATGAATGTGAGTGTCAACAGACTCTCGATTCTGCTGCCAAGATACGTTTATCCACAAATATTTTTCCATGGAATTAGTGTTATTGGTTTACTGCAATGTAACACGCGGATGATTGAATAAAAAAGAGAGTATGGGTGAGCCGCCACCCTCATATCAATAATCGTGAAGGGCAATTCTTGACGTAGTTTATATCAAAAGAACGTAAGAATGTATCAGTCATCGTCATTTCCGCTGATGCACGTCATAAGCAATGTAAAAACGCTATATTCGCAATCATCTTATCCATATCATTTTTCTTTATCTTATTATCCTGCTTACGTGTATATTAAAGAGTGATTAAAAAAAACATCGAGTGATAACTTCAGGTGACTCACTGCATAATACATGATAATAATAATAATAATAAAAGAGAGTGTCTTACAAAGTATTATGGTCAAAAAGGACAGGAAAAAAATGTTGACCAAGCATGCTTTTGACAATAACGATCAGTAAGTTACCTGTAAACAGGGCAAGGACGGGCCCTGAATCTACGCATTTGTCATTTACCGATTGATTTGTGTTACTGACAGTGATCACTAAAATGGGGAGGGGGAGCAAAGTTGCACAATAAAACATAATTGGGGCGACGTTTGTCACTCGACCCTGCAAAAAAGAAGGGGGTCCCTTTGTTACTTATTACAGTTTTTTTTTTCTCATGGCTTACGTGTAAATTAATCTCAAAATTTGTACGTCAATCATGTTTAGAAAAAAATAAAAACAGGGAAGGTAGGGCAGGTAAGCAAAAAGTATAAAAGGGAAAACAAAAGTCGATCCTTGTCGTTTTTCTTTTCATTATCCAAACAAGTATTTTATATTAACAATGAGATTCAGTTCTATCTTATTTGCTGCAGCCACTGCCACTCTCTGCTACCTCCAAGGCACTTCAGCCATTCCTGTTAGTCTTGAGGCTCGGGCTGCTCCCTCTAGCAAGGTCATCGTCGGGTAAGATTATTATTGAAGTGACAACACAATTGGTACTAAATCAACAACTATTTGTGTAGTTACTTTCCTAATTGGCTCTATGGTCGTTATACACCTTCAATGATTGATTTCAGCAAGTATACTCATATTTATTATGGTAAGATAGCCTGAGTAGTTGTTATAAAAATATTCGCTTATTAAAATTTATGCTTGTTGTAGCTTTTGCTGTCCAAAACAGTGCTGGTGTTCCAATTTGGGCTGATACCGGTGTCTTCGATAGTAAGTTCTATCATTACAACTTTTTTTTTCTTTTACTAACTTTTCTTTTTAGCCTATGTTGCTTATGGTTTCCCCAAGCTTGTCACATTAGCTCATGCTGCTGGTGTTAAAGTAATGGTCAGTGTTGGCGGCTGGTCTGGCTCTACTGGTTTCTCTTTAATGGCTGCTACACCTGCTACGCGTGCCACTTTCATCAAATGGAACGTTGATTTTATCAACACTTGGAACACCGATGGTGTTGATATCGATTGGGAATATCCCAACGGTAAAGGAGCTGGTTGTAACGCAGTCAGCGACAATGATGTGAACAATCTCCAATCACTTATTCAAGAACTTCGCGCCTCTTTCACGAGTAACTTTGCCAACAATTACAAGGAAATCACCATGGCCGTCCATATCACTCCATTTGGTGGCGATAATCCCGTGACTGATGTATCTGGATTTGTTCCTTACATGGATCGTTTCCATGTCATGGCTTTTGATGTCAATGGAGCTTGGAACTCTACATCTGGACCCAACGCACCTTTCAGAGCTCAAAGCGGTCATGGCTATCCTTATGGATTTGTTGAAGGTATTCAAAGCTGGGTTGATGCTGGTGTTCCTCCTGCCAAGATTGCTGGTGGAATTGCTTTCTATGGTCGTGCCCAAACTTTGACTGTCACATCTGATCCCACTACTCAATACAATCCTGCCGTTTCTCCTAACCCTCCTCTTGGTGATTCTCTTGATGGACCATGGCAGGACGCTTACTGCTCCAGTGATACCACTGTCGCATCTGGTGTCTGGAGATTTACCAATATGCGATCTCAGGGCCTTCTTACATCCCCTACTACCGCTGCTGCACCTTGGGTCCGTCACTTTGATAATGTTACTCAAACCCCTTGGTTGTATAATCCTACCAACAAGCAATATATCTCTTATGATGATCCTATCTCTCTTGGTGTCAAGACTCAACATGCTCTTTCTCAAGACCTTGCTGGTCTCTTTGTTTGGTCTGTTGAACAGGACAATGGCGAGCTTTTGAATGCAATTTCACCCATGGTTGCCGGAAACCCTTCCAAGCCCCCTATTGGATCCAGTACCTCTACCATTGCTACCGCTACTAGCACTGCTACTGTATCCACCACTTCTGGCACTGCTACTGCCACCCCTACTTCAGGTACTGGAAACTGCGCTGGTGTTGCTACTTGGAATACCTCAACTGTCTATACTGGTGGTACACAAGTTGTATACAATGGTAACCTTTACAAGGCTCAATGGTGGACCCAAGGAGAAACTCCTTCTGCCACTGCTGCTAATGGTGTCTGGCAACTCGTCAAGGCTTGTTAAAGAAATCCTATTTTATGTTTCGGCTTAACTATTTTTCGCTCCAATTTATCTCTAACCATATCTACTTATTATTTGACATAATATTACCTATCTATCTTTTTTATTTTCAATAATAAAATATTATCCTTTTCTCAACTTCATGTAATTGCACTTTGTTACGGCTAAATAGTTTTGCCTAAATTAAACAATAAGCTTTCCTAAGAATTCCCGAAGAAAAAAAAAACAATGTGCACTCATGAATAGCTAAACTGTGCATTTTTCAATGAAACATCAATGACAAAGGAAACACACTTTTATATTATTACAATATATCTTTAAATACCTCTCCAAAAAAAAGAGGAGGATCATTTTAACTTCTTTTATCAAACACATGGGAATCTACGAAAGTAAAGAAAAAAAGCAAAGCTCCCGTACTTCTCCCGAGATCCCCGCTGAAGCTAGTGCTATACCAAAGCCTGCTGATACCCATGTGAGGCGTAGTCAATTGCCTGCAAATCGTGTAACCACGGATAGACTGATTCCCTCTTTTATGACCCCCTATATCTTGCACATTCAAAACACAATCGGTGATGGTAACTGTGGTTTTCGGTCTGTAGCCCTCTCGGTAGGCAAAGAAGAGTACGAATGGCCTGAAATTCGAAAAGAGTTAAGCGCTCAGTTAGTTAAAGAAATCGGCCACTATCGATCTATCCCTCAGTTAGAGCCATCCATTGCCGAAATATTGGAAAGCTTTCAGTGGTCATCTGGAGCTTGTTATAATGAAATTTATCATATGCAAATGCCAATGACAGGTAATGTCCACACACTTTTGTAAAGGATAACATGCAAAAAAAAAATACTTACTCAGTCTACTTATTATCATACATTTATAGCGTTCATCATTGCAGATTTATATAAGAGACCGTGTGTTGTATTCACACAATCCGAAAATGTGACTTACATGCCCATGTATCCACCCTCAGAGAACGAACAAGACAATAAGCCCATTGTTCTGGTTCTTGATTTTCCTAAAACACAAGGCTACTCAAGTGGGCATTATAAGTCTGTTGAAGTAACCGAAAATTGTATCTTACCACCGCTTGCCAATGTCATGTCACCCAGTTATGAGCAATGGGAAGCACTTTTTTTAGAACGTTTACAGGCTTACAGTCAAATAGCATCAGAAACCGGTAATAAGTACCATGGAAAGGATCAAATTGCATTATTATTAACTTTTTGTGTGTGTGTAGAGGATTTAAATCCTGAAGCTGAAATATCGCCAACAAGTAGCGTTGTCAGTTACTTGTGTTTGCTCAACCAGGAAGAAAGTCCAGTCATTTCAGTATCAGATCCCCAAGAAGAAAATCCGGTCACTTTAATTCTAGACGCTCAAGGAGAGACTACAGTCAGTCCGAACACAACATATCAAGAAGACACTCATGTCCATTTGATTCCAGATCATCAAGAAGAGGGCTTAATGAATTTGGTTTTAGTCCTTCAAGAAGACGCTCCAGTCAGTTCGACTTTGAATTCTCAAGAAGAAACTCTAGCCAGTTTGATTTCAGAATTTCCAGTATGTTCAGTTTCAGAATCCCAAGTCAATTTGATTCCGGATGCCCAGGTAGAGGCTCCAGTCAGTGTATATTCACTCCTCTCGCAAGCAGATACAGACGCTAGCGTGATTGCTCACACGGACGGAGCGAATGATGCCGACGTAAAGCCCAAAAGAAAGCTTTGTAGAAGTAGGGTTCGAGCCAAAACATTGTTAAGGCGTCTAAGACTTCGAACTGCCATCATTGGCAGACTAGGTAAAGTCTTTGTCAAAGCATTAAAAAATGCTTTCAAGCCCGCTTTACCTATTGTCCCGTAAGTTCTTTTTAATCAGCTGCAGTTATCAGTTACTAATGATGTTTTTGTAGATATTATTACGAGGACCCTGATGATGAAGATCTACATCGTTTCTATCGAAATAACAAGTGCAGTCTGACCTATTTCATTATAATTATTTCAGGCATGTAAAAAAATAAATAAAAGGCAGGAGTATTTTTCTAAAATATGTTCAAGATTTTTTTGAGTGTGTTTGTTGTGTGTGTGTGTGTGGGGTGGTGGTGGTGTGTGTGTTGTTTATTAATAAGAGAAGGGGAAAAAATGCAAAAAAAATCAAAATGGTTTGTGTGTGTGTGTGTAGGGGGATAGGGTTGTAATCATCTAAAATTTAAACACCCAAAAGAAGTCTTCTGGGATCTTCAACGAGTTCCTTGATTCTAACCAAGAATGTAACGGCTTCACGACCATCGACAAGTCTGTGATCATAGGTAAGGGCAACATACATCATGGGACGGATCTCAATCTAAAAAAATTTAGAGGTTTAGAACAAAACCAATCACTCAAAACAATTAAAGCGTACCTTTCCATCAACAACAATGGGTCTTTCCTTAATAGCGTGCATACCTAAAATGGCAGTTTGAGGCAAGTTGATGATAGGTGTACCCATCAAAGAACCAAAGACACCGCCGTTGGAGATAGTGAAGGTTCCACCAGCCATATCTTCAATGGTAATCTTGTTATCACGAGCCTAGAATAAAGGATGATTAGATAATCCACATTATTTTTTAAAACCATTAGTCATGATTTTATACCTTTTTACCGAGTTCAGCAATGTTCTTTTCAACATCAATGAGACCCATATCTTCAACGTTACGGAGGACAGGAGTGACTAAACCCTTGGGTGTAGAGACAGCAACACTCATATCAACGAAATCGTGGTAGACGATTTCTTGACCATCAATGGAAGCGTTGACGGCGGGAATTTCTTCAAGGGCGGTAGCAGAGGCCTTGACGAAAGCAGACATGAAACCGAACTTAACACCGTGCTTCTTGACAACGGCATCTTTATATTCGGAACGGAGGTTCATCAAGTTGGTCATATCGATTTCGTTGAAAGTGGTTAATGAAGCAGCAGTATCTTGAGATTGCTTAAGACGTTCAGCGATTCTGAGACGCATACGGTTCATCTTGACACGGCTTTCACCACGGTTACCATAGGCCTTTTCTTCTTGAGCTTCAGCAGGAGCAGAAGCAGAAGCAGCCTTAGGGGCAGCAGCCTTGGGAGCAGCAGCCTTAGGTTCCTCCTTCTTGACTTCTTCCTTCTTGGGTTCTTCCTTCTTTTCCTCAACAGGCTTCTCTTCCTTTACTTCTTCTTTCTTTGCTGCAGGAGCGGAACCTAATAAAAAGAAAGGTTAGAAGAAAATTAAGGAATACAACTATTTCCCACGAACCTTCTTTGGGAGCATCACCAAGTTCCAATCTGAAGAAATCAGCACCAACAGAGACATTGTCTTCTTCTTGGGCAAAGACTTCGACAATAGTACCTGATGCGGGAGAGTTGACAGTGACATCAATTTTATCGGTTTCAATGGTAGCAACTTCTTCATCTTGTTGAACGAAATCACCAACCTCTATATAGAAATAACAATGACTATTAGAGGCATAATCCCGATTTTGTTTTTTTAACCCTCTCACACACAACTTTTACTTACGTTTCACCCATTGCTTGAGAGTACCTTCAGAAATAGACTCGGCCATTTGAGGAACCTTAACAACCTTATCAGCTATATAACAGAAAGAAATATATCGAATCGATATGTTAAGTGATTGTGTGCGTATTTGTGTGTGTGTTTGCGTATAAGTTTTACCATAGGTTCTGATTTGGTTCATGAAAGCACCCTTTTGGAGACGGTTTGTTTGTCTATTGTTTATACAAATCCTTGGTTGGTAAAGAAATAACCACAGAAAAAAAAAGAGAGAGAAATTCGTATTACCTTAAACGCTCATAACCAACAGTGTATAAAGATGCAGGAACTTGGACATGCAAGTTTCTGACTTGAGAAACGCTACGTAAGGCAGCAGTTGAAGAGAGACGACTGATTCTAAGAGCAAGGGGTGATACGCGAGAATATTGCATTTTATTAAATTTACAAAAAAAAAAAAAAAAAGTAAAGATGGAGGTTAAAATAGTGGGGAAAAAAAAAAGTTAAATAGTGGGGAAGTCCAAAAAAAAAATTTATTATTAACCAGGTTCTTTAATATAGCCGGGTTAGGGCGGAAGAGGAAATCAAAACTCGGGAGATTATTTTAACGCGTTTACATGTAGGTTGGACCCTTTCTAATGAAGTCATAGCCTTATGCTTCTTCCTGGTGACCATCAGGGATTTTTTTGTGCTTTTAAATCACTGAATACAAGGCATCTCTTTCTTCTTTTCTTGGCCTCCTTTTGGCTCGAAACAATTCATTTAGAGGGAAAATGGGTGGAAGGGGAAAACGACGGGCGGATCCGGCTCAACCCGTTTTGGTCCTATGTACCGCACAGCCTCTGGGCATATTTCATTTTACTTTCCGCGCTCCCCTTCTTTTTTTTTAGAACTGCACAAAAAAACCCTGGTTAGACTTTTCTTTATGCTTTCTTTATTATCACTCATCGCTACGTATACAGCATCATTCATGTCCCGAAACGGAACCATGGATACACTAGCCGAAACTCGTATATTGTATTGCATAAACCTCTAACCTTATTAATTTAATCAAACTGTGCGAATTAAAATAAAAAAAGATAACTGTCAAACCAGCAGTTAAAAAGATTTGCTTCCACTGACCCGGGAACAGTGATCTCATCAATGAGAGATTATATCATTAAAAATTATAATACCCTGTATTCCCTCATAGGTGATACCTCCCACGAGGCTGTCCCCAAAGCATCTCTGCGTGATGCTCTACATAAATGACTATGGGAAATAACCTTAAGTTCTCAAAAGTATGCTTATATATAACCATTGACTGTTTGTTATTCGTACCTTTATATATATACAGGTAAATACCACACGGGAGATAGGAGTTTAATAAATCGATTGCACAACAATAAAAGTAAACCAGTGTTTTAAAAGTGTAATGTGACACACTTTCCCCACATTTTTTTATTTATTTTTTTACTGTTACATCATTTCAGTAAACTTTATCAGTCACTAGACAGACTAAAAATTATAATAAAGAAGCGGGTACCTGTTGAAATTTCTTACATAATGAAGAGATATCTTAGAGTTACCAAAGAAAGAAAAAACTGTACGTTACATGCTTGATAAGCAGCGACTCTATTAAAGCTTAATTATTTGTGCTTTGTGCCATCATTGTGATGTTGTAGAAATATTTCCAGATTAGGAATGGGGTCCACTTGACCGTCTAAAGGATCACCGTGATTTTTTTTTTTTTTTTTTTTTTTTTTTTTGACCATCATGTACATGACAAAATAAAATCAGGAACAATATATCTTTTATCCGTTCCCTCGTATGCTAAATACAAGATGAACAAGTAGAAAGGAATGCTCACTCTACCTATTTTGAGATCAAAATCTAGTACTACAGAAAGTTATTTTTCTCTTAACTATTTAGATGCTAAATTGGGTAGATATTTAATGAATTCACGAATAAAAATACTTTTTTATCAAGTAAAGGCCAATGTCAGCTGCTCATCTAAAATAATACAGGTCCTGTTATTGTCATATACATGTTCGTGACCATTCATTTTTGTAGAGAACTGAATCGAAAGGTCATGGTTGCACTGCTTTATCTCCAGACTTATCGGAAAATCTTGTATCTGGTCTTCACAAAAGATGTTAAAATTCGAGATATAATCCTTTACATGGTTATCTAAAAACGACCCTTTGCTTATCCTGAAAAGCTCTAAAAAAAAAAGGTAAATTTTTCATATTATTAACCATCAACCATATAAAAAGAAACACTTTAGTTACCCAGGCTTATGTCGCAGCGATTTTTGGTTCCATTCCGTGATGAAAACTCCAACTCCAATTTTCGGACAAGCCCTGAAATCGGAATGACTTGTCCCTCTTCAAGAATAGGCAGAATGTTGTTGCTATCAACAACATGCTTTTGTCCGTATCCAATTTTACACGATAGGAACGGTTTCACAGGTCCGCGGATAATCATATTCTTGACACGTATTCCATACGTGTACCTCGAAACTTGTTGCAAACTTCCCTGAAAGAAGCTGTCCAGCATGTAAGGCTTTTTGTTCTTTAGAGGTTGTATCATCTCCGAAGAAGATTTTTCCAAAACAAACACGTGCGTATCTTTTTCTTTCTGCCTAATGCTGATATTTATCTCTCTTTCCAACATTAAAGTGTAGGCTTTATAAATGTTAGACTTAAACGGTAATTCAAAAATATTACCCAGCATAAATACAGATTTCACATCGTAATTTCCAAACTTTCTTTCTGTATTTGACAATGAGTCCGCAACAATGTTTACAATAATGTCCATGACTGGCTTGAAGCCAAATTCAATGATATCCACTAGACATAGCTGAGTACTACAGTCGCATTCTTTACTCAACCCGATTGTGTGCTCTTCGTATAGATCTTGAGTTGAATTTGAGGTAAGCTATAGTATATTCGGTTTAACATCAATGAGTTTATAATTTAATGGTGACCCTAACAAGACTTACAATTTGTGATAATTGTACATTTAATTTCTGGAATGTATCAGTATAATTTTTAAAAGAGCTTAGGCCATCATGCAACTCCTTTCCTCTGTGTTTAATGTGAATATGACAGTAGTTGATCTCGCATTTTGATATCATATGATTCCACATACTCTTGCATAAGGCTGTATTCACGTTTTCAATTTCAATTATATCTTCTTGAACAATAATGGTATTTACATTCTCCTCTGTTGGCAACAGTCTTACAATCTGATGTAAGGTGAGCTGAATATGTGTATCATGTAGTTGAGCAACGATAAAATAGGTCTTCATCTTTTGATCCAAGTCTACAATGTGTTGCTGGATGATGGAGGGTATACTCCCACCAACTGTGCAAATTTTTACTTTTCTATGATGATGATTTATCTGAAGTATTCCGCTCATAAAAAGTAGTTCTTTTATACGTTCTTTAGAGCCAAATATATTGTCCAATATCGTCTTCTCTACAGAGATAACATAACCAATATTTTTGTGTGTCCAGTAATTATCCAAGTTCTCATTCATAGAAATCAGAGTTGTTTTATGAATATGAGAGAGATACATGACCAAAAAGATTAACCTGTATCCTGGTTGAGGAAGTGTAATTTCATCCTTAGCAATACAAAATGGAAAGTCTTTGTTTGGTAACACTGCCGTTGGCGTAGCAAAAAACTCTGCCAAATCAAATCTTCTATGAAGCAAATGATACACACCAGATCCATTGTCAGCAAGCTCCTTCATCAAGTTTGGCATAAATCTGATATCTGCAAAATGACCCTTAAAGGAACTAAATAGATTGTCAATGGATTCTTTCATACTATTACTCACAATACATGAATTAGTACCTCAAAAATATACAGTCATCTTCATTAAATTTACCTATAAGTAATACATAGCTCTGGTCTGCGGTATTTGTCAAGTTTCCGGAAATAGTAATTTAAAGGCTGTATTATACTAAAAGGGTTTTTTTTTCAATATCAAGGTCAAGTTAATACAAGATAACACTATTGAAACCTTAAAAAAATTACTTTACCATTCATTATATTTAAAAGATGTACGAACATGGCTGTTCCTTTCCACAGACGCATATGCAAATTTGATAGATTTGGGTAAAACATCTTTAGGCAAAAAAAAAAAAAAAGTCAATTGTTTATTAAATCCTGATAAGCCATCTTTCTCTTACCTATATTGACGATAGTGCTTAATTTGGAGTTATCACTAAAACAATCTACCTGTTGGTGTCCGGGGATTACGATTGGTTCTCTGATGATACCGCTTTTTTTCAACTGCTGCTTTATCTCAATTACGCTGCCATGCATTGTTCTTTCAAAGGAGTATTTGGCGCAAAGCGATCGAGATACTCCAAATGACATGAGACCATAATTGTGTGCCTTACCATACCTTATTAGCCAATCTTTTAGAAAACCAAGTAGCAATATATCTTCAAAACATTGTGTCTCACGCAAATTGTTCAAAATGGAGACTGGTTTTCCGTCTGAATTGTACCTACATAAACATTGCATTTGTTCATCAAAGGCTTTCTCCATTATAACTAGCTTGTCCTTGTATATATCTTTTACGGTCAATAATCTGACTTCTGGTGGTATTAAATCGTTCTTATATGCTCTTGTTCCTAAAAATGATTGCTCGAAAGGCTGAACATCAAATATTTCATTCCAAGGGTGTTTTTTTGGGTTTTGGAATAATGGCTACAAAAAAACAAAAAGGTTTTAATTGTCTTCCCCATTTATCAAGCCATTTTCGTTTATGTACATGTACTCGGTTTTCATAATCAGACATCAATTGTTTCAAAATATCTAACTTTGTATGAATATTGTGTCTTTTTAAGCACGTTGCAATGTCATCAATATCTATTTTTAACTTGCAATTAATCTGAAAGCGAATCGCCTTAATTAGTCGCGGGACAAAATAATCATTGGTTGATGTGGCGGGAGGATAATGAGCTGTAAACAGATCAAGATGGATACATTGGCGATTATCCATCAAAGCTAAAGTGCATAACATGTACCGTTTCCCGTTTACAAACTTTTCGTTTATACCATAATGTTTGTTATTAGCTTCCGATTGAAGATAACAAAAATCCGATTCGAGCTGACTGTAGAATAATAACTTGTCGTGATGATCCGTCAAACGGACAAGTTTGGACGTGATAAAAAGCTCTCGGATCACCTTTTCTCGTATTTTAAGATCCCAATGTGTGGGAAGTGTGATGGCTAAATGGTAGTTGGCTCGCGTTGAGCTTGTGCACTCTGTGAAGGCACTTCGTAAAAATTCTCGAACGCCACGTAGTACAAATAGATCGTGTGTGCTGATCATTCCACCTTCTTTCGGTCGTTTATAAATTCGATTGATTTCCATAAAAGCATTCTTGATATAAACAATATCTGGACTTCTGTTTTCCTCTTTCTCGTATGCAATATCCGCTTCTTCTCCATACTTTAAGGACTTTTTGACACGCATATCGAACATGATAGAAGCCTTTCTTTTATGACTGTGAATTTAAAAGGGGGATCAGTAAACAAAAATGGTTTTCGGAGGTCTTTTATAAACGAACCAACTTCGCTGTAGATTCATTGATTGTTTTATTCCGTTCATAAATGACCTGTAATAAAAATCTGTTTCATCGAAGCCTATTTTATGTAAGTAATGTAAGCTTAATAAAGTATTATTTCATATATCTTTCTTTTGCTTTTACTACCAAAATGAAGACATTGCTGATGTTGAGATAAGTCATATATATTTTCCATAAGATGTGTCACTTTATAGTAAAAAACGAAAAAAAAAGAGGGAAAAAAAAAGGAAATTCCTCGTTTTGCCTCACGAAAGATTTTTTTGTGTTTGTGTTTGACAGGGCTGAGTCAGACTTTATGTCTTGTATACAATCGCGATTAATGAGGAGGGCAATATTTCTCCTATTTATAACCATTTTTTGTTACCCCAATGTTTACCACAAGCATAATTCTGTAAAGCCACAGTGATATCATTTTGAGGCAAATCGACCGTGCGTAGGTAAAAAAGTGTCAACTTTGAAGATAGCTTTTAACATCCGATCAGGGACAATGTTGCACTACTAATATAAGCTTAAAACTCTATAATATGATGTGCTCTCTATAAGGTTATTACACCCTATGAGCAGGGCCTTCAAAAAATTTTATTGAAAAAAACAAGCGGGCGGATGCGTCATTTATGAATATATTCAACTATGGACATATCAGATTAAGCTTGTCTCACTACATTTCAAAGGTGCGTCACCGTAAATATTTTACGGGACATCCTCCACTGCTTACGAGTGACAACCCATTTTTTTTTTTTTTTTTTTTTTTTTGGAATAACTAAACCTTTTAAGTCTGCCCTATGTTTTTACTATATATGTCATTTATGAATTTCTTGTTGATACATCAACATGGTCAGTTTGATAGAAGATACAAAAATCCTACTAGGGATGTTATCTTCATAAAGTCGCAGTTCTTGATTTTAAGATTTTTGGCAGCTTTAGAACTGTATTTGAAGTGTAATTGAAATGTATAGACCATGCTTCTACCAAAATTAGCAGCATACACATTTTAAAACTCTGATCGAGTTAAGATGCAGAAGAGCTGATTTTATTAAAAAAAAAAAAAAAAAAAAAAAAAAAAAATAGGTAATTAAAACAAAACGAGCCTAAGGTCAATCATTTTGTAAGCACAGCTTGATAGACGTCAAAATCGATCTAACTGAGCATTCATCTTAAGATATTATGGAAAAGCGCTTCGTAAATCAATTTAGACATACATGCTTGTTATTCAAAGATATTAACTCTGTGATTGCATAAGCCTTCCATCTTTTATCGCACTTTACCATATGGAGAGAAGATACAAAACCAGAGCAGAACATGTAAAATAGTAAAAGAAACATTTTTTTTTTGGTTTATAAACAAAGCAAGTATTGATTTACGTCAGGATGTAGTCATTCAATCTAATCACATTTGTTTACATCTTGCATTTAACAAGATAAGCAAGCCTTTAATCGGATAAACAAATATTGCTTTACATTAGACTGGATAAACTGACCCGGTCCCTTGGACGATGCTAAAAAATTATCATTTTAGTAAATCATGTTTCTTCATGGAAAAATCTGATTTTATAATTGGCAACATAAATCACACAATTCATACCTTTGCAGCCGTTCATGTTTTGCTAGAAGAAAAGCCATCTCTCAAGACAAAGATTGTTGCACGAGGCGGGGTTCTTTTTATAAGAATCCTATACACGGATGCATATCTCATCTATTAGGCCGCGTGCTAACTACTTACAGAACATTATATGTACTAACTGAATCTTATCATTCTTGTGTTGTACAAACGCAGAAAAGATCTTTAACAAATTGCTGTCAGAACAGAATCTTCTTTAAGGACGAGATTATATAGAAAAAAGTGTTTACATCTGTTAAAAAGAACTTGACGTTGAAATGCAAGTCAAGAGCTCTGGCATTAACACCCAACCTTAGCACATGTCAGATACGTTCTTTTATTTTTGCTTATTTACATTGTTATAGAGAGCTTTAATCATACAAGAATAAGCAAATACTACTACCTTTAATTAATCCTTAGGATAAAAGTAAACGCCCTTATTAATCATAGTATAGTGATCCCTACACACCCTACCCAAGACACACACATGTACACACAGTTTGGTAAACAATTTCATATATTTTATTTGTATGTGCTAACCTTATCAAACAATGAGAAACGGATCGCGAGGTACACCCAAAGAAATGCGGCCAATGGAGTGCATTCGAATCTCCAAGATGTGACCTTTTTTTACTTCATCTGTCGTTACTACATATTTTATTTTCCTGTCCTGTTTTTCATACTTGTACCATTGTCCTACTCCACCTTCCACCACACAAACATACGCATGGTTTTGAATATAAATATCCATATACACCAAATCATGATCTGAAAAATTCAATACCGTCTTATCTGGTTGTTCATCTAAGAACCGAGCCTTCAAAACCATGACTTGTAATGAAGGACATGCTTTTGGAATGAATTGAAGCACAGATATATCTTTAAGTGTCACTTTTTCTAACTCCAATGTATCCAAAACGGATCGGTTTTCGTTTTCTTCTTCTGCTGGGCCCATGTAAAGTACACATGAACTCAACGTCAAAAATTCCAAGCGCGGGTGTTGCTTCAGAAAAGTATTGATAGGGACATGTAAAGGTTTCCCAACCATGTAATCAATATCGGAGGAAGGATAGGTATTAATCGTGGTCAATCCTGTGAATCGAGAAAGACATTCCACAAAATCAGTTGCACCGATGGGCACAACTAAATCCAATCGATACACTGAATGCCGTTGCTTTGTTGAAAGCGAAAGATTTCGTAACTGAGTCATGTCCTGGGATTGAGAACTGTATTTTTCAAGTCGAATTTGAGTGTCGTCCAAGGCTCGCAATACATTGGTGGATAAATAACACACATCCACATTCAATGTTATTAACCGAGGGCAGTGCTCTACTAAATGAATAATGCAACTATCATAGGTCTCACTTGCCGGTGTGAATTGATTCATCTTTAGAATTTCCATAGCAGGGTATTTTGTCGCTACATAATCGAGCCAATCTGTGATACATAGATCATCGTTTTCATAAAACGAGAAACGGTTGCCTTGCATTTCCAGACGTGTGACAGTTGGAGCAGGCTGAGAGGAAGGTGGTCCACTAATTTCCATCGTATCTTCTCCTAATGTCATATCCTCTAAAATCAAAGCTTGAAGATGGGGTGCATGGGCATGTAACACATTTAGTTTCATTAACGTGAGTTTGGCTGCAATCACTTTAAAGCATTGTAAATTGGGTGCATGCTGAATTCCCATTAATAAATGATCCATGACAGTATCTACCATGTGGTCTGGGACAATGCTGAAATTGATGTCAAGGAGGGTTAAATCTGGATAGGATCCGGAATGAAGCATGGTGCCGGTATAGACAAACTTTGTGAATTCACTGAGACTACCTAATCGTTCCCATGTCTTGAAGATCTCGTCTTGTATATCGAAACAGATGCCTAGTTCAAAGGACTCCTCTTCCTCTGTATAGTCTTCCTCGTCCTGTTCGTCCTCATAGTCGGAGCCAAACATGTCAATTTCGGCACTGGCAAGAGAGAAGTTAACAACGTTCGGGAAAAGGGCGGGCCATTGTTTGAGTAAACGAAAGTTTAGTCCCGTGGCATTAACTTGCAAGGATTTCACTGTGGATCGAAAGGGTGGGTTCTTTTTAAAGAAATCCATGACGGGTTGAAGATCGCGATCCATGTAGACGGTTTCATACAGATTGTGAGAGCTAATGATGTTGTACCAGAGTTTACATGCGCAGGCTAATTGAAACCTCGTTTCAAAGTCCACGTAGGATGTTACGATCAAGAACGTTTCACGAGGAAGTCTGTCCATTCCCACTCTGTAAGTTTTAACGCAAAGGAAAAAAAAGAGTTTTCTATCTCTTTAGAAAAATATAACTGCTGACTCTAAAAAAGGCAATCCGTGTCCTTGCACACAATTAAGGTTTTCCTGTGCCGTACTTTTTACCTTTTTTTTTTATCTCTACACTCAAAAGAAATGCAATTGTATTCAACATGATACCCTAGCAAGTGTCTAAGCCAATCTCTTATTGTGTTAAATGAATTCATCGAGGGACCCGAGAACCATGTATGTTTAAAGTGTTTTTCTACTCGTGGTACAAAAAGTCATGGTGATGAGTTTGTTTGCATGTGTGAGTTAAATCTCCTACCCCTGTGAGTGTCTTTCTAGGGGGCTAAGAGCATAAAAAGTAGTCGGATAGACTATAAGGATGACCCTGAAAAACAATGCATCATGCATTAGAGTGTGAACCCTTGTTTTTTTGTGGTTACTGCAGCTATAAAGATGTATAACGGGTATTTAAATATGTGTGAACACAGGCACTAAAAAAAAGAGGCACGCATACGCACGGTATGACAAAGGGAAAAAAAAAGAGATAAATAATAAACTGTTATTACAAACATATACTTTTATATACAGAAGGAAAGATGGACTAAAGAAAAGCACAGAATTCATCGACTTTATCTTCCAACCATTCCCATCTTCGCATACCAACAACCCATTCGGTAGGTAAATGACTATAACCCAAACGAGCGCCCAAGAGAGCGCCCGCCACGGTGGCATTCGTATCCGCTTCACCACCTTGCATGACAATATCCATCAGCATCTTTTTGAAATAATCCGTTTCAGATTGAGCTGGAATTTCTCTTGTCAGACAATAAATGGCGGCGCTCAGACATCGAAATGTGTCCCGACGATTCACGACATCATCCAACATTAATTCATTCAATGAATTGGGTACACAATAATCTAAGAGTTGATGGTAATACACTTGCATTTGATCCATATCCGTTTCTGGAGTGACAAACAATCGATCGGTTTGTGGTGCAATTAACATGGGCTTGTTTGTTTCTACTACATTGCGTACAAGTGATTGTAATCGAGCATCTACTGGTAGTGTATCTGTAAATGTTGTTATATTAGGTGTAGGTGTGGTGGGTGTCATTGGACTGGGTATAGGTGTCATGTTGACTTCAATTTCTAAATCCTGGCCTCTCAGCAGTCTATTAGGGTAAGGTTAGCAACAAGTATAAATAGTAAACAATTTCAGTTTTACCTAGCGATTAAGGTGGATGCAATGACACATGATATCATACAACGTGGATCAGGATGAGTGACACGGCAACATTCTGTGGTATTTTCAATCACAGTTGTACCATCCCAGAACTTGATAACACCCAACAATGGAGCACGCACAAGGGCACCATTGGCACCACGAAGGTTGTCTTTTGTTTTCCACACCTCAATTGCGGCCTTTTGCTAGTTATTTTACGTATATAGTTAGTTTCTATTTCTATAAGGGATTGCACTCATATTTACAGGGCTGGTCTGGTATGTAGGGTTGGCAAGTACGGCTTCGTTGGTTGCGTTCATGCCTGAGGGTTTTTTGTGCAGGTTTTGAATACCGTCTTTACTGTAGTTGAACAATCTTGAGCTAAAGTCTTTGGAGAGGAAGTGGCCTCCGTTGGCCAAAAGAGATTCCATGACCAACAATACTTGTTCTGCATCATCGCCGAAATCGCTACATTAGCATAGTAAGTATTTTGCTTTTCTTTTTTTGTATTTACATAAAAGGTTTTTTTTTACCTGTCTTCAAAGTTGGATCGAAAGGCATCTTTAATAAAGGGAATTCCACCTTCGTCCATACCAAAGCGAATTGGACCTTGACCATAGAATTTCTCGATTTCGGATTTGGATAATCCTTCGGTGGCCAAACCGAGACTATCACCTAAAATAGCGCCTTATGTCCCATAATATGTTAGCAAATAGAAAAATTAATTAAAGAAATAGCTTTTTTTTTACCAAAGATCAATCCCTTGACTTTATCGATAATAAGACCTGTTTCTAACTTTGAGCATCCTGAGGGAATATGCATTATAAAACAAATTTTGTAGAAAACAATATTTTCCCGTCGTTTTATTTTCTACCTTTACAGAAAAAGAAGAAAAAAGAACAACCAAAAAAAAAAGGGGAAAAAAAGAAAATAAGAAATAGCGAAGAAAAAAAGAAAAAAAAAAAGAGCGTCCCTGTTAATACTCCGCACGAATGATCTTTTTTTTACCAGAGTTTTTACTTGCCACGGGATTCATTTCTTTACATGTAAAACTTTTTATTGTACAGTGACACTTCTTACGTAATTACCTATGTCTATAAGCCCACATTGAAATAAGGAAGCCACCTATTCCCTGCGATAAGGATGTTTATGGGGAGGAAGAATAGATAATCCATGGATAAACAACCAGAATCATCTGAGACGCTTTTTAATGTACAGATGGAGATCTAATAATCCCCAAAAAAAAAAAAAATTGAGTGTCAGTAGTTTTTTGTGCAAGTAAACGTAGATAAGCCACGGTTATTTCATGCTTACAACAGCCTCTATATTTTTTTAATTTTAAATTGATACAGCACTATAAAAAAAGTGCCTTGCATTTGTTACACAACCTTCATCTTAAATATTTTCTGCCAACTTTTTTTGTTTAGTGCCTAAATCCATTCTCCGTCACTCACCCCTTAACACCACGTGTGTCCTATTAAATAAAAAAATTATAGTCTTATTAAAAATCCTTGAGAACAGATCAGAAACTTGACCATTACTTAGGCTCGTGTAACCTAATATGTACCCTCATTTGAATTAAAATGACATCAAGTTTATTTGAAGTGGGGTATAAAAAAAAAAAAAGAAGAGAGAATGCTGTAAAAAATGCACCATTATATATATTTAGAGGAAAAAGGAGGTTTGTTATATACACAATGGTTGGTTGCCTGATTGCCTGGTTACCTCGTTGCTAGGTTACCTGGATGGTTGCTAGGGAGGGAGGGAGGGGGGTATCTACTCATCGTTTTTCTTTTAGAGCCAAGGTCTCCAGCGTTTAGTTTCCTGCCTTTTCTTTTTTTCTTGTTCATCCCATTGTTGGACATAGGCAGCTGCCGTGGCCAAAATATCAATGGGTGTAACATCCGGATGAAATACGAGATCATGTGGCAATGGCGACGTACAAGCGGACGACAAGGATGAACTACTACTAGATGACCAATAGTTAAATTTGACCTTTTTCTCTTGTTCCTGGAGACGAGCACGGTTGACTTTAGCTCGGCGATTCTGAAACCACACCTATAGGTATTTAAAAAAAAAAATTTGCTTAGTTACACACCATCATTATTTCTCACACGCACGAACCTGAACTTCACGATTCGTCATTTCCAACTTGGTGGCAAGACGTTCTCGTAATTCATGACTGGGTGTATCTGTTTGTTGAAATAGTTGCGTCAATAGACAAAACTGTTCAGGCGAGATTCTCTTTCTTTTGGGCTTGATTTCTATTCTTGTTTTTAGTTTATGATCGTATTACTACCATACAATTTTTTTTATTACCTTCTGCTAATTTCTTTTGGCGTTTCAGTCCGCTCTGATGATGAAAGCTTGTCATTATTTTTTTAGCTTATACAATAGAGAGATAAAAAAAAAAGAGAGAAAAGAGAGAATTCTTTAAATTTTTTTTTGTTTTTTTTTTTGCAAATGCAATAAATAATATTCAGGGAGCCGTTTTTTTAATATCCAGGGATACAAAGAGAAAAGGAAATAATAATAATAAAAAAATGAACCGAGATACCATGAAAATGCGGATATTGAAACAATAAAAAAGGCAAAATTTTTATTCTGTTGTGAGACAACAAACAAAATCATGCCCTTTTATTTAAACAACAACAAAAAAGAAAAAAGTCACACACACATTCACAGTTCTCAGAAGTTTCCATGACTACCCCCCATTACTGCCAGCAGAGTAACCTTTTTTTTTTATCGGATTAGAATAAAAAAAAAAAAAAAAAAAAAAAAAAAACGTCACTGTGCTGCTTTTTTTACCCCTCATAAATTCTCGTTTTAGTATAAAAATTTAAACTCTTTTTCTTCTAGTTCTTCCCTTTTTCTTTTTCCACAAGAATATTAATTTTTTCTTCTTTTTTTTTATATATATATTTATCATCTTTTTGTACATATAATCCCATTTATTGTATTTAATATCTATACCACCACCACCTTTTAAACCCACAACAAAAGAGAAAAAAGAAACCAGTATTAAGCGCAAATAACCCATTTTTTTTCTTTCTTGGAAACACAACAACAAAAAAAGAAGAAAAAAAGACCGCAACACCACCAACAACAAAAAAAAAGTAAAAAGGGAGCGCTAATGAAACGTTCTTGTGCTGGCGACAATTCACCCATCATAAAAAAAAAAGTGCGTGATAACCTAAGTAATAAAGAAGAAGAAGACAGTATGAGCGTGCTTGAATACGTTCACCATTTTGTAAATAACCTAGAACAAGGCAATATTGATCATTGCCTTTCCACCAGTAAAAATGATACAACCGGTATCTTGCAACAATTATCCGCTGTCGATTCCGATCTCTTTCTTAGCCTTGAAGCCAATCTCAAAAAAATTGCTCAACGTCAGCTGCAGCTCGAAACTGAGAATTTAAGATGCCGCATCATGATTCAACAACAACATCAGCTCTTAACCACTCATCATCACGAGGAAGAAAAAGTCATGCACGCCGCTGCCTCTGCTGCTGCTTCTGATGCTCCTGCTACAGATAATAACGATGACAAGAAAAAGAATAAAAAATCAACCAAGATCTCTGCTACAAGTGAAGACGATTTGACTTCCGTCCATGATACCTCTCTGCTTGAAAAACTCGAAGATTCTTACCGTCAAATGCCCAACACCATTCCCGAACTCCCTCAAGGAGGTTACTTTGGTAAAACATTAATATTTATTAATCGCTTTTTTTTGTCTAACCTTATTTCTTTTTACGTTAGCTGCTTCTGCCACAATGGCAGCTGCTGGTCTTGCTACATCTTCTACCCCGCCATTTAATATTTCTTCTGCCGCTACTGCTTATCCCGTGTACTTTGGTACCATGTCTCCTTCTATCTTATCTTTCCCTGCCGCCACTGTCCAAACCAGCTCCGATAACATTGTCTGTCCCGATTGTGTAATCCAAGCCGTCAAAGTTGCCTCCTGTGTCTTTAATGGTGATTTGGGTCGTCGTATCACCTGTGAGCATGAACGTTGTGTTGTCTCCGGTACTGTCGTTGAATCCGATGCACCTATTAATACCTTGAAAAACGCCGTGAATGCCATGGCCGATCATTTACAGATTGTTGCAGATGAAGTCAGTTATGTTGCCCATGAAACCGCCGTCAATGGTAAATTGGGCGTACAAGCAAGATGTGGAAGAGAAATGAAGGGTTTATGGCGTGATTTTGTGGTGAATTTGAATAGTATGACTCGCAACCATTTGGAACAAGTACGAGATATTGCAGATGTTTCAACTGCTATTGCACGTGGTGATCTCAGTAAAGCTATGACTGTGCCTGTAAAAGGTGAAACACTCTTATTAAAAAACACTTTTAATACAATGGGTGAGAACTTTTTTTTTTTATTTGTTTTTTTCTTTTTTGTAATCTGACCAAAAAAAACCTTATAGTCAATCAATTGAATTTGTTCGCTTCTGAAGTATCTCGAGTTGCGCATGAAGTAGGCACGGAAGGAAAGTTAGGAGCACAGGCAAAGGTACAAGGCGCTGATGGTATTTGGAAAGAATTAACGGATAATGTAAATACAATGGCTGCCAATCTTACAAATCAGGTAAGAGACATTGCCCAAGTTTCAAAATCGGTAGCTCGTGGTGATTTAACTAAAAAAGTCACCGTCGAAGTCAGAGGTGAAATGCTGGATTTAAAAAATACCATCAATACTATGGTGGACCAAGTAAGTTATATTACCCTTCCGTAATGATTATATCTTCTAACCATATACAAACTAAAGCTGTCGATATTTGCTACCGAGGTCACGCGTGTGTCACTAGAAGTAGGAACAGAAGGTATACTGGGTGGTCAGGCCGTTGTCAAAGATGTTGCTGGTACTTGGAAAGATCTAACGGATAATGTGAATATGATGGCTTCCAAAATCACCGCCCAAGTACGTGACATTGCCGTAGTTGCTAAAGCTGTTGCTCAAGGTGATTTATCCAAAAAAGTCAAAGCCAATGCCCAAGGTGAAGTTCTCGAACTAAAAAACACAATGAACAAAATGGTAAGCATTTTTATTTCTTTTCCCCCCTTTATACATAAAACAATCTAACATCAACTCATTTTAGGTGGATCAATTGAATTTGTTCTCGGCAGAAGTGCAGAGGGTGTCTCTGGAAGTAGGCACCGAGGGAAAACTAGGCGGTCAAGCCGTCGTCAAAGATGTTGGTGGAACTTGGAAAGATCTCACTGACAACGTCAATACCATGGCCGCCAATTTAACCACGCAGGTGCGGTCAATTGCTGAAGTCACCAAAGCGGTTGCTATGGGTGACCTTTCCAAAAAGATCGAGGTCGAAACTCGTGGTGAGATTCTTGATCTAAAAAACACCGTGAATGATATGGTTGATCAGCTACGTGTCTTTGCCTCTGAAGTCACAAGAGTCGCCCGTGAAGTCGGTACGGAAGGAAAACTCGGTGGTCAAGCTAGGGTACCCAACGTTGATGGTACCTGGAAAGATCTAACGGATAATGTCAATACCATGGCCACCAATCTAACCACTCAAGTACGTTCTATTGCCGTTGTAACAAAAGCTGTAGCAAATGGTGATCTCTCCAAGAAAATTCAGGTGACTGTGAGTGGTGAGATTTCCGATTTGAAAGATACCGTGAATAACATGGTGGATCAATTACGTGTATTTGCTTCCGAAGTCACAAGAGTAGCACGTGAAGTCGGTACGGAAGGAAAACTCGGCGGTGAAGCTATTGTACCCAGTGTCAGTGGTACCTGGAAAGATCTCACGGATAATGTGAATATCATGGCGGCCAATCTAACCACGCAGGTGCGGTCCATTGCGGAGGTCACGAAAGCTGTAGCCAGTGGTGATCTATCGAAAAAAATCGAAGTAGAAACACAAGGTGAAATACTTGATTTGAAAAATACCGTGAATAACATGGTAGATCAACTCAACGTCTTTGCTGCGGAAGTGACACGTGTGGCAAAAGAAGTAGGCACAGACGGTAAATTGGGTGGTCAAGCTCTAGTGCCAAATGTCGATGGTACCTGGATGGATCTTACGGATAATGTCAATCATATGGCTACCAATCTCACAAATCAAGTACGATCCATTGCTGAAGTCACAAAGGCGGTTGCTTTAGGCGATCTCTCTAAAAAAATTGAAGTCGAGTCGGGTGGAGAAATTCTTGATCTAAAGAACATTGTGAATAACATGGTAGATCAATTACGTGTATTTGCTTCAGAAGTAACACGTGTATCCAAGGAAGTGGGTACGGAAGGTAAACTCGGTGGACAAGCTGTAGTTCAAGGTGTGGCAGGAACATGGAATGAACTCACGGATAACGTGAATATCATGGCAGCTAATTTAACCAACCAAGTGCGCTCGATTGCCGAAGTCACAAAGGCTGTCGCCAATGGTGATCTTTCCAAGAAAATCGAAGTTGAATCCGGTGGAGAAATTTTGGAATTGAAAAATATCGTGAATAACATGGTAGATCAATTACGTATTTTTGCTTCAGAAGTTACACGTGTATCCAAAGAAGTAGGTACAGAAGGAAAATTAGGTGGTCAAGCCATGGTACCCAATGTAGCCGGTACTTGGTATGAATTGACGGATAATGTCAACATTATGGCTGCCAATTTAACAACGCAAGTCCGATCCATTGCCGAAGTTACGAAAGCCGTCGCTCTCGGTGACCTTTCTAAAAAAATTGAGGTCGAAACTCGTGGCGAAATTTTGGAATTAAAGGATATCGTAAATGGTATGGTCGATCAATTACGTATCTTTGCATCTGAAGTTACGCGTGTATCTAAAGAAGTCGGCACCGATGGTAAATTGGGTGGCCAAGCCAGTGTTCCCAACGTCGCTGGTACTTGGTATGAATTGACGGATAATGTCAACATCATGGCTGCCAATTTAACAACTCAAGTACGTTCGATTGCCGAAGTCACGAAAGCAGTTGCCAGTGGTGACCTTTCCAAAAAGATTGAGGTGGAAACTCGTGGTGAAATCCTCGACTTGAAAAACACTGTGAATGAAATGGTGGATCAGTTACGTGTCTTTGCTTCTGAAGTCACAAGAGTAGCTCGTGAAGTAGGTACGGAAGGAAAACTTGGTGGTCAAGCTAGGGTGCCCAATGTAGATGGTACCTGGAAAGATCTCACAGATAATGTCAATACAATGGCAACCAACTTAACCAATCAAGTACGTTCGATTGCTGAAGTCACAAAGGCCGTCGCTTTGGGTGACCTATCCAAGAAAATCGAGGTTGAATCCGGTGGTGAAATTTTGGATTTGAAAAATATTGTCAATTCCATGGTGGATCAACTTCGTATCTTTGCTTCAGAGGTCACGCGTGTGGCAAAAGAAGTAGGCACTGAAGGTAAATTGGGTGGTCAAGCTACAGTGGAAGGAGTGGCCGGTACTTGGATGGATTTAACAGATAATGTCAATACTATGGCCGCCAATCTTACAACTCAAGTACGTTCCATTGCACAAGTCACTAAGGCCGTCGCCAATGGTGATCTTTCCAAAAAGATTGAAGTTGAGACTCGAGGTGAAATCCTGGATCTAAAGGATACGGTGAATGACATGGTGGATCAATTACGTGTCTTTGCTGCTGAAGTCACACGTGTGTCCAAGGAAGTCGGCACGGAAGGAAAATTAGGTGGACAGGCCATGGTCAGAGGTGTGGCTGGTACTTGGCTTGATTTAACAGACAATGTCAATACTATGGCTGCTAATCTAACCACACAAGTACGTTCCATTGCACAAGTTACTAAAGCCGTTGCCAATGGTGATCTATCCAAAAAGATTGAAGTTGAGACTAGAGGTGAAATTCTAGATCTAAAGGATACAGTGAACGATATGGTGGATCAGCTTCGTATCTTTGCATCAGAAGTCACACGTGTGTCCAAGGAAGTAGGAACTGAAGGTAAATTAGGTGGTCAGGCTGTTGTCAAAGGCGTTGCTGGTACTTGGTATGAATTGACTGACAATGTCAATATCATGGCTGCCAATTTAACCAATCAGGTCAGATCTATTGCCGAAGTCACTAAAGCTGTAGCGCTGGGTGATTTGTCTAAAAAGATCGAGGTCGAATCCGGTGGAGAAATTCTTGATTTAAAGAATATTGTGAATAACATGGTGGATCAACTACGTATTTTTGCCTCTGAAGTTACACGTGTGTCAAAAGAAGTCGGCACGGAAGGTAAACTTGGTGGTCAAGCTGTTGTACAAGGTGTCGCCGGTACATGGAATGAACTTACGGACAATGTGAATATCATGGCTGCTAATTTAACCAGTCAAGTCAGATCCATTGCCGAAGTCACCAAAGCAGTCGCTAGTGGTGATCTTTCCAAGAAAATCGAAGTTGAAACTCGTGGTGAAATCCTCGATTTGAAAATCACTGTCAATTCCATGGTGGATCAATTACGTATATTTGCTTCGGAAGTCACACGTGTCGCAAAAGAAGTAGGTACTGAAGGTAAATTAGGTGGTCAAGCGAAGGTCGAAGGTGTTGCCGGTACTTGGATGGACTTAACTGATAATGTCAATACTATGGCTGCCAATCTTACAACTCAAGTACGTTCCATTGCACAAGTCACTAAGGCCGTTGCCAATGGTGATCTTTCCAAAAAGATTGAAGTTGAGACTCGAGGTGAAATCCTGGATCTAAAGGATACCGTGAACGACATGGTGGATCAATTACGTGTCTTTGCTGCTGAAGTCACACGTGTGTCGAAGGAAGTCGGCACGGAAGGAAAATTAGGTGGACAAGCCATGGTCAGAGGTGTAGCTGGTACTTGGCTTGATTTAACAGACAATGTCAATACTATGGCTGCCAACCTAACAACTCAAGTACGGTCTATTGCTCAAGTCACCAAAGCAGTTGCTCTAGGTGACTTATCCAAAAAAATCGAAGTGGAAACACGAGGAGAAATCCTAGAACTAAAAAATATTGTAAATGACATGGTGGATCAACTACGTATCTTTGCATCCGAAGTAACCCGTGTCTCAAAAGAAGTAGGAACTGAAGGTAAATTAGGTGGTCAGGCTGTTGTCAAGGGCGTTGCTGGTACTTGGTATGAATTGACTGACAATGTCAATATCATGGCTGCCAATTTAACCAATCAGGTCAGATCTATTGCCGAAGTCACTAAAGCTGTAGCGCTGGGTGATTTGTCTAAAAAGATCGAGGTCGAATCCGGTGGAGAAATTCTTGATTTAAAGAATATTGTGAATAACATGGTGGATCAACTACGTATTTTTGCCTCTGAAGTTACACGTGTGTCAAAAGAAGTCGGCACGGAAGGTAAACTTGGTGGTCAAGCTGTTGTACAAGGTGTCGCCGGTACATGGAATGAACTTACGGACAATGTGAATATCATGGCTGCCAATTTAACAACCCAAGTACGATCCATTGCCGAAGTCACTAAAGCCGTTGCTAGCGGTGACCTTTCCAAGAAAATCGAAGTTGAAACACGTGGAGAAATTTTGGATTTGAAAAATACAGTGAATGAAATGGTGGATCAATTACGTGTGTTTGCCTCTGAAGTCACCAGAGTGGCCAAGGAAGTAGGCACGGAAGGTAAATTAGGTGGTCAAGCGACTGTGGAAGGTGTGGCTGGTACTTGGCTTGATTTAACAGACAATGTCAATACTATGGCTGCTAATCTAACCACACAAGTACGTTCCATTGCACAAGTTACTAAAGCCGTTGCCAATGGTGATCTGTCTAAAAAGATCGAAGTTGAAACTCGAGGAGAAATTCTAGATCTAAAAGATACCGTGAATGACATGGTAGATCAACTACGAATTTTCGCTTCGGAGGTCACGCGTGTATCAAAGGAAGTAGGTACTGAAGGTAAATTGGGTGGACAGGCGGTTGTTCAAGGTGTGGCTGGTACATGGCTAGATCTTACAGACAACGTCAATACCATGGCGGCGAATCTAACCACGCAGGTCAGATCGATTGCCCAAGTCACAAAGGCTGTAGCTTTGGGTGATCTATCTAAAAAAATTGAAGTGGAGACCCGAGGAGAAATTCTGGAACTAAAGGATATTGTGAATGGCATGGTGGATCAGCTACGTATTTTTGCATCTGAAGTCACGCGTGTGTCCAAAGAAGTAGGAACGGAAGGAAAATTGGGCGGTCAGGCTGTCGTCAAGGGCGTTGCTGGTACTTGGTATGAATTGACGGACAATGTCAATATCATGGCTGCCAATTTAACTAACCAGGTAAGATCCATCGCTGAGGTAACCAAAGCTGTCGCGTTGGGCGATTTATCCAAGAAGATTGAAGTTGAATCCGGTGGAGAAATTCTTGATTTAAAAAATATTGTCAACAACATGGTGGATCAATTACGTATTTTTGCCTCTGAAGTCACGCGTGTATCTAAAGAAGTCGGCACGGAAGGTAAACTTGGTGGTCAAGCTGTTGTACAAGGTGTCGCCGGTACATGGAATGAGCTTACGGATAATGTAAATATTATGGCTGCCAATTTAACCAGTCAAGTGCGTTCTATTGCCGAGGTAACAAAAGCAGTGGCCAATGGTGATTTGTCTAAGAAGATTCATGTTGAAACTCGTGGTGAAATTCTTGAATTAAAGATTACGGTGAATTCTATGGTTGACCAATTACGTGAATTCTCTTCTGAAGTCACGCGTGTTGCTCGTGAAGTAGGTACGCGCGGTGAATTAGGAGGTCAAGCCAATGTACAAGGTGTGGCAGGAACTTGGAAAGATTTAACAGATAATGTCAATATTATGGCTGCGAATCTTACCACACAAGTACGTTCTATTGCGGAAGTGACGAAAGCGGTTGCTGCTGGTGATTTGTCGAAGAAGATTGAAGTTGAAACACAAGGAGAGATTCGTGAACTAAAGTAAGATTAAAAATCCGAATAGACAACTTCTTTTAATTTACGGATTAACTCAATTTAATTTTTTGGATTTGTAGGGAAACGGTGAATGATATGGTGGATCAACTGCGTGTTTTTGCGGCTGAGGTAACAAGAGTGGCGAGACAAGTGGGTACCGAAGGTATGCTTGGTGGCCAAGCTGCCATTGTTGGTGTAGATGGTACTTGGAAAGACTTAACGGATAATGTAAATTTGATGGCGAGTAATCTAACAGATCAACTACGAGCTATTGCGGCGGTCTGTAAAGCGGTAGCGCAAGGTGATTTATCGAAAAAGATTGAAGTTGAAGTCCATGGTGAAATTGCCGAATTGAAAAACACAATCAATACCATGGTGGACCAGTTAAGTTCTTTTGCGTCTGAGGTAACTCGTGTAGCTCGAGAAGTAGGTACTGAAGGTAAACTTGGTGTCCAAGCCCAGGTGATGGATGTAGAAGGTGTATGGAGAGAAATCACAAGTAACGTCAATACGATGGCTTCTAATTTAACAACTCAAGTTCGTGCTTTTGCTCAAATTTCTGCTGCTGCAACCGAAAACGATTTCTCTCGTTTGATTACAGTAGAAGCTTCTGGTGAAATGGATTCCCTTAAGACCAAGATCAATCAGATGGTGGGCTCTCTTCGTGATGCTATTCAAAAGAATCGATTGGCAAGAGAAGCTGCCGAATTGGCAAATCGTTCCAAGAGTGAATTTTTGGCTAACATGAGTCACGAAATCCGTACTCCCATGAATGGTATTATCGGTATGACCTCTTTGACTTTGGAAACTGAATTAACCAGACCTCAACGAGAAAATTTGATGATTGTTTCAAGTTTGGCTAATAGTTTGTTAACTATTATCGATGACATTTTGGATATTTCCAAGATTGAAGCAGGTCGGATGACAATCGAATCTATCCCCTTCTCACTCCGATCCGCTGTATTTAGTGTATTAAAAACGTTGGCCGTAAAAGCAAATCAAAAGAAACTGGACCTTATTTATCATGTGGATCAGTCGATTCCTGATCAATTGATTGGTGATCCACTTCGTTTGCGTCAAGTCATTACTAACTTGATTGGTAATGCTGTCAAGTTTACAACTCAAGGTGAAGTTGTCCTTCGCACAAGAGCTGTGAGTATGCAAGATAACACAGTCAGATTAGAATTGTGTGTAAGCGATACCGGTATCGGTATTCAAGAAGATAAATTACATGTCATTTTCGATACCTTCTGCCAAGCTGATGGTAGCACTACGTAAGTTTTAATATAAATATGCTGTCAACTTTTTATTAATTTTTTTATTTAAAAAAAAATATCAGTCGTGAATATGGTGGTACTGGTTTAGGTCTTTCCATCTCTAGACATCTTGTCCAGTTAATGGGTGGTGACTTGTGGGTTGAATCAAAGTATGGAAGAGGTTCAGAATTTTACTTTACGGTCAATCTTTTCCGTTTCAGTCTTGAAGAACGCGAAATTATTGAAAAGTTACGTCGCTTCAAGAATAGACGTATTTTATTTTTGGATAGTATGAATGATACGACTGGTGTGATTGAAAAGATCAACATGCTAGGTCTTAAGCACTACCGAGTAAACGATATTGAAGAAGCAGCTGCTATTTCTAATGCCAATTCCAACAAGAGTATAAATGGTCCCTTCTTCGATACAGTTATTGTGGATAAGATGGCCTTGGCCGAAAAGATTCGAGAAATTGTGCCACTTCGTTATACACCTGTTGTGTTGATTGCGCCTGAGGTTCATCTCTTGAACATGAAACTTTGTATTGATCTGGGTATCACCGGTTACATCAATTCACCTACAAACCTTGCAGGTATGGCGGATGTTCTTTTACCTGCTCTAGAAAGTCATGCAGCTCTTCCCCGAGATGCATCAAAGACCGTGCCTTTAGAAGTTTTGCTTGCTGAAGATAACGATGTCAATCAAAAGTTGGCTGTCCGTATTTTAGAAAAGTTTGGACATCATGTTAAGGTGGTTGCCAACGGTAAATTGGCTGTAGAGGCATATGAATCTCAAAGTTTTGATATGATTTTAATGGACATACAAATGCCTGTCATGGGCGGTTTTGAAGCCACGCAAAAGATTCGTGAAATCGAGCATAGTTCTAATACAAAAGCACATATTCCAATTATTGCTTTGACTGCACATGCCATGATTGGTGATCGTGAAAAGTGTTTACAAGCTGGCATGGTAAGAAAGTGAAAGAAAAAAAAAAGAATCCACTTTAACAAAATTGTATTTACCCGTTTAATTCAAATAGGATGAATATGTCACTAAACCATTAAGATTCCCCGAGTTGATTGCTGCAATCAAGAAATTCGCACCTCAGTCCGCTCATATGATGGCAGGAGGAGGTGGAGGTTCCAAGCTTAAAGCGCTACCAAATAAATAAATTGACACATTAGACTTTTATAAAATGGAAAACGGGTTTTTATTTTTTTAAAATGTTCGTTTCGTGGGAGAGGGAAGTGGTTTCACCAATTGATCGAATTTCCTTGTAGATAGTGTTGGTCTAAAATAGTCCTTGCATACAATGTCTTTATTTTCTTTTGAAGAGCAGTGTTTAAATACTCTGGAAGCTGTAATCGAAGCTTCTAGATTATTTACGAAAGGGACTAAATCTTCAATGGATTGTGGTATGTTGATCTCTGCAATATCCAGCATAGCGTATAGCCCTTCGTGCAGTAACGACATGATATAAATTGTCACTTTAAACCCTATATGTACGTACATAAAAACGCCTTGTCAGTAACCTATATCATTCCCTTTGTTATTTTCATATTACCAACAACATGAAAAAATGTGACATCGCGAATGGAGGACTCCGAATATGTGTCAATATTCTTTTTGGAGTCTATTGCAAGTTGTATAAGATCTGCAGAAATCTTCAATTTGTCATGCCGTGTATCACCAGTCAGATGTGTCACTTTTCCAATTGAAAGGGGAGACGTATTAGATTGTGACGAAAGTAGATGAACTTGAGCTTGAATATCCACTTGCTGTAATGTGTCCTTTTTTGTCCTTTGTTCAGTCCATTAGTACTCTCCATTATTTATATTATTTTTCCTATTTTTTTATACCATTTTAATTTTCTTTTCGCATTGACATTTTCAAAGATAGGTCGTAGAATAGGGTTTGCATATTCTGTGATGCAATGTTGATCTGCTACATTTGTTACAGGTCGACGGGGTAAATAATTGATCCTAGTTAAAAATTTAGTAATAATACGCTTTGGTATGCATGTGGCTTAACTTACATTGACACAAGCTCTGATAATATTAAATATTCATCTTCGGGAAGGTTTACTGCTATATTTAAAACTTCACTAGCAGCAATTTTTCTTTTACCAGTGTTTTTCTTAAGTAAATTCTATTTTCAAAAAGTAAAAATATAACAATTAGCTTGTTTTATATCATTTGCGGTAGCAAAAAAAAAAAAAAAAAAAAAAAAAAAAAAGAATAGAAGAAAAGTTCTACCTCAATAGTTTTTATAACATCCAATTGCGCAGAGCCTTGAAAAGTATACTGATTTTCTAAACCAATCTTTCTCCTAACATCTTGTCGTATGCCAAATAATTTATTTGGACCTTGGAAATAATCATTCATAATCTGTGAATTATCGCTCGACTTAATGTAAAAAATATGTGATAGTGCCCTATTTTTTATGAACCAGTCAATAACATTATAGAACAGAAAATCAATCTTAATGAGCACTTACAAGAGAGATTGTATATCATCTTTGATAGAAATACCACGATCAATCGTGGCACCTGCGCATTTCGCTTTGAAAATGGTCCAAGCCTTGACCATGTCACGGTTTTCGTAGGTCCATTTCTTACTACCTGGGACGGGTCTAAGACTAGCCAGGAATGAGGTCATCCCGAGATCATCAATCAAATTAGGTAAAGAAGGAGGAGCAGAAGCAAGGCTTTGCTTTATATCTGACTCAATCGTCTCTTTCTTTACTGGTTGGATTTCTGCAATGGCTGTCAATTCAGTCTCTTGATCAACCGTCCTACATAAATAACAAGCGACATTTAGAACTGTGTATAATCAGTCAGGAGAATATCATTGTTACCTTTTATTATTCATTTTTTTGAGCTTATGTATGACTATATTTTAGATGGCATTTTTTGTATGGCATGTACCTTTTTTTTTCATACCTTATTAATGCAAGTTTTTTCCTCTACTTGTTCTCTGACAGTAACAATACTTCGCTTTTTTTCATTTTGTAATGCCTCTTCCTTTTCCTATAAAGAAGATGGTTTACTCTTTTAAACCTCAGAGCTAATGAGCATGATATGATTTACCTTGACCAGTTTATTAATTTTTTCTAGTGCTTCAAGGGCATTTAATTTCTGCTGTTTTTGTTCTACCTCCGCTTGAATTATGTCAATTGATTTTTGATCTTCTTGAACCCAAAAGGACATTACTTCTTTACTTTTCAGTATCTAAAAAAAAAATCGTTAGTTTATTTGTTCGCGTGCGAGAGCGGGGAGAAATAATTACAGCAAACTGGTTGGCAATTTGGTGTTGAGAAAAGTCAATCAACTTTTGGTCATGTTGAGGTTGTGTCCAAATGGCATTGACCATGGCAATGAATGCTGCATTGGCAGACAGTTTGTCTTTAAAAGCAAAGTGCTTGATGAAACTAACAATACTAAAGTTTTCGGGTGTTGTGTTTGCAAGATATTCAACAAACTTGTTTTTAGGCGGCATAATAGCAGGCGGAACAAAACGCGAGTGAAGAGAAAACAGCATCATTTTTTTTTTATGTGAATCTGTAATAAAAAATTAAGGCAGGGAAGCAATGAAAAAGGATTGGTTCTGCCTTTTAAAAGTTTCACATGAATGGAGACACCTCCTTTTTTTTTTTTTTTGATAGATATGTAAGCGATCAACATTATTAGATAGAATGTCATTTTGTTTTTGTCCAGCTTGTTCAAAATGTTCATTTGTAGAATTGGCATTTAATTCTGAAAATGCTGTTAGATAGAAAAAAAAAAAAGAACAACTACTACGCTGTTATTATTTTTACATGATTTTTGCTTGGTTCTGTGTAACCGACTACTATCACTTGTTTGTACAACATAGGCAGAACCAACTTACTCTTAGCACTGTTTAAAAAGGAATTTAGATATATATGTATATTAAAAAGACCATTGTTGCTGTCACTGGGCATGAAGGGGTTTATTTTATCGATTTAGATGAGTAACACATGTTTAGTTATGCGCCCTATACACACCCGTATGTTTCGTACTATATCATAGCATAAATTAGAACCGATTACTAACATGGCCTTAATAAAGTCTGATTAGTACACATTTTTTCTAATTCGGAGAATTTGGTGCCTGAAAATAATTCGTGAGTCTATTAAATAACAAAGTGGTTAATTTAATTGGAAGAAATAAATATTGGAGTACTGAATGATCGATGGTATATGTGTCTCGCAAGTTATATAAATGCAGTCAAGAGAGCCAATTAGTGGTAGAAAGAGCTAGTTACTACTCTTGAGTATGACTTGGCTGAATTAAGGGATTAAGAATATGTTATGTTAAAAGCCATTTTTCAAGACAGATTTTAAATTGCCATAAATCTTAAATGTCTACATAAATATATTATAAAGGCTGTACGGGCACCCAACTTATCAAAGTTGTAAAAGTTAAAGTTATTTAGGGTACAGGTATTTTGTAAGTATCACTAAATATATATAATGCTGTTTGGATGAATGATGAACTAACAAATATTATTGTAACAAAATAGAATTTATATTTAAAGCCCCAGAAAGATTACCAATTGTCGTATTTGTTGTAAAATACACAAAAAATGCTCATTATAAGAAAATGTATGATTTTAAAATAAGGAACAAGAATATTTGAATAATGAATTGTCTAGATAAATATACGATTTTATAAAAGTTGTTATACAAGTTAAAGTGATCCACAGTAAAAACTGATTGTTATAAAAATAAATAGTTTATGATTAAATGCATAAACAAATGATTGATAATAACAATTTCTACAAAATATTAGCTACCTCTTATATAAAAAAGTAGGTTATAATTTAACATTTACATTACTATTGTAACATTTATAATATACTATTACTTTAACGTAAGTGCAGGCAATAGGTTCGAATGTATAGATACATAGGATACATGATCTTGCTTTGTTCAACTTTATTCGTTCATACTTTATCAAGCAGCCAACCATCAAAATGTCTAGATCTCCTTATTCCTTTAAACTTATTTTATAGAATCACGTGGTGGTCTAGACATAGGTCTAAGAAAAATGCTTACGTCAATTGACATGCCATATCATCTCGACTTTTTAGGATGATCGATTTTTATTTTTCATAAAATAGGCTTCACTATCAGTAAATGCCCTTACTGAAGCGCTAATATACAACGACTTTGCTTGGGGTTTTTGCAAATGTTTCTATTTTAAGTAAAGACCCATTCTGACATAAGTTCTTGTTTATCAACCCATAAATTTCGTTCACCTTTTTTTCCTTTAGCGTGCACACTTCTCTCCTTTTTTTAAAAGTAAAAGTAATTGATTTGGTGAAACGATTAGTTTATGATAACTTTTGCTTTTTCAAGAAATATTAAATTATCAGTTCTTTTTTTTAAAAAAAAAAGTGAAAACGACACATAGCAATTCTTGCCATATTACGGCTACGGCTAATCTTTGAAATATAATGGTGACCTTCGACGTTGGGCTCTTGGGGGTTTGGAACTCACTGGATGGAAGGACTGTAAATGGGTGTGATCATACAGGCTTACTGGTCTTGGCCGAAGTTTTTGTAAGTCATATAATTTTTATATAAAAGTGACTCTAAAAGAGACATAGAAAAATTAAAAAAAAATGCAGGTTATAGACAGTGTCGTTGGCCGACCACGCAAAAAACAATCACGTGGTACAAAAATACCATTACAAAATTTAAATTTGGTAATGGTATGGGGATGTTTTTGGGCTGGTGGATAAAACCCTTTGGCAACACTTCAGTAAAAAGAAATACGTCAATTGTTCAAGTCAAATCTTTCTTCTTTGGCTTAAAAAATTGACAGAGGAATATGTCAATGACTCCATATTCCAAGAATACGGAGTCTTATGCCATACAGGAGGATAGACTTTCCCAACATAAAGTCAATGTACATCTACTGTGTATTGTGAGATCCCTCTTCTCTCTCAATCCCAAATAATAATGCCCGGAAACATTAAATGCGGAGAAGATATTACATATTTTGCATTGAGTAAACAGTGCTTATGACTAACGCGCCTTTAAGAAATCTTTTCCGCGATTAGTACTCTTGAAAAAAAAGAAAAAAGCTATTAAATAGCTAGTCGATTTTTACTTCAATTGAAAGATGTAATTCTTGACGAGTTTACCTCCTAAGTATAAGTCCGTCGAGCTGAACAATTTCAAAGGCATTTGGGTAGAAGAATCCAGAACTGTTTAAAAGGTGTCACGTGAACCTTTTTTTTATAGTGTCACACGCTTAGGACACTATAGCCCTACCAACAGGAAGATATGCGTAAGAACCAGTGCAGCGTGTTTCTGTGGCATCATAAAACGGCTGTATGACAAAATACAATCCAGTTGACTAAAAACAAAATTACAGGTGAAGCAAGTGGCTGACAAGACCTGAATACTGACTCTCAGTAATCTTCATGAGGCTGTAGAGTCAGGTACTGCCACCGATCCACCAACTGTTAGTGAATCTAACGAATAAAAAAATATGGTATATCCTCAACCGTAACAAACCTTTTCTTTTGAAGTCGTTATAAATTTTGGCTATGGGATGTTATTGTATACTTCAATAGTAAGACATCTGCTTATGAATTCTAGCATTGATTATGTGATATACATTACAAGGAAAGCGGCTTTAGATACACAAAGATTTTTTTTTTTTTACCAGTCGCATCATCTATGACATAAGCTGTTATAGAGAATACATTCCACCCCAAAGAATTTAATCTTAATGTTATGTAACTTTTCAGAAGCTCTAATAATTGACTTGTATCAAAATGACAGTATAAATTGATTCAATACATACACATAAAAAGGGATTCTTCAACCTTAAGCTATGATAAAAAGTTGAGATTGTGAAAGCAAAAGGAGACGTAGTATCTCCGGCTTTTTAAAATCACGTTTTATGGAGCAGCGGGTATTACCGTTTTTTTTCAAAAGCATTTTGCATTTACAGAGCTTTCAGCTGCCTGGAAGAATTAAGAACCCCGCAAGTACACAGCTAAAATCTACTCTAACTCCGTTTATGGGTTAATCTTGTAAGCTTGTACTTTTTTTTGTTTTACTTTTTCCTATTTTTAACATTCTTCCTTTAAAGAGTAAAATAAAACAATGAGCAGATTACCAGTTGTAGTCATGGATAACGGTACAGGGTAAGTGTGTTTATTTTAATATTCATGACGCGTGAGAATGATAACTAAATTTTACGAACCCCCAAAATAAAGGTACACTAAACTCGGTTTTAGTGGAAACAATGAGCCATCTTTTGTTTTCCCAACTGCTATTTCAACACGAGAATCGCCTTCAACTTCAGGTAGACCCGGAGTACCTAGCAAACCTTCTTTTCTGAGCAACAATTTAGCTTCCAAGCGAGGTATTGAAGACCTTGATTTTTATATTGGTGATGAAGCACTTGCTCAAGCAAAGACGATGGCTTTAAATTACCCTATTCGTCATGGTCAAATTAATAACTGGGATCATATGGAAAGATTTTGGGAACAGTCCATCTTCAAATACTTGCGTTGTGAGCCTGAAGACCATCATTTCCTCTTGGTAAGTACATTCAAAAGACGAGATGGAAGGGAAAGAAAGTTGTATTGAAACGAAGTCCAATCTCTTTTTAATAGACTGAACCACCAATGAATTCCCCAGAAAACCGTGAAATGACAGCAGAAATTATGTTTGAGTCCTTCAATGTGCAAGGTCTTTACATTGCTGTTCAAGCCGTATTAGCCTTGGCTGCTTCTTGGACCTCCAGTAAAGTCAGTGAGCAAACCTTAACCGGTACTGTAGTTGATTCCGGAGATGGTGTTACTCATGTCATCCCCGTTGTAAGTGGTTGTATGTTTGGGGGCGTTTGACTAAGAAAAAATTATTAAATTTTTGTTTCTTCCTAAATTAGGCTGAAGGTTATGTCATTGCCAGTTCCATCAAGAGTGTACCTATTGCCGGTAGCGATATTACCTCATTTGTTCAAAACTTACTTCGTGAACGTGGCGAGACAAATATCCCTCCCGAGGACTCATTCCGTATTGCTCAAGCCATCAAGGAAGATTACAGTTATGTTTGTCCTGATATTGTCAAGGAGTTCAAGAAATATGAACAAGAACCCCAAAAATATTTCAAGAAATACGATGGTGTTCATTCATTGACCGGCAAGGTAAAAAATATGTAACATAGGATAACTTGTATGAGTTTGCATGACTGATATATAAAGATAATAGGATTATTCTGTTGATATTGGATTCGAACGTTTCCTTGCACCCGAAATCTTTTTCAACCCAGAAATTGCCAGTTCTGATTTCTTGACACCTTTACCCGAGATTGTTGATACAGTAATTCAAACCAGTCCTATCGATGTTCGTAGAGGTTTATATAAAAACATTGTATTATCCGGTGGATCTACCATGTTTAAGGGATTCGATAAGAGACTTCAACGTGATATTAAGCGCACCGTCGATCGTCGTATTCAACTTTCTGAGTCAACAAGTGGTTCTGAAATGAAGGCAACACCTATGGAGGTCAACGTCATCTCTCACAAAAAGCAACGTCACGCTGTTTGGTTTGGTGGAAGTTTATTAGCATCTACTGTAAGTTTATCTCTGATACTCAATCAAAAAAACACATACTCACATCTATAATAGGGCGAATTCTATAATTCTTGTCATACAAAAGCTGAATATGATGAATACGGACCTAGCATATGTCGTCATAACAGAGTCTTTGCAAGTCTCTTGTAAAAACAGAGGAGGGATGGAAAAGTTTATCAGCTATTTTTTTTTTTTTTTTTTTTGAAATTATAATAAAAAAGTAATTCTCCATGACATTGAGCTTGTAGTGGCAATTTTTAAATTACCTATGACGCGTGTGTTACGGGGAATGCTAAATCATCAGAAGAACGGTGTTTAAAAAATCGTTCATTTAAGCACACAAGACTTTCTTTTATTGAATTCGATTACGAAATATGTTGAAAAGATTACAAACAGTTTCAAAAAGTCAGATATTTAACTCTGCAGGAGTATTTCACACAAGAAGTATGTCTTTGCACCTGTACTTTTTAAAAAATGACGTGATGAGACCATCGGCGTTGCTTGCCTCCATCCAATGGCAATGTCCGATAATCACGCCGTTACTCAAAAAAAAAGTGATTTGTATATATATTTTTTTTGGAAGAGGAATGGGGCACACCAAGGCATTAAGGAACTTTTATAACCATCCGAGGACAAATGCAATTAAAGTATACAGCCTTTATCAACGTACGCAGGCTAAACGGGGCGGGGGTCGGCATTGAGTGACAAGTCCAAAAACTTAAAATTGCAAAAGAAAATCATGCTGCATTACACAAACTGTGTCTTACTATTGGGTGATTTGGAGCGTAGACCTTTGATGATAATCTTTTCTCCATGCGCACACAAAATAATGTATCCATGGCAAACTAGTGACTACAGAGCGATGGACTAAAATTACTACCCTCAAGGAGATTTACCATCACACTGTGACTCCACATGCTCTGGGTCTTAATGGGAGGGCGATATATATGTATGTGCATATATATAAAAAGTATAAATAGAGCCTATAGCTGTGTGATCTAGTACCAGGACCAAGCTAAAATTACACAAATAATGTTAGAAAAGGTCCAAGTCGCGCTTTTTATAAGTAGCCATACATTCAAAAGAGGATCGTATCATTCAATCAAGGAAAAACGTCGCGTAATTATTCTATTTTATCAGTATAGAAGAAGAAAATGTCAACAAACAATTGTTTCTTTTTTTGGGTGGGAAATCGATTCCAGTCACGGGGGGAGGTAAAGGTGCTGCTGCTGCCCTCTCATATTGTTTTGTGTAAGCAAATGATGTAACATTTATTACTAAATTGGGATACTGTCGGGCTTTACAATTTTTCAACCCAATTTTGAAAACAAGTGATTGTGATGGGATGAAAAAAAAAAAAAGAAAACACTATCCACCAATGGACATGTAAAACTATCATCACCTACACTATGGTAACGAAAATAAAAAAATAAAAAATTCATCCAAGATATATGCGTTATTTTACCGTGGAAGAGTGGGAGGGATAAATACTTTTTGAAAAAAAATGTACGTCACAAAAAACTATATGTTTAGATGGTAATTCCCATTTTTTTTTTACTCTTTTATTCCATAACCTTTTTTTTTTTCTATTTTTTAAAAAAAGCGTAAACATATGCCCCCTCGTTTTTTAACATATTTATAAGAAACGAGCCAAAGCCAAAAGTAATTAGTAAAGATGAATCAAGAAGACCCTAATGCCGAAACGAGTAAGTGCCCCAAAAAAAAACCTCTTCCCACCTATACAACCACACGCCATATACTAAACGGGAAAGCAGTTCGAGACTGTCGAGCGAGCCAACTTCAGTCTTGTAGACAACGGATAGCATTATTTAAAGGATTACAAGTGGATAATTATGAAGACAGAGGAACAGCACTTGAAAAGATCATTCAAGTTGTCAAATCATATATCCGTAGTTCGCTCTCGCCATCAATTACAACGTCACCTACTTTATCAGATCATTCAGTAACAGATCATATACTTAATAATCAAGATGATGAATATAGTAAACAATTATTTTATTACCTGTTGACTATACTCAGACTTTCCATTACTTGTCCTTACGCTGATGTTCGTCAAACCTTCAAAGATCTATTAATTGGCCTCAAGGTAAGGTATAAAATAGAATAAAAAATACCATCTGATTTACTAAACTAAACTATCCCATAGGAGACAACATCCATTGCAATTCCACAAGCAAAATATAAATCACCATCCCACTTTATTCCTATTTATGATATATTCTCTTTAGAATCAAACACTTCAACTTATCAACAAGCTGCTGTACTCTATCCGCGCTCATCCAACCTATCCTTTTCACCTTGGTCCTATACAAACTCATTAATCGATGAAGAAGAGAAAATACAACTACAAAAAAAGCAACAGGAGGAGGACGATGATTATGAAGAAGAGCCAGATCCGTCCATGCCTACCACTGCAACTACAATTACACCCACGATGAAACCCATCAAACAAAATTCAATATGTTCTTCTATTCATAGTAATGATTTCACAGGCGGAAGGCCCTCCGACGAATATGTACGGCAGATGATGATCAAGACCTTCACAGACGAAGGGAGATTGGCAAACTTATTTCGTGTCTTGTCTTTCTTTCCAACTTTCTTTGAAATATATCATATCACATTTACAAAAATCATCAAAGGGAATATGGGCCCATTGCACCGTACGTGGAAAACGTATATCGGATTGATGGTCGCTGCTGAACAACAATGCCAATACATGTTTTCCGTCATGAAAATTGATTTTCTTTATAACGGTGGTGATCCGAACTGGTTAAGAGGCCTTGATTTTATTCCTCAGAAATTGAGACAGATATCGGTATTAGTATTAAAGCTATCCAGACAGCCTTGGCGATTAAATACGGATGATATCATGAACCTCTTGACAGGTGGTGTGGGGGATGCTTGGACAAGAGGTGAACTTGTTCAGGCTACCTTGATTATCTCCACATTCTTAGGCCTATCTAGTTTTGTCATGGGTTGTGGTATCACACCCGAAATCGATATGACGGGCGGCTTCTATATTCCCACACAAGATTGTATCAATGGTGGAATTGAAAATGAGCTGGACTTACCTTATCTATCTGAAAACAATGCAATGGCATGGCATCAACAAGATGACACCTTTTCTTCAGATCACGGTGTAGGTTTAGGGGTGTCTACCTTGGATCTAGATTTGGATCATACACAGGAAATTATCAATAAACTTAAATCCAAAAAGAATTGCGATGTGAAGGAGCAATTACTGGAGAGCTTGGAAAAGATGAAAATACAAGATGGCAACAAAATGTCCATCAACACAAGCTTTAATACCCCTCGGTCCCTTGAAGAAACCCAAGAAGAGCCAACAGTTACTGCTACTGAAGTCAATAAGATCTATGATGATTTAAAATGCTTTGTTGATCCGATTTTGAGTGAAGCTATAGTACACGAAGAATTTGATCAAGAAAATGAGGAATATATGGAATTCATGTTGGGGGAATATTGCTGGGAGGATCATGGATGTGATCTAGCCAACCATTTCTTGCCTGGAATTGGGGATGATTTAGTACAAGAGTTTACCGAAGCAATCAGTATCACTGACTGGAGGTAAAAAATATTTGATTATAAAACATTAAGAAATAACATATTAAACAAGTATCTGAATTAGTATCTTTCACCCTGTGGTTGAAGATGTAGTGGATACTTCACCATTACGATACGCAATTTGGTATCATACACAAAAGATTATGGGCGTTACCAAGGAAGACTATACGTACTCTGATATACCCACCTTTTTAAATGACCGTACTACGAAATATATCCATAGTCTTTGTATGTCTCCGCACAAGATTCAAAAGAATGATTGGTGTAACATTGGTATTTCTCTCAGGCCAGAAGAGAAATGCCATGTCAACTTATTGGTTGCTTCTGCCAGAAAACAAGCGGTTTTATGTTATGGTCTATGCTTAATATCCGAAGTATAAATAAAATACCACTCTTTTTTTTTTTTTTTTTTTTTTTTTGGGGGGGGGGGGAGAGGAAGAGGAAAATGAATATATTTGTCTTTGGGGCTATGAGAGCTTAGTGAATAGAAATGAATTTTAAACGGTAGAACGACAAATATAGGTTGGTACGTTACACTCTTAAATTTTGATGATCTACAAAACAATAAATACTATTGCCCCCCTGAGTAGCGAATTTGTGGAATATGTGCTGCAACGCTGCATACGGCCGTGAACATTCTCGTTAGTAAAAAAATAAAAAAAATAAAAAATAAATTAACAGACTTTGCTGCAGCGAAAAAATTCTCGTTATTGCTCTTCTTTAACGTTAATTCATATCATATAAAACACAATGGGTGTGAAGCCGCAAAACTCAGCAGACATGTATGCTGTACTGCAATTTTTTATTGTTTTGCAGCCGACGAAACCGAGGCCCTCGCCTCCTTGTACCCATGGCAGTGTGTTGTCTATTTAACGCACACGTATAAATACACGCTTGACTTTATAGTCTTTAAATTCTCTTAGAATACCATAGCTCTGCTTTTATAAAATTTTCTCGCGTGTTTTATAATTTCGCTCGAGGAAACTACTTTAGAGGGGTCGATAGAGTCTGTTCCGCAATATATTAAGGTCTCATGATGTTGAATTTTCGTGCAACCAATCTTTTTTTTTTAGGTCCTTTCAACTCGGGCAGAAGACAATTATAAAACCCGCTAATTGGGTGCACTGTGTTTTATCGGAGTTGATTGTATTTAGAAAAGACTTTTTTATAAATAGATTGAATACCTTTCAATTTATATTTGTGTAATCTATTTTATTCCTCTCTCCCTTAAAAAAAAAGATTCTTGTTTCTTTTTCTTCTTTTCTCTTTTTATTTCCCCAATACATATTTTAAAAGATGAAGTTGTCTCTCCTTTTGGCTTGTCTTTTTGCAATCGTTGCAGTCACTTTTGTTGAAGCCAGTCTTCAAGATGAAATCGATGCTGCCTTAAAGAAATTCTGTGGCGGTATTGCCCTCACTGGACCTACCAAGGGTCAAACATTTACCAACCCTAAAAAGATCAAGGTTACTGTCAGTAAATTATCGTTTCTCTATTTCCTGTTAGACAATTTCATTTTATTCCTTTTATTCTAACAAATTTCTATTGTGTAGCAAGAAAGAAGAATGCTCAAGCCAAGGTCATCAATGGTGTCGATGTAAATACCTTTTAAAAAATAGCATATATACATTATACTCAACGTCATTTTTTTTAGGCTTATTCTATTGATAGCAAGGGTAAGGCCAAATATCTTACCACTGTCTGGAAGGGTAACTACAACTTGAACACCAAGGCTACTTTAACGTATGTTTATATGACCATAGCAACCAAAGAAAGTGTACATTCACTAAACATTTTATAAAAATTATCTAGTGTTGATATTTCCAAGGTAAAGGGACTCAAGTTCCCTGGACAATTTGAATTCCGGTAAATTAAAAATGTAATATTACTACCATAAAACCAGACAATACTAACCCCAATTTAGTGTTTGGGTCCACAACAAGGCCGGTCCCGATTGTACTTTAATGTCCAAGGTTTTCAAGGTTAAATCCTCTTCTCACTCTAATGCCGTCGAAGATTCTGAATACAAGGCTTTAAGTCAAGATATCGACCGTGGTTGTTTCGGTGTTGAGCTTACCGCTCCTGTCCTCGGTGCTGAAGTCAATGCCGACGAAGCTTTCACTGTTGAAATTAGTAAGTTGCATGTTTATTTTTAAATTTATGTGCCTTATTAAAAAAAACCCATTTATTAATAGAACGTGATACTGCCGCTCATACCGAGGCTTTAACCAACTTGGAACTTTACTCTGTCAACTTGGATTCTCGTGAATCTACCAAGGTTCAAGATAGCTGGACTGGTAGTGAATCTATCAGCAACATGATGAACTTCAAGGATACCGTCCCTGCTTCTGCAAAGGCTGACAACGTTGCCTTCTACTACAAGTTGACTGCCAACACTCAACATGAGGAGACTTGTGAATTCTTTTCTCATCCCTTCTATGTTAACTTTTAAATAACTTCAATATATATCATCCATCTTTTGTAATAAACCCACAGTTGCAAAAGCAGTAGACAAAAAAAAAATAAAGTCATTATTGTATATTATTTATTATGATTTGTTTTTCTCTTCTAATTTACTGCTATTTACTCTGGTCATACTAGTCCCAAATTAATTGACCGAATTCATTTATGCTGGCAACAGATTGAGGGGTTTTTGATCTCTGACCGTTCTTACCCCAAGGTGTATTCTTGCCTTTTCCAGAAGAATAGAATTCTTGAATCTTGACCTTTTCTAATTCCTTCTTGTGCTTCTTGAGTCTTTCTTCCTGTAATTTATCAGCTGCAAGTTTTGCTTCCTTCTTTTTTTGCGTACGTGCAAGATTTTCGCGTTGTTTCTTATCAAGGTGGGAGTTCAAAACTGCTGTAGTCATATTTATCTCGGCATTCACGTCGATTTTAGAACTAGAGCCGGATGAAGCACTAGCAGGGCGACGAGCTAATATATATTATGAGTTATTTTTTTCCCTTTCTCCTCTGTCACATTAGAAACTTACTCTTGACTTGACTCCATCCCTCTTCATAGGGCACAGACTCCCATTCATCCTCAATTTCTTCAGGACGAATACGTAACACACGCGCATAATTGGCAGTAGGATCCATATGTTCATCAATTTCTTTCGTGGGCGTGACAATCTCTTCTTTTGCTACAGGCTTCTCTTCTTCCTTTTTAATCAAAGCTTCTTTCTCCTGTTTGGGTTCAACCTGCTTAACATGTTCCATCTTGGGTTCAGTCTGTTTGACCTGCTCCTTCTTTTTCTGTTGCTTCTTTGTAGCTTGTTTTTTCACCACAGGCTCAGCCTTTGGTTGCTCGGTGGCCTTGGGTTGTTCGGCAACCTTTGGTTTTTCAACAGCAGTTGCAGCAGCATTAGCAGCAGCGTTCTTCTTCTTATTTTTCTTTTTTGGCTCCACGACCGACTTTTCAACTTTGTCCTCGGTAGCCTTTGACTTCTTCTTTTTGTTCTTCTTTGTTGGTGTCTCAACTGACTTTTCGACCTGTCTTTTGGTGTTTTCTTCAGGTCCTTTATCGGGTCCTCCTGTCAAATATACCATGTACAGAGGGAACAAGAACACGAGTACCCAACCAATTATTCTCCACATGCTTTGGTAATATTAGATGATGATGATGAGAAAAATGAGAAAAATAGAATTTTTAAAAAAAATACAAAAGCATTGAAACGGATATTAAAAAGTGACGTGTAACAATTTGTATGGCGTCCATTGATTACAGTATTAGCACTTTAAATTCAGACAACCCAAAAATGTTTTCAGATGAACAAAAATATATTTCAGACAGCAGTAAAAAAAAAATTCAGACAGACGTAAATATATATATATATTCAGATAGAATAAGAGAAATACTCAATCGATCTAAATATCTACCTTCGCTATGACAAAATTGAATATGAGAAAATTACTTATAATTATACGTTAACGGGATTTTTTTCTGTTTATTCTATTTTACGATCATGCACGAGTAAGAATCTCGAACCTGAGGGCTGAAAACAAAGATAGTCTGTTTTCTACAAGCTTTAAACATACTGTCACATTATAAATATTATGAGGCATCAATGCTAGATAATGTTTAAATGCCCAGTCTTTCCAAAAAAACATGTTGCCTACTATTTACAAACACTTTGACCCAATTTTTGGTCAAAACAATTATAATTCTCTTATACAAGTATCTTAGGAAGATATTTATGGAACATATAAATGTTCAATAGGAACATCTCTACTCCTTTCATTACAGTCAACATTATTTGATTGCGCCAATAAAAAAATTGCAGGACACAAACAAAGGTGATGTAGGTCAGCATCGCAATTTAAAAAATTTATCAGGTTTAAGCTTTGTGGCACGTTGTTTTGAACTTGATTGAAAAAAAGTTGTCTTGAACTCATTTTACTTCTTTTTCAATTAACTAATGCCGCGTACACCTATTTACCCCGAGGTGGAGAAGTTCATTATCCTCAAGAAACGTGCAAAGCTGGAAAAGGTAAAATCTGATAGTGCGAAGAAAAGCTCAACCACTCAAACCCCCAAGAGAACATGTAAGAGAAAAGAAACATTTTATGCATTTCCAATGTATTACAAGCTAATTTTTGTATATAAAGCTATCAAGAGAAAATACTCTCCTAATATAATAATTGCAAAAAGGAGTACAAAGATAAGTCGCCAAGCTAGCACTTCAGCAGCATGATCCTCCAGTAGTAAATGTAGCCCATGCCAAGAGGAGGGTCACAATTCTGCGCGAAGTCGTCAATGCAAAAACTATAATCTAAATATATCAGAACTTTTACAAATCAAACTTGGACCAAACTATCAAAGATATACTCTGTCTGTTCCATTTGATACTTTCTGCAATAATACTCAAAACAAAACCAGCTCATTAAAAAAGATCAAAGACATATCAAGTTTTATCCGTGAAGTCTTATTCAAAGCCCAACTATTTGTTAACTTTTTTATTCTGCAACACCCAACCAAGTTGACAAATGACTTCTTTGAACAAAATTTTTGGTATACTATTACAAGGGTCATTAGGGGTAGCTCAAATGAAGTAAGGCCAATTCTACAGGCGTACAAAGACAAGAAAAAGGAACGACCTGCAGGTCAGAATTTAGATGTGGCTCAACTTACAAGCTCTTTTGCTGAGCTATCCGCCACTATGAATGGTAACTTGTTTGTTCCGGAAAATGGATTGAAAAATTATGGACAATCTCTATCAACTGCATGCGAGACTGTCGCAACAACGTACAATAATTATTATATTAAAAACTTTGAAAATATCTATGTAATTACTTTATCTATGCATTAAAGATAAAATATGCGGTAAGTACGAGATATATAAAAAAATAACGCCTCAATATATATGCAGTTTCTCAATTTATTTTACTAAATTTAAATAAACTAGAATGAGAAAGTCGGCTGTATCAAGAAATTAGTGTATAATCATGTATATGATCAAGTATTTACACATCCCCAGCTTTCTTCTATACCTGCTGATATTCTCGCCTTTTTTGATCCGGATGTGGGTAATAATCTCACAAGTTTTCTAAATCCTTTGATTTTAGAGGTGAAAAATCGCATTTCTACGCTTCCGCTATCTAAAGAAAGCTTGAACAATGAACCCTTCAAGATTTTACCGGCTTTACGGTATATCCTTGAAAAATACGATGGTATATACAACGCCCAAGCTACTCAAAATGACAAAATTGATTCGATGAAGTCTCCACTCCCAAGACGTTTTAGTCTATTTCCAAACCCTTCATTACACTGGCGGTTCATAAAGATTGATTCCCAGAACCTAAGTGGAATTTTTCCAGATGCTAAGCAGAATAAGCAATCTAATGAATCCTCTTTCGATCATAAACAAAGATGCTTCAATCAAATGTTTGACTTTAAGAGGCTGGGTATTCAGAAGTATGCCCTACTATTACATATATCTATGAATCGAACTAGCAACTAATATATAAATATAGCTATGAAAATCTTCAAGCATTGCCTGAGCAAAAAGAAAAAATGTTTCTCAACGGATTATATACTGATGGCTACACTTGCAGAGTTCTTTTTGCTAGAAAAGTTCTTCCATCCTCACCAGAAGAGAACATCCGTCTAGAGTTACATGATCTTTCAAGCGAAGAGATCAACAAGCACTTTCGTCCGTGTACTGTAGATCCAGGAAGACGGGACCCGTTTGTCTCTAATCACGGTGGTAGTGACATACGCCGATTGTCCTCATCTGAGTATTACAATATGGGTGGAAATGTAACACGAATGAAAGAGCAACAGAAGCACAAACATAGACTGGGTATTGAAAAAATTGAAACAGACATTCCTTCACCTAAAACTGCGTCTGTGGAGCAATTTGTTTTGTATATAACTTATATGTCGCAGCATATGAATACTTTATTTGATTTCTACGACTTTGAAACTGCCAAAGTTAAGTGGTTGAACTACCTAAGTTCCCAAAAAGTCATTCAAGAAAGTGTTAATATTTTGATAAATGGGGGGAAAAAGTATAATAAAGACAAGAGAAAAAAAACAAGGAAGAACAGAAAAAGAAGAAAAAAAAATCGCAGACCTCGTACTAATCCTAAAGAAAGAATACTCATCACTACGCCTAAATCAAAAAGGTACATATGCACTTTTCTTTTGTCATCATAAATTCAGTAAACTCTAACTATTATATTTGTAACTTGCAGCAAAAAAAATAAAGCATGTTTTGAAGTGGGAAACAACAACAAGATGCCTCTGGTTATCTTTGGTGACGGACTGAAAAACAAAGATCATGTCAAGTTTAAAGGTCTGCGACATGGAATATCTAACAAGATATATAGTCAGTTAAAAATAAGAGAAAGGATTGGAGAACTATTGCTTGTAGATATCAATGAGTTTAAGACATCGAAGGTTAGTAGGAAAAACGACACATAATTTACGTATTGTGCTTTCAGCTGAAATCGATTTTCCATAGATCTGCAACTGCTGTCTCCAACCCAATTTAGAAAATCTCAAAGTTAGTCAAGATGACCATACAAAAAAGATTCATCAAGTATTGAAGTGCATAACTTGCAATATTTATTGGAATCGAGATGTGATGGCAAGCAAGAACATGTTCACCATTGCCCATTCTATTTGGAATGGTAATGACCGCCCCACTGTCTTCAAACGACAAACCGCCACCTCCAATGTGGTTGCCTCAGCTTACTCCGGTGAGTCGACGGCTTAAAGATTTTACAGGTAAACCTTAGAGTAACTTAACAAATTATCCGAAAACTAAATTTCATTTGTCTGATTATTTATTTATTTTGTCCAAAAAAGGTAAGTCAATGTCTGAAAGTAAATTTTGATTCGTCTGAAAAAAAATTAACATTTTCTGAATTAAAAGTGTGAAAACTGTAAGTTCTGTCTTTTTAACACCCGTGTCATTTCATAACTTTGTGCTTACGTAAGCTTGTCTTGAAATATGTCCGTAAGTATAATCGGTCTGTGGTAGAGAAACAAGCACGTAAACATGGTATAAGAAGCATTTCATAAAAAAGTACGTAAACATAACATTTGAAGCGTTTTATGAAAAAGCATGCCTTTTCCTGTATTGACGAATGTACAGACATTAATGTTATATTGAAACCAAGAGATCAACTACAATAAAATAGACGGAAAATTTGGTTAGGTAAACCAAGGGCTCTAGAAATGAGGGTACAATGCTTTATTTTAGAGAATGTAAAGAGTGGGGGATATGATTTGAGATGCAAAAGTATACATGTATATACAAGTGGGATGGAGGAGAAGAGTAATAGATGCTGGTAATTGGAATGTGCAATAATTAAGAATGTGTGCGGTGTGTCTTTAAACTACATCAACATCTGTTGACTCGTCGATGTTTTTAATGGTAGATTTTGTTTGACCTAATAACACCGCTAGACGATCTCTTGAAAGTACAAATGGAGTCCAAGTCAACTTGTCAGGATCTACACGCGAATAGTTCTTTTTTTCAATATTACTGAGATGCGCTTTGATAGTTTTAACGTCCAAAATCAATGAGTATTGTGCGGTCACTTTATCGTATTTGATCATGTTGTTTGTTTGTAATGTGGAGATAATGTCGTCTGGAGTCAAACTTGTCCTATTGCTTAATTCTACAATCCGTTTAGCTTAAAGACACTACCTCTCTTTTCTTTCAATAGTACACCTTACCTTCTATACTAATAGGACTTTCTTGATTCTCTAGTTCACGGTATAAGACATTTTTCCAATAGCTTCGATAACTAAGTAAACCCAGATCTGATAATGGTCTTTCGGGTGAGCCAGTTTTGCTTTCCTTTTTGGACAATAAATAACTGAAATCTATTAAGAATTGGCCATAGCCCTTTCTTTGATATATCGGCATTGTCAAAATACATGATACGTTGTAATTCATAGCAGAACGTTTTTCCTGTATAGAAAAGGTTAGTATTGTAAAATGACAAAAATGTCTGTGTACACTACCTTTGAAAAATATCCTACAAAGTGACATCCACGATCATCTACTTCAGTCATAATATAGAATAAAAATGGTTCCACGTCGTAATAAAGAGTTTTGTGGTCCAGAAACATTTTTGCCAATAAACATAAATTTTGACAGTAAATTTTGTTTTTTCTGCCATCGACTTCGAATATTGAAATGTTACCATCTCTGTAGATTTCATCACCAGGAGGATACTGTGCTTTACATTTAAGTTGATGTCGATCTGATATATACTGGCTTTTCATGTATTTCATACAGAACTCACATATGTAGAGAGTTGGATTTTGGCTGTATTCTTCGGGATATGGCGCAACATACCAGGTGTCGATCAAATAATGATTAAATGCAATTTGTGTAATTTTTGGGATTTCAGTGATAGATGCAGGTGTCAATGGCGCTGATTTGCTCTTTGCCTTTTCAAATTTGATTTTGTCCGACTCATTTGGTGTGCCGCGTTTTGTGTCAGCTTCGGATTTTGATAATTTATTACCGAAAGTCTTAAAAAATTCCTCTTCGTCCTCTCCATCAGATAAAGAGCCTTTTGGTCTCCCTCTTTTACGTTTAATCAGAATAGGATCAGTGACTGTCATGCGTATTTTTTTTATGGTGGGTGACTGATCCTTATTTTCATCCTGTGCGGTATGGTTATTCGATTTTCGTTTGCTACTTGTTGATGTTGATGTTTTTGTTGATGTTGTCGATGATGATGTTGTTAATTTTGTTGTTGTTGCTGCTGCTGCTGGTACCGATGATGATTTATGCTGTCTAGTCATTTTGGCGCTTTCAATGAACTTTGCGGTATGGGTTGGGGATCTTCTAAGGCTGTAATTGTTTGTCGTGTCGACTAATGATATTAATTTAGGTGAAGGTAAAGAAGAAGGCGGTGAGGGCATACTGGAGCAAAGGTTGCAATACCAATTATCTAAAACATTTGAGGAGGTTTCAGTAAGATCAAAAAGAAACCTGTCAAATAACGTATTACCTTCGGGTACTTTTTTCAAAGGTGGATCAATGCAAAATGTATGAAATCCTCTGTCGCAGTGATTACAAAACACAATTTTGTCCTATTCAAAAATAATAATAATATAGGAAAATTAGTAAAAGGGAAGGAGAAAAAATAAAATTTGTCATACCTCGTCATTCTTTGATTGACAAACAAGGCAACTTTTACAGTCGTTACATTGCCAATCATATGTCTGCACGATTTCTGCTGAAGTTTTTTCAAATCCTGAACATAAAGTATGGGCTATATTAAGGAAAGAAAAAGGATGAATATGATGTCTACTTGTAAGTGCTATTGTATTTTTCCTACCGACCGTTTCGATGACAATCAAAGCACTTTAACAGTTCATGTTTTCTTCCTTCAGTATCAAAGTCATAGACCCCATCACAATAAAAACACATGCCTAAAGTATACTATTGCATCGTATAACTAGTTAATATAAATCAACTTAAATCTAGACATTTTCATAAATCATTCTTACGTCAACTTGAGGACGCTGGCGTTTGCTCATTGTTGTCTTCAGATCATTTGTCGCCATCGATCAGACCTAACCTTTGTGGTATTTGTAGAAAAGAGAGAAGGGTATACCACCCCTCCCTTTTCCCAATGGATTAAAAAACGGGAAGTCACACCAATCATCTCCGGTGTAACATATGGCGAACCATGGCTTATATCTTGACAAATGAACTCACTGAAAAATTTAACTTTATTTATAAATATATCTTTTTTTAAAACAGCTAATCCTAGTAAAATCTAGTTGGTTTTATCTTGTGTCTCTTGAGGTTCACCATATTTGTACATTAAACCGATTCTTTACAAACTAGTCTATTTCCTGCCTTGGCTGTAATTCACGGGGTAAGAATAGCCAACCACCGACCATCGATAGAGTCTCATCAGGTTTAATCCGGCCGAAAAAGAAAGAGTCATGAAGCAACGACTTCCCCCACAATAATGTGGAGGAGCATTGTTTATCTTCTCATGTCAGCCACCCGCTATATATCACCAAAGTTGTACACAAACACCTTGCCAAACAGCCCTCCCGCCTGGCTGTAACGTATACATGGCGGATCATCATTAGAATTTCCTACCACTTAAACGTATTTCTTGCAGCAGGACCCTTGAGCGCCGATAAAGTTTTATCAGGCTTGATCCCACTGAAAAAGAAGAGAACATGGAATTGTTAATGTGGAGAAGCATTGTTTAGTTTTTTATAGTTGTAATTAAGAACAATAATAGTAAGAAAAAGATTAAAATTGGTGCCTTTTTATATTTCATTGGCGATAACAATCACCCAAATATTCGTACCTGCGTATGTAAAGTTGTCACTGATACGCCATGCTTTTAAATATGGTGGGGTCGATTATAGTATCATTGTGGTTCTTTGTGTCTCATAAAATCATAAAATAAAGAAATAATATACAACATAAAAATAGACATAAAGTCATTGTAAAACAAACACACAAGTGGTTTATTAAAAGCTTGTCTGCTTACTTTTTAACATACTCAATTATATAATAGGTTTCTTCAACATTATCACCAATAGTTTCCTTTCCAGTGACCTTAATTTGTGCATCATAGTGGTGTTTGGCCCCAATTTCTTTCAACATATCAATATTAGCATAACAGCATGAACCCAATAATAAAGATCCGTTTTCTGTAAGATGATTGCCACCCTCAGCAATATATCTCTCCACCAGCTTGTATCCAGGATCAAATGTCTTTTCATTGCCACGGATGATTCCAGAATACAGTATCAAACTTTTTTGATCCTAAAGCAGCGAATAATCACTTACTTCAAAGTGTCCTTTCTGATGATTAATTTCAAAATTCTTTTTTGTGGTTTCAACAGCATCAGGGTTAATATCAACACCAGTAACTTCTAACCCAAGTCGAGCCATATAGAGCGAAATAATTCCAGATCCAAGACCAACTTCCAGAAAAGTCTTTGTCCCTTCAACGACACTACGCAAGTTTTTCCCAAACCATTTTGACTCTGGAAAATATTTAGGAGAGTACACATTTGGATGAAGATAGATAGTCATATCCTCAATCTGACAAGTGTTGTCGGCAACGCAATCCTTTGACTCGTTTATCATGGAAGATATCTTTTTTTCCCATGTACTGTTAGCCATGTTACAAAAAGTAAAAGTTAAAGTAAACCAAAAGGAGATAAATATGCTATAAATTTAGATTTACCAAACCTACGGTTTTAAGAGGATTCCTCATTTCTGGTTCAATTACAATCTACAGATCACGATTCCTCTCAGCCGGGAATGAGCTTATACTATTACAGTGTCACCCTTTTCGAGATTTTTTTTTTTTTTTTTGTATGAACTTACCTTTTTTGAGATTGAATCAATGAGGTCCCAACACAAGGAAATAATAATAATGCCACATTAAAACCTTTAATATTTTTACATGAAGTGTTTTTATTCAATATTAAAAAACTTAACACTTGCTTTGTTTAATTTATTAACCCGAGATTAATAAAGAATAACATGAACTAAATATATATTTTTTTTTGTATATGAGAGGGGGTGGAGGGTGTATTTTTTTGTTCTTTTCAGAAAGTATAATTATTGCGGACATATCAAGTAGCTTATTTCTTGTTTTTGTTATTGCCATTAGCAGAACCATAGTTGGGAGAAGTAGGACTATAACTAGGACTGGTAGGACTATAACTTGGGGATGTAGGGCTATAGCTTGGTGATGTAGGACTATAACTGGGGGATGTAGGGCTATAACTTGGACTAGTCGGGCTATAACTAGGACTAGTAGGTGAGTAACTAGGACTGGTAGGTGAATAGCTTGGACTAGTAGGTGAGTAACTAGGTGATGTAGGACTGTAACTTGGACTAGTAGGACTGTAACTTGGGCTAGTAGGACTGTAGCTTGGGCTAGTAGGACTATAACTTGGACTAGTAGGACTGTAGCTTGGGCTAGTAGGACTGTAACTGGGACTAGTAGGTGAGTAACTAGGACTTGTTGGAGAATAACTAGGGCTAGTGGGAGAATAACTAGGTGAGGTAGGACTGTAGCTAGGCGAGGTAGGACTATAACTAGGACTAGTGGGACTGTAACTGGGGCTAGTAGGAGAGTAGCTAGGACTGGTAGGTGAATAGCTAGGACTAGTAGGAGAGTAAGAAGGACTAGTAGGAGAATAGTTGGGAGAAGTTGGTAAATAGCCAGGCGAGGCAGCATACGAAGGACTTGATGGTGAGTAGCCTGGAGAAGTAGGAGAATAACTAGGACTATGCGCATATGGACTAAGATCGCCACGCCATGGGCTAGTGATAGAACCTGCAGCACCTGAATTACCCATGGGGGAGAACATAGGCTCATTGGGGGATGAAGGTTGCGAGAAATCAACCCAATCAGGAGAACGAGTATCATAAGGCGTTGCCATATTTGGAGTCATGAAACCAGGACCTGGAGTAGCAAATCCAGAAAGATCGCCAACGACACCCATTTGCATGTTTTGTCTATGATCTTGAGGGACAGACTGTAACATCTCTTCGTCTAACATGACGTCAAACTCACCAGTACCAAGAGGAGCCATTTGACCCAACATAATATTTTCAGCTACACCACGACAATCATCAAGTTCACCGACAGCGGCAGCTTCCATAAGAATTTCGACAGTTTCTTCGAAGGAACATCTCATCAAAGCACCAGTTTCAGCACGATTAATACCATGACGAGTAATAGCCATCAAATGACCACGGTTAGTCATAACATCACAAAGCAAAGCCAAATGACGATAATTGACATAAGAACCATCGAATTCAATAACGTTACGTAATTCCTTGAGAAGAGCCTTACGGGTAGCTTCGATACCGAGAACTTCCATAACTTCAACAGTGTTGTTAGAATAGGTACGAGTTTCATCTACACCATGTTGGCACATGACTTCTTGAAGATTGATACCATCAGTATCAAGACCCCATTCAGTTGTAGTTTCAAATTCGCCCTTATCATTGAGAACAGTTTCTTTACGTTCGACAATGTAAACCTTTCTAATACCGGGTATACCACGAAGATTGATCGAGCCCAACATACTTGCTTCCAATTTACGAAGGAAAGTATCTTCTTCGGAACGACCATCGTCATCTTCCATATCCTTGTCTTCATTTTCGTCCATCATCACTCTACAACGAATAATCAACTTGTCTGAATTCTCATCACTACCAATAACATGGAGATCATTACGGAATTCTTCGGAAATCTTTTGAACGACTTCTGTAATGTTGAGACGCTTATCAATCATCATACCACGGTTCAATTCAATACGAAGTAACCAAGGGGATACGCGAGTAACAAACGCAGAGTTTTCATCTTCAAGTTGATAATAGGTATCGACGAAATCAGCATCCTCTTTAATGACGGTTTCACGTGGATCAGGATCGTAGTAAATCTCTGTGACGGATGTAACCTTTTGGAGAGTGGTATGTTCAAGGTTAACTTGTACTTCCTTAGCCAATTCGATATTACGAGAACGTTCAGAATCCAACCAGACTTCAAGACGAGGAGTTTTGATATTCTTTGCGACGTTAATAATTTCCTTCAAACGAGGTACACCGAGAGTAACATTCTTACTGGACACACCAGCATAATGGAAAGTATTCAAGGTCATTTGGGTAGCAGGTTCACCAATAGACTGAGCAGCGATAGTACCAACCATTTCACCAGGTGCAACGATAGAAGTCAAGAAACGTGATTCAATTTCTCCAAGAATCCATTCGAACGCTTGAGAAGTTAAGTGGAATTCTTCAACAACACGCTTCACAGAAAAGGTTGAACGAAGCAAAATTTGGAATAATAATGTTGCGTTCTTTTGAGTTTCATGTGAGATTTTATCAGAACCACGAACAACGAGCAAACGTTGAGCGAGAGCATTTACACCATCCACGATTTGAAGAGGATGGATATCAGAGGGTTTACGAGGATCCAGATGGAAAATTTGTTGAGAATTGGTGATTAAACGAGCAAGATTGACAGGCAAAGGCCATTTGTCATCACCGTTCTTGAAAATGATAGTTCTTAACTTGTTACGATCATCAGACAATTGATAGAATTCATGATCAAGATAAGCTTGGGCGGTTTCACTACCCTCAATACTCTTGAGGACATTGTAGTTAAGAGCGCCCTTTCTGAAGCCCTTGTGCATAACATCAATCTTATAACGCTTCTCAAATTCCTTTTGATTAGACTTGAGCGAGAAGAACTTTTGACTCTCGACGGACATAGCATCCATACCATCCTCACCATAACAGAATTCAATAATATCACCAAGGGAGTTACGAACAGTACCATCATACTTGACCATAACATCTTCTAAGGCTTTAACAAGACGACGTTGAATATAACCAGTTTCAGCAGTTTTGACAGCGGTATCAATAAGACCTTCACGACCACCCATAGCATGGAAGAAAAATTCTGTAGGAGTTAAACCTCTTAAATAGGAGTTTTCGACGAAACCACGAGATTCAGGACTATGATCATCCTTGGAGAAATGAGGGAGAGTACGGAACTTGAAACCATAAGGAATACGTTTACCTTCAACATTTTGTTGACCGACACAAGCAGACATTTGAGAAATATTAATGAAAGAACCCTTTGAACCGGAAATTACCATCTGTTTAACATTGTTATCTTCTTTCAAACTGTTTTGAGCCATTTTACCGGCATCATCACGAGCCTTATTCAAAGTTTGATTGACCTTGGCTTCGAAAGATTCACGCAATGTCATACCAGGTTGAACTTCGAGCTTATCTTGTTGAGCAGTAATAATAACCTCTTGCACACGTTGCTTGGCCTGAGAAATAATGTTTGTAATAGTAGCCATGGAGACTTTATCAGCAATAGTATCGCCGATACCAATACTGAAACCGTTTTGAAGTAACCAATAATTAATGACTTGTTGAGTACCACCCAAGAAATTCTTTGCGGCTTCAGGACCCAATTCATTCATAATAGTATGAATAAGACCACCACCAGCAGTACCAACAGTCTTTTTACAAACAATACCACAAATCAATTCACCATTCTCAATAATGACACGAGTATCACCAGGAGAAATCAGAGTAGATTCACCATCAGGATGAGTAGAATGATAAGTTTGACAATTGATACCCTTAGGAATGACCATAGACACAATTTGTTTACCAGTCCACATAGGCTTAGGCTTAAGAATAGCAGGAGGAGGAATATAACCATCCCAAGAAGGAACCCACATAACAATGTTCATCACCAAATCTTTGGTCAAGAAACAATCTCTTAAAGTAAACTTACGAATACCACAAAGCGTATCTTGCACAATACCCATAACAGGCTTGTTTGATTGAGGAGAGACAATTTGCTTAGGGACCATACAAATTTCAGTGATTTCAGCTCTAGTTTCCAAAGATTGAGGAACGTGAAGATTCATTTCATCACCATCGAAATCAGCATTGTAAGGAGAAGTGACAGACAAGTTCAAACGAAAAGTAGAATAGGGCATAACCTTAACACGATGACCCATCATGGACATTTTATGGAGAGAAGGTTGACGATTGAAAATGACAACATCATCATCATTGATATGTCTCTCAACTCTATAGCCATATTGGAGGGGAATTTCACCGGCACGTTTACGATATCGCAAATCAATACGTTCACCATTGTCACGGATGACGTATTTTGCACCAGGATGTTCCAAAGGACCATTACGGACCAAGACTTGAAGCTTATCAATGTTATAGGGGGTGACGATTTCAGGGTAAGTCAAATTACGAGCAATACTACGAGGTACACCAACTTGATCTAAATTAAGATTGGGATCACCCGTAATAACAGTACGAGCTGAGAAATCAACACGTTTACCCATAAGATTACCACGAAGACGACCTTCTTTACCCTTAAGACGAGCACGAATAGACTTAAGAGGTCTGCCGGACTTTTGTAAAGCTTGAGGTTGACCAGCAATATCGTTATCCATGTAAGTGGCAATATGAAATTGTAATAGTTGTTCAAATTCTTGAACTACATGGACTGGAGCACCCTCGGATTCACAACGTTTGACATTTGCGTTTGCTTTCAAAACATCAGAAAGTTTGTGAGTCAAATCATCTTCACCACGACTGGTACCATCCATTTGAATGGAAGGACGAACTTGGGGAGGAGGAACAGGTAAAACAGTAGTGATCATCCATTCAGGTCTAGCAAACTCTTCGGATAAACCCATATCACGAATATCTTGATCAGTAATATTTTTCAAGATTTGCAATACTTTTGCTGCGGTCAACTGTTGTCTTCCTTCGCCAGCATTATCGTCACCGGGAGTAGCACGGAATTGAGCATAAAGTTTTAAACCGTCCTTACGGATGAGAGGTTGCTTATAACCACAACCACCATGAGTACTTTTACGTTTACCACCGTCGAACTCTTCCTTTTCCTCCAGTCCATCTTCTGCTTCATCGCTACCTTCACATGTCATTTTTGTCTTCGCAAGATCCCAAACAGCTCGAAGTTTTGTTTTAGCGTCAGTGATCTTTCTTGCTCTGATAAATCGAGGATTGGTCTATTCGTTTACTTCGTAAGTAACTAAGCATAAATAAATAACATGTTATAATACATACATCATCGATCTTGAGCTTTGAACAATGGAAACAGACACATTCAAGAATCTTCTTTACTTTGGTCAAGAAACCTATCGTAGAAAGGTTAATATATCGAGAACATATATCAAATATGTATCATTTACCAATATGATAAACAGGCTTTGCAAGCTCGATATGCCCAAAATGGCCAGGACATTCAGCCATGCCTTCGCCACAAGTTTGACACTTATAATTACGATCAATTGTACCCATACGAGGATCAAGCAGACCATTGTTTCTAGGCTTTTGAGTACCTTCATCATACAATTCAGGAAATTCAACCTTCGCAACGGACATTGCTTTCTATTAAAAAAAATTATGGATTAAAACCAAGATCCAAGAAAAAAAAGTTGTCATGTTTGGCACGTACAATCTCATCAGGTGAGAGAATACCAAATTGTACAGCATCTACACGTCGAAGAGGTGCAGAGGAGAAAGCAAAAGGGTGTCCACTCATTTTTTGTTATTTTTTTGTTGTTTTTAATAGAAAAATTTTTTTTGAGGAAAATTCACGAAAAAGCACTATAAAAAAAAAAGATTGAGCTTTACTTCGTTTTTGAGGGTTTTGTTTGTGGTGTTGACTAAATTACGTTGTTATCTAATCCACTAAATATAAAAAGGAGATCGTCAAAAACAACAAATAAATTAGAAAAAAAAGGATTGTTTTTTTCTAATAAAAAAGTTCTTTTTAGGTTTTTGAAAACCAAATAAGATGGTGTGTATAAAAAAAGATAATAAACAATAAAATAAAACTAAAAGTTTAGATTATTGTAATAGTGGGGAGGGGAATCTTTGTTCGAATACACAAATTAAAAAAAAAAAAAATTTGGTTCGAACAAAAGGCTAATCTTCATAAAACTGGAAAAAAAAAAGAAACTTCTTTATCCACCGCATTCCACGTCACCTCAGCAATTTCAGACTGCGGCTGCAAGCAGTCCGGAAAGTAAACGCACTACATTTTCTGCAGGACAAATCACTCTATTAGATAATGCATCAACACAATTTGATAGATGAATGATAAATCTTGAGACGCTACATTGAATTGGTTAATTTTGATATATCAGATTGATTCACAATGCCATAATACCCAAGGTCCTCTTACTTCGTGTTACATATGACATATTTATTCATCATAGCATTAATTTCTCAGTATCCTTTTTGATCGCTTCCACTGTTCATACAGTAAAAAACATAAAAAAAAAAACGCCTCAGCCGAATTCTTACTGGTTTTAGACTCTATGTTGTGGGCTTTCAAGCAAAGCCAATTGACAGAACCACAGAGATATCCAGACCGACAACTTTTTTGGACTGCTTTCTGGGTTTTGCTTGAAAAATTTAACGGTTAGGTTTTCCACCTTGTCTCTTTTCTAACAGCCAAAAAGTTCATTGTTGATCAAACATGCGTAATTTAGAACTTTTGGGACATACCTCTTCCAAGGTTACCAGCTCTGGAATTGAAGGAAACTCATTCATCACCACCGATCCCGAATCCTTGACCATTTACGTCGCATTTGAAGATGTCAACTCTCAAATTCGTGTGGCTGCCACTGGTTTAGCTCCAGGTGATTCAAGTGCATTTGTAGAAGTGGGCCGTTGCCCCGCCTCCACTATTGTTAGCTTTACATTTTTAGCTGATTTACAAGTCGTTTGTCTTTGTACTATCAATGGAGATATCATGCTTTTCAGTAAAGAACGTTTCGAAAAGGGAGAAGAAGCCGTAAGTGGTATATGATGGATATTTGATGAATCACCGGTATTAATGCCTCATGGTATTATTTATTGTAGATGGAAATTATGGGTTCTGTCGATTCTGGTATTCAGGCCATGTGCTGGAGTCCTGATCAAGATTTGGTAGTTTTAGTGACAGGTAAGAAAAATTAAAACAAGTCAAAGCATGTATGCGATAATTAACGTGGATATGATTTAGGCGAAAAAAAGGTTTTAGAAATGACACAAGATTTTGATACAATCACAGAATTCGACCTTCATGTTGAAGATCAAGGCGAGGGAGTTCAACATAGTGTCGGATGGGGTAGTAAAGAAACACAATTTCATGGAACAGCAGGCAAAGAGGCAGCTCAACAAAAGGTCGACCCCACCAAATTCGGTACCTCAGCTGACGATGATCATTTACCCCGTGTATCATGGAGAGGTGATGGTACTTTTTTCTCTATTTCAGATGTTGATCCCAGCAGATCTGCTCGTGTTATTCGTATGTTTAACCGTGAAGGTACATTACAAAATACCACCGAACCTGTCGATAAATTGGAACAAGCTTTAAGTTGGAGACCCTCTGGAAATATCATTGTTTCTAGTCAACGTTTACCTCACCGTCACGATATTGTCTTTTTCGAAAGAAACGGTTTAAGACATGGCGAATTCACATTGAGAGAGACCAAGGATAAGCAACAAAAAGTTTTAGAAGTTTCCTGGAACGCTGACTCAACTGTACTTGCTATTTGGATCGAATCTGAGGAATCCGATGGAAAATTACAAAAAACAGTTCAGTTATGGACCACAAAAAATTACCATTGGTATATGAAGCAGCATATTGTATTATCTGAAGGTAGAGATGTTACTGGATTTTCCTGGGATGTCGAAAATGCTTTACTTGCCCATATGTTTACAAGCGATGGTGAATATCACAGACTGGCCTATACTTGGGAAGTATTTACTAGCACTTCTCTTGACGAATCCAACTCTGGTTATGTCTCTGTAGTAGATGGAGCACAATTACTTTTAACTCCATTTAGCTATCAAAATGTCCCCCCTCCAATGAGTGCTTTGTCTATAGCTACCGATGGTAATGTTCAATATGCTGCTTTCGGTCCTGATCCCGCTGGTTTACAAGTGGCTGTTCTCACCAACAAAAAGATCCAATTATTTGATCTTCCTGTCAAGGGTCACGGTAATGCTGTGCCTCTTGGAGATATCGCTTTACCCCAAATTACATCATCCAACGAAAGCTTTGCTAAAAATCCCATTAGACATTTGTGCTGGATCGCTGAAAACATATTTGTCTTCTGTCAATATGATGAAGAGTTACAAACCGATGTTTTCTGTACTGCTACTTTTGCTTCTGGTAAAGAGTTGAATGTTACTGCTACACCTTTTGATGGAAATGCCGGGCGCATTTATTTCAATGTCAGTACCAAAGATTTAATTGTGGAAGACATTAATGGATCAGTATACACCGTCGAGTTTGAAAATGATCAATCTCTTATAAACAAGGTCGCTCAATTGCCTGATTTCTGTCCTTGGATCGCTACTGCTCGCGTTGGTATGACTCCTGAAGAGACTGAGCGTGCTATCATTGGTTTAACTGACCGTAGTAAATTATACGTTAATGACAAGCTCATTTCTTCTGAAGCTACTTCGTTCTTTTTGCGTGGTACCTGGTTAGTTTTCTCCACCACAAGTCATTCTGCCAGATTTTTATCTTTGGACAGTTCTACTCTCGAAAATTTGAAGCTCTCTGATGAAGCAAGCGATGCATATGATGAAACTTCAAGACGTCTGGAACGTGGATCCAAGATTGTGATGGCCACTCAACATAAGCCATCCCTTGTCCTTCAAATGCCCCGTGGTAATCTTGAAACCATCAGTCCTCGTGCATTTGTCCTTGCTACTATCCGCGAAGATTTGAAGGCTCTCAACTTCCGCTCTGCATTTATTGCTTGTAGAAAAAACAGAATTGATTTGAATATCCTTTATGATGATAGCCCCGAACGTTTTATGGAGAACATTCGCACTTTTATCGAACAAGTTTCCGAAGTTGATTACCTCAATTTGTTTTTGTCTAACCTTAGAAATGAGGATACTTTGGTTACTATGTACCGTCGCGGTGGACGTACCGCTGACCAAATGACTGCTGCCCAAGGTGTTGAGAACAAGGTTAATACTATTTGTGAGGCTGTCAGAAATGTGCTCATTGAACTTGGTCGTGAGCATTATATTCAATCCATTCTCTCCACGTATGTTAGAAGCTCGCCCCCAGATATTGAGTCCGCCATGGCTCTTTTATCGGAACTCCGTGAAACAAACTTGCCTGCCGCTGAAGAAGCCTTAAAATATACCATCTTCTTGTGTAAATCTGATATTCTTTATAATGTTGCCTTGGGTATGTATAACTTCCCTCTTGTTCTTATGGTTGCTCAACAAGCTCAAATGGATCCTAAGGAATATCTTCCTTTCTTACAAGAACTTAAGAATTTCGAGAAATACTATCAACGCTATAAGATTGACGATCATTTGAAGCGTTATGAAAAGGCAATTAAGAATTTGAGCTTAGCTGGAGATGAACACTTTGACGAATTACTTGAATACATGCAAAAGCACGATCTTTATCTTATTGCCATTGAGGAATACGCACACAAGAAACAACAAAAGTTGGCTATTTTGGAGGTGTATGGTGGTCATTTGGCTTTCAAAAACAGCTTCGAGGAGGCTGGTATAATTTATACAATGGCAAGCAAACCTGCTGAAGCTTTGGAGGCTTACCGTTCAGCTGGCTGTTGGAGAGAGTCTTTCTCCATTGCTAAGCAATTGAAATATACTGATGAGGATCTTCACGCTTTGGCTTACGATATGATTGAATATTTGAAGGACAAGCGTCGTTTCCAAGAAGCGGCTATTGTTGCTAAGGACTACGCTAAGGATATCGAAGAAGTTGTCGATTGTCTGTTAAAGGGTAGTCTTTGGAAGGAAGCAGAACGTATCTCGTACACCCATGATCGTTCTGATCTTATTGAAACCCATGTTAAGCCCGGACTTGTCGAAGGCTATACACAAATGGATGACGATTTAGATGAGACAATGGCTCAATTCCACAAGCAAACTGCTCGTCTTGTTGAGCTTCGCACTCGCAAACCCGAACAGACGATGGATAACCCCATGGCCAACGATGAATCCCTGGATAACATTGATATGTTCTCAGACACTACTTCCATGTACAGTCAGTTTACAAGATATACAAATGCCTCTTCGAGAGTGTCTTCTGTTTCCTCTCAAGGATCTGCAAAGACAAGAAAAACATCTAAGCTTAGAAGAAAAGAAGAACGTAAAAGAGCTCGTGGTAAGAAGGGTACCGTCTTTGAGGAAGAATATATCATCAATTCTCTCAAAAAGCTTTACGAAAAGGCTAGCAATTTACAGAGTAAGTATCCCAAAGATTAACTATCGAAGCACTTTCACTAACACGGCTTTAGATGATTTTGGTAATTTAATTCGTGCTCTTGTTCCTTTTGAGTACGTTGAGGAGGCTAGAGCTATTCAGGAGAAATTCAGAAAATTCCTCAAGGAACTCGAAGCTGAAGCTCCTGTCATTTTTGTTCCATTACAATTAACCGTTAGTTTGGTAAGTAAAATCCATCCGTTTCTTTCTCTTCTCAGTAAAATCTAACGATTGTAACTTTGTTTTTTCTAAAAAAATAATAGTATGCAACATTGGAAGAATATGAGGAAGCAAAAAACAACCCAAAGGTTATAGAGAAGCCCGTGATGGCAAAGGTCGATTGGGAATTGCAAATCTTATAAAAAATATAAGCGACGTTTGTGTTGAATGTACAAAGATAAATAAAAAGTTCGCGCATGTAATTATTTTATGGAACGACGTATACCTTTATCTCAGAACTTGTGAATATTTTTAAATGTCAATTTTACAAGGTGGAATGGTACTATCTTTTTGAACGATCTATTTTGTAGCGCTAAAATAAGTCGCATCTATAATTTTATTTACTTCTTCAGTGTGAAAACTAAAGGATCTTCGCAGTTTGTTACCATATACCCAGCAACATAGCAAACAGGCTGGGGACGCTTTCCACTCACTGTCTTAACATCGTAATTCTTAAAGAGGTGTACCAGGGCCATTTGGATTTCTTGAACTGCGAAAAATCGGCCTATATCGATAAGCATTAGTTTAAATTTTTACAAGTCGTTCGTATTTCGTATTTTACCTGGACATAAATGCTTTCCAGCACCAAATGAGACAAAATCTCTTGCAGGTGTAGTGCTTGTCTTATTAAGAGACATATCGGGATCCATTTCATCGACTGATTCTCTAGTGCTATTGCTACCAAAGTTCATTTGGCGAAAAGTAGATGCAACATAACCATTTTTTGGGACTTGGTATCCATTGGAGAAGGTAAAATCACGCATAACTTTTTTGCCGTTGGCTAATTTATCACTACCTTGACGAAGCACTTCACGGGTAAAGTTGTTTAAGAATTTCATTTTAGTCAAAGCAGTATTGGAAACAGGAGTATCTCCGGGGAGGATGCGCTCAATCTCTTCAATAAATCTAGCCAAAAGATCAGGGCGAGCAATTAACCAATAAATACAAAACCCCAAGTTCATGGAGGTTGTATGGACTGATGCAAACGCTACAAGCAAAACACTTTTGGAAAGTTGTTCAGGAGACAATTGAGTCTTGATACCATTCTGGTCTATTGTCTCGTATTCGATAAGGCCTTGTAAAAAGTTTGCAGTAAGACCATGCTCTTTACCAATTTGCTTAGCCCGTCTCATTTCCTCCCGACGTTTATGGATAATAGGTGCTACATGTTTTAGCATGACTCTCTCGTGGTACTTAGAAGATTGCACGTACGGTAGGATAGATTTGTGCAAAAATTTTGGAACAACCATGAATAAAGGAACGTTCTTAATAATATCTCCAGTAAAATTAGCAAAAGATTCTACAACTTCAACATTTAAGGCAAATTCATCACCAACCAAACTGGGGATACTGGCATAAGCAATGAATTTTTGAAAAAAATGACTGGGATTGTGTACAATGGTTAATTTTTCTTGCAACAAAGTATGGCAAGCATTTTTTAAACCGTATTGAATACCGGAAACATATAAGGGCATTCTGTAATTGGGAATCAGCATTTTAGCTACAGCAGGATTTGCCGTTAAGCTGATATCAAGAATATTTAAATCAAATACATAATCGAGGTGGAGAACATCTAGTGAGAAATACGGTGATTAGTACATTAGCTGCTGCCAGTATTTTGTAATCGGTCTGCTATCTACCCCTTACAATTCCTTGATCTATTGATAAATCGTCAGAATCAGCCTTCAAGGTTTCCTCCCCTAATTTTCCACTTGTTATGGTCATCATCTTGCCTTGAAGGATGAGATTATAAATTTCTCCATATTCGTTGTTACACCAATCAAGAAACTTGGAAGGCATGAACATCAGGTACAAATTATGGCCAAAGAAAGGAAGGCTGTAAGCGGCAGTAGGAGGTAAATTTAACCTTGAAGTTTTTACTCTGAAGTAATCGGAAAGGCTATAGAAAGTGATGAACATAGCAGCACCGATAAGCACTAAATCGCTCTTCTGTGAATTCTTACAAATATTGGCTGGTCTACTGTTGGTGAGGATTTGCTTGACAATCTGTACAGTTTTGCTAATAGATGTGTAGGTGAAAAATGTATTGATGCAATTCATTTTTTAATAAGGAAAGAAATTACGCTATGAAGTTAAAAAGATTCGTGCTTACTTTTTTTATGTCGTTTTATAGGATTAAAAAAAGCTTACTGCAAGTAATATTTGTTCTCGCCCCCCCCCCCTAAACGAGCTCGTTCTATCGGTAAAAACGTATTTGTAACTTAATTTCTACTCAGACAGACAATGCTAAAATATCGTAAATATGTCAGCAAATTTATACGGACTAATTCCACGCTCGAGTTTTTTCTTCTTCTTTCAGTAACTAATCAAATATCTATATAATTTACTTAAGTTTCGTATATCTAAAGACTATTATACCTCCTTTCGGACTTATTTGTACTTAGCTATTTCATTTTGATATTGTGAATATAACATGTGCGGATCTACATTGTGCTATGATATCGGAAGCCTTATGCTCAGTATTTAATGCTAGTTGTATATTTCGTTGTTCAAGTTGATTAAGTGGCGGAGTGAGTATAAATGCTTAAAGTATCCGAGTGTTTATAAAATCATGTACTAGGGCATAATTGAAAGACTTTGGCTGAGTACCAAATAACGGTTCTATATCTTTATGTAGAATAATCAAATAAAAATATACCTGCATGTTTAATTTTCTTTGTGTTAAAAGAGTAGTATATTTATAACTTTAAAGTATAAGCCAAATATCCAATGTCTTATACGAATTTTATTAAAACAATAGACACTTTTACATACATTTATCATAGTTATGTGTTATTAGTTTTGATGAAATATAGTTTTATAAAATACAAAACGTAAACACATCAAACCAGGAACTTCAAATAAAGAAATCTCAAGTAGGTATATATATATATTATAATTCAAATACAACAATAATGAATGAAACGATACTGATTTTTGGTAAGTCCACCATCTGATTGCAAAGCTACGCATCATGTCGGGGGGTTTCAACTTCGATTCTTTCAGTTCTTTTATTCCTTTTTCTCCGTGGTTTACTAAACTTATTTCAACAAAGGCTACCTCAGAAGACAGGTATTTAAAGGTGAGGTCAGCCCGATCTCCAAACCCTCTTGGTGAATTATTATTGCTATTTGGTGCATTTAATTACCCATATTTTAAGCCGTTATATATGATAAAAACTGTGAAGTCTACACAAACATCCATATTTTTTTTAAATGATTGAAGACTTACTCTTTGGCAGAGGCGTAGAAAATTCCCTCTTCTTACAGTTACACGTATGCAGTTTTGACTAACAATGTAAATGTTAATATTCATCTTAATTTTTATTTGAGTTACTTGGCGATATGCAACCCTTTTTTTTTGAAAAAAAAAAAATTAAGTTCAAGATATTCGTGCGGTTTTTTCCTGTCGTTTATAGCCTTTATAGAAATATTTCTACAGGTGATAATTTTTCTCGCATCTTCCGCCAATCTCAAGTAAAACAAAACATCAAAATTTTACGCGCGGGGATCATAAATATACACCACGTAAAAGCTTATTGCTGAACTGCACAGGTAGTATGCAGCTGCCAATAATTAAGTTGATGGTTGATTGCTTATTCTTTATTTTCAGAAGTTATTATAATTCATATCCTTCCACCTTAAAAAGCTCGCCGTAATCAAAATAACGGGTCATTAACTTTTGGACAGGTTTGGGCAAGTTCATGGATGTTAAAATGTTTTGCATTTTTGAGAGACCAGCCTTTCTGATCAGGCTGTTCAAGTTACATGAAATTTCAGTGGGATACTAATTATCAAAAAAAAATTAGTAAACAACAATTTTTAAGTTCTGGTAAAAGTACGCACCACTATTTCGTGATACCAGCGTTCGTGATAAACGGTTAATTTTACAGCGGCTAGTAATGCTTTTTGTGTGTTTCCTTCCTTGGCATATATTTCTAACAATCTCATCCACGCTTTTGCAGAAAATTTATAATCTAAGCAGAACTCGTATGCTTCCTTTGCTTCATTCTATAAAAGTATTCTTTGTTAGATAGACATTTGATTTAGCTAATTCCATAACTTACTTCATGCCATAACCTTAATCCTAAATCGCCCAAGAGTTCCCACTCGGTACCTGTTTTGCGATATGCTATTTTTTGGGCGCGGTAGTGGGCAGATTCGGTTCTCCAAAAAGTGTAAATCCTCAAATCCTCGTACAAAACCATAAAAAGATTGTCGAGCCATCTTTCACACAGCCTTTTATTTCCAAAAGAAAACGATACTTCTTCTTTCAGTTCATCTTCTGCCGTCTGTGTTGGTTTTTCAACGGATGGTTCAGGAACTTTCGGTTCAGCGATAGAAGTTTCTTTTAACTTTTGGTCCAAGTCATCAGCCTTTACCATGCTCCTTCTATTCCCTTCCTGGGCTTTATGCATACGGTATTCTTCTTCCATTACAAAAACTTGTGATCTGCATCGAAGTAGCTCATCCCATCCTAAAGCATTGGCGAGTCTTGTCAACAATGAGTATGCTTTAGAAAATGTTCCATGCAAAGCAGGTGCTGGAAGTCGGGATATATTGGAGTCAGTCTACAAAACAAGTTTAGTTTAAATATCAGGTATGCAACCATTATTTATTACCTCTGATTCACGTCCGGCAGAGTCTTCCTCCATAATACCCGAATTTATAATATCCGGTTTAATGGGAAGATGTGTCCTGGCAGCGGCGGGCATACGATGCATATCACGTTCATTGTAGGTAAACATTGGGCATGAGTTTAAAGTCAGTAGAGCCTGGATAAATAAAAATTAATATCTCAATCACTAAAAATATTTTAGGTCCTACGTTTTTGTAATCATTAAGATCAATATAAACTAAAATTTTTGTTTCAGTTACAGTATAATTTATTCTTATATATAGCTTACGAACCTTCCGTCAATTTAGCCCAAGTTAAGTATTCCGATGGTGTTGTATCCACTGCATATTTTGCTAACTTCAAAGCCATGGTATACTCTCCCTGGTATTATTTAAGTTAGTATAAAGTAGTAAAAAATGAAACTGTCATCACCTTTTCCCGTAAAAAATCAACTTGTACATGGATTAAAGGGTAGCTCATCGAAACAGATTTCAAATCTTCATACAGTACTTTCACAGCCTTTATTTCTTCGTTTTGACCAATATAGGCTTTTGCCAAGAGGGCCCCAACTTCTGGATCCTTTTTGTGCAATTTTTTAAATAATTCAATAGCTGGTGCAAACCGAAAGCTATCGCCAAAATACTTCATGACACCATCCGTCAAATGATTATGGACTGATGTAGCAACTTGGATCTCGGGTTTACTACCCAATTGCCAACCTTTCCAAAACAATGATTCGACCGCTTCTAAAAATCTCGCTTCTGCTGGTAAATTTAATATTGGATCTACTTTACGGTATCCTGCTAATCGATAATAGCTATCGTCCGAGTACAGAATAGCTCTCAATACGGCAGATAGATAAGTCTCCTGCCATATTTCAGCAGTTGCTTCATGCCTATTTGCGCCTTTTAAAACCGGTATGTGTGTAACCATCATAGACCCTTTTTACCTTTCGCCGCGAACATCCACATAATAACTTTCTACACCACCCGGAATCTTTACTTCTACCCTAACATCTACCCGAGAAAATGCATTATAGCAGCTGCGTAATATTAGTATTTAGTTGGAAAAAATTTATAATAATCATACCAATATATACCAGATCGAATACGCCAAGAGTTTGATTTTGTAAACCACGATTGAGTATCGTCCTATATTTAGTTTAGCATTCGTAATAAGTGTAGTTTGAAAAAAGATTAATTTACCATGGAATAAGTCAGCGAGTTTAAATACGCTGCTAGAGAAGCGGAAGAAGACGCATCCACACCTGAGATATAGTGATAGCTACCTAACTAAATAATAAAGGGACGCAAAAACTAAGTATAAGTCCGAACATCATAGCCTGCTGTATGTACCTCCTTGATACCTGGCTTGGCATTAACTTTTATAATGTGACATAGATCTGGAGGACCTAATTCGCGAAATGTTCCTTTGTAATATATTATTATTAGTTTGGTTCCTGAGTTAGATATTTTGAGCATAATTACCTAAAGCATCTGTTCGCGCAATTATAGCCTCTCCGAGTTCAGTCTCAAAGAACTCAGGAATGTCTTTTAGTGAATCTGCCATTTAGAAGAAGAAAAAGGTTTACTTCTAGTCTGAAAAGCGTAATAAAATAATTGTCGTGAAGATCCGAAACGAGGTTCATATTAATTTTAAGACCAGACAAACAATATGATTACTTTTTCAAACTTACATACAACCCTTTTGCAGATGTAAAAATGATCACTATAAAAGAACACATTTTATCGATACAGTGTGTACACATGGGTTTTTTTAAAGAAAGGAAGGTTGGATTTTTGAAATAGATTGGCCACTTTTTCGACCAACATATTACAATTGAAGATGCGCACTATACATAAATAAGACGAAATCAATTGAGGCTATAAACTAACAACAATTATGTAACGGTTAAAAAAAGAAGGAATGTATGAACCGGGGTGGTTTTTTATAAATATATCTTTCAGCTTATAATACTTTAGTTACGGTCAAATAGTTAGTAAGTTTAAAGTGTGAACATCATTAATTAGCCAATCCTTAAAGAAAGGGATTTGAAACATTTGGCAACTTTGGGATGGTTTTATCTCTAGTGTTTCTAATTGACGATACAAAGCCTTTCAATATGAAGCAATTGCGACAGTGTGATAAATTAAAGAATAACGTTTTTATAAAAAAGGGTGACACATTTATCAGATTGGCTTCGTCAGAAATGTCATCCACCTAAATTAATATAATGTCTATTAATTATTCGGTAATTATGGTATATACCTTTTGTTTATAGCAATAATGGCGCCAATTTATACTACGCTTTTTCGACTTGAGATAGACGAATCAAATTTAATTTTCAAATGAATCAACCCCCTTTTTTTGTATAAAATCAGCCCCTTTCTTTGCTTCACATCATTCATCAATCTTAAATTAGTTATGAAAATAAATTACAAAAGAGAAGGTAATATTTCGTAAGCCTTAAAAAATAAAACTTCATTTTTTTATATCGCTCAATAGACTTCCCTGAACCTGGAGACCAGTATGTTCAAAAAGGAATACAAAAGCTTAATACAAGGGATTACAGTCAGGCTTTGAAATGCTTCGAAAAAGCATCTACTTATGATAATGAGCATGGCCTTATATTTGTTGCCATATTCCATCTATTAAAGTTAGGTACATCAAAAAGGGACCCGGAAAAGGCGCTTGTATATTTCAAAAAGGCAGCTTTGCTATGGCTAAGCCCTGTGGCACAATATCTTATAGGAATGATCTATTTTGAGGGGGATGAAGGGATCGTACAGAATTACGAAGAAGCATTCAAGTGGCTTCTAATAGCAGCAAAAAATGGATGGTCTGATGCCATGGGACATTTAGCAAATGCTTATAGTATTGGTGACATCGTAAAAAAAGATCTTAGCAAAGCGATATATTGGCTTAAGCAGATTGAAAAAAAGGATGATAATGCAAACGAATGCATCGAAAATAATACAGTATGCTTATTTGGAAATTGTGTATTTGAAGTTGATATGAATTTTGTAGAAGAAGAAATGAAAAAATTAGTAAAAGAAGCATCAACCAGACGTCTAGCATCGTTTCCCATTCATGCGTCAATTCAAATTAGTCTTCGTTACACAGATTCGGAGGTTGATATGATAGATCAAGCGTTTTGGTGGGATACAATGTCAAATACAAAGTCAAGCAGCGTTGCCGCCTCTCAGTTTTCTCTGGCAAAAATATACGAGCTAAGTATATTAAACAAAGAAAAGGCCCTTTACTACTACGAAAGAGCAGCAAAAAATGGAAATATGAATGTTTGTTTAAAGATTGGACTATTGTACAATAAGGGTGTGAAATAATTAAGAATAAAGATTACAGTTGATAATAACTTGGAGAAATTTGTATAGTTTTATATGGAGTTTATAGGAAGTACTTAAACCAGTAGAACACATCATACCCGTTTGAACTATATACTAATATAGTATCTGAATACTACTATAAAATATCAAAATAAACCGTTTTGTTGAAAGGACGCGAGATCTTAAACGCCGTATTCATACTATATTTAGCTATCATCAGATGTTCTTTCTTTTACCCTGATATAATGAATCAACAATACATTTATTATGTAAAGTATATGTCATCATAAAACGAAAAGATTTAAAGAAACCACTTCAATCTGATGAACTGAATCTCGGAAAGAGGGTTGTTTACCTATTTCTTTATCAGTGAATAAAACCATAATATTTATTTCCGCTTTAAATAAACAGTATCAAGTTAATCAGTGGTACACACGGAGATCTAAATGCAAAACATCATGCTCGCCGACTTCCTGAAGATGTTCAGTTCTACAACTGGGAGCAAATCGGGTATAGCTTGTTCTAACTCGGAAGTACTTCCTGGTCAAAAAAACGTTATAGAAAAAATCCTGTAGTTTGACGTACCAAATCACTAGCACGTCCTAAGACACAGAGAATAGTTACATTGTTTTTGTGAGATGAGAGTTGTGCATAGTTTTGTCTACTTGTCATTAACACAGCAAATATAATACTTAAAACGTTTATTATACTGTTTGATCGTCTGTAATATGGCGTTTTTCAAGCATAATGTATTATAAATAAACAAATAAGTTGTATCTAAAAATATCATTAGTATTTTTATTACATGCTGTGTTTCTTTCGTTTTTTTCCCAATCTTATGGAGATAATATATAAATCTGAAGGTGTATATTTATCAAATTGACCCCAACATATAACTTACTTCTTATTTCTTTCAGATTTTCCTGAACCTGGGGATAAAGATCTCAAAAAAGGGGTGGAACAGATTAATAAAAACGATCTGTTAAAGGCTTTGAATCATTTTGAGAAAGCGCAAAATTATGACAATGAATATGCAACCCTCTTTGTCGCGATATTTAACTTTGTTGGGTTTGGCACAGATAAAAGAAACCCCTTCAAAGCCCTGACTTTGTTAGAAAAAGTTGCAACGGAATGGAACAACCGTGTTGCCCAATATGTTATAGGAGCAATGTACTTTGAAGGCGATGAAAACATCAATCAAGATTTCGAAGCAGCAATAAAATGGATTACTCTATCTGCAAATAATGGATGGATCCAGGCTATGACCCACCTGGCTCAATATTACTACGTTGCAAATAAAAAGAATCAGGATTTAGAAAAGGCTATATATTGGTGCAAAAAAGTCATAGAAAGCAACGACCAAGACGCAGCATATCTGTTTGGAAATAAATCATTTAACGTTGTTATAAAAAAGCAAGTGTCTGAGGTATTTGCAACAGGACGAGACAATTCTATTCAAGGAGCCCAGTGCATGGCATCGTCCCATTTGACAGAAAAGGAAATTTTATGTGAGGTTTATCAAGTACTTTTCTGGGTTTTGATGACAAACAAGAAGCCAAATTTAGAGAAAATCTGCCAATTACTCTTGGTAGACATTTACAGGGTCGGAGGAAAAAATGTTGAGGTAGATTTAGAAGAATCGCTTTTTTGGTTTAAGAAAGCAAAAGAGGATGAAAACTCCGGAGTAAAGCTAGCAGCAGAATCATTTTACGATGATGGCGTAGACGCAGAAAAAGATTGTAAAGAAGTTATGAAATGGTACATGAGATCAAAGAAGTTTGGTCGAATGTATCTCTTTGGTAATGGCACTGTACCTGATTTTGGAACAACTTTAGCATACCTTGATGTAGTTCGAGAGCAAACTGAAATTGGGGAGGTATACTTTATGATGGGTTCTCTATATGAGTCTGGTAGCAATGGAATTAGACAAGACTATTCGAAAGCAATAGACTTTTATTCGAAAGCAGTTGAAAACGGATGCAGCAAAGCATCCATATCTATTGGGACATTTTTCCTCTGTGGCCAGGGTACGAAGAAAAACGAGGCGATGGCATATGAGTGGTTGGATAAAGGAGCATTGATGGGGAATGCACAAGCTAACTACATGCTAGGTAATATGCATTATGAGGGGTATAAAGGGAAAGTAGATTTAGACAAGGCATTGGAACATTATGAAAAATCAAATGAAGCTGGTTTTTTACCAGCAGAAACTAGAATTGAAGAAGTTCTGATGATGAAATCAATGATTGGCATGGTACGATCTGCCCCAAAACATGTAAAACGTGTAAAAAATTAAAGTGAAATTCATTTTATAAAGCTGTTTGTTACTTGTAAAATAAATATATTATGCCATCGATATCAATACAAATTGTTGCTGATTTATGATAATTGTCACTAACTTCGTCTACTATAATTACGTTTATGATAACTTTAGGTCATGCAATTAACTATGATGCTACATAATAACATTTTGTCTTTCCATAACCAATCATTTAATATAATACAAAATCACAACTTAGAGCAATAGGGGGGAATATTGCATGTGTTTGGAAAAAAACCAAGAACAAAGAACCACAATTAGTCGAAACACCGAGGGATAATTGATTTCTGGGTAACAGCAAGTTATTAATTTAACTCTATTGATAAGAAAACCTGATTGATTATTGTTATAAGGTTTAATTAAGCAAATGTGTGATCATAATCATGTCTTATCTAATGGTAAAATTGTATCAAATAGTTTACAGTTTATTGGTATGTTGTAAACCCTCTCTGCCATCTTGGGTAAAGCAAAAAAAAAAAATTATGGTGTTATATTGATTTTTTCGAATAGTTATACTATAGTGTAATCTTATATGAACTTAAAGAGCGGCACTCTTTGTATTGAACTTTTATCAATGGCACAAATATCTCTACTTTATAAATTGTGTTAATTGTTAACAGGGACATCTGTTTACAGACCCGAAGTATTTCATTCATAACTTTTTTTTTTGAACCTTAAGGTCCGCTGACGACTTCTAGCAACAATTGAATATAAACACAATACATTTATTAGATTCTAACTACACTGTTGACAACACTTACCAACCACATGTTCTATAAAAAAACAGTTTCTACTCATTTATCAACCATAAGTATTATTAAATATTATGGGCTGCTGCTGTTCTAGTTCAGCTAGTGACAGTGTCTCTTGCGTTGATAGTGGCTATTTTTCTGCAACATAGGTTGAATAACTAACGTACCGCTACAAAAGAAGGTATGTAATTTTTACCACAGTATGTAACGTTTATCGATATATCAGTTCAAACATTGACGACGGATGTGGTTTCTACTTTTTCCTTTCATGCAGAATAATCCGTAGATACAATTATATACTTTATTTTAATATGACAATCTCACCGTTAATAATACTTTAAAAGCTTTTTTTTTTCATAATAAACAATTATTCAGATATGACTGAATCTTTCATTTTATTTTTAATGACATTTGCGCTCACGGATAATGATGTGCAGATTTTGCTTTTCTTGGAAATGACGACACATCACATAAAGTCTGAAAATAAAATCATCATACCACATGGAATAGATTTTTTTAATTACTAGAAAGGGAGCAATTGTGTTTTTGCTTACTACCGCTTATGTCTGTGGCTGTGTTCTTTACATTTTATGCTCAACTAGGAGCAATACTTTCGTAATTGTAGCAATATCAATACTTTACATATGTTTCAATTAGAATTAGTCATAATTGCGCGCTTACGCCATCATAACAACTTGTGTTAATAATAACATGATCTAAATTTAGATAATCCTATTCAAACAAACACGCCATCGAAAATATTCTTTATATTTTGACTTTTTTAGATTTTAACAGCCTGTTTCTTTATTCCAATCATGAAAGTTTTATACCAACTCAGTGGTAAGTACTTGCATACTATAATAAAACACAAAAATCTCATTATTTCAATACAGATTATCCCGAACCCGGTGATAAAGACCTATTTATGGGTATACAGTTTATGAATCAGAATGATTATACAAATGCTTTACATCATTTTGAAAAGTCGTCTACTTACAACAATGAATATGGGATTCTGTTTTTTGCCATCTTTAACTTTACCGGTCTGGGATTGGATAAAAGAGATGTCAAAAAAGCTCTTATTTATTACAATTTGGCTGCTACAGAATGGCAAAACAGAGTGGCACAATATCTTTTAGGTATGCTGTATTTTGACGGTGATGAAAACATACCAGGTGATTACATTACAGCTAAGAAATGGTTGACACTGGCCGCTGATAATAGATGGATTAGTGCTATGGTGGTTTTAGGACATGGTCATCGAAATGGATGGTTCGGCAAAACAGATCTCGAAAGGGCTATATTTTGGCTAGAAAAAGTTACAAATAATACAACAAAGGATGAAGATATAGATTTTTTATTTGGTTCCAAACTTTTTAAAATGGACAGGAGTCACGTTCCAACTGAAATCAAGACAAATATAAGAAACAAAAGAAACCAAGGTCTAGCTTCACTTTATCTTCTTGCAAAGACTGTTTCTCGCAACGACAACAATGGCGCCATGTATCAAGAGCTGTTTTGGAATCTATTGACAAATAAACAATCAGATTCTATCGCCATTGCCCAAAAGTTTTTAGGGATGGTGTATATGGATGGCGACAAAGTCATAAAGATAGACAGGGCAAAATCTTTTCATTGGTTTAAAAATTCTGGAATAAATGGAAATGCTGAAGCCTGTTCGGTCGTTGGGTCGTGTTATAAGGATGGAATCGGAGTAGAACATAATACTCAAGAAGCCATTAGATGGTACGTTAAAGCTGCAGAAATGGGCGGTGATACCGAAGAGTTACAAGATGCTGGTACAAACTATTTCAAGATAGGCCCCAAACGTGATTACAAACTGGCCCTGCAATATTTTGAAGCCCTTAATACAGTAACAGAAAGCGGTAAAGCCTGTTTCTTTATGAGTAGCATATATTTAGAAGGAGGCGATGGTGTTAAACCAGATTACAAAAAAGCCATGAAGCTTGCCTTGGAATCAATGAAAAAAGGGTTTCCACCTTCTGCCTCAGCAATTGGAATGATGTACTTGAAGGGTTTAGGAGTGAAGGAGGACGAAGTAAAAGCACACGAATATTTGTTGCAAGGTGTATCAATGAAGTGTCCAAGGTCAATGTTTATATTAGGTGGAATGTATCATGAGGGCTACCAGGGAAAAGTAGATCATGACAAGGCTCTAGAATATCTTTATATGTCGGTCGAAGCAGGCTTTTTACCTGCTCAGTACATGATTGATCAGGTGACGATGCTTCAATCAATGAATACACTTGAAGTATCCAGCCGAAAAAATAACAAGACTAAGAAACGACGAACGAAAAAATTTAAGTAATGCCATTGCCTCATTGTAATCAGATCTTATTAATTGCATAAGAAAATAAATGGTTACTGTTTAAATTATTTGTGAATAACCCATAAATGTATATTGATAACAATTACATATTAAGCTAAATATGAGAGTGTTTTATTTAGAAAATTAACAGAGTCCTTTGATAAGTAGTCGAATAGATTTAACAAACAAATCATTATATATCGCAAGATACAACACTTTTACATTATTAACAGCCAGTACTTGAAATATTTGAAGCTTAATTTTAGATATAATGCCTAGAAGATTGAGACGCTTTTCGTGAGGTAGGTGTTCTTGGGGTAAACGAAGCTGGTTGAGGAACAGTAACTTGTTGGGGAAGATTAGTACGTAAAGGTAAGAAAGCCTGCGGAATAACAACACGTTGAGAAACAACAGCTTGTCGAGGGACAGCAGCTTGTCGAGGGACAACAGCTTGTCGAGGGACAACAGCTTGTCGAGGGACAACAGCTTGTCGAGGGACAACAGCTTGTCGAGGGACAACAGCCTGTTGGGGAACAATAGCACGTCGGGGAGCAATAGCATGTCGAGGAGCCACAACTGGTGCAAGGAGGTCAGGCAGTTGAAACAAATCAGGTTGAATATTAACAATACCGGGATAGTTGATATTCATATGCGGATGGTTCCCTGTACAACTGCACTTGCTCTGACCACAGTTGTAACAGCTAGTAAAATCATAGAAGAATATAATAAGTATAAGTGTCCTTAATAATTAGACAATTTAGTTTTTACAAATAATTCTTGCATCTGCAATACATTGTATTGCATCCACCCTAATAAAGAGATTTATTAGGTACTTTATATTTATCAAGGTTCTTAGATTGAGTACCTTTCTTTCCACAAGATGACCGCAAGATGGACACTGCCTCCAGTTACATCGCTTGGCTTCTTCCAATGTTTTCTTTTCGGCTTCCTTATCATCAAATACCTTAATAACATCTATTTGCAATAATTAACATAAAAATGAAAACTTTAAAGAATACGTTATTTCTTGTACCTGGGTGCCAAGGGGTTTGACATGTCAAACAGAATCCTCGATGACACTCCTGACACTCAGTAAAATTACAAGTTTTAGTGAGCTCCTCATCTACATCATATACAGCTTTGCAGCCGTCCATTGGGCATGTAACCTATTAAAGTTTACATTATTTTTTAAAGACACCATCATTATAAAAACATACCTTGTTATTAATATAGGCTCTACTACTAATGGCTGCATCCCACCAGGCTGCAACTTCACTAGCTGAAAAGATGTTTCGAACAACCTCATAGCTGTTATACTTTTCCTTACAACCAGAAGCTGCACATTCAATATGATCATAACTCGAATAACGGTCATCCTTTAGTGCGGCTTGAAAGTATGCACGCATACAGGTACGACATACCCAGTGATTACATGAATCCGGAGTAAGATATACCATATAGTCTTGCTGTACTTCACTGAAGCATATTTGACACTCCTTGACGACTTTTTGGGCTTTTGAAGAACTCATTTTTAAATGAGAGAAAATTTTGAAGAAAGAAGGCATTGTTGTCTTTCCTATTTGATTTCTGCCTTTTTTTTTTTTTTTTTACCACAGCATTTTTATGATATATTAGATTACTTTGAAAAATGGATAGAGTGACGTTGAAATCTTTTATTCTATAAATATCATACAAAAAAGAGTGTATCTTTAATGGTTTTTTTTACTTTTATTAGAGTCATTGCCTTGTTTCAAAAAAGCTTTAACTTGACCTGCAGTAGCCGTATACCAAGCATACAAGACAAATGCTTGGATACCGTGGAAGACGGAAAGTCCCCAGCTTGAATTTACAGAAAGGGGTCCTTCATTACGCGATTGGAAAATGATCATCGCCATAATACCGTGATAAAACATAAAGCCACAAGCTTGAATTTAAATATAACTTTTAGAGCCACAGTCAAAATTTCTTTTACATAATTTTTTTAGTTTTTACCTGCTCCTCGTTTGCAAGGCAGCATATTGGGCATATCTCGACACAATAAACTAATTACGGCCATACCAGCCATAGAAGCACCGTAAAAGCGAATGAGAAGCACAGTAGTTATATCGAATGCCTGAGGGAAAAAATAACTAGTAGCATGGGGAATTAACAAGAATTGAAGTGCAATGACACCTTGAATGACACCATGCTAAGAGGTCGAAAAGATATGTGTGTTTATATACAAGTAATTTTCACCGAAAAGTTTGCAACTTACAGCAGTAAAAATAGCATTGAGTGCAGACATTATGTCGAAAGATGCTTTTTAATTGACAAAGAGCAAAAAAATAAATTCATAACACCTTTTTGAATCAACAATTTAATCTCAGCATGGATTCCCCAATTTGTGTGGACTATTTATCTTTTGCATGTACGACATCCAATTTGCATTGTCATCCAAAAGTTGGGTACGACCTTTTATCAAGCTGACATCGCTTTATTATAGCTAGATAACATCAAGACCGTTCATTTTTGTTTTAAAAAAATTTAAATGAAGGTTTTACACATGAACATGTGCAGTTTTTTTTAATTAAAATTGTGGTTACAAATGTACAGGAATGGATTTAGTAATGGATAATTCATGCAGCTAATGGTTTTCCAAACTTTTGCAGACTTAGATACACTTGTTTTCCGAAAGCTCCTCTCTGTGATTCCAAAGGGGAACTGATTCGAGCAGCTGTATTATTTTTTAAACGAAGTGCTAACTCCTCTTGTTCTAAGCAACTAATTTTGTTACTTTGAACACTGATGGATTTTTCGATATCACGAATGGTTCGACGTAATGCATATGCTGTAATTTTGCTTGAATAAAAAATGTCAATTACATTTATCTGACGCTTGTGTGTTATTTTCTAGCTTTCCCCTTTTACCTTTCATCAAATTCGTTCGACTTAATCGACTGCAGGTCTTGTTTATACAGCTCAATTTGTTTCTCCAAAGCTTTCAGGTCTTCTTTGCTATTGGTTGCCTTGGTTTCTAATTCCTTTGCTTGCTTCTTCACATCGTCTTGCAGTGACTGCTTGATGGAATCCAAAGCATCAGGGTTCACCTCATCGTCTTTTAAACAAGATTTAATCTCGTCTAGTTTCACTATATCACAGATTATTAGAGTGAGAAGGCTTTCATTAATTAGAGAACGCTTACAGTTATCAGTAGATTCTAATAATGAAGTGACAGAATCAAAAAGTGAGCGCAAGTCCTCGTCTGCTTTCAAAGCATCGTTGTTCAAAGTATCCATCATCATTGATGTGTCAAACATATCAATCATCTTCCATTGATATTCATCATCTTCTAAATATGACAAATTCTTTATAATAAAACGGGATCTTTCCTGGAATCTGAGTTCTTCTTCAATATCCTTCAGATGATATGAGGTCTATAAAAGAATTAGTATTGGAAATGACACCTTTTAAAATATTTCACTTTACCAATTCAAGACTATCTTCGGTGTCAAAATAAATAGACTCGAATTCTTTAGCCATGCCTGTGATCCCAGGTGCTCTTTCATGGTCTGTAGGATACATGGGTTCGGGTCTTTCCCGGGTAGCGAAAAGTGGATCTGGCTTAAGAGCGGCTAACCTTTCCTCTTCAAGTCTCTGTTCTTCGGCGATACGCTCTTCCTCAATTCTCTTCTCCTCTGCAATTCTCTTTTCCTCTGCAATTCTCTTTTCCTCTGCAATTCTCTTTTCTTCTGCGATTCTCTTTTCTTCTGCGATTCTCTTTTCTTCCGCGATTCTCTTTTCTTCTGTAATTCTCTTTTCTTCTGCGATTCTCTTTTCCTCTGCTAATCTCTTTTCCTCCGCTAATCTCTTTTCCTCTACTAATCTGTTTTCCTCCGCAATTCTCTTTTCTTCGGAAATTCTGTTTTCCTCAGCAGCCCTCTTTTCTTCGGCATAGCCCGCATCTTCAGCCATTTGCTTCTCCTCGATTACTTTCTTTTCTTCAGCAATTCTAGCCTCTTCGGCAATTTTAATATCCCTTGCAACCATCTTTTCTTCGGCAGCTTTCTGACATTCAGCGATTCTTTTTTCCTCAGTCATGAACTTTTCCGAATCGAAATTTTCTTGTTCCCGAATAGCACTCTCTTCATCTACTGATTTCTTCACTTCGGCAGCCTGAGATTCCTGAACAAGTTTATTTTCTTTTTGATCTTCGACCAATTTTTCTTCCAATGCCTGTTTTTCTTCGGCATTCTTTTCCTTTTCAAGTCGATTTTCCTCTGCGATCTTCTCTTCAACCTCGTTTTCTTTATCACTTTCTCCAGTAGAGGCCGTATCCTGCGTGACCTCTCTTTCTTTCACGGATAAATCTAGAGCATCCGAGACTGATTCGAGCGAAAATCCAAACGCGTCCTTAGATTTATCTATACTGCTCACCTTGGAAATTTCACTACCTGAATCGCTTTCTTCCTCAAGCTCGTCCCGGATGTCTTCAAATTTCAAGCTACATCCTTCGGGCTGCGATCCAAATGTAGCAATATTCTCTTCCACAGCTGGTTTTTTTTTGGATGTGCCAAAAGATGTGTTTCCAAAAGGATGTGTGGTGGGTGTAGTGGTGCCAAACGATGATGTAGGCTTGGCACCGAACGAGGATGTAGATCCGAATGCAGGTGTTTCGGTAGTTGATTTAGCACCAAACGAAGATAACGATCCAAACGAGGATGTAGAGCCAAATTTGGGTGTTTCAGTAGTCAGATTAGCTCCAAACGATGTAGACCCAAATTTGGGTGTTTCTGTAGATGCCTTATTTCCAAACGAACTAAATGAACCAAATGTAGGTTGCTGAGTAGTTGTTTTGGACCCCAAAGCGCCAAAAGCAGATGTCTCACCAAACGTCGAAGCAACATTGGTTGTACCACCATACCCAAATGCTGATACGCTAGCAGGAGTAGAAGTGCTAGTAGATGCAGATTTCGCAAGGGATGCAAAAGAAACAGTTTGTCCTGTTCCAGCAGAAGCACCAAACGCACCAAGACCTACAGACGAGGTAGAACCAAACGTGGGTGTGGAGGAAGGTGCAGAGCCAAACGTGGGTGTACTTGCACTGGGTTTAGCCACCGTTGCGCTTGTGCCTAAACTACTGAAAGATGGGATTTTGGAAGGTGCTCCGCCAAACGTGGGTGGGTTCTCAGGACCACGGAATGTACTAGAAACTACAGTGGCGGTTGCTTCAGGAATTTGTGGAAAACTTGCAGGTTCAGGAATCTTGTTCATATCTTGACAAGTAACCATACCAGAGTATTTCTCTCCCAATCTCGCCAAATCCGAATTATAAGCATGATAAGCACAAATGCGACCTTCGTTTGTCATGAATAAAACCACGGGCATAGGAGGCACGGGAGTCTCATCTTCAGCAGAATCAAAGGGAGCCAAAGGCTCTGAGGCTGAGAAATCGATAGTTAGGCCAACAGGGTACGTATCTGTGAGATCGTCTCGAGAAAGTGGCAAACTTGGAATGTTTTCATCTAGCATCCAAGTGGACCAATCACCTTGTTCATCTTGACCGATAACAGCTAAATCACCAGCAGCCGAATTCGCCAAGACAATTAAATTCTTAATGCCAATGCCAAAATCACGAATTAAACTAATATAAAAGTGACTATCGGGGCATTCAAAGTCATAAATTGGATTAATTTCACCCATTAAAGTATACTTTTCTGATATCGTAGGGGCTTTACGGTTGATGATATAAGGCTTGTGCACATGCTCTGCATTAGTGGATATGGAATAGATGGCTAAAAATACATGGTTTTCTACCCAAAGTACCGCATTGACATAGAAATCTGGATTTTCTATTATATCAAGAGGAGGATCTATCTGATCCCTTTGATTTCCTTGTATGTCGTAGGCAATCAACTCTAAGTCTCTGGTGCCACACACAATTTGCTTTCCCTTGGGAGACCAAGACATGGTGGTCGCGTTGGAAAGTGTCGCCATGATCTCACTTGTCATATATCGAATCAGTTTGCATTCATCATTTTGTGTGGCGACTGCAACAATATCGGGATATACTTCTGGATTGGGTTGAATATAAATAATTTCATCATCCAAAGTCTGTGCGTGAACTGCCACAGCATTCTCTTTCTGTAGAATGAATTAGTTGATAGAAAAGATCTGATTTTATATCCTTCTTACGTTCTTGACAATATCACTGATATTGTATGTCAATAAGATACCGCCCGAAACACCCACAAGGAGTTGAAGATTATCGCACGTCAAGGCGATAATATTGACTTGGCCTTCTGTGACGGATACCTTGATCAAATCCTCAAAAGGCGTAGCATCAACACCACGTTCAGCCCCGTAAATGGTTGCACGCAATTGTTCGGTTTGTCCCAAAACAAAACCTAAATTAAATTGTTGTTAAATTCTAATGTCAAAAGACATTGAACAATTCAATTTCTTTACCAGAGCAAGAGCCGGCGACAAAATACCCATAAATGCTTGAGCAAACTAGTAATGAAGAACTTTTTCTGTATCTGTCCACAGGAAAGTTAGAGTCGCTTAATTCCACTTTGACATCGGGAACAAGACTGTTGAAACGGAAATACTAGAATAATTAAAGGTGAGTTCAAATTACCGCTATAAAAAGTACTTTTTTTTTTCTTATTGAATTTACTTCGACGACTTTTTGCTCTCCTTCTTCAACGTCTTCTGTTTCTAAAACTGAATATGGGTTTTCCATTTTTTTTTTATATATTTTATGTTTATAAAAAGAAACCCAAACGCGACAAGAAAAAAAAAAAGCTAATGATGCTCAGCTTATTTAAACTGCGCCTCATCATGCCTTTTTTGTTTTGCGAATTAGAATTAAGTTGATTTGCAATGGCACCTGTCAAGCAGGATTAATGTAATACTCTATGGTCTTAGCAATTGACGGAGCGTATTTTTAAACTATATTGGTTATAATGGGTATAATTTTTGGTCCGATTAGACCAAAGCAATTTTTTTATTGTTCTGCAAAACAAAAATGTATCAAAATTTGAAAACTAATCAATGCTAGATACATAGCATTTATGCCAATTGGTGTAAACCTGGTATGCGGCTAACACAATCTCTATATTAGCTGAGAAAGATAATCTATTATGAGCAGCCAGAAGCATTATTTATTCAATCTATGGAAAAAGGGTTAGCTCCCAACATCTTATGTATACTTTTCGAAACCCACTTTGATTGATGCATATATATTGCGAACATAACAATATGATGAAAAAAACCCGATAGTTCCCATGCAAAGGCCGTAAATGGCACATGTTATAAACGAATATCCTAGATATATCACTGTGGGTACTGTAATCACAAGGCCACTATTTGTATAATAATGATATATCATATGTCTAAAAAAATTAGGATGTAAGTATTTTGTTTTTAGTTCCACTGTATATTTTACTCACATGAACACACAAACCGACGATACAAATGATATATAGAATGATTTCCACCACCACTTATAATCCTGAAGGCAAAAAAAGGGATCCCTATTAAGACATTTAATCCGAATTAAATATTATAACAATATATATACCTCATAATAAAAATCAAGATGAGTAACTGCTATGGATGTAATAGACATGATCATTCCTGAAATAGAAAGTACAACGAGTAAAATTGCATATACGTAATAATATTTTTCAGTCCATACTGATTGAATGACATAAAACATGTCAACATAAAGTGCACTGAATGATATAATGCCACCAAAAATACATCTATGCTCTTGTAAGCGCAAATTAATTGTAAGTATCTAATTGTGACATACCTGAACATGGGTTGAAAATACCAGAGATGGCCCGTTCTCTGTTTAGGAATTTGGCTTATCAGAACTGAGGAATCATGGCTAATTTTATGCTGCCGGTAATTTTTTTCGCATACATAAGCGCCTAAAAATACAAGTGGTGTCGATATCAAAAACCATAACATAATCATGTAGATTAAGGAAGATCTTGATATGGCAAACAAAGAGCTTTCATACAAAGCAGCCATGTTGATAACGAAAATCATTAAAAAGATTATGGTTGGTACAAAGAAAAGAGTCTAATTTATGATAGATGTGGGTTACGTTTCTAGTGTCCTGAAAGTGAAAACATGTCTGTATTACCACAAAGGCATTAGTTATCCACCTTGTTTTTACGCCCAATAAATTGTGGGTTAGTGTACTGATATACCCAGAAAACAGACTATGATACAATTTAGTCATGGAAAAAATTGGAACGATTAAAGTTGTTCCTACCCCGATAGAAAACAGAGAGATATCCCATACGAAACTAGACCCTCTTGGTAAGCTGGATCAAGAAAGCCTAACAAAGGTACTAAAAACAAGGAAAAAAAGGTCATATTGATGAGTTGGATCCCCGATCCTAATAGAGGCCCCAACCACATGGATGGACTAGGTGGTTGAAACATATCGCCGTACATGTATTTCCATCCTTCGTGATCGTTTGATAACTCCTCATTATTGATTCGATTACGAATATTGGTATCTCGACGCATCAGGCGTATTAACATAAGACCAATGACTGCAGTAAACATTAACGTACACGCAATTGAATTCAGAATAGGTGTCCAATAGATGTGAAAAGTGCTATTTCGCACCTCTTCCCAAGTAACGGAATAAGTATAATGTATTGTTGCATTTAAATTCTCTTTCCCCTTCGTATTTGCTTTAAGACAATTCGAATTGCTAATAATATGCTAGTAAATCAAAACAATATGTGTTCCTAGTCTAGTTAGAACTTACATTAATGGCTGTACTTGGAATCCAACAATGTATTTGTTTTTCGGGGATTTTGTACTGCTTGTATACGACAAGCGTATATCAAAATGATTGTAAAGACGCGCTGTTTGACTATCCTACGCAGCACATAATTATATACTTATTCTGTTGAATCCCTTGTTCACCTACTGTATCATAGTAACCAAGATCAAAGAAAGCAGCAGGACTTTTACTCGCTGATGTGGCGGGCATTATCCTAAAAAAACAAAGTAAGAAATGTGAGTGCACACGAGTTAATTATAATTTAGGAGTGTACCATTCCATTTGATAATCCATTTGGACTAATGCTTTTGCAAAATTTAATTCCTTCTTGTTTAAATTTACGGAGCACAGTGCATTACATGTCGTATTGCGGCCTAACGTTAACTAATTTTTTGTGCCACTTTCAATACTTTATTGGCTTTACTGTTGGTGTGTTATATTACCATGATATTACTAGTTATCCGTGGACGGTTGTCTAAGTCATACCAACGCGGATTGGTGAATTGGTTTTTATAAGATTTACAAGAAAACGGCAGCTCATTATAAGCGTAAGATAATGTACTCTTTTCAGACCATATCTTATGTACAGCCAGCGGGATGGTGCTATTGATATGAAACAAGAGTGGAGTTTTATTTGGAATGAGAGCATTCACGTGTGAACAAAAAGCAAGCAAAATGAAGAATAACATTCGAAGAAAGAACAATCGCCCTCCCCTTCAAAATTTTAATTTTTAAATGTTTAGCTCCTTTCAAATGTATATAAAAAAGGGGGGTTTCTAAGCAATATAGGTTTTCAATGCCTTCAAACGTTCGACGGCTTGTTCTAAAACTTCATCGGTTTTACAAAAAGCAAAACGAGCAAAGTCAGCAGCCATAGGCCAATGCTCTTTAGCATAAAATTCGGAAGGGGGAATAGCGCAGACACCAATGTGTTTGGTTAACCAGTAGCACATTTTGAAATCATCGCCACGATCTTCCAAGATTTCAGGGAATTCGAAATCTTTGGGGATTTGAATTTTGCTGGTATTGACCAAAAGATAATAGGCACCTTCGGGTAAAGTATAAGGTAATTTTAACTCATCAAACAATTTGGACAAGATGGAACGCTTATGCGTATATTGATCAATCTGATCCTGGAACACGGGCTTTTCGAGAGAAGCTTCGATACCGGCAGCCACTGCTTCTTGACATGGAGAATTCACACAGAATACAACACGAGTTTGAGCCGCAAAGGCATGTTTAATCAAATGTTCAGGGCCAATTAACCATCCCACTCTCCATCCAGTTGCGGCAAAACTCTTTCCTCCTGATCCTACGGAAATCGTACGCTCCCATAAATTATCAATGTTGGCAACACGAGGAAATTTGTTGAGAGGTGGATAATAAAGACGATCATACTATATAAATAGTTAATCTCTTTTGATACAAATTCCTCTTTACACAAACTTACAACTTCATCGGATAAAATGATCAAGTTATGCTCTTCTGCAACACGACCGATTGCACGAAGTTCATCCTCATCAAATACCTTACCGATGGGATTATGGGGAGTATTAATGACAATCATTTTTGTCTTGGATGTAATCTTAGATTTCAATTCATCAATATCCAAAGTCCATTCATGAGATGAAATAACACGATCGGCTGCATCGGTAGGAGGTCTAAGAGGAACATAAACTGGCTTACCGCCATTCATGGTAATATTGGGCTATATATGATTTTAGATCCTTTTTCTTTCATTACACACACACACAAACACACTTACAATATATTGGTCGAAAAAGGGTTCCATACAAATGACTTCATCACCTTTATCTAAAAATCCAGCAAACGTAGCAAACATACCTGCGCAAACAAGCCCCGATTAAATCATTGTGCATGTATTTGTATTTGTTTTGTTGTTACCTTCGTTTGCACCTGCAGTAACCAGAATTTCAGTTTCAGGATCTAATTGACGCTCGAATTGTTGGCTATATGACGCGGCTAAAGCATTTCTTAATCTAGCGCGACCACGAGGATGACTGGAGTAGAGATATTTAGCCACTCATGTTGGGAAAAGAAATAAAATAAAATCGTACCTATATTGGTTGGCCTCGATAACATCAATAGCTTCTTTAGCAGCGTTTTGAACAATAGCAGGAGGAGCAAAGCTATAAAAAACAATGTTACAGACTAGACCAAAAATTCCTAATTTTTTTTTATTTTTTATTTTTTGTTTTTTATTTTTTTTGCTTTACTTCATATAGCCTTGACCCAAATTGATAGCCTTTGTTTCTAAAGCAAGAGGGGTGAAAATCGACCAGACTAAATAAATGAGTTAGAAAAAGGAGCATTCATCGTGGGGAATGCATTACCATCTCTGCTAAAGTGAGAAACACGTTCAGCGGGTTTGATTTGTTTTGCAGTAGCCATTGTAGTAAAAAATGACTTTTGACGTAAAACAGGAAAAGATAGGAATCTTTTGTAAATCATTTCGAAAAAAAAAAAAAAGGTTAAAAAAAAAAAAAGAGATTGAAATTTTCAACCCAGGTTGATTAGACCATCATAAACCAATAGGATTATAATATTTCGGTTTGTGTTTTTTTGGGTTTGTATCGCATCATTGTACAATGCGTGCATGGTTTTTAACGCGATTTTCTTGCGCTAAATCGGTTGTGAACTTTATTCAATGACAAAACATGACACAGACATAAAAGCTTTAGGGAAAGTGATGACTGGTTTGTGTAACGATGGCCGATGGAGCTGTCCGAGAAAATGGATTCCATTTACAGGTACCTACCTGAAGCTAGATGTTTAACTAGTTCTATTTATACAAGAACTCTAGAGTGAAGAATAACTGCTATTGACCAAGGAAACTTTTCCATTCTATCCCGTCCTTGAATATGAAATACAAAATTTGATATTTGTTTCACTCTGTTCAATAAAAGAAGAGAATCAAATGGGACCTTTAATACTTGAACACAATTTCTACCCCTACGAGAAAGTACCCGACAAAAGCAACATACCTTACTCATGCAAGATGTTAATGATACCAATCTTGGTAGTTCCGTTTGATTTGGTGCACTTTGGCTCATTTTTTTTTTTTTTTTTACTTTTATATAAAAAAAGTCTGGAGACTAGTATTTCTACAACCTAAGGTTAATTATCATCTTCAGACGCTTTCCTGTTTTAAACCTGCACACATTTGGTCAATTGATATAATAAACTGACAACAAGAAGTTGTCATACTAACATCAAAAAGAACTTGATAATAGCTGACCACATACTTTATATATTTTAAAGAAGAAGAAATACCTTTTAAACAATGGCAATGACTACAGCTATCAAAATAAATTGTTAGGTTAGAATGTGTGAATCCGTGCTACAGTGCTCAATAAATGCTACCATCGCCTTTTTAAAAACTGATCCGTCAAAGCTTGATCATATCCTAACTTTCGCAAATATCATCTTTGGGGCTACTAATATTATTTGGGACTGATTTGTTTTATGAAAAGGTCAATATATCTTAAAATACGACCTGCTGGTAAGCAAACTTGTCGTTTTATAGCAGTGAATAGCGGCATTGAGTAATACAGTTATATTTTACACATGTTTAAGTTTGAAAAAAATAATTGTATTACAATAATAGAGCGTATAATTGGGGGTGGGGATTTTATTAAGTTGAGGGGGAGGGTTATTACAATAAACACGTTGGCGGCTTCACTTCGGCTAACCAGGTCAGTTTTAATACATCTTGAATGGTAAACCTCATCTCCGGGTCAGGGTTCAACATTGCATACATCATCGATTTGCTTTCTTCATCAAAAGATTGGAAAGCAGGATACGAAGACTTTGTATAATGGCGTTGATACAATCTATAATTTGAATCCGATTGCTGCGCCGAATAAAATGGTACGCCATTTAATCGCATGGAAAAGTACACCACAGCAGCCGACCAGACATCAGCTTGACTGGCCCTATACCCTTGCTTGGAGCATAAGAAGACTTCTGGTGCAATATAAGGTGTAGACCCACACAAACCATCGGAAAGCCTACTGGTTTCTTGCCACGCCTCACGAAATACATCAGCTTCTCCGAAATCAGAAATCTTTAATAGTATCCCATTATTCTTTTGTTTGATCAGCAGTAAGTTTTCGGGTTTGATATCTCGATGTGCAACGCCCAAATTATGAAGATAGGAAAGACCGTTTAAGAGTTGCTTAAAATAGCCATTCGCCTCATCTTGACATGATGATAGCCTACCTTCCTTGATATACGAATAAAGGTCACCCCCTGAACACTAGAAAGAGAAGGGGTTTTTTTTTTGAGTATGTGTAAATGAGTTTATAATTAGAGAGACTTACATATTCCATGACAGTACAATATCTATTCTTATCGTCCACGACTAAATCCACTGTCTTGACAATGTTAATATGGTCCAAAGTAGAAGAGATACAGAATTCACTAATCAGTTTTTTCATAAAACTAGCTTCGGTTTCTCTCGCCTTTCTTTTTCGGAATGCTTTAATTGCATATACACGCATTTTCCCATTGGCCTGTTTCTGATATGTCAGTCGCACCGTGGCGGATGCACCTGTTCCGATTTGTCGGCGTTGAAGCTCACCGTAATGACTTAAGAGACGAGGGTGGTGATAATGGTGTTTATGTTGATTAGGCTTCATGTTGTTGACTAGAAATATTTTGAATTGCTCAGCAATAGATCTCTTTTTCTTATGCCTTGTTTTGGGCTCTGCATGATCGAAATATTCCTTTTCAGTTTCTGTCGTAACAATTGTTGTGGTTGAATACGAATGATCTTTTAGAAACACTGGGTCATTTTTAGACGTGATAGTCAAGGACGATAGCGACGGAAATTCGAGCAGAAATGAATCCTTCATATATATGATACAAAGAATGTGTTATGGGAGAAAGAAGAGAAAGTAAAATTTAATCAAAAACTGTTGCCAGTAATAGTAGTAATAAATAATAAAAAAAAGGGATGGAAAGAGGAGGAAAAAGAGAAAGACAAGAAGAACTTATAAATAAAAAGTTTAGAAAAGAGCTTGTGATTCTATTATGACCCCCACTCTCTCCCCCCAATCCCCTTCTTTAAAGCCTCCAGATCAATAATGAGTTTGTGTTTTTCATGTTTCTCGGAGAAATTTCTTTTTGATTTTATTCCTTTTTGTGTGTGAGTTATCTTTTAATAGGAGAAAGGGTGGGGGGAACACGAAAATCAGAAAGGAGGCTCGCGGAAGAGTCTTTAGCTACTTTCAACAGCTGCAATTGCCTCTAAAGGTCTGAAATAAGCACCTTGACGAATGTATACAACAAGTTGAGCATAGTACTCTTTAAATATATGCGATGCATCAGGTGCGGAGGCTAAAGTTTGAATGATGGCATATTTCCATGTCTAATAGAAATAGGTAAGCAGAATATAAATTGTTATAGTTAAAAAAATTACCTGTCCTTGTTCTGTATATTCTGTTGACCTATTCAAAATATAGTTCATAAATTCGTTTGATTGCGCCATCAACTATATAAACAAATATATTTATTATTTTATTGCTTTTTCCCCATTTTATTATGTTATTACCTGACTACCCCAGGCATGATATGCAATAGCTTGCATAAGTGCAAAAGATGCAACACGAACACTCTCTTCAGGCTGTTTAGCCTCCTTGATTAAACTTGTTAATGTAGAAGGGCGACCTTAAAAGAACATAATCAATTTACACAATACATATCATTTATAAATATTCTTTGTTACCTTGGATACGTTTAAAGATATCCAATGTCAATTTCTCTACATGCTCATTGTCCCCTCTAAACAAACAAAAATATAGGAGATGATTATTATAATCGAGATACACTGCTTATCTCTCTTTTTACCTGACAGAGATCAATTTGGAAAGACTTTGAAGGAAAACTCCCTTAATTGGACCCACGGAAGATTCGTAAATTTCAAAAAACTTTTCCAACAAACTTTGTTGATTTGAAATTTGTTCAAGACCAGCAAGGTGTGAACCGATCAAACCAACTGAAGAAACCGTAACCATCTATTATCGGCATAAACAAAAAATAAGTATTAATATTTCTCACGCATTTAGGATTTTCTTTTATATACCAAAATCTCTGTTTCTGTACTATCGAGACATTTCTCAAGTCTTTCCAAGATATGATACTTGACTGACATTGGTTCAAATTGGATTGTCTAATTGTTCCTATTTAGTTAGTTTTCTTGGGCGAGACAATAGAACGTTGTATAAAATAAGATACAGAAAACCAACCTTATTCTCACCGAGATTTCCAAAGAATTTAATGACAGCACATTTAACTAATGCTACAACCACATCGTTATCATTAGGATTATCTAAAACAGCCGAAATAGATTCCAAAAGATCTGCTTTTTCCAAAAAGACTAGACCGGCTGGAGTAGTTGCAATCTATATGAAATCCTAATAAGCGTCCTGAGCTTTGTATACCCTTATTTTTTTCTGTATTACCTCGTTTAATAATTCAATTGCATTAATCTTGACCAACAAATCCTTCGATTGAAGTTCCTTGGTAAACTCTAACAGAAGTCCCGAATCTTCACTTTTCTTAAAAGTTTCGTCAGATAAGGTGGCTACTTTGATGATTAAATCGTACACTCGGAAACTGATAGTTCCATTTCTAATTGAAAAAAAGAAGTCAATTTCAATTTCTCTTCCTCTACGAAAAATTCCTTACACGCTTAATAGTTGCTTTAACATCATGGTGCAGGTGGGTCCAAAAAATGCCTCTAATCCAGAAGGCATCGATGACATCTTGTAAAGTAATTCGCTGGCTTTGTTGGCGGTTCGGGTATCTTGGAAAGCAATTGAAACTAAAATTAAGGGAAATACATCGGATTCCACCATCATAGCTACGGAAGCGTCAGAAGATAAACATTTAAACACTTGTTGGATAGACAAATAACGAATTTCTGGTGTAAAATGTGTCAGTCCTTGCAGTAAAAAGGGCTTTTTTTTTTGTAAGTGTGTTAGTCAGCAAAAGCATTTTTTCTTTTTTTGTTACTTATTGCACCTTATTCTCTTCAGACATGACATGCTCAAAAGTAAAAGGGGACAAAATCTTTTGAATCAATTCACATAAAACAGCAGTTAATTTATCATCTTCAACAGAGAATCCATGATAAAAGAGACCTAAAGGGACAGCGGACAAGATCTGAACAGATCTTTCCATGGGAAGATTACCTATAATCATGTCAGCACGTTTCCTCTCACCGATTCAAAGTATATTTTTTTTACCTTGCAAAGTGGTTGCAAATGTTTGGAGAACAGCCACCTTCTCGGGCAAAGGAACGGTAGCATTTGGTTGAAGTACTTTGGAAACTTGAACAAGTGGGTTTACTGGAGCTGGAGACATGTTAAAACGCGTAGTTTGAAGAAAGAACAAGAAAAAAAAAAATAGGGGTGGGCAGAGCCTTAATCATACTTCAAATCCAGACAAGCGCATTACGATTAAACGACTTTCTGTAGTTGATGATTTATCGCGAATATGTGTTAATAAGACACACACAATTATCTATAGTAAGCTGCTGCTATGTATGAATCCTCAGTTTGTTGTAAATTAGACCGGTATTAGTAATCATCTCGATTGTTAATTTTTTGTTCACATCCAAGCTACATACCTGATGTACATTTTACCTTCCATGTATCATATAGCCCTCGGGACATCTATTCTATGCATAGGTAGGTTCTTTCATCTGATACCGCTATTGCCCAAATTAGGGAAAATTCTTTACATGAACTCTAGTGACAATACTTTTTTTAATGTCAAGTTGTAATCATTTTTAAGCTTTGGATGTACCAAAATAAAGGGTCGCATGAGATGCATTAAACGGATGATGGCTTACACAGTAACGTGGTCAGCATTCTTTTGATACCATAAGTTATTCATGAGTACCGGATTTTCCCACACTAAATGTGCAGCTCATTATAAACCTGTTGCAAGTTCACACTGATTAGTATTTGTTATAAAATACAGAAAAACTTGTACGTCAGCGTCGCAATGTATTTTGGAGAGCATCATATTAGATATCTAATTGATTTATCAATTACAGCAACAATACAAGCTCTTATCAACATTAATACCAGCTTTTATCACAGTATTTCCTCTAAAGTGGTAAATTAGATGATGGGGTCTATTTTAAAACTCATGGGCCAACCCTATCCTTTTATCCGTTGCAGTAAGAAGGGGGCGAATTGTTAAAAAAACATTAGTTTGTAAGCTTGTAAATAATGCGAAACAATTGGTGATTGTTTTATTGTCAGTAGCGAGACATCAAAATCAAAATAACAGTACTGTCACTTCAATAGGTTCAAAAAACGAACAGATTCAATATCAAGGACGTTAGTTCTATTCAGAATCAAATTATGCGTGCTTATACGTAGCTGACCATGATAACTTCTAAATATGACAACACACTATGACAACTTTAATAGTTTTAATCTAATAAACTTTAAAAGGAGGTTTATTCTTTATATATAGTAGCTGTAAAGATGTTCAATAGTAATATTAGCAACGTGCTCTGAAAAGGTATACAGTAAAGCATCACACGATTTTGTTTTTCGGCTGCATTTAACAACATCGTTGCCGAAGATTCCTGACATGCATTTTACAGAATCACTTGCATAAATTATTTGCCAATGGTACTTGTAACTATCGAAGCAACAAGAAGTTTTATCGATGATATTCTTTGTTTTCTCAATCAGCTACTTTGTTTCCTGTATGTACCCATGCTTAAAGAACCTCAATAACTATTGCAAGCATCAGAGGTACTCAAATACATAAACATACTAAGTAACTAACGTCTAAAATAAAGCATATTTCTTGCAAATATATCAAGCAATTGTCACGCAACCTCATGTAATAATCGCTCGAATTATATATTTAATAACAAAGCTGAAAGTATCCCGGTCTCCTTCATCTAAAAATCCGAGATTATCAAGAAACTTAGACACACGGACATGTATTTATGGGATGTATATTATTATGGTAAGTACGACTAAGTTAGGCTTAAGTCTGCTTATTTTACCCACCTTTTTGCTGGATCGGACACCGACAGCTGTTTAGAATCAAGAATATTTTTATTTTTGATGACAGGTAAAAGAAAATTTGTTTATCAGATGCAAATAAAACAGCGGAATCCGATAACCAGTGTATTATTGTGCGGTGTAATAAATACATGACTAGCGTGTAAAGTATAATGACCTACTTGTGTTTGCCAAAAAAATTAAAAAAAAAGATCTTGATTATAACAGGAAGCATGAGGTGTAAATTCTTGTTTGTATTTCTATATTTCAGTACGATGATGAAAAAAAGCCTAAAAATACGCTATTTCTATATTTATTTAGATAGAGGGCACATTTTCTTATTGTGTCATTATCAATTGGGTGTTGAAGATAGCATTGTTGCACAAGTTCGTGTAATACAAAACTCCTACTACCCTTGAGGGGCCAATCAAATAGTTTCTAACCTTTTTTTGATAAAATGGCCATTTCATAATGATTTTAAAAAGTATTAAAAAGGGCAATAATAACTCGTTAAAGTAGATGGTGCTACATTGGCTTGTACATAAAAGATAAATACATTATAAAATCTGAATTTATTTTTTTCCCCTTTTACCCTTTTCTTTTTATTTTCTTCTTCTCATGGATTTTATCAAAAAATTTTATTTTATAAAGATTTCAAAATCTTCTTCATCCAAAAAATCAATCTTGGACCATCAAAGGTCAATATCACTAAGCAATACGAATAGCGATGAAAGTCTGCTATCTGATTACAGTGACGATGAACAAGCACCAGTGCTGACCTACAGACAACGATCGATCTTAAAGAAATCCAGAAGAAAAACTCAACTTCAAAAGAAAAAATCTTTGGATACATTGTACTTCCAGCAAAAACAAAATGATGATCCATTAGTCCATCTGGCTATTAAAGTACAAGAAAAGAATGATCACGATGTAAAAATTGATCCAAGTAACAGAAAAAGTTTATTATCGAACAACTATCAAGTATCTCAAAAGACCAAATTAAAAGTATGTACGAATTGATTTGTTATCGCTTAATTTATTAAATCAACTTGCAATAGTTAAATAGTAATAACGACTACTCTACACTGTATTCGCCGTTTACGCAAAGGCCCGAAATCATCGAAGATGATTATATACCATTACCCACAGTAACACGAAACTATATAGATCCGCCTCCCGACTCTATAATAGACTCGCTCCCGTATCCGTTTAGGACTCGTCGACCGGTAAAACATAAGATCCAGCAGTATGAGAACGCACTCCCATCGCCGATACCATCTACTGAAAGACTTATTTCAAACCCAAAGAGACACAGCATAGGCAACGGCCAAATGGATAGACTTTTATCTTCCAATCGCAAAAATCATAAAACACCACACACAAACGATTTCTGGTTAATAACAAGACGCAATTCCATATCCATAGAAACTCATATCTCAAAGAAAATGTGCCACTGATAGCATTATCATCATCATAAGTAACTCACACTGAGATTATGTTGCTCTTTTGTAACTTAATGTCAACAAAAACCAGCAAGGGCAAGAAGTAAAAACTTGCCTCTTCCATCAGCCACAAACATAATATACCGCTGGCGGTAGGAGAAATATTTATTAGCAACAAGGCATTTATCCAGAATAAAGACTTGAATTTTTCTAACAGGATAGTTTGAACATAGACAGTAGCAGTTTGATCTACAAAAAGCGATGCCTCTTCAGGAAATCGCGACTTTTTGTATGACAGTAATGAAATCCAGTTTAATTTCTTATTTTGCTGTCATAAATTAAATTTTGAAAAATATCTTTTAACTAAATCCGGTCTCGTCGCACAACCTGTAAGGAACTATAGTTAACAAAAATAAAAATATTCTTTTTAATGAGCAAATTTTATTTATATCACCAACTAATTTATCTTAATATTGTCTTCATTTAACATGCTGTCATGATTGGGCTTTATTACCATAAACTTACATTGACCCCAGGAACTGACACGACATCCGATTATTGCTGATTTCGCCGGGGAAAAAAAGTTTCCTATCATTTCCAGTATTTTATGTCGCTTCACTTCTTCATACTGTCTGAATAAAAGGTTGGAGGAGACAGTTGCTTTACATAATATTCTCTTAAAAACTCGTGTCTTTATCTCTGAGTGCGATTGCGTGCGTAGTACCAGGAGTGTCAAGTGGAACTGAATCATTAATAATCTGTTTCATAAAAGAATGCTTTTCGGAAAATACAACAACAGTGATCAGTCACCGTATGCCTGATCGTAGCACAACAGCGTTCTTTATGGCACTTTATTTAGACATTCAACATATTGACTCTTTTTTTAAAATCATTATTTATTTATTACGACATATCTGACAGCACATTTTTTGGACTAATATAACTTTCATCACATCATTTAAACATGTACTTTACATCTTGACTTATATTTTAATATTGTGATCTCACTGCTTTCAATATCAATTTTTCCACTATTAAAATAGTAAACAAGATATCAACTTGACCTCATGCAAGTCATTGATATATTTTTTTATTAGTGTCAGTTGAAAGTATTGAACGATGGAACATTATTTTAGGAAGCATCTTTTATACAAACTGTACACTCAAAATTTAAAGTCAATCGTCATCGGTCGCTGCATTTATTTATAGTTGGTTTTTATCACTGCATGGGAACTGTGCGATTCGCTTATGACTTAAATATTGTCCATCTCTGAGATTGGTTTTCTTCTTTATTCAAAGTTTGTAGCTTTTCAGTGGCTTCAGGATGTCCGCTGAGAGCTAACTTCGTGTAAATGGACTTTGCCTTCGATTTATCTTGTATAAGCCCATGTCCTCCTATCTCATATAGTAATGCTATGTTAAAATCTATATTACTTTCTTTCATGCTTTCATTGTAGGTCAAAAAACATGTTAAAGCAAGCTGGTAATCATATTCCATATCATATCTATTACAACATATGTCTGCAATATTTAATAGCAAGTCTATACCTCCACCTAATTCTAATGCTTTAAGGTACCATTCAATTGCTTTGGTATAACTTTTTCTTTCGACCATTCCTTGCTCATAAATATTTCCAAGAGTAGCACAGGCGATATAATTGCCTTTTTCTGCAGACTTCTCTAACCAATATACTCCCTTTTCTGGGCTAAACGCCGGATTTGTATTATCCGATCCTAGATGCAATGCCGCGATACCATAATAGGCAAATGAGTACTGTCTTTTCTTTCCAATGATCATTGTATCCCAAAACACGAGCTGTTGAAAGAGTTTTTTCTCTTGATCAGAAACATGTTGCATTTCTTTAGAAAATAAAACTGGAGAAATTGGGCCAATGGCTGTAGCTTTTTTTAAGCTTTCCATAAGCTTAAAAGGTATTTGGCTTAGATCCACTTCAAAATTCAAATTTCCAAACAAACAAGGTGTTTCATCAGCGATTTGTCTACTTGTAGTGTTATCATCTCTGACGACTTTTTCATAAAAAGAAAGGGCCTTATTACGATCTTTCTTTCCATACATTCCTGTGCGATGTGAATGGGCAAGTTGCAATGCACTGTTCGTCCACCCATTATTTGCAGCCTTTTTGAGCCAAGTCGAAGTAAGTTTGAAATTTTTTTCAGCGCCTTCTTCTCCTTCAGAATAAATCATACCCATCATATATTGTGCCACATTGTTTTCATATTCTGATGCAGCCCTGTTAAAATAACCAATGGCTTTTCGTGCGTCAGATTTGGCCAAACCAAATCCCATAAGGTTAAATATTGCAGCAAAAACCAAACCGTATTCGTTGTTGTAAACTGATGCTTTTTCGAACTGATCCAATGCGTTTGTCAAATTACCATTATTCATATCATGGATTCCTTTCTGAATAAAACGGTCGCCAGGATCAGGAAAGTCTATTCCAAAGCAGGACACTTAAGTTTCGATAATTTTTTTTATGTAACAGATACATGCGGATGATAGTTACCCTGTAGTTTGTATTTAATTTGCATCATTTTAAGAATAAAAAGACAGAAGAAGAAAAAGAAAAAAAAAGGGGCGGGATACTTAACCTATTTTTAACGAAGATAAATATTGAACGGATCTTAGTTTCAAATTGCATAGAGTGTGCTGTGGTAACGCAGTCATATAAACGTTTTGAATAATGTACTACATTATAGAATATGTCCTACATTGATTAATTAACAATTTTTCTTACCTCTAATGCTTGTTCCGAGGTAATAGTTTGGCTTCATGATTGAGAAAATAGGCTTTGAAATCTCCGGGTAACATTGTAAAAGGAAAACAAAAATATTGGATGGTGACATTAGATACGTCGTGAATGACTAATGATGATGGAAAGTTAAACTAATCGATTATGCTACTTTTTGAAGAAAGACAGTATTTTCAAAAAAAACACGGAGACAATTAAACTACCTGACAGATAACTCTTCAAAATTGTTCATTTTTATACTCATTAAGAAAAAAATACATTGAGTCACTTTTCTTATTCCCGGGTTTTAGCACAATTTTTTTTTATTCTGAACAGATTGGATGATATATGTGTGCATTATCAAAACTATTAGCAGTTTTAAAGGTACGCAAAACAAAGCATGATTACGGAGAACAATTTTTGCTTTCTTCTTCTTCAGAAGGTTCACCCTCTCGTTTTGTTTTCATTGTCTTGATCTCGTTTATAGATTCTTGAGATAGGGGAGCACCGTTTTTAATTGTCGCTTTATGGTATTCTACAGCCAAATCCATATCAAATTTACCTTTGTAACCATTAAAATACATTGTCCCAATGTAAAAAAAATCCATTGGACAGTATTTTAAAGCTTCTCCTAAGAAGTATTCAAAGGTTTCAGTCATGTCTTCTTTCACTAGTCCTAATACAGACAGATAGAACCCTCCGATTTTATAGAACGCAGAATGGTCTCCGAGATCTGCTGCTTTCGTAAACCAAAGCATAGCTTCTTTGTAATCTTTTTCCACAACTTCTCCATTGAAAAAAAATAATCCGATTTCTGTGTATGCATTTACAGAACCATTTTTTCCAGCTCGTTTTAACCAGTATATGGATTTTTCTAGATCAGAAGAAAGATAACGGTTACCCCGCAAATACATGCCAGCAAGGCTACGCTGAGCCTTAACGACTGCTGTCGATTTTCGATGTGTCAATTGTTCCCAAAAACTCATTGCCATACGCGGGTCACTATCAAGAGAACTAAAAAGACGAGCAAATTCCACCGGTCCATGAGCTCCCATATCTGGAATTTCTGCTGTTCTTTCAAATTCTTCTACTACATCTACCATCTCTACTACAAAATCTTTATTTCCAAATAGGTAAAGCATACCATCTTCAACAGGCTCGTTGTCATTATCATCCTTTTTAGCTATCTTTTCTAATATTAAGGCAGACATTATGGTAGCGTGGTCAACATATACTAACGCTACCGTTAACATAGCACAGGTCCAACCATTTTTCGCAGCCAATTTCATCCACCTAAACCCTTCTTTAACATTTTCATCGACATGGAGATCGCCTGACATATATAAACATCCTAAAAGATATTGTGCAACGCAGTTATTCCATAAAGATGATGCCTTTGTCCAATAAGCCAGAGATTTTTGTGGATCTCGTTTAACTGATCCATAAGCAATAAAATTGAATATACCAACAAAAAGGAGTCCATACTCATTATCGTAAGATGAAGCCTTTTCAAAGCATTTTAAAGCCTCATCATACTTTTCATTATTCATAAAAGTAATTCCTTTGCACAGTTCTTGATCACCTGGTTCAGGAAAGTCTATTTTATAATAGTTGAAAAAAAAAATTGGAAGTCTATAAGCAGAGTTTAAGGACCAAAGTATACCTTTTAATTTATAAAGAACAGTTACACGCTGAATTTTTTCGTAAACTCGTTTCGGTGCACGAGACAAATTAGCTAAATAATCGATACGTTATACTTCTGTTGTAGGTTGAAAAGGGTTCAGCTTACCATCTAGGATTTTACGAAAGCTTGTCATTGTATAATTCAAGTAAATCAAAGAAACAAAAACACCTTTGGTTACTTCCAGGTTTCAAATTTTTAAGTAATCAAGTTTCTTGTGTCCAACGCCCAAAAAACAGAAACAAATAACCTGTATGCAGGATTTTCTTGTTTTGAGATATTAGCATGACCTCTGGGGTTTCCTGCCTACTTTATTTTTGTTTTTTCAAAGCAAGATAGAAAGTAATCAGGTTTTTCAGATCTTTATTGCCAATAAGACTGTATTGTAATAACCGTCCTCAGTCAATCCGGTTTCTTTTGCAAGTCTAACAATACATTCTCTCACGGTGATTAATAACAAGACTTTTTTTTTTTTTTTTTTTTTTTTTTTTTTTTTTTTTTTTTTTTTTTTTTTTGGGCGGGGAGGAGACATACTGGTGATGAACACATATAGTATGACTACAAAAAATACAGGAGTAAATCATACCATATGACATCTCAAACTACTTATTCATTATTGGACCTAAAACACAACTCTTCCGAAAAATACAAGTTTAATCCCTTTTTAGAATTTAATACTCATCAAATTATTACCAAAGTACAAACATGATTAAATTAAAAGGTACGTTTTATTTTTAGTTTGAATTGCATCAGTGATGTTATCTGGAAGTTTTCTTACCCTTGTTTTTCGAAGAGCCCCCTTGGTTGGCAAGACCCTTAAGTTTTGGATTACTTTATTGATGAATGCTTCTTTCTCATCTTGGTAGATGCACTTATCTCCATTAATGTATAAAGCCCCTATAAGGAACTGTGCAACACGATTATTCCACAAGAAAGATGCCTTCGTCTAATAAGTTAGTGACTGTTGGGGATTCCTTTCCGCAGAACCATAAGCGATAAATTTAAATATGACGGCAAAAAGTAGCCCATATTCATTACTGTAAGATGAAGACTTTTCAAAGCATTCAAATGCTTCGTCATACTTTTCATCGTTCATAAAAGCAATACCATTACACACTTCTTAATCACCTGGCTCAGGGAAATCTATCGCATTTGAGTTTTAAGAATCAAGGCTTTGGAGTGTATCAGAACATATATTTACCTTTTAATTTGTAAAGAACAGTCTTTTCGTAACCTTGGTTCATCGCAATAGACCAAGTTTCTAAGTATTTGACGAGTGTTAGACTTTGTAATCTACCATAAAAAGCCGCATCTCTTACGTGATATTTGTTGTACAATGCTTGCCATTCTAACAGGTGCAGGTAAACTAAATGAAGAAAAGGGATTTCGGCGTGGTTCATCAGAAGTTTATCCAGGCAAAAGTTTTTTGTCAGCACTGTAAACAATAACCTGACCATGTTTCAATAAAGTGAAAAACTTAATGATCTGTCTTCATCAAGCATAAGTCTACGGAAAAAAAGCATACTTAATGAATTGTTACGTTATGATGTAAACAAATAAAGTTTTAAGCAAGAATTGCGATGGCGTAATACCCGGAACCTGTTTTACGTGCATAAGCAGATTATGTCAGCGAAACCTTATGCATTTCAATTTAATTATAGAAAAGGAGGCTCATAATATCCCATAACAAAACAAACAGCCCCTAAAAATAAGTACATTCCGTAACACACAGCCAGAATATCATCTCTCCATTCACCACCGTAGATTTTTAAGGGCCTAAAATTAGAATAGGCATTTTTCTGTGTTGTTGATTGGCTCAAATAAAAATACTTTGTGTAATTTGTGTTATTTCAAAATAAACCTTCCTTTGAAGATTTAGGGTCCTATAACGAGGGACTTTTGTGTAATTGAAAAAAAAAAAAATAGACATAAACATATTTATTAAAAGGATTAAAAGGGAAAACTTATACAAAATTCTTTGAATTTTTTTTTAATTACTGGATGTTTTTGATCGGCCAGTAAGAACCAAATTTGAAAATATTGATGATATCTAAATGTATCATCAACTTGCTTATAAGCATTTAATACACCCTCCACCTCGAGTTCAGCTTGTGATATCACCATCTTGGTGTTGTCAACTTGTGCTAGCAGGTAGCCTCTTTCTAGAGTTCGCTCATTTAGTTCTACTAGCAATACATTGGACCATTGAACGATACTCGCAAATGATTTCGGATGGCCTGAGTTAAGTAAATCATTACTATTGGGAATACGTTTAAATACAGCCAAGCAGCCTTCTGTTATTTTTTTGTAATTTGGGTCAGTATTGTCGATAAATTCTCGTGAGCCACCCAAAAGATTGAGGTAAAACATTGACTCGTTAGTTTGAATAAAAGACATCACATCTTCTGTCGTTTTTTCCCGGATACCATCTTTATTCAGCCACGAACCGCCTTCAAGAACATGCCGCACCATAGATTGTTTAGCAAATTTTAGCCCAACGTCCCTGGAAGGATTCAGCTTATTGGTGTAGGTGATATGCTCCCTAATGTGCTTGCTAAACTTTTATCCTTTTTCGGTCTTATATTGCAACACTGTTCCAAATCGACGTATATCTTCCGGAATGTGTGTCAATAAATGAACTTCGACTTTTCCTACATACGCATTATGACCAGGAATATTACGATTCAGATCATAGTGGTGAAGTGCATTGATAAAATCCTTGATAGCCAATTTGACAGTTGTTATGTATTCGTTCAGATCAGCCTTCATCTCCCTTACAAAAAGTAATGAGCATAACTTTCCGAGATGAACAAACAAAGCTGTAATATCCCTCAAGACTGTCTCGTCCGAAAAATACTTCATAAGCACAATAGGAAGAATTTGGACAAGCACTTTGAAGTCTCTACCCAAAAAAAGAGCCACAATGTCTCAACTGTCTTGTAAATTTTCTTGACAAGCCCATGCCACCTTCTTGATACTGATCAATCGTTTCTGAAAGTCGGTTTAATATTACGGTTTAATTTTTCAATACTGTCTTTACTAGATCAACGACTAAATATTTACTGATTCCAAGCAAAATCGCGTGAAGAACCTCCACCGGAGTGTCTTTTACTGGATCGTATGCTTGCAATTCAAATAATTTGTCCGTCTTTCTATGCTTAAAACATAGACCTTTAGCAGAAAGACTTTCTCCGGTTTTGGGTGCATTCTGTATAATCGTGTTTCAACGGGAATCCGAGGCTGCATTCAAATATTGATTTCTGGTCCGTTCAGTATGCGCTGAAGTGAAATAATCAGAAGCCTAGGAATTGGCAATCCGCTTTCGAAGTAAAATGTAGACCTTTCTACAAGGATATAAGCTAGTTGGAGAAAGCTATTCGCATAGCTCTGAATGACATGGAGTATCAACTTCATTCCATAAAATATGTGCTACAACCAAAACGTCTTGCTCTTCCTCGGCCGAATAGGCTATAATTCCACTTTCTAATGTTTTCGAATCGTCGACAATAGCAGGCAGGAGAGATATACCACTTACCCCATTTTTTTTTGGATATAGCAGAAATGAAGTGTACGTTTTTGATTGACGATCTTTGATCAAAATTTAATCCAACAAACTTCATCGACCAGCTTTCATAATCATTGAACTGTTTAGAAATATTACCAGAGATGTCGTCCGTAAATAAAATTATTGGGGCAATTTTAACTTTATAATATTCTTCTGTTCTCTGGTCTCCGAGCTTTCTCCAACGATGTGAACCACGTAATAAAGCAGCATGACTATCGGTCAGTGGGGGCACCTCGATGGGACTAATGCTGAAGCATATATCAGGGTTTAAGTAATCAATCTTACACATCAAAGAATGCACCAAAACATCACTCTCTTTCAACTCAATACCAATCTGGTTGCTATTGTGAGCTTGGTAAGTCAAATATCCCCGTACATACATATCTCTGTTGCAACTGTGGAAGGATTTCACCAAGTAATTCATATCTGGAAGGGTATTTGACAGTCGCACCCAGTCTCCATTCCAATAGTCAATGCTGTGGACTGTCCACATGGGCTGCTGAAAGTATTCATGCGACCTCCATTTTTCCCCTTGCTCTAATCTGTCAATAACATGCTGCTGCTACGATCAGGTACAGAACAAATCAAAGCAGATTAGTTGGGGTTGGCCACGGAAAGTCTTAGATGATCCGATGGTAGATTCAAACATGCAATAATTGTACTATTGTCTGTCAGCGAAACATCTACTAACTTTGATGGAAAGAAAAGCATGTTGTTTCCTTGTATTTTCTAGTAGTTTATGATATTATCTAGCTTTGGTAATACGAAAGTAACACCTTCATTATCAGCTTTTTCTTTGACTTTCATAAGAAGCGATATGAAAAACAAAATCGTCTTCAGTTTTCTGCGAGATATTATGTCATTGTCACCATCCACAAGGGCATGTAGAATCATAGCCTGTATATTTGCAAAAGGATGCGTAACCGAGACATAGCTATTCCAAATTGTGCTCTGCGTAAAGGAGCTAACATCGGCTTCAACATCTGATGTCGGATTATCCAATGAATACGACATTTGCCGATGCAAAGTTCGAAAAATTTCAATTGATTCGTCTTCATCATCAAAATCACTGTCAACTATTGGATTGTCTTGATATTCGTCAAACTCATATTCTTCATCAACGTCTGAGTCAGTATCGGTATCAAGAGAGCCTTTAGGGTAATAATCTGCAATCAAATGCTTGACTCCATCGGTCGTGTTAAAGGGAAATGTCTAGACCTCCGTATTTTTTTCAAACGTATTTTTTTTATACCACTTACAGGAATTCTGGCCAGAAGACCAGCAGACCAGTATGATTGCACCTATTTACAGTCCAATCCCAGCTATTCACGGTTCGTGAGTCCCAACAATTCAAGAACTCTGCCTAGGAGGTCGGCCTCCTATAGCAAAGGCTAGCCGCAGCTGCATTATCACAATTATATATCTTTTTCAATTTAGCTTCTTTTCAAAGAAACAAGAGTCACTACTAAACAAACCTTTTTACGTGATCGGTTACTTTCATACGATAAAAGAAGTATGTTAAGGGAAAAGAAAATGAGAAGAATAAAGTGTGTGAAACAGCTTTACTTATAGATAAACAAGCTTATGTCAGGATGTTTTCATTTGTCTATTTTATCATCCATAATGTATGAGCCTTTACTTAAAACAGAAACACTTGCAAAAACCTCCCAAGCAAGTCAGAGCTTGGTCATTGTCTATCTGCATTCCAGTAGTAGCTTGTAATGACAGTAAAGCAGATTTTATGGAAAACAGAAAACGACCATCCAATGAAGTTTAGATGATATGGCATGTCAATCGACGTGTAGACCATCACGCTTGAAAAAATACGTTTGAAAAAAATACGGAGTTCTAGCCATTTCCGTGTTGAAGACTTTGCACAAGCAAAGGATATCCTTCAACATACTCCCGCCAACAATTGATTGGCTGGGAAAATTTGTGGTATGAACTGCGAATCTTTTTTGAAAGACAATTTCCATTTCTTCCCTTGTCATGTCTAGTATTACACCCAATAACCCACCATTCCCTGCTTACAGAGCTAGCAACAAGGAAAGCTTTGCTCACGATACAGTTATAAGAAGATGGCCTATTATCATGGACAGCGCCATTACCGATGTCAAGCAAAGTATCGCAGAAGAAAAGAATGAAGCGCGTGCTCAAGAAGGTTTAAGCATCATCAAGTTGATTGAAGAAATTAAGCAAGAGCTTCTCGACGATAAAGAATTGAGGTAAAGGAGGAGAAAAGTAAAAAAAGAAGAGTTTCTTACGAAAACTGACTTAATGTAGACCCATTCATGATGACAAGGCCGATACCAAGAAATGGAATGAGGACTTGACCAAGTATTTCTCTGGTGCCACATGGATGAACGGCACCTGGTTGTTCAACGAATGTTATATCTACCGTAGACTTGCAGAAATTTTTAACAACTCCCAACACTGGGTCGATTATGATTGCTTTGAACGTCAAAAGAATGACACCTTTAAGGGATCACATGGCGCTGTATTTGATTTAGCGCTCAAGATGCCCGAATTGATTACACCCATGAGTGAAGAAAAGCTCGAGATTGTGTATCATGAGCTTGTACAAGTCTGTCTTTGGGGTAATGCTACTGATTTGAGTTTATTGACCAATATGTCCCAACAAGACATTCAACGTCTTCAAGCCATCGAAAAGGATCTTTTAGCCGAAAGAAGAAAGTTCATCCTCGTGGATGATTCCGAGAAATTATGGGAAAAGATCAAGCATATGGATGGAGGTCGTGTTGATTTTGTATTGGATAACTCTGGATTTGAAGTTTACGTTGATATGATCTTTGCTGATTGGTTGTTACAATCCAAGAAGGCTAGCAAGATCGTCCTCAACTGTAAGACCATGCCTTGGTTTGTCTCTGATGTGATGCCCAAAGACATGCCCATGATGTTTGAGAACTGCTTGGATCGTGATTTCTTTCCTGGTAAAGAAACCAGAAGTCAAAAGGATGTGGATGCTTTAGAGACCATGGTTAAGAGATGGCAACAATACGTTGTCTCTGGTCAATTAGAAGTTCGCTCTGACGATTTCTGGTGTTCGGGGTTATCTTATTGGTATATGGAATCAGATGCACCCGAATTATTCAAGGAAATGAAGGAAAATTCAGACCTTGTCATTTATAAGGGAGATCTCAACTTTAGAAAGTTAGTCTTTGATTGTGACTGGCCCGTTACCACTCCTTTCAAGGAAGCGATTGGTCCTTCCATGGCAAATAATTTTACTAATATTATTACTTTGCGTACTAATAAGGCCGATCCCGTGGTTGGTCTCACTGAAGAAACTAAATTAGATATTGAAAGTAGAGCCACTAGAGAAGAATGGCGTTTCAGTGGAAAATATGCTGTTGTAGAATACAATTAATAAAATGCTTTAAATTATTTATTTATAATTTGCTTTTTGTATAATCATAGAAACCCTTGCCAGACTTACGACCCAAGTTACCTTCGCTGACAAGCTTATCTAAAGTCTTGGAGGCTCTAGTAAGTGCAGGGTCAATAGATCCTTCCTTGGCCCAACCATCAACAATGAACTTCATTGTATCCAAACCAATAAACTGCAAAAAAAATTATAGCGTCAATCATGTGATTCCCCACACTTTTTTTTTTTTTTTTTTTTTTTTTTTTTACTTACGTCAGAAAGTTCCAAGGGACCCATAGGCATACCAGCACCTAACTTCATGGCGGTATCAACATCAGCAACGGAAGCTTCTTCACGGTCAATGATACGGAAAGCCTCCATAGCATAAGGGACAAGAAGACGGTTGACAATGAAGCTAAATTTAAAATTAATCATCTTTTATCCCGCACGGTTAAATTATTATATATATTTACCCAGGTGTATCTTTACAAGAAACAGAGGTCTTTCCAACACTCTTTGTGAATTCGAACAAAGTGTTGTAAACTTCGTCAGAGACATTAGGGGTACGAACAATTTCAACAAGCTTCATGGCAGGGACAGGGTTAAAGAAATGGAGACCGGCGAAACGTTCCTTTCTGGCATCAGAAGTAGCTTCAGCAATGAGGGAAATGGGAAGAGATGAGGTGTTGGAACAAAAGATAGTGGAGGCAGGGGCAACCTTATCAAGAGAGCTGAATAACTTTTGCTTGACATTGATGTTTTCAACAATAGCCTCCACCACTAAATCGGTATTCTTGACAGTGCCTTCAGCATCCTTTGAAAGTGTAACATAGGATAAGATTTGGTTGATAAATTCTGTTTGCTTGGCTTCATCATCGGCAAACTTCTTACGGGCGACGCGCTTTAATGAGGCAGAGATGATCTTCTTACCGTTGGCAAGGGCTTCATCGGTAGTGTCAATCATGGTAACGTTATATTTGGCTTGAGCTGTGACCTGAGCGATACCAGAACCCATCAAACCAGCACCAATCACAGTAACATGTTTAATATCCTTTAAAAGCATGGAGGAAGTAGAGAATGATCGGGTACTAATGGTCTTCGATAATTTGGCAAGGGACATCATTTTTTTAAAAAATATCAGAAGAAGAAAAGAGAAAACCAAACTTTTATAAAAAAAATTGTAATAGACTTTAAAAAAACATGCATTTTCACATGTCGCTTTCACACAGTTTTGGTTTACCGCTTTGGCATAGCAGGTCACGTCCCTTGAGACACACCAATTTTTTTATCAGATCTTCAAGGAGTTTCTGTAACTGCCGAAAGAAACAAATAGGAGGTGTAACCAGGATCAGGCATTCATGTTAGGTGGATCTCCACATTGGATGAAGACTATTTATCGCTTGTGGTGAGCAATATTTTCAGGTAACTATGCTGGATGTCAGCTTTTAATATTCTCGATTGTCAATCAAAGCTACTTACAAATTGGGACGGGTGTTATTTAAGAAACCATATCCACCAGTTGAATGCAACACCACTAATTATAGCAGAATCAAACCTATCTCACGATCTATATATCAAGCATACAGACAGAGCAACCCATTTGACACCAATTGGGTATAAATGTACATCTCTGCGTATCCCTATTGATACATCCACCAGTTTACTGAAAAATAAACGATGGTTATTTTTTCTCGTTTACGATTTAATAGCAAGTCGAAACTACCCTAAACTTACCTGCCTATTTACCCTGTATTGGTTTAGGTCAAATATGCTGTCACCAGGCCTCAATGAATATGCGATATATGAATACACGTTCTCCTTAGGAATTACTTTGGACTGTCTATATATTTTAATTAACTTCTTACAGTATAGTGCCTGTCACTGAATCATTGATCTACTTTAATTAATTACAGAAACATGCTATAGGAGAGGATGGTGTGAAGGGGCAAGGTGGTTTTCTAAACAACCAAGAATCTTTAGAAATTTTTGCTGGTTTTGGTGATACAACAGTGTTTGGAGCAGTTAATAACCGTTTATAGGCTGTTCGTACTGTGATATATATTTTTTTCCTTGTTTTACAAATAGCATTATTTTCCGTATGCAGCATTGAAGTGTGTAACCTGAATATAATTGAATAAGGACAGTACAACAATGAAATGTTATGAATGCAATGTGCGAAGCGATACAATTGATAAGTCAATAGTTCGATGTAATACTAGTGTCGTGCAAAGACTTAGTAAGCACGGGCTTTGAGAGTGTTACAAGCCAGAGAGCTAAATCCAAAGCTACCGCGTTGAGTAAATCTATTGGACAACGTATTGGAAGCTTTATACGGGCATTGAAACTTTTTTTTTATTTCTATTAATAAAAACAAGTTATTTTTCATCAAGGACGATCGTTTTTTTTCTTCTTATCTCTAGTTTAAACTTGTATGCCCACACCAGCTTATATATTTTCAACTTTAGACGACGAACCTATTGTACCTAGCCTGAGCGACTTTCAAACAAAAGCCAGCTCTGTTATGGATCACCAGAATACGAGTACCACGTTACGTACATCAGCCAAGAAGCCCACTGCGGAAGACGAGCTTGAAGAACTCGAATTAGATTCCTTCATTTCAGACAAGAAAAAGACGAGAGATTTCTATAACGAAGATGAACAGGAACCACAGACTTTAAATAAGCGTGATTATGGCAACTTTAGTTTGCTTGTTGTATTATGTAAGAAGATACATGGCAAATCGAATTTCAAAACGATGACTAATGGTATGCTTTTCCTCTAGATTTATTACAGGGCATTCCCATTGGACTTTGCTTTGGCTCGATTCCTTTCCTTTTAAAAGCCAAGCTTTCATATTCCCAAATCGCCATCTTTTCATTATCGTCGTGGCCTTATTCGTTAAAACTATTATGGTCGCCTATCGTAGATGCAGTCTACTCAACTAAATTGGGGCGACGTAAATCATGGATTGTTCCCATTCAGATATTAACAGGCGTGTTATTCTATATACTCGGTAATCATATCGACAGTATGATGAGTCAAGATCATGTGCCTATTTATGCCTTGACATATTCTTTCTTGTCAACGATTTTCTTTTGTGCGACCCAAGATATTGCAGTGGATGGTTGGGCTTTAACATTATTGTCAAAGGACAGTCTGTCGTATGCTTCAACAGCACAAACTATTGGTTTGAACTGTGGTTACTTTTTATCATTTACGGTCTTCTTATCATTTAATTCATCAGAATTCAGTAACAAATATTTACGTTCCATCCCTCAAGATGAAGGTGTATTGGGATTGGGCGCTTACATGCGTTTTTGGGCAATTATGTATATGCTGGTCACTGCCTATCTTGTCCTCTGTAAGAAAGAAAATGAAGTGAAGGATGATGAAGCTGAATTAGGTATTCGCGGTGTTTATCACACGATCTGGAAAATCTGCAAATTACCACGCAAGTATCTCCTTTTTTTGTTCTTTAGCTTATCAGTTTAGTTTTTAACTTGATTGTATACATGTAGATATGCGGTCTTATGTTGGCGTTTTATTAGTCTCAAAAATCGGGTTTATCTGTCATGAAGCAGTAACTTCATTGAAATTATTAGAAAAAGGCTTTTCAAGAGAAGATCTTGCCCTTTCTGTCCTGTTGGATTTCCCCCTTCAAATCTTTTTTGGTTATTATGCCGCTAAATGGTCCAATGGCAAGCGCCCTTTAAAGCCTGTAAGTTGTTTTTTTAAGAATAGTAAAAGATGAAAGAGAAAAAAAAAAAAAAAATACAACCGACTAAAAAAACAAACAAAAAAAAAAAGTGGCTTTATGCATTTTATGGTCGTTTGGCATGCTCTGCATTAGGGATGTTAATTGTGGCTGGCTATCCCCAAGGTCAACCTGTGAGCGCATTCTATTTCGGTATGATCATGTTGTCAACTGTGCTTAGTTCATTCATGTCAACAGTACAATTCGTAAGCATATCCGCCTTCATGACAAGTATCGCAGATCCAGTGATTGGTGGAACGTACATGACAGTAAGTTAAAGAAATTGAAAGAACAAAAGTTTATTTTTGACTGATTTGTTTGTTAGTTATTAAATACTTTTAGTAACTTTGGTGGTACTTGGCCCAAGTTTTTTGTGCTTGAGGCAGTGGAATATTACACAATTAATACATGTTCAGTGGTGAATAAAGAGGGAGGATGTAAGTAACTAGATGGACAAGAGTTTTGTTTGTTTGTTTAACACATGGTTTGTTCTAGATGATTCATGTTCAACAGAAGAAGGAAAGGATCTGTGTAAAGCATTGGATGGAACATGTGCTATTGTTCAAGATGGTTACTATATTGTCGGTACAATCTGTGTAGTGTTGGGATTGGTCATGCTATTAGGTTACATCAAGCCTATCGTAAAACGTTTAGAAAGATATCCAAAGCAAATGTGGAGGTTAAATTCTGATTCCAAATAAATCCCGGCCGTACATAAAAGCCGATTTTGCCGGTTTTTACGATTTACTATAAATGGCAAATAAAAAATATCCCCCCCACACTCCCAAACCACATTTTGATTATGATTTATGAGAGTCAGAGAGCCAGTGAGAGATACAGTCTATTGCCCTTTTTTTTTTTTTGGTTTTTTTCTACATCCTTTCTTTTACTCCGCTCTCTTTCTATTTAAAAAAATTAAAACAGAGGAATGAAGCAGCTTGTTTTAATCTTTATATTTGCAGTTGCTATAGCTCATTGCAGTTTATTCTCGTCGACCGATCTTTACATTGCTTCCAGTAAGATCTTGTTTTGTTGTCCGCACTACCACCAATGTATATATATATATATATTTATTAAAAATACGTTGCTCTTTTTATTATGGATTAGGTCCTGTCAGTATATACTTAAATGGGTCCATTGTGGGCTCCACCAGCACTTCTTTAAATCCTAAAGACTTTAAGTCTGGTATCGTTCCGTTTGAAAATTTGACTCAACCCTCCACATCCGGTCTACAAGTAAGACTATCATTTTATGTGTGTGTGTGTGTGTGTGCGTGTGTATTTTTATTGACACCATGTAAAAAAAAAAAATAAGGGGATATTGTATGATAGAGGTTATTCTTGTGACCTGAATAGCTCATTTGATGTAGCCCGACCCACATTATATACGGGTCAAAAGATCGCTCTTGTTCAAAAGGGTGGAGACTGTGACTTTTATAAAAAAGTGTATACTTCACAACTTGATGGTGCAGTGGGTGTTATCATCTATGACTCTATACCATTTCGCGAAGACGATGAATCTGGATCAATGGTAAAATAAAATAAAAACACATAGATACTAGTCTTTTAATCTTTCAGTTCCAATAGAAAATAAGCAAAGGCAACTTGACAATCCCAATGTACTATGTAGACTTAAATATCGGACAAGAGTTGTACAACATGCTGAAATACATTACAACTCAACCCGTCAATTCAGCAAATGATTCGACAACATTTCAACCTGCATTAAATATTGTCATGCATCCAGCAGTAGGCGGGTTCCCGAGCGCCTGGGAATTCACTTTAATCATTGTAGTGGCACTTTTAGCCATTAGTTTTCTTGCTTCAGGTAAATTATGAAATGTTATTTGTTTACATCCCGCTTGATTCTATATAAGGCAAACCAATCTTTTTTTTCTAAAAAAAAATACTCATCTTTTTTTCTCTCCTATTTATAATTATGACTATTTTTCAATTAGTTGGTATGCACTGGCATCTCTGGCGTGTAAGACGTCGTCAACGAGCATTATTTGAAAGTGGTCTGCTTGATATCAATAATACGAATATGGCTCAACAATCCACTAAAAGAGTCATCGATCCTGCGTCATTGTCCTTATTTCCTACCCGGATTATTGGCGACGAACCGAACCTGACCCTAAGTCGCATCGAATCCAATCGTTCCATGAAGGCGATAGAAAATGCTGAACAAGTCATTCATCATACACATGAATCCATTGAAGATGCCTGTGTTATCTGTTTGGATGAATTCGCTTTGGGTGAACAAATACGGAAATTGCCATGCGGACACGAATATCACTGTGAATGTATCGGTAAGTTCACACACAATAATGTACACGAGCACACCATTCATCTTACTTTTGTTATCCCACCAGATCCTTGGTTAACCATAAAATCGGCTTCATGTCCATTATGCAAACATGATTGTTCCTTGGATGTTCCCAAAGCAGAAGTTGAATTAGTTGAACCATCACCACCACTTATACCACAACCTCCACCTTCTTATTCAAATTCATTTTTTTCTTCACTGACTTCTTTTAGAGCTAGTAATAACAACTCCCCCACATCCTCATTTGGTCCTACCATTGCTGCTGATAGGGCAGAGGAATTTAGTAGATCCTGGATGGCAAGAAGTTTACCAAGAAACATGAGACGTCAAATACACGAAGCTGCACAAGCTGCTGCTGCTGCCAATCGCGAGAGTGTAATCGAACTACCCGCAAGGATGACCGAAAGTCCCCCGACACCACCATCACCACCACCAACACTACCAGTAGTAACACCTCCCGTTGTCATCCAAATGGATTCATCACAACAATTGGAAGGTAGTACAACGATAGGCAGACGGTTGGGTCAACGTTTACGAAGTACTATTCCAAACTTTTTAAAACAAAATAACACCAGTGAAATACATCATTAAATTCTTATTCCCCCATCTTCATTTAATTCTCTTCTTTTTATTATCCATGTGTGCCCGCCGAAAAAACAAAACAATCACAAATGTAACAATTGCTTCATAAAATAACCTCACTTTTCCCCTCTTTTTTTTTTTTTTTTTTAATTGTTGTTATTGGTCATCTGATGCGATTTGTTGTTTATAAAATAGGCTTATTAATTCTGTATATGCCATTCATGACGAATACCCCCATCATGATCCGCTTACTTTTTTTGGGGTAACTTGCGGACAGGCTTTTTACCTGACATTCCTCCTTAGCTTGCAAATGCATGTATTTTAAGTAAAAGACAGAGCATTATGGATGATTAAATAAACAATTAAACCTGCCTGACATAAACCATCTCTTGTTTATCATACATGTTTTGATTAAGTCATCCTACAAGGCTTGGGTATACATCTTTTTTTCACTTTTGCTTTTTCAAGATACACTGAATTATTGCTACTTTTTTTAAATCAAAAAAAATACATTGTAATTTTTGCAATATTATGGCTACGTCTGGTCTTGTTACAGGGTGGTAACATCCAAGGTTGGGTTCTCATGTTTTGATAAGTTATAAAATTTCTTTGTCGCACGTGAATCTAACAAGGGCGTAAGTACAGATATTGTCTTTGGTCGGACCACGCAAAAAAAAAAACACTGGATGTAAAAAAATACGTTTTAAAAAAGTATAGAAGTCTACGATCCGCAGTTCTAACAGCACTTTGGATCGAAGCAGAGACGATGTTATTTAATTGTTGCTACTCAAGCCCTGTCAAAAGTGTCTGAGCGCCAAATTTTATTAAAAGTTTACTTTAAGCAGACAAGCAAGTCGACTTTCAATAGCATGTGTAAAAAAACCGCTTCCATAGAAACCTTGTCTTTACTAATGCACGTCAATCGCCACTTTCCTTGCAAAACCGATGGACTACATCGTCCAATGCTGTAATACAAGTAGAGGTTTGGGTACTAAATTAGCAGCAGGAACTGGCTCAGTAGCTATTGCAAGAGATGGCTCGGTAGTAGGGATATGTCCAGAAGAAGGTGTATGTCTAGCTATAACTTGAGAGCAGCCACCTTGCAAACTACTTCTAAAGCTATTGAATCAATTTTATAAACCCAAAATCTGGATGTTCCAGGGAGTCGAGATAATTATTAAAAGAGTCATGGTGAAGTTCAAGAATGTTTTGCACAAGGTCAAGACTCCCAAGATGAAGCACAAAATTATGTTTAAAGCGTCGATGAAGAATACACTCAATGTGAAGTGATGAAAAAGATATTGAAGACGAAGTGCGAGAGAATTTCCAAGAGTAAAGCAGTAATAACGGTCATCTGCCACCAAGCTTAAGTCGTTAGATAAATGCAAAGTCAGAGGGTTTAGATCATTGCCACATTTACTCTTATTGAAACCCTTTTATCATTTTATAATATAAAGAACTGCACCTTTAGTCTAACAACATTTTATAGGCCTGTTGAACTTTATATATACATATCATAAATAGGAATCACGATAACAGTTTTTCAATCAATTTTAAATGTATTTTGAAATAAATCCATGTTTGTTTTGGAAGATCCAATTTACTCTTTATAAGCATCATAAAATTTTCCAAATTTACCAATATCCCAGCTTTACTGTATAGTAATATTACAAGCCTCGGTTGTGATTAATACAAATTCAATTTTAATTAAAGTAAAATAAATCATAAACAACGTGAACCATTGCAATTGACATAATACAGTTTTACAATAACTGTGCATATCGTTTTTAATTTAATATAAATTAAAAGAAAAAGTAGCCCGAGAAAATGGTTTTATGTCGTGCGGATGCATTTATTTGTTACTTCATCGCAAAAGGAATAGGTACAACAGGGAGCAGCCGCTGAATTCAAATCACATTTTTGATCTATTAAAGTGCAGGCAAATGGTGTAAGAGAGGCCGTACATATGCAAGCTGACAGTACAATGAAAGTGAATTGTGAAAGATTCATGTTTTGTTGGAGACAGATTAACACAAAGAAAAAGAATAAGATTATAAAAGCAGATTAAGCATTTCTTATATACCTTTCATTTTATAACTCCTTTATAGGGAGCTCACGTCCCTTGATTAGGGTTTCTTTTTTTTTCATTTCTTTTTTTCGCAATAAATAAATTGATCAAATGCTAATTTAGGACCCTTCCTCGTAAATGAATGTTGACGTACATCTTTTTTTTTTCACATTTTTATGGGAGTCTTTCCATGTGAAACAGGGAGATTATTCAGGAGAGAAACCAATTGTTGCGAATCTAGAATTTTATTTTATAATGTCACCAGAGACTATATCCTAATTTTTAACATCATTGCACTAGACTCTTCACTCATTTTTCAATTTTACCGACATAAAAATCTTTTATTCATGCTTTTCGCTTTTCCAATAAATCAATTTACTGCATCCAAAAAAAAAACCCCAGGCACTCTTCTTCTTTTAAATTATCATTTATACACCATTTAACAACTGTTTCTATTCCAAAATTAAGCAACCGCTGGTGTGTTTATCATTATCTCAGTACTCATGTAACTTTTCACCGAATACTACCCCTTATCGCAACGTGTATGACAGAAACATGGCAATTTCAGCTTTTACTCCTCCCATTCCTATACGGTTACATAACCGATTCAATGTTGATAGCATAAAGGGGAGCCTCGTAGCAAACTAAAAACGTGACATGTCAAAATACTACCTCCTTTTAAATTTTAAGAGGGGACAATTATTATTATATAACAATTGTGATAGTGAGCACTAGACATTTGGTAGTCGACGTTTTAAAAACTATTTGTTAAAACTTATTTCCAATGTGATTTTAAACAGCATAATATATGGATATGACAGTTAAATGTAAGCCGATAGTAACACAGTGAAAGACGAGAATAAAGTATAGTTCTTATATGTGGAAGAGTAAAGAGTTTAACGACGGGTTTCTCCAAGACAATGTAAAGATTGTATTATTAAAAAAGACAACAAACATCAACCAAAAGCGGAGGAAATACAACTTAGTATCAATTACAAGTGAAATTCCAAATTTAGGTCAAGGCAAAACTAAGGAATATTCATAAAATAAAAAGAGGGGGTATTTATAGGAAAGATCCTATCCCGTGTAAAAACACGTCATACTACTATTGGTTGCAACAGTTGTTGAAAAAATGAAATGATACAATAAGGCATTATTTCAGAATATTTAAACTGAAAGAGTGTCTTTGATTATTAAAAGTATTAGTCTACCTTACTTTTTGGTGTTGGTTTAAATATAGTTGGACACTTCATTTAGTTGCTAATTTATCAATCTGTCTATATATAATTGCGTTATTCCGCGTTGGGATAAAGCATATCTACCTTTTAGAGACTTTTCAAAATATTCTATAGTCTTTTTGCTATCCAGCCTGACTCTGTATCCCTTATGATACCGCGCAACCCAATGAACATCCTTCAATTTGTAAGCTTTTTCTTCGTCTTTTTTTTTTTTTTACTCTTCCCCATCAAATAAAGACACCCCGCTTGACAAGCCGCCTCCCGACAGCCTTTATCTAAAGCTTGTAGAAGACAATTCAAACACTTGACTTGATCTTTTTCGATGCCATAGCCACCGTCAATATATATATATATATACATATATAACCTGCTGTGTAAGAAAGCGAACAACAACTACCATTACGTTGATTAAAATTCTCATAAAATTCAAGGCCAATTATGTAGTCAATCAGAACACACATAACGGGAAATAAAATGCAATTTAGTGTTATTTGGTGTAATTAGGTGTTAACGTTCTATACTCGTCATAAGAACATTAACACTAAATTACACCACTACACCCACTTACACCTTTAAAAATCGTGATAAAATATATACTCATTGAATGCTGCAATCAATTCTTCTGAGGCAGTTTTTGATACTGCCCACTTTCTCACGATGTCTCTTGTCTTCAAACTGGTTTTTTCAGTCAAATCAAGAGGTCTCGTGCTGCCTTGTCTGTCAATAAAAATTGGTGTTTGAACGGTTTTTTATATAATTCTATTTTTTTCATCTCATCTTTTTTTCCTGGGTCAAACATTTTTCTTCATGATCCATGTTCTGATCCTGGAATTTGTCATCTACAAGCATAACTTGTGTTTCCTCTGCGGACAGAACAATTTTGTGTTCATGATCGCAATCCTTAGATTTGCCTTCGTACGTTTCGGTTTCTGTAGACACATTTTCGTACGCCACCTTACACAGTGGCGGACTATGTGGTAAAAACCCGCAACATGTGGTAAAAACCCGCAACATTTGGTGGTAAAAACGTCCGTTTTATACCACCTAATGTTGCGGAATTGTAGTAAAATTACCACCTCAGGTGGTAAAACTCCAAAATTATACCACCCAATGTTGCGGGTTTTTGCTACATGTTGCGTGTTTTTACCACCTAGTGTTGCGGGTTTCTTCCGCATGTGACGTACTTATACCACTGCTAGTAGCTACTAAATTCCACTTGATGCGTCTTTTTACCACAATATAGCGTTCTTTCACTCAAAACGTAGTACGTGCGTTATTACATCACTTTAACTATATTATTATTGATGCTGATGGATCTTTATACTGTTGTGCAATCAAGAAATACATTATATAATAAAAAATCAGGGTTTAAAGGAACACATTTTTTATTTTGTTCAATTTTTATTTCGTATTTTACTTTATTTATTATAAGTGTCGTGATCGAGGCTATATATTTAATATATGACTCTATCTACACTTCTTAAATCTTCCATTTGATAATCCTAAATATAATTCTTATTGGTACTTTATATTAAATACTGATCATTTACTTTATGTACAGGCTTGATCTCATATCATCCTTCATACAAGTATAAGGCATACATTTAAATAATAACATGAATATGAAAACATATGAAAGTTACATCAGCCACGTTGAGGTGCCACAGCTATCTTTAATAAGAACTACATTTTCCCCTGAATGTTGTGCTACAAGACATACACAGTTTAAGAATGAATGTTATTGTTATTGTTATTGACATCTCATTATGTTCTTTCTATATGGGATCATTACATCCGAGTATTATCTGGATAAATCTACCCACAACCGTCATCAGCCCATCTGTGATCAATGTCTGAAATAATGTGTATATAAAGATCCCCTTTTATTTGTTTAATAAAGCTTTAGTTTATTTTTGCAGTTTGATAATTTCACTTTGTTAAATTTCACATTTTTTCTTAATTCGCTATTATCACTCTCGAATTTCTCAATAAGGTATGTA